GTATAGCGTTAAGAAGGTTAGCGCGGTTCTAAGTAAGTACCCTATAAGTTTTAGCTAAAGATGCGTTTCTAAAGGTTTAATCCTAAGAAATAACCTAGTCTATTACTGCAGCTTAAAAAGCTTCCTCCTGCTAGGCCCCATAAACAGGAGGGAAATCTCCCAAAATATGACCTCTCTGACCCGTACTACGGTACGTACTTGGCAATTCACTGTACAAAAGTTACGTCTCACATTTTGACTACGTTTGTACGCCTCACGTGATTACTACGTTCACGTAGTTACGTTACGTACTACGGACTGTTGGCCACGCTGGATAGATGTGACTATTACTTTTCAATGTCGGTTGTCTGTGGAGTGCGCACTGCTACTCTGCGACAATATGCATGCCGTGGGATCAAACCACCAAACCGTCTACCTTAGCAAAGGGGAAAGGGTATCAAAACAAAACAAAACTCGGTTTCCAATAACCAATCACCATATTCCCCCAACCCACACAGAAGCCTCTCATTTCCACCGAATCCATACAACTACTACCATGAAAACGCTCCAACCCCATTACCTATAACCCCTCATCACCAATGCCTAACAACGACCAACCACCCCGCCTCCCTAACCGCCGTAATCCACCCCCAAACCCTCTTCCTTTTAATTCCTTCTCTAGCCGCGATATCCTCAAGCGCATGCTTGCCATCAAAATACTTGAGTAATATCGGCCAATTTTCGGTGATCTCTTCACCTAGCCCAACACCTACAACTGCGTCGTGGATGGCAGGATCGGGGTTAGTGGCAGAGTTAGTGTCAGCGATATGGGGATGTTGGATTTGGAATGTCTGCCCGATTTTCTCAAGCCAGCGCGCTTCAAGTGACGATGCTTTTTGCGGGGACGAAACCAAGCTCGGGGTGTATGTTTGCGGGGTTGTCGGTGGTGACGGAAGAGATGGCGATAGCGAGTGTGTATTGAGATGCAGCTTGTGAGCATTCGTTGGCGAACGTGTATTCTGCGCACGACTCGGGGATGCCGCTTTCAAATGTAGTGGAGAGGGGCGATGTGGTTTCGCTTGAACTTGCGCTTGAGATGGCGAAATCGGCCTTGTAGTAGGGACACTCGGCAGCGGAATCGTCGTGCGATTACTACTAGTACTCCCCGCATCACTCGCCGGCCTTGCCGGAGAACCACGATATGCCGTCCGAGGGGAGAGGATGGTCGAAGCGTCCATTTGCTCATCATCCAACTCCCTCTCCCTCTCCCTCTCCCTCCTATTCCTCCTCAATGGGGTACCCGGCCTGTCTCTCTCTCTCTCTCTGTTCGCAGACAAGAACGAAGACCGCTTATCCGTCCCCGAAAACATTGACTCTGTTAGAGAATCATTGTCAGACATTTCCTGTCGACGCACTTCCTCTGCTTTCTTGATCGCGGCTTCTCGTTCTAACTCGAGAGCGACTTCGGCTTTGATTTCAGCGGTTACGCGCACCCACGCGAAGGTCCGAAGTTGCGTTACCCACCCACCACGCATCAACCACGCAAGAATGTCCATATATGCTTCGCGATGCTCGTTCGTAGGAATGAAAGTTCGGTAGGGCCGGGGTTTTCCGGATAACATGCTTAGCATTTTTGACAGAGGAGGTGACGTTGGGAAGCGGGTTGCGTAAGCGGGAATTGCGGCCTGTAAAGCACCCATGTCGGCGTTTGGGGACAAGATGTAAGTATCTCGGGGGTGGAGGGGGGGGATCAAGCGTGCCCGGCGCCAGTACACGAGATGGCTGGCTATGTACTCTATATGTTGTGCGAGGATGTTGTGTTTGATGGATATCTTTTGCAGCGATTTCGTGGGAACGATGTTCCGGAGGTAGAACGCGATGGCTGTAGTATTTCCTTTGGCGTCACCCTCGAGTTCTTTGACGAGTGTTTCCGTGTCCTCGAGGAGCAGTAGCGCGGAGTGTTGGGCTACTGGGGCGTCGTTGTCTTCTTCGATGATGACATTTGAGGTTGTAAGCCACAGGCCTGGCATCTGTGGTTCCAAAGCATTCGGGAGATAGGGTGTGGAGTCAGGCTGCGGAATCTGGAATGGGGTATTGAATGTCGCGTCGAAGTGAATATGGGCAATCTTGTCATTTGAGATAGCGTCGAACATGATTGCAATTGATTTTGCTAAGGGTGAAGTGTTGATGATCTCGTGCCAAGCCATAGAGAGAGAGTCACCGTTGTCCTTCGCTCTCTGCTTGATGTTGATAATCTTCTTCGATTCTTTCCACACATATTGAAAGCGTGCCTGTTCGTGCTTAAGGGCTTTGGCGTACTTACGCGTGACGTTATCGTACATGTACTTGACGCGCAGCTGGTACTCGAGTGCTGGCGGATTGAGGACGAAGACGACATTGAACATGGTCATGTCAGGCCCATTGTCTGTGGTCGAGTTGCTGCGTGTATCTGATCCAGCTTCGGATACTGCTCCAGAAGGTGCGCCCGAGATCATGCCGTGTCCGTAGCCTGGCTCAAACCCTTCTGGATAGACGAACGATCCGGTTCTGGTGCTACCACTACCTTCCCGGCGATGGACTACCTTCTCATCAGGATGGCGAATGTGGAGATTAGCTAAAGCATTCTCTGCTTGCTGTTTCTCCTCTAGCGTACGCTTGTCCTTCTTTCGCCGCGCCTTCTTCCACAGCCCGTCCTCCCTCACGAACATGGGCGCGCCAACGAAGACGATGTTCTCAACGCCGAGCTCGAACCTCCGCTTATTGAAGGACCTGTTGGCAGGACACAGCATCTTCTCCAGCGCATCGACCTTGAAACCAAGCACCGTATTCCAATCGTAGTCGCCACCTTGATTTTTCCGGCTGCCATTGGTCTTCCTGCCACCGTCGTCGTCCAGATCCGCGTCCTCTTCATCAATACTGTCCTGTCTCCCCCAGGCTCCCCCCGCGCTAGGTCGGTGTTTCTCGCGATCTCGGTGGCTGGCACTGGTGCGTCCTGAGCCTCGTCCACCGCTAGTCCTGCTGCCGGCTTCGATGTCATCGTCGGCGCCTTCGTTCTCGGTGCTGCTGCCCCAGTCGCTGCTGCTGCTGTGCGAGTCGTCAAGGCTGCCGGTCGAGGTCTGGTTGCCGAACCACGCTGGAGCTTTGTTCGAGGCGAGTGCGGCAGCTGATGGGGAGAGCGGAGGGTAGTGGAATACGAGTCGGGGCCCGAGGGATCGCGATTTGGTCACTAAAAGGATAGCGTGGAGGTTTGAGGCCGGTGGGAGCGGGAGCGACATGTTGCGTGTTGCGGCGGAATGAAGGAGGCGCTGGAGGCCAAGACGAGGGTAGCAAGGGGAATTGGCTTAATCTCCCCTCCTGTGGTGGTATCCAGGAGGCCTATGAGAGATTGTGTTAGCTGTCCGCAAACCCAAAGTGCTATTGCGAGGTGAGCAGTGGTGTAGAGAAAGATGGTGGGGAGCTCGGAGAATTTCTGCAGGGATCAAGCTCCCCTACGTGCCCCATCCATCCCACCTCGGTTGCTTGACCTCGCCTCCTGCAGTTCTTCCGTCACCCTATTGTAATTGTGAAAGAGATAGACGGGCCAAAAAAAAGAAGAAAAAAGGAAAAAAGGGGATTCCTGCCAACTACACAAGCTCCGGTTTAGGAGCAACGGTGATGTGTCCATCATCTTGCCACGTCCGCTTCATAAGAAAATGCTATCGCTATTCCTGTCAGGTCTCTCATCATCTACGCCCTATTTATCTGCATCTCCTACAACTTGGGGAACCTAACTCTCAAAAACTGGCTCGGCCACGCAATATCAACCCCCAGTTTCCAAGCCACCTTCAACACCCACTCCGGCTCCCTCATAAACTGCCTCGCAACTAGAATGACATCAGCCATTGGGTCACGTCCACCTTTTCCCTCCGTCATTTCTACTGCAACCTTTGCCTCTAGGTCAATTGACCCATTCTCTCCAGCCTGGCCTACCGCACCGCCTTCTTCAACAATGTCTCTCGCCTGTTCTGCCTCTGTAATCAACCCAACAGCTCCAATCAACAAATTCAGCCCTTCTTTTTTCATCTCACCCCTAATCCTCGCCGCAATACGCGTCTGATAATCCTTCGACTCATACATATTAATACTCTGCATGGGCGAATTCCCACCGGAACTCACGTCCAGGAGATCGACGCCCAGTGCCGGCAACATCTTTGCCAGAATTAGTGAACTCTCGACATCCCAACTCCCATACTGCTTCCCAAGCTCCGACCCTTCCAGCCACTCGGTCGAGCTGATTCGCAGGAAAAGCGGGAGTTCGGACGGCATTGCATTTCTGACAGCCTGCATAACTTCAACCAGCAACCGAATCCTGTTCTCAAACGACCCGCCATACCGATCTGTTCTACGATTCGTAACTGGGCTTAGAAACTGATGCAACAAATACCCATGAGCCGCATGAATCTCCACGACCTGCACACCGGCCTTCACAGCCCTCCTCGCCGCACTCGCAAAGTCCCCGACCAGCGCGTCAATCTCCTTTTCCGTCAACGCTCTTGGTGCCCAAAATCCCCCATTCTCATCACTCTCACTCTTGCCATCCCAAGCCTCCCCCTCCCCACCCATCGGACCCACAACATCCCCAGGCCACCCACCAACCTCCTTCGTCGCCCGTACACTAACCTTCTTCATCCCATCTCCCCCTCTCGCCGCAACCCACGGCGCAACCGTGCTCGCCTTGCGTCCCGCATGCGCCAACTGAATCCCACACACACTCCCCTGACTCTTCACAAAATCCGCAACACGCTTCAGGGCTGCAATTTGCGCATCATCCCAAAGCCCCGGACAGTTCGGCGAAATCCGACCATGGGGCTGGACGCCCGTTGCTTCGATGAATACGAGTCCGGCACCTTTGAGCGCATAGTGCCCGAGGGTTGCGATGTGGTAGTTTGTGAGTGCGCCAGTTTCGGGTCCGGTGCATGCAGTGCTATATTGACACATAGGTGCTACGATGATGCGGTTGCGCAGGGTGATAGAGCGGATTTGGAGGGGCGTGAAGAGGGTTGGAATCGGGGTGGATTTGCTGGTAGTGGAGGGGAAAGGTGTTCCAGGGGAGATGGCGTGTTGTGGGGTAAAGTAGGGGAGGTTAGGGACTCCGATATTTAGATTCGGCGGTGCCATCTTTGAAGGAGAAATTTGGTAGCAGAGATGTAGATGAAAAAGTCTTTTTTCACGTAATTAGAGTTGGCTGTGTGTGGATATAGAAACGGCAATTGCAACTGACGAGTCCAGAAGAGCGTCGCGAGATATAACAACAGGTGTAGACTTCTATAGGACGAGATGGAAATGGACCTAATCTATGAAAATAATAGTAGAAGGAAATCGTGAGGTTGTGATACCTAAACTTGGAGTAAGTACCACAGTTGATTTGTAATGACATTCATTGACGACTTTTTGCCGAGGTTCAGAATCCCTGGTCGTACTTACCTCTAAACGCAGCTTCCAAAAAATCCGATTGTAACATCCCTCATAAATTTAGCAATGATCATGCTGGATTGCCATTGGCATTGATAAATTCATCAACGTCTCTTTTTGGGGGTGGTCCAGGTAAATATCTGAAGGAGAACTTCAAACCCTCGAAATTCTGATGCAATGAAGCCGCACTAAAATGCTGTCTTTCTGCGGTAAATGACTAAGAACAGTGCAGTAAATCATGTCGAATGGATGTGTCCAAGCAAATCATAATCTCGCTAACTTTCAGGCTCCAAGCTTCCAGCAAGCCCAAAATGGTGTAAATAAAGCTAATGCTCCTAGGGTTACTCGTCACGGGTATGCCAAGGTAGCCACCACTCCACCACTGATTCTCTGGATCATAATCCAGAATGTCAAAATAAACCTCTCGATCCCTTAGTCATGGCAGACTGAAAGGTACAGCAACGGTCTACACTTATTCTCGTCAACGTTTGTCTGTCGACCCTTGACAAATTGGGTTGGCCCAAACCCATTCTTCAATGGGCCTGAGAGGTGATATTTTTTCACGTCCTAGATCTCCTAGATATCTAGTCCACTCCGATAACAAGAACTCGAAGGTCTAGACAAGGTAGTGGTGGACAAGATATCTGAACAGGAAACTCGCAAGACTTGTGGATGGAAACCGGGCTTACACTGCTTGCTATGACTGAGATGAATAGTTCGAGGACGCGGGAGGTGCCTCAGCGAGCACTGCAACCAGATATTAGTGCAAGAGACAATAAAAAAAGGACACACATACCAAGGAATACGTTAGTGGATCTCATCTTTCGTTTTCAACAGCATCCTAGGGAAATTGAATGCCAGGTTAGCGCAAATTGGGACATGGTTTGCAAAATTAAGCGAAGTCGAACACGCTCCAATGATGTTCGATGTTGCTAGAGTACATGTGTAAAGACAGCGGATCCAGTGTTAATCCACACTACGCCAGCGGGTCAGTGACTGTAGCTCTTCTGATACTCGGAATATCAGAGTCCAAGCCCAGATGCAGACTCTTGAGTTCTCAGGATGCACCTAAGATAGGCCATGTAAAGCTAGGGCATCCAATAAGGATATTATGGGCCAGCGTTAATTCATGGCCGCAATATCCAGTTCCAAATGGTGGGTTCGTACGTTGAATTACAGACGTTGCCAATAGGAGGTGGCACATAATTGACTGTAGAGGAAGAATTACTCCAGGTCGCATAGAGGTACTTCAGATTCGGGTGAGACCAAGAAAGGATAGTGATGGCTACTGCTTCTGGAGGTCTTGAGTGGAGGTTATTTGTTACAAATCTCGCCTTCATCAGACCTCCCTGCTGGCAACCTTGAGCGAATTAAGTTGGGATTTCAGCAGATTCTTCCACTCACCAATAGGTTTCGAACGTGGTTGTTAAGATTTTTTTTATTTAATATATAAAACGCAAACTCACCCCGCTCAGTCTTTAGCCTTGTTTCCTTGATACGTGGGCTATGCGTCGATAAGGGTAATGTCGAATATCCATCATATTTATAGTCGTTCCTTTGGTCGCCATGGTCCTGGCCGTAGTATCAATATCCGTCTAGACCGCCGTCTTGATCGTCGTCTTGGCCTGCCCTGGCCAATACACTCGGGAGATAGGCAAGATTGTTTAGCAGGTACATTAATGAGTGTAAGACTCTTTGGATCTTGAAGGTTAGCACCAGGACGGAAGAAGCATTAACAGTAAGTAAATCAAACATCAGGGCATATCATGGCAGATGAACAGACAAGGTAAACTCCGCAACACCGATATCGCTCCTTAGATTCCTTGGGTTGGTTCTATTGGAAAGGAGAGTATCGAGCAAGCGGCTATACATGATCTTCAATCCGTATTGGTTTGCAATTTAGGTGCGCTAATAGACTTTATGTGTGCTGGGTAAACTCTTCATAGATTCTGTGCTTGATGAGTGCATGTTCGACGCCAGAGGTTTCCAAGGTTGAAGTCGAACCACAGACGAGTGTAAGAGCTAACACGCTTCAGGACAAGCCCCTCCAGTCCTTATAAGTCAAATCACGTGAATTTTCACATTTACTTCCATATCGGTCTTAAGGCTAACTCTCTTTCATATCTTAATTGAAACCTCCAAGCAGTCTCAAAGCTTTTTTACACAATTTGCAGTAAGGGATGTATTTCGTTGTGTATGAAGAATCCCGCCAAATCCCCCACCAAAACTTCCTCCTTCCACTCAATATGTACCAGGCCAAACCCCCAACCGCCCCCCATCCGTAACCTGCACCGTCCCATTAATGTACCCCCCTCCTTTCCCAACTAAAAATAATATTAACCCCGCAACATCATTAATATTCCCCGGTCGTCCTTGGGGAATCTCATCCGTCCCAAACACTGTCTTTCCCCCCGCTGTCATCTCGCTCGGATATGGACCGGGACAGACGACATTACTACGGATCCCCCACGGAGATAGGATGGATGCGAGCATTTTGCTGAGATGTAAGGCACCAGCTTTGGACGCGTTGTAGGCGAGGCCCGCAGTGGAGTACCGCATGAAGGATGCGATACTGGCGATGGTTATGATGTGGGAAAGGCGGTCGTCATCGGAGTCGGCGCCGATGTTCGACAAGGTGGAAGCGTCCTGTTGGCGTGCGGTGCCGAGAGTAGAGATTTTTCCCGGTTGCCATCCGCGCCGCGTATTTGCTACTTCGAGGAGCGGTAGGAAGGCTGCGGATACCCCGATGATGGAGGATGTATTGATCGCCATAGTCGATTCCCAACCGTCCCAGTCTTTGAGCATGGTATCCCGCAGCTCGGTTATCGATTCAGCTTTGTACAGTTCAGAGCCGTTCCGTGGGCCCGTGACACCAGCATTGTTAATGAGGACGTCGACATAGCCGGTGTCAGATGTGATTTTAGATACCGCGGCGGAGATGGAGTCTTGGGAGGTTACATCACAAGATATTGGAACGAGAATGGTGGATGGATTTGGGGCTGAGGGAGATGTTTCGAGTGTTTTAATTGCGTTTTCGAGCGTCCCAATTTGACGGCCAAGAAGGTAGATCTTGGAAGTGCCATTTTGGTGGAGGGCGGAGGCAATGGCTAGACCGATTCCTGCATGCTTTGTCAGTTGAAAGAGATTCTTGTGCTGAAAGTAAGCGTAAAGTTGTAAGGGTTGGATACATAGTGGGGTACCTTTGGACAAAAAGACTACCTACCACTTCCGCCGCCAGTAATAACGACAACCAATCCCTTTGAGGAGAAGAGGCTTGTGGGGTCAAGTGGTACTTGAACATCCATTGCCAGTATTTGTCGTGAATTTCCGGTGTTTGGGTGTATAGGATGGAGAGAAAATGAACTGATGAAGCCAAAGCATGAGTCTGATGTCTTCGGTGCTTTCTGTTCCGAACCGTTCCTGTATGAGAATGCCGTTATTGACCGGTGGACGCCGAGAGCCACTAAATCCGGAAGAAGGCTAGCGGCCCATGAACAAAAATACCAATATGGTATATTGATTCGTTGCAGAGACAGTTTCAGTGGGTAGGAGTACCATGTAGCTGGCCTGATATGTTTCGATGCGAGGATAAGGGAGGGAAAAGTACACTAGAGTGAAATCACAGAATAGACAATCCAATACGATAGGGTATCTTCCTTTACCTAGCTTCCGCCAAACGCCTTGAATGTTGAGCCTTCCCGAAGATTCTCAAAAGAATTGTACGACGCTAGATACCGCCGATGATCTTCAAACCCTGAGCATCCGCCGAATAAGCGAGAACATACCGACACGGATGCCACGCAACGCTCACAGCCGAGTGATTGAGATCGACTGTATGAACATACTCCCCAGACTCCACATGCGCAATCTGAAGCTTTTTCTGTTCATCAGAGCCGGCCACGACATAGCTCCCATCAAACGAAAAATCCACACTCTTCACAGCGCCCTCGATATTCAATGTCCGAGGACACATCCATTCTTGCGTGTCCCACAAAGTAACAAGCGCGTCGCCCCCTCCTATGGCCAGATATTCTCCGCTCGGTGACATTGAGATGGCGTAACAGGATGACGTGTGAGCGGTGAGGGTGAGTGTTGTTTCGAAGGACGGATAGTCGAGGATCTTAACGCAACCTTCACCATTTGTAACAAAGAGATGTTTCCCAGACCAATCAAACGTGCTCTGATTCGTTTGTACGCTTTGGGGGTGCTCGGCAATAGCTTTGAGCGCGGCTCGGTCCACAGGGACAAGAATATTATCCTTCCTCCCAGCAACAATCTCACTCCCATCCGGGGTCCAAGCTAGCATAAAAGGCTCGCCTCCAACCTTCACCTCCCCCACACTAGCCTTCGACCGGACATCCCAGAACTTCAGCAAACCGTCGGAACTACAGCTCGCTAATTCATGTTCGTTGAGTGGGTGGAAAGCGACGCGTTCGACAGCACCCTGGTGGCCGCGCAGCTCTGTTGAGTTCTTGTAGTTTGTCTTTTCAGGATTCCATATCCGTAAGGTGCGATCGGGGGCTCCGGTCGCGATCAACGTGCCAGGTGCATTCCAGGATAATGTGCGGATGTAATGGGATTGTGAGACGGGGACAGCGGGGCGGGGATTATCATAGTACGTAGCCGTTTTGAGCTTAGAGAACGTGATGGGGAAAGCGGTTTTGCCGAGAGATCGGGCTCTTGATGGGGGGGCCATTATATAGAGCTTGAAGGAGAAGTGGAGGACAATTTCTGTGCTAGTTATGGGCTTCGAGACAACCAATGGCGTGTCCGTAATATTCGGTCCGAAGATTATCCGCTTCACGTGTCAGACCTTTCAGTTCAGATCACGTGGTCACTGTACCTTGATCATCTCCTTAACATCAGGTCCTCAGCTTCAAACATAACCATGACGATTAATCGCGAGATAGAAATTCTTAGATCAAAGACCATTGATACAGAAGGACGGAGCTTTCCCTACGTCATTTGACATGCGGCTTGAGCTACTTGTCTCAACATGTGATCACGACCCTCTTCACTTACTCTCTCTACACTTTAAGGATTCAATTACTACCTGAAAAACTATCGTTCTACCATTACATGCCAATGAAGACATTCGCCAACCTCCAAGACCCAAATACTTTCCACCAACGCCTCTCGAAACACTGCAATGCCATACTATACTACCTAGTTTCTATAAACTTAGACGGTGATGCATGCTTGACTAGGTTACCGTCTTCTCCTCATCTTACTCAGTTGAGCACACCGCTTGGAGACACAACCAAAACCACCCTCTACATCCATCATCAATCCAGTCATCACAACTTCATCAAGTCAGAGTCAGAAAAAGATACCAGGATATCGACCGGCACAGATTTTGAGGCATTGTTCATCATTGACCCACGGATCTTTAAATTTTTTGCAGGTATGGTAGCAGTCGATGAACAAGTCGAATTTCGTCACGGATTCTTCAGTGGCTGTGGGCGAGGGTAAGGGTGAGGACGTGAGCGATGTTGAAGTCGTTTCGGCAATGGTATCCGCTTCTCCCGTGGGTCCATCCCATGCTTGGATACAATCCACAAAGCACTCGTCCAACAGTGCTGGGCCGGCTTGTCCTTTGCAGTACCAGCCGCACGCCTCTTCTTTAATGCGCTCAGCGAGCTCGTCGTTGAAGGAGACGGAGTAGTTAGTGTCTGGGTGTGTGGTTGGGAGAGCCGTTCGTTCAGCAGAAGTTTGGGCCAGTACCTGGGAGCCGATTGGAGTACTCGAAGAAGCACTAGTCGAATTACTCGTAGAATTATTGCTAGGAGCGTCAGTGGAAGTGCTAGCTGGAACACTAGTTGGTTTGCTAATTAGAAGAGCATACCTAACGACTGAGGAGGCAAACGCTATGCCATCCGAATCCGGAGTCGAAGTAGGGCTCGAAGTGGGGGCTTGAGAGTTCTTGAGCTTGGCGTCCATAAGCCCATTAGCTTTTTTGAAATCTGAGACCCAGCTAATGATACGGTCGTTTTTGTTTGAGGTAGTCATGGTGGTGGTCGTAGACCACGTCTCCTTATTGTAATTGGAGATCCACTTAGTGATCCAATTAGAGGAAGCCGTAGCGGCAGAGAGGTTGGGAGCAGAAACTGATGTAATCGTGTTCGTGGCCGTGGTCTCATTTTCATCGTCGCCCCCCACTGGAGTCACTCCAGAATGAAAGGGCTCTGGCACTGATGCGGTGGACTCAGTTGGGACCATGGTGAAAGGAATTCGAGACGAAAAGGAAGTGCTGGAAGGATATACAGTAATAACCGCTTCCTGAAGCCAGCTCATTGTAGTCTTGGTGTATGTCTTGTAGACGATAGAGCTGATTGTAGACAGGCTGTACAAGGACTCATCCTTGGAGGCCGGCAATGATATGTTTGTAGGAAAGGCATCAATTTTTAGGCTGGATTCGCCATTAGCCGTATGAGATCTGATGCGAGGAACGGCTTGGGCGGCTATTATCAGCAGAGCAACAGAAAGTGCCGTAACGCAATGCATTTTGTCGGTTTAAGAAGACAGAAGGAGAGGGAGGATGAGAAGAAGGCAAAACGATAGCTGAGGAAATCCTGAGTAATTCCAACGGCTAGCCAAATGAGAACACTAGAGGACACTAAAGGGATTGTTATGAATATTATGGAAGGGAAACCTCCTCCACAGCAGGCTCTCTAAAACGTTGAATCACTTTAATTGGTTCCGAAACAGTAGTTTTAGCAAGGTAGACCGCTTATGAGGCCTCAATGTCATGTGTTGAGGGGAGATATGAGATATTTTCCGAAGGCGTGACCGCACCGTTATTTGTTGCTATGGTACGCTAGTACCAAGACAGGTTATCTGGATTGGTTCCATGGAGTGAGTTTGTAGGTTCAGTAGCATTTCTCTTCAGCCGCATGCCGGTATTATCATGTTGGACACGGATACGCCGTTAATTGCTTTAGTGTCCGTGTCATTACGAAAGCTCCCACTAGCTCGCCGCACTGCTAAATAGTGTGGAACTTAGGCTATCTTCGCTAGTGGCCTCAAAATTCTCCAGGCTTCTTGGTGCGAATTGTTAGGTGCATGAAAATCCCCCTGCTAATTCTCGTTCATGGTGAATCGAGTAATAGTCGGGGGTAAAATCACGGTTGAAGATACCCTGACATTACGGATTAGGGCCCCGAATATCTCACCTCCAGCAAAAGATCAAAAGCCATCTTCTCCACGCCCCTGCAGCTTTTCTCACAAGTGCTCTTGTAAGCCGAAAGGCTCTACGATGGGCTACACAATTAGCCTTAGGCTTGGCGTCCATCGATATTATATAAATCATACAGCTCCTCAGACCCTCAGTCTACAACACATGACTCCTCTCATAACTCGTGCCCATTCAAGGTTACAGTTCTTGACATTCTTCGACTGGCACCTCTCCTCGGCCTGCTTAGCATAATAACACTAGTTCTTCACGAGGCCGACGCAAGAGTCTACGCACTGGGTCACCAAGTTGGGTGGAGATTGTCCGGGCCTGAGGTTGTCGTAGGGTTGCTTGATATTCTTATCCACGATCTGCTCGATGCTTCTGTAGTTCCTGATATGTGGGTTTGCAGTAGGAGAAGAGGAGGCGCCGCTGGGAGATAGATTAGGTCTGGTGGCTGGGCGGCGGGGATGGCCATCAGTAAGGTGAGTTGGAGGGTACCCGCGATAGCGAGAGGTTGTTGTTGGTGAATTCCGTGAAGTTGAATATGTTGAAATTGTGGTTTTGCTCTGAAGTGGTGGTATGAAATGATAGACGGAAGGATACATACCAAAGAGACATATGCGGAAATCCTTTCGCACTTCTCATTAAAGTTTAATTGAATTTTGTGCGTTGCAGTAGGTGAAACGTAGTAGCGCATTAGAGAATGATTGTGTTCAACCATAGACTCGAGCAGAAATGACGAGATACCCTATGGAAACGATGTCCAAAGATCATGATACGGTCTAGAGTTCGAAGCCGAAAACCACCCCAACCACATATTTGTCCGGATGCGCTCTGACATAGCTATGAGTCATAGTAGACTAAGTTTAGCTCTCTAGCAGCCGCTAAAGATACATGAAATCCTTAAAAGATAAACAAGATATTTTCATCCAGTTCTACGTCAAACATGACGAGATACCATATCAAAGTTTCCCTTTCGCCTAGCCAAAAAGCAATGATATGAATACATCATCGGTCCCCGTTTTCACTTATTCCCGAACACGTAGTTTGAACTAGACCATAGTTCACCCGGTTCTTGGGTCTTCAACTTCCGATACTAAGCGGGGAGGCAGATGATACTCAGTTTGACATGATTGCATATGGATGAGAATAGCATTGCCACATAAAATCGTGCTCCCCCTCCCGAACGGCACCGGGCTTGCAGTCCATTACTATACACACTAGGTGATTCGAAGAGTCCGTATTGTGCATCCAGTCAAGGCCTCGGTCAAAGATTAGTGGCTTCAGAAGTCAAGCTAGAGTTACCCTCAGCTACTTGAGCCGAGGAGAAAGACTCTTCGGAACATCCCTCAGGGCCCTCTGCTCCTAGATGTTGAACCTCGTAAGTGGCAAAGATAAATTGTGCGTTGGAGTACGGTACCTATGTGCTAGTCGCCTAGGCTGAGCAGAATTTTAGCAAGGCCAAATCCTCCAGGTAGCCCCTCGACCACTGCAGCAATTCTCACGAAGGGCGGTTGCAATAGACGAAGCTATCGAATCAAGGGTAAAGGTGATGGTATGGAGTGTCGGAACTCGCACAGTAGGGCTGCAAGGATAATGAGCGCTACATCGCACGGACCACCGGGCCGCGCCGTCTTTATTCTGAGTTCGCTCCACTCAGAAACTATCACGAACTGCTCAACGCTGCCATTGAACCTGCCCCCACCCGAATTTGTCCTTATTCGAAGATCCTTCTGAAGCCAATTGATTGCTTCGAACGAAAATGAGTGCTTTTGGAGGTCCTGGTGGCGGACAGAAGATCCAAAAGCCAACGCCGTACGTTTGTCCCAGCTTTCTCGAAATGCGCTTTCCCATTACTTCCTCCTGGCGGGATAGCGCTATCGATGCGATTTAACAAATGACAAATGTATACACATTAAATAAGCTCTGATGCATTTACAGTCCTGAACGCGGCTCCTTTCCCCTCGATCATGACGGTTAGTCAGCACCTCTCGGGGCGGTTGATCATCGAAGGCAAAAACAGCCCAGCTCGCTAACACGTCATTCCAGGCGAATGCAAGTCCATTATGGCGTCGTATCTCAAGTGTATACGATCCCATCGCGGCACCAATGATAATGAATGTCGCATGCTGTCTAAAACCTATCTACAGTGCCGGATGGAGCGGTACGTTCCAACACTTCCCCTTTATTGAATGCCGCCCGCCATCCATGCTTCCCCTCCGTCGTCCTTTACAGTGTTTCAAGCCACTTTCTCCAAATTTCCAATCAAGGGTGAGGGAGTCTTGTGACACCGTTATGTCAAAACCAACACCGACTAGGGAGTCAGGATGGTTTCAGACGAAGGTGAAGGATAGGGGATCCTCTTCGAACAGCACAAAATGAAGGCCTATCCCCTTCGTTCCTTGCTTGTCCGGACATGAAACGCAGAAGCTCAGACACATCTTGTTCAGCCTGTGAGGTTGCCATATACCCTCCCTCATCCGTCTACGATTCTCTAACGTCATCCACTGTCTCTTGCTCCACTACCGAGCGAGGCTCATCATTTCCTAAAGAGCACTCTGAGGAGATCGTACTGACCATCTCTATGCTACGATAGGAACCTCATGGCCCCTGACTCATTCAAGAACCTAGGATTTGGCGATGACAGCGACAATCAAAGTCTTGCAACTACAGCTTCAACCTCTACAACCTCTCCTGCGATTTCAGCGACCCCCAACGCTGCGACTGGAACCCCATCGCGACAGCAACTGCAGCAAACCCAAGACGAGCGTCGCACATCCTAGATAAGCCGTGTCGTTGGAATGGAGAGTCGTGGTCTTAGTCCTGGTAGGGGGTTCGGTAGGTACCGAACAGCCGAGCACAACTGACTCTTTAATTCTACATCTCCACCCCTTTGCAGCAACCCATATTCGTACTCTGCGGGAATAAGGCATTCTGGACTGGGGAGGATGTGGTTCTCAGAGGACTGCACAGTTGACAGGTTACATTACATGACTCCTGCAGTGTCGACCCAGATGTCTCAACTCCAGATATGGCATGGGAAAGGCGAAGGATTGGGAGCGAAGGAGGTTGAGGCCTGGAGATGCTTTGACGCATTCAGGAGGGGGAAAGGGAGATGACAGGTTGGAGTGACAGGCCGGTTGGGCAAGATGCTGTAGGGGGTGAAGGGATCTGGTGACGCCACATCCAGTGAGATGTAGAGGCAGTGCATGTACGACAATTGGAAGGAGGGATGAGCCAAGATGAGCCACGGTACAGATACATCCCCACTCGTACACTTCAGGCTTCCATGCACCAGTGCTGTGGCGCACATCAATATTCTTATGATGTCTTAATATTGAGAAGCCACCTTCTCGTATACAGTTGCCTTTCACATGTTCACCTCTCTCTACCTCTGTGCACTTCTCCTTCGCCAACTATCCATATGCAAACAAGCACACAACCGCAGGCAGCGGAACTACCCACTGGCGCCTGGCCCATCAGGCATCTCAACTGAGACGGGTAGATGATCAACATCAAGAATAGATCCGCCGATCGATGGAGCGAAGTCAGTGTAATGTCGCACAGCGCTTCGACCCCCCTCACCACCTCCCCTCCCACACTAGCATCTCTAACCGTGAACCGTGCCCGGTACTGCACCGCACCGCACCGCAACCGAACCAGCCACTTACGCCAGAAAGCCATTCGGTGTCTCCAATGTACAAACCCGGTTGTTGAAACGGCCAGCGACGCCCGCAGCCCAGACACTTGGACCTTCGCCGGATGATATGCTCAACTTTGCTATGGTAACGTCGGTGGGCAGGACAGCCAGACTAGCGCCATCTTTAGCATCTGTCATTGTCATCTGGATGGGGGAGTCCTGCGGATTGCAGACGGATGTTTAGTGGGGTTGTGCCAGGGCGGCAGATGATGTTGATGCCGACACCGATAGCAAAGAAGTTGAGATCCTTAGCGTTGGTGGTGGTGGTGGTGGTGTTGGTGGTGAGGATTGAGGACAAGTAATCAGAGGTTGGTACACCGCACCATAACATCCATACATCCATCTATCTCGACATGGGCTAGACCATACATGTATAGTTGTTGGTCGTTAGTAGTTGTTAAAGCCACTAGCTTATCGATAGCATAGCACATATCAAGCACTCTTATCATATACGTGTCTCTATGGTTTTCGATACATTGGTTGGCTCGAATGTTGGCTCGATGGGTGACGATGCAGATGTCATGTCAGAACTGTCATCAATTCACCAGAGACCGGACATCCCAACCCGGTGCGTGCGTGTCCTTACGATTCTATCGCGTACTTTACGCGCACGAACTCCGACATGAGTATGCAGAGAAGAGCGATAGGTGGAGGAAAGCCTCCGTTCCGAGCAAAAAGTGTTGAACCTTCCCGCTGCAGGGTTTCGGAAACGTACATCTGCAGCACATCGGTCTAAACCGACTGTCGTACTACCACCCACTACATCTACGCCGACAAGCCAAGCTTTTGTTTGTCGCTGCGGAACAGAGATAGAGGAAGAGAGACAACCGGCCTTGTTTCCGGCCGCCGTGGCTCATTCTCTGCATCTGTAGCCAACTTATGTGTAGGCTTCCGTATTCGTGCACCGACGCGCACATGAGCTTAAAGCGTTTCCGGCTTGAACATGACCCACTCCGCGGCGCCTGTAACGCAGTCTTAAACATTCTGTACCCTTAACAAAACCTCTATTCTTTCCAACCCCGCGTATGCCAGTACGCCTTGCGTTCATCGATATGCTCATGACCAAGAAGCTGAGCCTAAGCTGCCGAGACATTCGTTCAGCATTCGGATGGAAAAGGTGTTACGGCTCGGATATCGATTCCAGCCATACGTTTCCCAGCTCGGATATCTGTACAATCGAGAGATAGCTGTCATTTCTACTTTCAAATCCCGGTGCATAAAGGATAGTTCTCCAAAGTCTCCACTGGGGCTCCACTACTGAAACCGTCATCCGCCCCTCCCCCTCACACCTATCCCCCGCATTTTCCGTCCTGCTTGACAAAACCCAGTGACTGTATGCTAACCAGGCTAACGGCCAGCGGTTCAATAATCCCCGAAACTAGCGCCCAGGTGGGGAATTTCGTCTCTGGTTTCTTTGAACGAGGCCAAGATATCTGTGTTACGCTGGAGGGCAAGATCCAGTGGCGTACTCTGTAATGTATCTCGTCTCGCCTAGCTTCGGGTAGCAATGAGTGGCGGGCGGAGAAAGAACGCAGAACACATATTAGAGAACGCCTTCAGCTATCGGTGTCAATCGCTTTGGGTCGGGAGGGTGTGCACGGGTTTTTCTGGCAGACAATGACAAATATCTATCTTAGAAATATTGTAGCGCAAGATTTCATACCTTGTTCTCCTTAAGATGTACACTGTGCACAGTTTCAGGGTTGAAGTTAGGGAGGCTTTGACTCATTTTAGTCGAGGCCTGTTCAAGGGAAATACTGAATCGAGATTCCCACAAAGTCTCCCTCACTAATGAAGGAAGCCAAGAGGCTGAGGGTAGATGGCTGAGAGTCTGAAGGTAGGCATTAGGCGCTGGGCGAAATGAGAAGGCCACTCGGCACAATTATTCAATGATAGAGATTGCGAATATCCCACTAAACTAAAACTGTTGTAAGAACAAACAAGGGAAATGAGACCAAATCCATCACTCCACTTATCCATCCATCTCTCTCTCTCAAAAAAGAAAGCAAATCCTATGAAAAACACATCCCTGAAAACAAACACAGGCGTAAGTACATAGCAGTAATGAAAAGAAGAAAATTCCATCTCTACATCACCCAAGGCGTGCGTCGTGTTCTCCCAAAAACGCCCGTTCAACACTCGCTCCAATGCACATGCCTCGGCTCGCCATGATGAAAAAGAAAGAAAAGAAAAGAAAAGAAAAGAAAAGAAAAGAAAAGAAAAGAGAAAGCAGAAAGCGTAGAGTATGTGTGTAAAGGAAAAATACCAATATCATCCTGACGAATGCAGAGTGAAGGGGAAATATGGAGAAGGTCGATGAATGATGGGAATGGAGCGAAGTGTCCTGTATACGGGATGAAGACCGCGCCCAGTCTCCATCCCTATTAACAGACAAAAAGTGCAAGTAAAACGAATAAATAACAACCGTTACAACTCCCACCCTAACCAAAGGCGAGGTCGATGTGACCATCTTGCCGTGAGGCATAGGACATGCTTGTGGATGAAGAACTCCAGAGACGCCAGAGATGATGAAGGTAGCTATATGGATCGAAGATATTATGCAAGGAGATGGGTATGTGGGTGCAATAGGAAGTGCAAACTTCATCCGTCTAGTGGCCAGCAGAGACGGCAGTGCCGAAGGGCATTGAAGTCGAGAGACGGTGCGTGCTGAATCCGTGTGACGAAGGGTAACAGTGGGAATAGTCGAAAGGTCCAAGGAAGAATTGAAGCTCTGTAGTGCGGAAAGGCACAAAGGGTCTTCGTCTCCAAAGCCCCGTACTGGCAGATACGCATACCTAATGCAAGAAGGGGTCTTATGGGTATCGTTTAGGGTATCATGAATTGGAAAGGTGTGGCAATGATGCAGACGACGCTCCGACTGCGACAGGTAGAGAGAAGATTGGTAGACCTCAACCCATATCCATGCTGTTGTATTCATCCTCCTCTTTCAGACTGAAGGAGCCCCCGCTACCGTTGCCTTGTTGGTTCATCCAGAACTGTGGTTGATTGTTGCTCGTGTTGGTATTCGAATTCGACCCGCTTCCTGTGCTCTGCATCCCTGGGCTGAGACTTTGGGGCGAGATCTGAGTGAGAGGCTCACCGGCAACGTTGGTGTGCTTCGGCACTCGCAATCCAGATCCTGGACCTCGGGAGTACTTGAATTTCTCAACGCCGTTCTTCTCAACAGCATCAGTCAGCTCAGTTCGCATCCGGCGATCTTCTTCGGTCTCCTCGGTGGACCACTCCTCACCAGTGACTTGGCGGAGGCGGTCTTTTAGTTCATCCACCTCTTCAATCTTCTTGTAAAGCAACCACATCAGATCGCGGGTCCAGCTGACAGCCCCATTAAGAATGTCGCCTTTGTTTGGGCCTTTGTCCTTCTCTTCGATGGGGAGTCCTTGGGTAATGTTGCCAGCGGCTCGTCTCCCGTTGCCACCAGCCAGCAAGGAAGTGGCTTGTGGTGGTGACATGCCGCTTGCAGCAAGAGTGGGTGAGATGGGTCCGTTGTTGTTGATATGTTTTCGAACCTTCTCATCTTCGAGGCGATGCTGAGGAACGAGTCGGGACAAGTCGTGAATTCGCTCATTAATATTATCCCGGCGACGACGCTCGACAAGATTGTGAGACTCGCGGCGTCGGCGCTTCTTAGCATCTTGCGTCTGTCCGATATCTACCTTGGTGGGCAGCGAAGCATGTTTTCCGGTGTGGAGGACTTCAGATATTTGCTGATGGTGGATGGCAGCTGCATGAGGAGACTGAGTAGGCGAGTCGATCCAGGAGTGAGCGCTGCCTGGTGTGTTGTCCCACTGGCCGGATACGCTCTTCTGGTGTCGGTGGACGCTTGTCATGATTGGTTGGGATGGGAAGCTACCAGAGTCAGGGGTACCAAGGTGCAGGCCTCCCAAGGCGGGTGTCTTTGGAGACATAGGGCTACGATTGTCGGATCCGTTTCGGTTCATCGAAGCTGGCATACGCTGTCGAGCTATCGTGCCATTGTGCATATTTGGAGGGAATCCCATTCGCTGCTGTGGTGCGGATTGATATTGTGAAAAGTCGAACTGCTGTGGTTGGACGAATGGACTTTGAATCGGGAGGTCATCGGGCGTATTCGAGTAGATTTGATTGATGTTATGGGGGTTTGCGGACACATGGCCAGCGTTGGCGTTGGCGTGGAAGAAGCCATCCTGCTGTCCTAAGTTGTCTTGGCCTCCAAAGCCATTGAATCCTTGGCCAGCCTGGTCCAAGGTACCCAGAGAATCGGCGAGTTCGTCATCTCCAAAATTGGCAGCGCCATGGATGTAGCTGTTGGAACCACCAAATTGTTGGTTCATGTTGAAGTTTGTCCCCATGGTGAGGTCAGATGGGTTGATTCCACCGACGTTCTCATGTGCAGTGCTAAATTGTTGCTGGTTCATGTTGAAACCGTTGTGTGTCATATATTGGTTAGGGCTGAACGTCAAGTCGTCAACCTCTTCTTTGATGTATGGTGCAGGCGAGCCGGTTCCGGCCATGCTGACACCGTTTCCAAAGAGATCAGTGTCTAAACTATCGTCAGAGTGTGAGTCCAACCGAAGGTCCAGCCTCGATAAGGTCTTCTGAGGAGAGTAGGAAGAGGGAGGTGTGAAGAGCGCGTCCGCTTGAGGGACAGTCAGTATGATGCTTTCACGCAGCATATTGGAAGAAGGAAGCATGGAAGAGGTAAAGGAAGGAAGGACATATGCAGGAAAGGTGGGTGTATGCAATATAAAGTGAAGGGGATGGAGGGCAGCGTCGATCAGAAGTGTACTCGAGTCGACGTCTCATGACATTCAGGAGACGGAGATGTGACGAGAGGGGGATACTTACTGGACACTGGCATAACTGGAGGTTGCAATAACCCTGGAATGTGGGTGTATGAGTCCGAGGTCCGGCGTTGGTCCCCGGTCTCAAGGATCTGAAACGATCGTCTTCGACCCGGCGGAGTGACTTTGGGATGCACTCTTTCAGGATTTCAAGGTTAAGTGCAGCACGAGACTAGTTCGTGACCCTATAAAGACCAGGAAAAGTGTTTGTCAGGATCCCTGCACAGGGACAATCGAAGGTAAGCTAGGCGCACTCGCTTCGGCGGCTTGATATCACTAGCAAAGCCGTCTGTGTCCTCGAGGGCAAGTGTGTTTGATCTGCATAAGAAGCGTTAGACCCGCATCTTCTGCACCAGCGCAGGGCCTCTGCACTTCACTATCAAGGAGGATTCGAAGCTCACCAGAAGCAAATGCTATCGCGGGCTATGGTGCTCGTACACTCTGCCCGGCGGCGCTGTGCTCCAACTAATGCTTGCGGAGAGAGCTGACTCTGGCTGTTCCGAGCCGTTGGGTATTGGAGAGTGGATTTGGATGGCGGGGTGAAACCGCAGGAAGGTCTATTCTAGGGAGACTTGGGGATATCAGTCCAAGCTGCTCGGTTGGGTCAGTAGCTCGTGGCTGTGCGTCTCGGAGTAGGACTGGAGGTAATATGTCAGTGACGGGCGTCCACAGGACTGGGATGCTCAGCAGTTCAGAGGTTGGTTGCAGATGTGTGGCGCACAAGTGAAAGTGGGCAGCTAGGCGAGCGACGGCGGGACAACAGCCGCACTGCACTTCGGCGTGGTGGGGACGATGGTACAGACACCAGAAAGAGCAAAACAGTTGGCACCGGGGGTCGCACAGTGCTGAGGCGTCCGTTTTGGATATTGTATGCGCGGGGAAGTGAAGTGTGCGGCGTAGGTGAAAGAACGAAGAGACGCTTGACTCACCTCAGAGCAGCGGTGGACAATCAGGGCGCAGACGCGCACACAGCGCAAACGCGGGCTTGTTCAAGGGGAATTGAGAGAGTAGTAGTAGTAGTAGTAGTAGTAGTAGCAGTTCGTGCTCCGGCTAGCCACTGGGGTTCACGGTGGCAGCAAACGAGACGAGGGGGTGGTTCGGCGGCGGCGTCGCTGGGTGACACGGGGTTGACTCTTGAGAGCAAAGTCAACACGAGGGTTATAGGACAGGATCCAGGCGAGGCAGCGGCGCAGTGCTTGTCCAGGCGCGCAAGTCAATGGGAAGGGGGGTGCAGATTGCGAGGCCTTTGTGCGCCCGGGTGGGTAAAATGCGGAATACTCAGAGGGGAAACAGCAGATATGGCGGGGGATAACTCCGCGTAGAGGTGGGTCGTTTGGCGCCAGCCGGGTCGAACAATGCGCTCGACCAGCAGCGGCGATGGTGATGTGCAAGTTTCCAGAAAGCGATCGCTGGGCGAGGGCAAGAGCGATCAGGTCGTCAGGAGAGGGGAGCGTCCGGAGAGTACGAGTAGCGAAGGGTGGGCGAGGGCAGATGTGGAAGGCCAGCAGGGAAGGCGGTCAGTGGCAGTGACAGCGACGAGAGGCCGAGAAGCGGGATAGCCAGGGTGTAGCGTTGGGCTTAGGGCCGCTGCCAAGGACGATGAGCGACGGCGAATGAGGATGCAGCCGTCGCGACGTCTGTTCTGCGGGGCGAGCGCCGGAGCTGAGCACAGAAGCGCAAAAGAAAACCCAGGCCGCTGTGAGCGACGATGGCTGGCTGCGGTGTCGGCACCGGGCTGTGGTGCGCACTGAAATCTCTGAGTCTCTGGGCGGTGGTGACGTAGGGCGCTGAGCAAGAGCGGCGGTCCCGGACGGAGTAGTGTAGTTACTGTGGTGGGATATGTATTTCTGTGGGAGCACTTCATTCGAGAAGCGAAGGACGACGAGAGGATTATAGGGCTATTGGTCGCGGAGGGAGGCGGAACTTCTTATTATACTTTTCCTGAGCGCGCGGCTCTCGCTCTCTCTCACCCTCGCCCGCCTCACCGTGGCTCATCAGTAATTATTCACTCGGCCATCACCGCAGGCCTCCATCATTGCTGCTGCCCACCCTCCACCCAGGCCTGCAGGGCTTGTTTCCGGGCAGGGCGGCCTCAAATGGTCATCCGCGGGCGCAGTGTATGAGAAGAAGGGAAAACGGAAGGTCCCAGGTCTCAGATTCTAGAAAGAAACGCGTGCGCGCATAGGCAGAGGGCGCGCAAGTGACTCATGAAGCTAGCAAACAGCGGCGGCATCAGCACCGCGAGCATCATCGAGGCCAGGTCGCGGCTGGTTTGCCTTGGCCGATCGCGAGCGTATCTGCTGCACCATACTGCTACGGTAATGGAGGTCGTCAAGGTCTGTCTGAGCATATGGGAGTCCGACCAGGCGGGTGCGCTACTCCCAGCCTAGTGTGCCAGGGATCGCAACAGCACTGCACCCCCAACCCGCGAGGGTCGCCATCATCTACTTCCAGAGTGTATTCACGCTCACAACAACCCCCCCCCTCCCCCCTCCCCCCTCCACCTCCACCATCGTTACCCTTTCAGTACACCACCCCTTCCTCCCCCTCAGCCCTCTCCATCCGTCGTCCTGTCCTCTCAGCCAATCACTCCTGCCACGGCCTCGCTGCCGCGCTCCCCAGCTCCTTCCTGCGCCGCGACGCTGTCCTCGTCCACGCCTGCCCGGCTCGGCAGCCAGAAGTGCAACACCTCGACCTAATCACAAGCCTAGCGCACCGGTCGCGCTATCTGAGACCCTGTCTGACATCCACCATTGGACGTCTCCCTCTTCAACCCGCAGAGGACGCTGTGGAGATCATCTGCACGAAATCCTCCGTCCCGTCGCGCAGACGTCTGCCTCCAGTCTCTTGTAGCCGGCGTTTATTGCCACCGCCCACTACTTTCCATCCGTCGTGCACACCACCACAAGCCACACCCTGGGGACTGGAAATCAGACTCACGCAACAACGCTTCGAGCAAGGGTCGACACACGGTAGCTACCCTAGTGCGGCACTCCAAGGCCCGGATATCTTTGTGTCGCCTGCTGCGGCTCCTCGAAAAGCTCATTTGGTACCGTACCGCCCCCCCAGCAGAGTCCACTAGTCCCTCTATACCATCTGCTATTACGGCGCAAGCAGGCTTTTCAGCTTCAGTGCGAGACTTCAAATACCTCGTGGCCTTGTTTTCGACTCAGCGGTGTTTGGGCAGAAAACATGGCGTCCACCTCGTTCCGAGACTCAATGAATTCGCTGGGATGGACCAGAAGAGACCCCGACGTCCCCGTGAACACCTCGTCCACCCCCATCTTGAGTAGGCTTCAGAGTCTGAATCCGTTCGCATCCGGTGGCTATGTTAGGCTGCCGACCAGTGAGAACCCGGGGGCCCCTCTTCCGGCCCCTTCGAGAAGAGAAGAAGAAGAAGGGTGGTTTGCGCGTAAGTTCATTTTCATAGTTAGTGGCAAAATCCATCCATCCATCCATCTTTCTGCCTTCAATAATGCATTTGCACCTGCGCGCACCTGTCTAAACGCCACTCAATGCGTGGTGAGGGCTGCGCACCGAGACTTCTACTTCTCTTAGCGCTATTGCCATGACGTCGCAAGCCCCTTCGTTGCGTTGACAGGACTCTTTGCCCCGTCAAGCTGCATGTCTGGAAAATCACTTTCCGACAAGCAAGAAATGGAGAAGAGGGAAACTGGTTACCCCATTCCACTATCTTGCATGCGGAATTCTAGCACGTCACATGGTCCGGCACTACAGCGATCGTCCGAGCGACAGTGACAGAAGGAGGTTCCTGCGTACATCGTCCAGGTTGCAGGAGGCTTGCATACCCGTTTACCGCCATTGTCAAGTCGAAGCTTTGCTAACAATTATGTCTGATAGTGAGCAGGTGGGATCGACTTCTAGTCTTTGGTGGACTCAACCTTGCAGCCTTGGCAATGTTTGCTGTCTGCTTCGCCTTGATGTTCACAGGCATTGGCATGCTTAAACCCAGGAAGTTTGCCATCTTGTAAGTCTTTGCGTTTCTTCACTCAATGCTTCGAGCAGAATGCGCCCCGCAGGCCGCCCAGGGCCACTCCAGGCAGAGAAGCAGTAGCACATACCACATAGGTGCACCAGCCTCTTCTACACTTTAATGCATTCTCGACCAAGGATGTTAGCCTTCTCCGTTCTGGACCCGCTGATGCCTCTGGATGAAAGACCGGCATGGTTGATTTGAAGGGTGTTGCCATTTGGTGTGCTACTTATGACCTCTCGAGCCACTTCAGATCGGCGTTAGACCCATTCTCGCGATCATGCGGGTGCTAGCCCGGGGCGCTGCAGAATGGTCTACCTAATTTCGACTCCTCTCGGCTCTGTCTCCACTCATCGCTTGAAGACTTTGGAGCTAATTACTTATTGCCTAATTCAGGTGGTCTATGGGAAGTCTACTTTTCCTAGCGTCTTGGGGCGTGTTGATGGGTCCCATTACATACAGTAAGCCTCCCTCTTTTGCTCCGACTTCCACACAATACTTGTTGCTAACTTGCGATCTTTCTTGCAGTGCAACATCTCATTTCGGGTGCGCGACTTCCATTCACGGCTGCTTACTTTGGCAGCATAGCCTTAACGCTCTACTTCAGTCTGTCTGTACGTTTAGCCCCCTTGCTCCTTGATCCCTGCAAGCATTTGAACCTTAAAGCATCCCGCGCAAATCCTAGCGCACTCCGTCCCCCACGCTAGTCTTATCGATTGTCGATTGCTCGTGTTCACTGACGACCCGTCCGCGTGATGCAGCTTCACAGCACCATCCTCACCTTTATCGCGTCCATCGCGCAGCTGGTTGCGCTTCTCTGGTATCTGGTTTCATACTTCCCCATGGGCTCCACAGGCCTGCGGTTTGCTGCGCGCTTCGGTGGAAACAGAGTCGCAGCCTGGATGAATGACTGAGGCCAGGCAGCAAAACCTGTACGAGTACTGCCGTGAAAGTGTGGCTGTGGGACAGAAGTAAAGTGGAGATTGGGCGACGCGCCGCGCGTCAAACAAACAAAGCTATCAACGACATCATGCTGCATCCAGCAAACACCCAATGCCAGGGGTTCCGAAACGGGACACCCCTAGTAATCAATGCATCACCTCATCATGCACGTTCGATTTCACGCCGTTCATTTCTCGTTTTTTATTGATCAGTGGCAACTTTAGCGGGATGCAGGGCTCCCAGACGCACACAAAGACCATCAGTTCCCTACCCATCACCAGCCTCATGATTCCGCTTCCCAACTTCCAGGCATCTAGATTCATGAAACTTACTGATAGCACTAACCTGACACTCAGGGTCCAAGGCAATTTTCTATCAAAGACAGCATCTGATGTGCCGGGTGCCCGTGATAGATATTGAAGCCATCATGATGTCTTACCTCAGCTTGGCGCATTCGTTCGGGCAAACTCGTGCGGATCCATGCCTCTCTTTCTCGCGTGGCTTTCCGAGCTCGTCCAGCCTTGGGTTTGGAGTGGCTGACTTGATTCCATCACGACCCATCCTCTTCGTTTCTCACCGATCGCGCCAAGTGAGGGCAGCAAATGCGCCCCGTTGATGAAGGTTCGGGCTCGCGTTATGACGGACAGCTTCCAAAGGCGCATTGCGCAGAGGCAGGGTGTATTAGCTCCGTTCGAAAATACTAGAAACGGTTTGATTTGATTTGGAAGTCCGAAAATGGTTCCCAAAGATGCAACGCACTATCACCCGGTATCAAAAGCCTGCACACCTCACATCTCGTTTCGTGATCATCTATATAACGATCGGACTAAGAGGTTGAAGCATGGGCAAGATGGAGGGTGTGGGACGCATAGACCTCATGATCTTGATTTCAGCCGGGCTTTGAGGACGCTTGGAAACGACTTTGCAGAAGATGGTGTTGTGCAAGGGTGGTCTACAAATTGCATTTCCCCGCACTGCAGGCGCAGGTGAGGCCGGGGTTGTTGTTGGAGCGAAACTGCTAGCGTCCAACGCCACCTTGAGCGTTCCCACGTGTTTGTTTACGCAAGCGGCAAGCCACAACCTGCTTCTGGTCGACCTGTCATCAACTGCATGACAGCAACACTGTGAACGCCTCTCTGGGCTTTTTTGTAGTCGTTCGCTATGGTACTCGCGGATATACTACGACCTCCGATGCTGCTCTCCGAGCTGAGAAACGAGAGGCGCGGAGGGAACCCGTTCCGAAAACAATATTCTATTGATTTGCTGACATTCTCCGTCGAATCAGAGCTGCTACCTTGGTTTGCGCAATGCGCGCGCGCAATCAAGTTATCCACAATATTACGACGAGAGGTTGTAAATATAGAAAGTGAGAACCGGTTCTCCGCATCATGGCGAGCGAACCACTTCTCGCCAAATGATGGAAGGTATTGGTTCTTGGGTAGGATAGGAGCGCAATACGATTGAAGTGTAACCAGAATCTCACCTGCATGGATCCAGATTCAAGAGTATGCGAGATGCGTACGAACATAGGCGAAGTCCGATGTTGGTTGTTTGGTTCTTGGGTGGGCAGGAAGGTTATACGAGAGTTTGGTGCGTGAGATTTGTCTAGCAGGGCTGAAAGAGAGTTATTGTGGCTTACGCTGCAATATTGAGGCCTCAGTCTGATCGGTGGGGGACCGTGTTGGATAGGTATATTTGCACATTTGTCTTGGCTGAATGCGGGGTTTGAGGTGCGACGGAACTTGCCTGGCTGACGGAAGTATTAGAAAGACATTCACTTCTACTCCACGTGTGTCCCTCGGCCCGACAGTTCTACCGACCCATTGCAGAGGTTGGTACATCGTGCGAGCCGTGGGTCTTTGCCTAATTCTGTCAATTTGTATACCCAAAATGATGTCTCGAGCGGAAGCTACCCCTCCAGGGCGACATCGGCAGTTGCATTTCCCCCAACTGCCATCTCCAACCGCGGAATTTTGGCGTCTCAGCATCTTCTTGCTTAACATCGGCACCATCAGCGATTGGATAGAGTCGAGATGCCTTTCCTCTTGTAGAATTCTAGACGTATTCAAACGTCCCATGTCACGAGAAGATCGAGTGAGAAGGCCCCACTCAAAGCTCCCCTCAAGTTTATGTAAATTGTGTCGCAGTATGTGGGGTCAAATCAAGCTCCGTTTCCAATCTTTTTAACGTCTTCTCACCATCATCAATCTTCATCCTTTCTACTCGCCAGTGCGTCAAGCAATATCGCCCTTATCCATCTGTGTATTACTCCAACCTTTTCCCGGGTTTTCCTTCAGCCTTAACGCGCAAACGATTTCCCAATTCAAGATGCCTGCTCAACTCGAGGACCCTACGGAGTACCAAAAAATCTTCCATTGGGCGGAGACTCAAAAGGATGGCACCATTCCCTCTTTCGCTACCAGAAAGAATGATCCGTATGAAGTAAGCTGACACCCAGGCTGGTTGAGACCCAATCATGCTGACATCCAATTGTAGTACCAACCGGGCTTCAATAACTTGTATGTCAGGGCTCCATAAGGCTGAATTGAGGAGAATGTGGAACACTAACACTGGTGTCCAAGCTTTGAATCAGAGGCAGTTCCAGGTGAGTGGAAGTTGCGTCAATGGCTCTGGAGTTTAATCTGACTACAATCCGCATTCTGTAGGAACTATCCCGAGAGGACAGAATAGCCCTCGATGCGTGAGATTCGGACTTTACGCGGAGCAGATGACCGCATCCGCGTTTGTCGCTCCGAGGCATCTCAATAAGAAAGCCTGGCTTTACAGGGCGCGACCTGCTGTTGCTCATCAGGGATTTGTCAGTCAACCCGATCTTTATTCTTCATCAGCCTTATGCTCAGGGGCAAGCGCGGATGTGGAAAAGTGATCCCGCCAAAAGCGCTTTTGGAATCCTCAGAATAAGACCTATTCTGTATCCAGAAACAGAACCCTGGCGACAGTCCTCCGCAACGGAACTCAACCGTTCCTTCCCGGCGTGATCCGGTCATCATGCAAACCAACATCAGTCAAGAGGAGGATAACTAAAAACTTAGCTGTTTCACTTCTCTCCCCATCTGGCCGCACCCCGCTCTCAAAGACATCAATTGCTGACCATCCTATCCCTCCCAGACCGAGCTCCCAGACAACACTGACACCGAATCCAATTTCCTCCCCATCAACCCACGTGTCCATCTCTCACCTACCCAACTCGCTTGGCTCCCCTTTGACATCCCAACCGATGGCGAAATTGACTTTGTTTCAGGACTCAAGACAATTGCTGGGTCTGGTGACCCTACGCTCCGAGAGGGCCTAGCTGTGCACACTTTCTTGGCGAACGCGAGTATGAAAAGAAGGGCAACGGTTAACTCGGATGGAGACTATCTAATTGTTCCGCAGCAGGGTGCGTTGGACATTCAAACTGAGTTTGGCATGTTGTATGTCCAGCCTGGGGAGATTTGTGTGGTGCAGAGGGGACAGAGATTTAAGGTGGATTTGCCGGATGGCCCTACCAGGGGGTATATTTTGGGTAAGTCATGGGATTTCGGTTCTTGTGGATGCCGAAAGGTAGGGCTTGCGCGTTCTCGATGGCTCAGAGATTGTCGGCGTGCAAGTCGAAACATGGCGTTTTCTATGCATCTTCCAAAGAGGAGACGAAGAACTACAATTGCTGGGTCTGGTCTATATTGGAAAAGAGAGCTTTTCATTCTGGGGGGGAGTACAATGCTCATACGCTAACAATTTGAAGAAATCTGGGGTTCAAATTTCGAACTCCCTGAACTCGGCCCACTCGGAGCCAACGGTCTCGCTAACGCCCGAGACTTCCTCCACCCAGTCGCCAAATACGAAATTGAAGTTGCGCCATGGGAGATCGTCTATAAACTCGGTGGCAAATTCTTTAAGAGCACCCAGAACCACTCCCCCTTTGACGTCGTAGCGTGGCACGGTAACTATGTGCCTTACAAATATGATCTTACCAAATTCGTCAACGTCGGTTCCATTTCCGTAGACCACATCGACCCCTCCATCTTCTGCGTTCTGACTGCGCGTTCCCGCGACCCGGCCTCTCCACTTGCTGATTTCCTCATTTTCTCCCCTCGATGGGATGTCGCTTCACACACGTACCGCCCACCGTACTACCACCGCAACGTCGCCTCAGAACTCATGGGTCTCATCTACGGTGAATACGCAGGTCGCTCAGACGAGTTCCAGCCCGGCGGCGTCAGTTTCGAATGCGGGATGGTGCCACACGGGGTCGCGTATGAAGAGTTCAAGGCGGCAAGCGCGCAGCCGCCGCCAGAGATGCAGATTTCAAAGGGAGCGATTGCGTTCATGATGGAGAGCTCCAGACCGTTTACCATCACCGAGTGGGCTTGGACGAGCAGCAAGAAACATGAACATGAACCGAAGATGTGGTAAGTACAGCCAATGTTTTATTGGGCGGTAGGGATTGGAACGCTAATGCATCGTGCAGGGATAATCTTGTGGATAACTTTAGTAAACATAAAGAGGAAGTAGATAGGATTCTGGCTGAGGGTGTGAAGGAGATTGGTATCTCGAACGGACACTAGGTAGCTAGTGAAAGTTTGACAACCATTCGCTGTCCTGCTGGAGCTGAAGTGGTGTTGTCTGTGCTAAAATTCTGGATGGTCCGATTGAATCTGGACCAAGTTGTTGGAGATCGCCAAGTAAATATCACCTAATTGAAGTTTTGAAACGAAATACGCATGAAGAGCCTGAGATAATTGCGAGTTGTTGCGGGGCACTTCTAATACCCCACCCCATGCGCCACACCGCCACAGCTGACCTCATCGCTAATTTCCTCAAGCCAAACACTGCCCCAAGACTTCGAGCTATGACTGTTGCTTGTTGAACGAAGCTGCGCCCTTTCTCATTCTCTCTTTCCAGCCGATACACTGTAAGGAGCGCCCTTTGTACCCTGCCTACCTCCTCCCGTCCTTTCAAGCCTCGTTGCTGCCTGCATGTTGGCATCCATTAAGGCTTTCGCGCCCCTCCATCAAGCCTGCATTCCGCATCCCGTTTACTTAGCTTCACTGTTGCGGGTACTCAGGCTCCAAACCCCTCCAATTAGGACAATACCGAAGCTAGTTTCCTTATTGCACTCGGCAGCCATCATGGCGCACCGCGAGACAGCACCGTATGCACCCCAGGACCCGCACGAGATCAAGACGCTCATCCAAGCTCTTGAAAGCCACAAAGGGAAGAAATTCAAAGGCGGGGGTGGCTTCTCCGTTAAGAAAGCTACGTTCAAGCTTCCAACTGGCCGGTCCGTCGACTCGTGGCGAATGAACGATTGGGACTATAAGAAGCCCAATCTCCCCACGTATGCTCGTGGTCTCTTCACATACAGGACAATGGATGGCAAGGACGAGATTGCTGTGCGGGGTTATGACAAGTTTTTCAACCATGGAGAGGTCAGGAAGACGGAGTGGAGGAATGTAGAGAGTCACACGCGAGGCCCGTATGAGCTGAGTGTGAAAGAGAATGGATGCATCATTTTCATTGCTGGCCTGGACGACGACACGTTACTGGTGTGCAGTAAGCATTCGACAGGTGCCCGGGGAGATGCAGAGCTGAGCCATGCCATTGCTGGAGAGCGGTGGGTCGACAGGCATTTGGCGCAGGTGGGAAAGTCAAAAGTGGATCTGGCCAGGACGCTCCGAGAAATGAATGCAACATTGGTTGCGGAGCTGTGCGACGATGAATTCGAAGAGCACGTTCTCGCGTACACCCCCGAGCAGGCTGGGCTGTATGTCCACGGTCTCAATCTAAATCTCCCAGACTTTGCGACCTACCCTGGACACCTAGTCGACAAGTTCGCCGATGAGTGGGGCATGAAGAAGGTCATATATGTTATGGAGGACGATGTCACCAAAGTGAAAGCTTTCCTGGATCAGGTCGCCGAGACTGGCAATTATGCTGGACGTGACACTGAGGGCTTCGTCATCCGATGCCAGGCTCGGGACTCCGACAATGCCCCGTGGCATGACTGGTTCTTCAAATATAAATTCGAGGAGCCGTACCTGATGTACCGACAGTGGCGAGAATGCACCAAGGCTATGATTGCTGGAAAGGCTCCGCGATACAAGAAGCACGAGAAGATCACCAAGGAATATTTGGACTTTGCCCGACGACAGTTTATTCAGCAACCTGGACTATCTAAGCTTTACAATATGAATCATGGCATCATCAAACTGCGTGACGATTTCCTAGCATGGCAGGGAACGACTGGCGCAGCTATTATTCGACAAGAGAGGGAAAATGGTGAGGTTTCCTCCAAGGACGCAACACGCAACATCGTTCTCGTCCCTGTTGCTACAATCGGCTGTGGAAAGACCACTCTGGCTCTCGCGCTGGTGAAATTGTTTGGCTGGGGCCACTTCCAAAACGACAACGTTACGGTCAAGAAAGGCCGCCCCCAAATCTTCGCCGATTCCGTCATGTCGTTGCTTGCCGCAAGCCCCGTTGTCATTGCCGATCGAAACAACCACCAGAAGCGTGAGCGAGATCAGCTCCTATGTGACATTTCCCGCGTGCTCCCAGACGCGCGCTTCGTAGCCCTGCATTACGTCCACGACCGCTCCAACTACGACAGCATCCGTCAAGCAACTCGCCACCGCATCTTCGCTCGTGGCGATAACCATCAAACGATTCAGGCTGGTTCAAAGAGCCAGGATGAGATCCTCGAGATCATGGAGGGATTCATGCATCGCTTTCAACCAATTGATACGTCGGACTCTCCCGATGATGGGTTTGATCTGGTCATTGACCTCGACCCTACGATCGACTCCCGAGAGAATCTCGAAGTCATCGTCAGTAAAATGTCTGAGACATACCCAAAGCTGTTCCAAGGCGAAATGCCAAATGACACTGACCTCGACGCTGCCATCGACTGGGCTATGAACGACTACAAACCCGACCTCAAAATGGATCTCTCCCGCGGTCGCAATCAGCCCCAATCCCAATCCCAGTACCAGAACAAGCGCCATACCCAAAATCAACCCCAATCTTCCCAAGATCATAAACCAAAAAAAGCCCCCAAAATGGAGTACTTCTCCGTGCGCCTAAACACGCAACGTATAAAATCTATCCTCGACTCTAGCTTCCGCGACACCGATGCCCAGACATCACGTTTCTACCGCCAGTTGACACAAGCCAGGCGCGTGCAGCCGGAATTCCACGTCACGCTTATCCATCGCGCAGCAGTGGCCGAGGCCGGGAATATGGGGTATTGGGAGAAGTTGGTGGTGCTACATGATGCCATCATGCAGCAGACAAACCTAAACAGCTCGCCCAGCTGGGAACCCGAACTCGGGAAATGCAGCGTCCAACTCGAGCGTATCGTCTGGGATGACAAGATTATGTGTTTCGTAGTTCGGCTCAACGGCTCTGCTATCGTGCCTCCGGCTATTACGACAAGTTCGGCTGAGGGGGCGGAGTTGGAAATGCAGGAGATACCGTTCCAGAGTGTGAATCCGGTGGCTCATGTGACGGTCGGGACGGCGAATCAGGGGATTAAACCGAAGGAGAGTAATGATTTGCTTCAGCGGTGGTTGCAGGGGGGCAGTGGAGAAGGGACAGGGGTCAGGGAGTTGGTGGTTAAGGGGAGCATAGTGCTTGAGGGGAGTGTTAGGGGGGTTTTGGGGAGGATGAATAGATGATGATGGGGAGAGTTGGGGTTTGGGTTGGGTGGGATGAATGTGGGCGAGGGAGGGATAGGAGGCGGTACTATTAGCGTTAGCGTGGATGGAATAATGGCCAGGAAGGACATTTAGCATTGAACTGTAATCATTACGGAAGATGAAGTCTAGAAAGACGATGGCAATTGAGATAGAGCGAGATGGCCAGGATTTTGCACGCAACTCCCAAAACAAGAAGAGGGTTATTAGTTTAGAGCCAGCACTCATCATCTCATCTCATCCTAACCCAGCTCATCTCAGCTCAGATATCAAGCTAACTTGACGCAACAAAATGCATGACCGATATATTAGGCGGTTTAGCCAGTGAGCAACGATTATAGATAGGCTAACATATGGGAAGGCTCGTAGCCTCTACTCACTTGCGCACATTGACTTACTATGACGTTTATATCAGAAAGAGATGAACGGAATGGAGCTTGAGCACTAGTGTACCCAATCCCCAGACCTAGGCTAGCTTTAACTTAAGCATTGCCTCTGCCAATGTTTGTGGGCTCAAGTTTTGAATTATATGTTCCACTATATGCATGCATGTGATCCAATCCGATCCAATCATACAAACCGTCAATCATCCAATTATTCCAGACCCGCCTCCAAGATCAAGATAGAAATTAAAGTTTAAAAATCCCCATCACAAATGCGTGCAGCAGCAGCAGTCAAGTTCGAGTCCTTCCTCCAAAGCGCAAACGGCTTGATAAGCCAATACTCCCTCACCCTAGAGAGTGAAACAATTCCAAATTCGTCTCAACAGTCTAGAAGTCTCTCCTGAAGAAAGGCTCCGGCTGCTCCCCAGCTTCAGATTCGGGTTTCTCCCTTTCGTCATCTCGCTATTGTCTATATAGCTTTCTTCTTTATGCATGGGTATGGGAATTTGTCATCCCTCCCCTAACTTTCATATGCGCGCGGCTTGAAATTGGCTGGCTACTACGGTTTAGAAACTGTGAGTGCAATTTTACGGTACGTTGACTAGGCATAGGCTTCACGGCAGGTTCGGAAGGACTTGAGCTAACAGAAATAGGAGGCAACTTTGCAGATTTGCAGCTACTGTCTGCAAAGATTCCTCTCTGAAGTGAGAGACGGAGGTTATCTAGATTTAAGGATAGTATTGTGTGTTTATGTGATCTGGTGAGAATATCTTTTGTGGCCGTTACTAGAAACCGGAAACTCTAAATTTGTGCTCAAACACGAAGAATTTTAGGTGGAAAGAGAGTTTAGGGAGAAGAAAATTAACGTAAGCTCGAGGCACTTTGTATCTATTTTCGTAGATTCAGCGGTCCCAACTAACGTGCGGGAATCCCCAGCTCATTCAGCCCACAGCACAACCATGCGCCCATCCCCTCAAACCCATCCCCCGCCTCTCCATCCACTTACGATCTACCCCCTACCTCTCTTCCAAGACCCTCGTCCAATCAAACTTTGCCCATCTCCCCCTAAATCCCTCCACCCTCCTGTCTCCACCCCCCTCCCACCTCCCCTGCCTCCTCACAACCTCCATTCCAACATCCAACATTCCTCCCAGCACCTCCCTTGCAAACAAATCGCTCTTTGGCCACTTTCTCTCATCCTCAACCACATGACCCATCCCACCATCCAGTTCAAACCACACATGAAAATACGGCATTTCCTTTGCCAAGCTTTTCCGAAACGCCGCTCGCCCTAAACCCCCGGATTTCGCCGCTTTGAGCGTGTCGATGATGGGCTTGTGTTGGGACCACTGTTCGTCGGATTCGAGAATGGCTTCGCGGAAATACGCGGGCGCGGTATCACCGAATTTGTACGGGATAGGTACCGCGTTCATAGCAGCATGCAATTGTCGTTGGGGGGCGGCTGCGTTTTCGTAGAAGATGACCGCCCGGCCTTGGGAATGATACATGCGGGTTAGTGATTTCATGAAATTGCGGACTTCTTCCCATTCGTCGTCGTCGCAGGCGAGGAGGTTGGGGTGGTGAGCGATGGGCGTTATTACGGCGCCGCCGGGGGAGAGCTCGGGAGTGGTGGGGAGGGTGAGGTAGACACGGGTGCCGAGGGAGATAATAGGGGCGAGGGGGGTTTGCGGAGGGGATTTGTCTTCGTGGTGGCAGAGGGGACAGGAGTCAAGGATGCGGGAAGTGCGTTGGAACGAGGCGATGGCATTGCTACGCAGGTTAATAGTGGATTTGGGCGCGCGCGCCGCGAGTTTGCTAGCATTTTCGTCGAGGTAGTCGAGGTCGTTCTGGAGAAGTACATCGTTAGCATTTATTTCGGGGGGAGTTAGAGTGGACGGTTAGAACTTACATCAAACTTCGCATCCTTCGCAATTTTTTCCGCTAGCAGAAGGCCTTCGCCTCCAGCTTGCCCCTTAGTGCGCCTTTCCTGCCGGACCATATCCTCGATGCTCATGTCCTCATTCTCAACAACAAGGCCTCGCTCACGGCCTCGTTTGTTAGTCAATTCCTTAACTTCCCCCTGCCGACCTCCCGCCAGCATGCGGTTGTCCATGGCACTGAGAACTACCACATCCGGCTCTTTCTGGCTCGCAAAGCCCGCAGCAGCAGCCTTATACTCCTCTTCAAGCTGGGCCGCATTCGCTGCTCCCTTCATCTTCGCCTTCATCATCTGCGCTTTAAGCTTATTCAGCGCAGTCTGATCAAGCCTCGTCGTAGTAGCCGTAGGCCAAGGATCAGGGACGATCTCGCCCTGCGGAGGATCTAAATCATCGTTGTCCCTTGGCTGCCTGTGGATGGCAGCACTAAGCTTCCTCTCCTCAAACAGCTCTCCCGAAGGTTTATATTTCCCAACATAACCCTTCCCATACATCTTCCTCCGATCAACCTCTATTTCCTCTTCCCTAGCATCATCAAAATCCCGAAGATCGCCATAGCGCTCCAATGCGACATCTTCTACCGACCTCCCCGTCTCTTTCGCGCCGTTATACACACCCTTGAGCTTCATCATTCGCCATTGAGACCCCGCGTCTCCAAAGGTATACCCAACATCTCGTTGCGCGGGCTCGGCTTTGTCTTCACCCTCCGCATCATCAGCATCTTTGAAACGGTGATTCAACTCGGCTTGATGCATTCGAAATTGCGGTTTATCAGAGACCACCGATGCTCGCACATACGTTGACTTATCCTCTTTTTTCTTCCGCTGCACATAATCTACACCTAACGAGGAAGGTGCTTCCATCCACGAATCCCGCGTCAGATTCGCGTCGGCGGCCTCGGCGAGCTGGTGGTCGAGAATATCGTCATCTGGCGGTCCCATTTCCTCCTTCTCTAGCACGGCGTCGTCATCGCTAGAAGATGGAGAGTCGTCATCTACCTCACGTAGCGACTTGCGCTTGCGACCTATGCGGTCTTCGAGGTCGCTGGAGGAAGACCGAGTGCGTCTGTCCTCTCCCCTGTGCTTCCGGCCTGAGCGCTGCTGTGAATCTTCATCTCGATTTTTTTCGCCCCATTTCCGCCGCGCGCGCTCTTCGGATGTTTCTCGATGGTGGCGCGACCGTTTATGTCGGTGTCGTTCATCTTTGTCGTCCTCGTGGCGGTGATGGCGTGAGGAATGGTGTCGGTGCTTGTTGTCTACATCCTAGGATAACGTAAGCTTCATATCTCCTTAACGAGACATGCAATTTGAGGTGCTGAATTGAAAATATACCTTCGACCGATGATGGTGTCGATGTTCCCTCCCGCGACTACGACTTCTGTCCCTCTTCTTCCTCTCTTCTTTCGCCTTGCTGTCCGCGAGGTCTTTTTCGAAATCTTCGAGACCCATTCTCACGGAATCAATGCGCACTCTCTGATAGGAAAGCGAGAGAGTGGAGGTGGGAACAGTCTTCGTTGTTGTTTTGCACTGCAGAATAGGCTGGGTGAAGTGAGGTTGGAGCTTGGTGCGTGGTCGGAGCTTTTTGACATCATTCACCGATCCGAGTGATGACCAACCCCGCCAAAGAATTTCTCAGACATTCACGCATGCCTTGCGCCCCAGCTTCTCTCACAGCATCCCTCCACTCTCACTCTCCAGATTCTAGAGAATCTAGGCTCTCTTGGCTCGCAGACTATGAGTACATAACCTCCGACGCTCTCCCATTCTCTACCTCCACTTTAAGCTCTCTCACAACCTCCGACACATCCACCCACCACCATCATGTCGGCCTCACTGCCTAAAGTCCCCCCAGGTGCTCCCACCTCCACCCCCGTCGCCATCGTTTGCATTGGCATGGCCGGCTCGGGCAAGACAACCTTCATGCAACGCCTGGTCTCACACCTCTACACACACCCCGACCCCACCGACCCCATCCCCACCGTCTCCAAAACTCCCTCCACCCCGCCCTACATCCTCAACCTCGACCCGGCGGTTCACCACATCCCCTTCACCCCCAACATCGATATCCGCGACTCCGTAAACTACAAAGAAGTCATGAAACAATTTAACCTCGGGCCAAACGGCGGGATCCTTACCAGTTTGAATCTATTCAGTACGAAGATTGATCAAGTTATTGCATTGTTGGAGAAGCGGACTAGCCCGCCGCCGGTGGTGCCGGTGGTGGAACAGAGTACTGTGGAGTTTATGACCGGGAAGGGGAAGGCGGCTGCACAGTCGCCCCCCGGTCAGGGGCAGGGACAGACTCAGCAGGTGAAACATATACTCATCGATACGCCCGGCCAGATTGAAGTCTTCGTGTGGTCAGCCAGCGGCGAGATCCTATTATCCAGTCTCGCGAGCACATTCCCGACGGTAATCGCGTATATCATAGACACGCCACGTACAACGAGCACATCGACATTCATGTCAAATATGCTCTACGCATGCTCTATCCTCTACAAAACAAAACTCCCTATGATCCTCGTCTTCAACAAAACCGATGCCCAGAACGCTGATTTCGCAAAAGAATGGATGACAGATTTCGAGGCTTTTCAAGACGCTCTCCGGAATGAGGAGGAAGGCGGGAGTTTTGGTGGGGAAGGAAGTGCGGTTGGTGGTGGGAGCGGGTATATGGGGAGTTTGTTGAACAGCATGTCGCTCGTGCTGGACGAGTTCTACAAACATCTGAGCGTTGTGGGTGTTAGTGCTATGACAGGTGACGGCATGGATGAGTTCTTCAAGAGTGTGCAGGAGAAGAAGGAAGAGTTTGAGCGAGACTACAAGCCCGAGCTCGAGCGCCGAAAGAAGGAGCGTGAGAATGCTAAAGTTGCTACCAGGGAGAAGGAACTGGGCAGGCTAATGAAGGACATGAAAGTTGGTGGCACCAGCAAACCGAAGAAGGGCCCGCGGAAAGAGGAACCAGAGACCGTTAGCGAAGCCGAAGACACAGATGAGGAAGGCATGCAGGTCGACGACGAAGACTCAGACGACTCAGCCTACGGTACAGAAGGCGGGCTCGAGGCCCGGTACAAGCAGGCGTTGAAAGACAGTCGAGGTGACGAGGGAGGTCCTTCGGGAGACGATTTCAGCTTCGCAAGGTATATGCATAAGGCTAATCTCGGCTGAAGAGTAGCCAAGACGAGCGGGTTAGTTGTCAGGTCAAACCATCTTTCCGTGCTTTGCTCCATTTCTGATTCCTAGTTCTCTCGGGAAGAATATGTGCGGATGTGGTTAGTGTTGAGTTGAGTTGAAGGTTGGTTACAGGGCAGGGTAGACCACAGCGTTAACGTAGTGGCAGATTGCCACTTTCATTTGGCTTCCGGAATGTTTTCCAAGTCAAGCCGGCTGTCTCGCGCGAACCACGAAAGCGTGCTCAGGTGTGGTATATGGGAACCCGGTAAACCCGAAATGGGGCCGTTCACGAGAATGGAGGCCTGTGGCAGAGCCTGTACTACCTCGAGTCATGTTTTAGACACAACATAGAGGAGTCGAAAGTGTAGAAAAGCAGCAAGAAGGGGCTGATGTGTAGGTAGGAAGGTAGCACAGAACCGGATTTGATATGACAGAGAGAGCCAACGGATTGGCGATCCTAGCTATCCCTTTCTCAGCACTCTTTTTCGTTTCAGGCTTTCTCGCTTTCTTTAGACTCAGTCGGTAGCATGAGTTCTGCACGCTCTGACTGAAAGGACCGTGAGGTCGGCTTTGCACGACGAACGAACCTGGTCATGCATATTAGAACCAATCACTGACAGCCGTTGAGGCCGTGCTGTTGCGGATACATACATAGAGACATACTTGCAGCTAGCTAAGAACCCTTCATCCCTGCTTCGTTGTCGCTTCTCGATTTCGAGAACTCGTCTTTCGTGGACACTACACTGGCGATCCTCTGCACAAAAGGCAATGGCCTGCTTCAGCCACTGTTTCGCTAGTCATGCTGCGCTCCTGAACGAACGCTGGAGCTACAGCATTGCCCCTCGGGAGCGCAGAAAGGAAACGATAGACCCACAACCCACAGCAGGTTGAGCCCCTCCTTTGAACATGCGAAAATCGTACGTTGATGCCCGCTGCTTTTGAGGAAGCGAAAGCCTGAGCGCTGTATCCGAGAATTTTCGTCTCCTTGTGAGACCGTCCGATGTTGCACATTAGCCCCGCTTTTGGCGTAAAGCAGCACACATGGCGTTTTGGTGCGACAGGTGAGGTTGGACGGAGAGCGCGAGGAGATGTGAATCTAGGTTGTAGGAAGTTAAATTCAGGGGGCAATGTCTTGTTTCTAAGTCGAATTTGTGTTATCATTTTGGCCGTACTGAGTATGAAAGAGAAACGAGGTTTCGAGGTGACTCAGTCCACCTATATCGGAATGACAGATCGGAAGTCTCCCGATACTCGAGCCCTTCGTTAATCTAATCCACAGAACCTTGCGCAAACGACCAGGTACGGGGAACCGGGGAGCCATCAGAGAATTCGCAATTCTGAAACATGACCTGCCTGCCGCTCCCGATCGTTTCCCCGCATGCTGTCTTACCTATTTCTAGATCTGCGGGCAGATACACGGCGTGCCACAGCAGTACAGCCATTCTGCAACGCTTCTTTCCCCTCCAGGCCAAGAGAGGCTTAGGGAAACGAACGAAAAGAAAGGATAGACAGATCCCACAAGCAGGGACAGGGTCGCTTGCGGCTTCAAGCCTAAACCCGAGTATTCAAGTCCGCCAGAGTGGTCGAATGCGTGCCCGTTGCGTTGCAAATGCAAATGCAAATGCAAATGCAAATGCGAATGCGTGATGCAGGGGATAGAGACTGTGTCCCAAAACAGAATGAGAAGTGGTGTCTCTGAAGGTGCAAGCGAAAACTGAAGTGCGGGGAAATTAGAGACAAGACGGCCTGAAGTCTGGAAGAGGCGTCCTTTGGCAAGAAAGAATGAGGTTCAAAGTATGTAGTCAGAAATGAGAACGGAAAAAAAGATCAGCCTCAGTAATGCAGGTGAGCCAAAGCTTGTGTCCCTGAAGCTCTCAACAGTCATGACCCTACGCTGTGCGGCGCCCGAGACGACAGTAGATGATTTTTTTTATCGAATGGTACTTTCCGCAGAGCGAGCTTTGACAGGGAAGCTCCCCATGGCGAAACGCACAAAGTCGGGTTTTGGTGTTTTAGTGCCCCAACAACCGTTTGCAAGAAAAAGGGTGTGAGTGCATTTTAGCAGTGTTTGCATGTGCCCAGACCCCTTGAACGTAGGTAGCCTACATTCATTAGCATATGGATAGGCTGACAGAGGCATGAGGCGGTGTTTGCAGACGGAATTGTGAGCAGCTCATCGTCGGCACCCCGCATCAACTTCCACTACTGAGGCGCCAAAAGCGGAAACGGCCACGATGGCACTTTCCACGCCCGGTTCTATAATATCTGGTGAAGAGTTGGCTTCAACGAAATGACGGTCGGTTCCTGTTAGGGGTTCAGCTTTCTGAACAAGCATCATCTCATTAAAGCCACACTGGAAGTCGATGATGCCAATCAGCCATAGCGGTCTCAACTCCTCCCGTCAGGCCTGCCAGAAGAGGGCTCACCATGCTCAGGGCTACACTAGCAACGCAGGGACCCTACCTTAATTTACTGGTACAAACTGCCAGACGACCAAGCTCACGTTCGTAAGGTTCACGCCTGCGGATGCCGTTGCCTAGCCATGCCTGTTTGATGTCCTCCCGTCTGAGAACTTCGGCTGGCTGGCTGCATCTTGATACGAGCCGCTGTGTGTCGTTGTCTGAAGGAAGCGAAATCCAAGAATCAACGTTTATCCTAGAAAGCGAAGTGAAAGGACATGGCGCTCCCGACAGATGTATGTAGAGGGACAGGATAAAGATCCACGGTTGGCGGACGGTACATTGGCGTTAGAGTGTCCATCTAACACCATGTGATAGTTTCGGCGCAGAGGCGAGAATAGGTAGCGTCCTCTCCTGAACACAACTGCAAAATCAGGAGGCTGGGTGCCGGAAGCCGTAATCTAAGCATTCTATGGTGTGGGACGATGAGCAGTCAGCTTTAAGGGTTCTGGGTCCACTTTCCGATTCCTCCTCAATTCGAGTAATGGGTTGCAGAAAGTGTTGGGACGAGATGAGATTGTTCAGAAACTTTCCAGTAAAGTCAGGGTCACACTGGAGAGCGTCACAGATAAGGTGAAACAAATTGAGATTATCAACGGTGTTTGTCATTGCTGAGAACGGCCCAGATGGATAGACCCGACGGACCATATCTCCCATCTTCCCTCTCGAACTTTTGTAGATTGTAACGAGATAAGAAAACCAAAACTGTGCACCCTCAGCCAGGGCGGGGTATATCCATGTTTGCCCAATATTCTGATCCGATCATTACCCCTGGCTCATTGACGCGTTCTCCTGAGCATTAAGTCCCTCGCCGTAATAACACCTAGCTACTGGTGAGAGATTACCGACGCTAGAAAGGGTGAAAAGAAAATTCGCTTTCGCTGGATCAAAAGGGAACAGGTACAAAATTGGCTGGAGCCAACCGTGGGGTAATACATTGTAGAAGTGAAGAGGACCCCTAAATGTACGGCAAAGCGCCGAAACCCCAAGTGAACACCTCGTCCGAATCGTAGCCATGACGGCATGCGTCTATTACTCGCATACGACTTTTGATAATGGAACATGTACTTCGTAGCCAACGGGCGCCTCGCTCGAAGATTGACCTTTTTCGATAAAGTCGGAGGGGCGTACCATAGTGTCATAGAGTAAGAAATCGTTAGAATCTATCCGAGATAACGAGTGGAACATCTCATCGCTAAAAAGAATACTTGGCGCTTATTGCTCGAACTTCCGCTTCTCACCACTTGCTGCAATGGCTAGAGCATCTAAACCATACGAGGACCCAATAGAATAATTGTGCTTCATGGAGAACGCGGCGGGGTCAGGGTATAGCGATCGCTGGGAGTATTCTGCGCTGAAGGAATCGACGGCCTGCACAGCTGGTGCAATCGCGAAGTTTGAGTTTGATGGGCTGATGGGGAGAGCGGGGTCCACCATAGAAAGCGAGGAGAGGGATGGCATGGCGGAGAATTGGATTGGGGCCGGTTTGGGTCGCTTCGCCGGCTGCTTAGCCTTCTTCGCGCGGTCTTCACCACCCTTAGATGCATTGCGCCCGCTTTGGTGTGTTCGGCGGTGCTGCTCCATGTTGTCCTTGCGGGTGAAAGCCTTGTTGCATTCAGGACAAAAGGCGTCTTTCTTGCCGGTGTGCTTCTTCGCATGTCGGGCGGCATGGCCTGAGGTGGTGAAGTAGTCGTTGCAATTATACTGCTTCGCCATCGGACATGGGTAGCTGTTCTTCTTGGATCGCGGATTTGCTGACGCTGACGTTGTTCGGCTTTCGGCATCCTGCTGCGGTCTGAAGTAAGCAGTTTGGGGCACGTTGGTGGCATGGTAAGGCAAGGATCCCGAAGCCTGCGGACAAGGTGGATAGGCCGAATTCATAGCTTTTTGAGGCGAAAAAATGGTTGCTTGCGCAAAGACTGGAGAGGCCATGTTATGGACTGAAAGACTTTCAAAGCTAAAATCTGGCGTAATAGGCGAAGGCGACTGCATGCTGGTCGAATCTGACGAGTCACTTCGCACCAGTTGAGGCGTTGGCGGGGATCCGACTGGTGAGGACGTGTAGCTAGAGGTTCGAGACCGGAGGGATGGAGTATATGAGGGTAGGCGAACAGGCTGGAGTGAAGGCTCCGGATTATCGTTTAAGAGCGAAATTCGGCGGCCAGAAGAGTTCTTTCCGTCCATGATTCCTCGGTGGTTGCAACCCAGACACGCGCCGGTGAAAGGATGCAGCCAGGTTCTCCGGTGGTAAAAAACTACAGCGAGAAGCGTAAAATAGGAAAGAGCGTGAGCTGAGCTGAGCCTGCAAGAACACGTGAAAGCGGAAACGCGTAATCGGGAAAGCTGCTATGGGCGATAGGGTGCTCTATCTGTAGGAGGTAGCAGCGAGCTGCAGCAGAGAGACTGGAGGCGAAGAGCGGAATTCCTATCCGAGGGTGATAGCAACAGTGGTGAAGACGAAAGAGCGTGGGTATGACGCCAGAGAATATAATGGGCGGCAGGAGGGGATGCAATTTTGATTTGGGTGATCGCACAGGGGAGGGCAGGAAGAGCGGGTCATGATGGAAGCTTTATGAGGAACGCGGCAGGGACGAGGCCCATCCGGCGGCGAGCATTCATCCAAGGAGTGTAGTTTGGCCCTTCGCAGGGTTGGAGCTACCGGGGTCAGGGCTGATGCGAATTCGATGCACAATCCCATCTCTGCTGCGCACCGGCCCTAAAGTGAATGCCATGCGGAACCAGGTCGCTAGCGCCGTTCCGCCTTGGTTCCAGTGTTCCACACGTCAAGCCGCTGCAAAAGTCGCCTGCTGTGCAATCGACGTCGTGGACTTCCGGGAACGGCATGGCTTGCTGGAGCATCTGCTGTTGAGTGGGCACACAATCCGCGCCCTCGCAGCAGGCAGATTTAGGGCTCATCCTCCAGCACATCCAGCATAACCAGCACAATCGCGGCGAAAAGGCCGACACATTACCACTACCTCTGCTCAATTTCAGCGGAGAGGCTCCGTCCAGCACCAGTCGGCCGATGGCGCGGATCTGACGCCGCCAAGCAAGTGCACTGATCGATCGATCACAGCTGTAAAAATAATATTTCCAGGGAGGAATGTAACAACAACGGCAGTCCATGCTAGCTGCAATTACCGTTTGCCTCAGCAATTAGCGCCCAGAAGCTGCCAGCTCACGCTCACGCGCCCTCGTTTGGCCCCCGAGCATTTCGCTTTACGCCTGCTCAAGTGTGTAGCACTTTTTCCTTCCAGGCTAGTCGTGCAGGACGGTGTGGTGAATGAAGGACTGCGCTCACGCGGCATGGCGCGGGCTTACTCCGGTGCACGATCACACTCTGCCGTTTCTCAAGGAAATACAAGTTTTCCCCGGGCGGTAGTGCGACTCTTCGGTTGACAGTCACGGCGGCAGGGTCTGCATTTTTGCGGGCATCGTGGAGAATGACAGACCGTTGCGATGATTGATGTGATCTGGTGGACTCGAGTCGGCAGGGGTCTTGGGTGCCTTACCGTGTCAAGACTAGCGGTCCATTTTACATCCTCACCAACGATCGAGAAACCGCTAGACGATCTAGATTTTGCTGTCGATTTCAACGTCACAGTCACGACATGTTTTCATCAGCCACATCCTCGTCGCTCGTTGCGCCTTCTCCCCTTCCCCTTCGCGGCTTCTATGAAGCAAGCGTCCCTTCCTGGTTTGGGCTCGTTCCCATTTTTACTAGCAGCCCAACCGCCGTCAAGATGATCTGAGATCGAAAAGCAGTCGTTCTGATTGTCAACCCTGGCGAAGGTTAATTGCTGCGTGCCGCCTTTTGCACCGTGCGGAACCCTTCTTCTGGCCATTCTTTTCACTCTGATCGCGATCACAGTCAGGCCAGGGCGACCCTCTCTGACCAAGACGCCATTTTACGCGTTTCATGCAGGGCAATACAGCACCGAGTACCAGCTATCCCTCTTTTTTTCCCCAAGCCACCAAGTCAACTAGCATTGCTTAGATTCCACTTGGAGTTTAAGGGAATGACGTGGGTGGCTCTTCGAATCATCGCGCAAGGAGCCTCCCCGAGATTCTGGGTGCTCTCTTTCCCAATATGGAATTGCACGAGAGGCGAGCTACCGCCGGCGGCAATCCAGATGGCCAACCATGTCGCCTTACCTTTCTCCGTTAATTATTAAAGCCCCCATTCAATCCTGATTTCCTTCTTCCAAATTCTTCTCCGGGATGAAAGGCGCGCGTCAAGCCTTGAAGTTCTACTATGGTGTTGAACAGAGGGCGTTGAGGCTTTCAGCACCACCGCATTTAGACGCCCGGAAGCTGTCTGTGGCTCCATACTCGTTGCAAGCTCTCTCCGCTTGACCACGTGGAAGGTGTCAGCCTGCAGCGGAACCTTTTTGCATGAACTGGACGAACGTGGTAGCGCAGGCGAGGACGGCACATTGAGCTCCAGCGCAACCACCTTCACGATGTTTGCCTACTCATTCAGCAAATTAGCGGCAACGATCATCATTATCCCATCTTCGGCGTGGCGTGGCTTTAGGCACATCATGCTAACAGTCCAGCGAGAGACGCCATGTACCGGCGTTGAAAGCAGCTCCTTAGCCCCGTCACCAAGTTGTCCCGACAGCGCGGTTCCAGGACCAGATCTACCCGCCAATAAGCCATCCTGCCTCTGAAAGGGTGCCGCAATATTCGTCTATCGGAAGCCCGTTACAGCTGTTGTGGAACGGAGACTGGACCCTTAAAGGACTTGCTCTATGCGTAGATATTATCTCTATAGAGTGCCTTCATGAAAAAGCTCAGGCTTACCTTCATGAACCGTTAGTCTTTTACCCCTACCACGTTCGTATGAGCGGAGTCAGTCCTCATTCCTATGGTACTCTGACTTGACACAATTTTTGTCCGCCGGAACCAAGACTTCATGCCGGCAAAATGAGGACACCTTCTCACCGACCACTGGTTACAAACACCTGTCCTCGATGCTAAGGTTTTCCAATAGCATTCTCAGCCTTTAGCTAAGATTCCAGCTTATGAATAAGATTTAGAGATTGGATACTCGACACTTCTGCTGCATGACCGTTCGCAACGGCTAGTTTAGGGGATTCCTTATTGATTGTTGAACAAGTTTCAAGTTGCACACATATGACAGGAAAGACTCACAGTTTTCGGCCGCGTCGTCGCTGAGGGACCCTGTGTCGTAGTTCCCAAAGGTGACCGACCATCGACATGCTATTCAGACCTAGCATTGGGCTGACTCGCTTACCTTTCCTTACAGTTGAAATGCATCGTCTAGGTTTCGGAGAGCTATCAATGGTTTCGAGGCTAACCTTCCGAAGAGCCATAACTGTCGCGGCATCCAAATGGGTATGTATCCGAGCCACATCCACTTCATGATATCTGCAGGATTCTAGACTTCCTGTAGCAAAGCTAATGGCCGGTGAGTGAGAGACTTGCAAACTCGGTTACAGACGGCTAGCCTAACCGTGGGACCAAGAACCTTTCTTAACCCTGCGGCATCAACTCCGCTATATCGGGCTGCCGTCAGCGTAACCAAGCGCGGAGTTCGAAAGAGGCATTGTGCCCTTCAGCGAAACTTTGCCTGCTATCAATACCGCACCAAAGTTTCCACGCGTTTCTGTCCAACCAATGACCGGCTACAGTTCAACTCCGACGGGAAACATGATTTTGAGGTGGCGGCTCCTTGAGAGCGCAGAATTTTTAACTTTCGCCGGATGTATGTCCAGTCTTTGTCAGATGCATGTTTAGTCTTCTGAAAGTCAAGGGTTCAAATACAACAAATAATATATCCCGTGCAGTGGCCTGATGTTCACGCAACCGAAGTTTGTGAGGCACTCGAGTCTGCAAATCATGAAACGGGCTGTTACTATACAGTGGTCAAATATACTCTTGGCATACACCCAACTAGGTTAGCCATTTTTATCAGATTACATCAGCAAAATCATACTCGGCTCAATTTCGGCTCAATTATGCTCAGCCTGCAATCAAGTTTTGCTTAGGCTTGCTCGGGCTCGCTCGTGGTTCAAATCGTTGTGCCTCAAGCCACTCATGACCAAATTCGTGGTGCCTCAGGCTGCTCATGATCAATTTCGCTTTTGTCCTTATCCTGATTCTGGTCCCTAAACTCCTTGCTCATCCTATCCAAATATCAGCAACTTTAAACGGATGTTCTCGATAATCCGAGTAGATATGGGCCCTGCGAAGAACCTCTCCGAGACGAGAAGCTCGCCGATGAGCAAGGAGCTCCGGGGAGTGAAAAGCTCCTAGCAGAGAAAAGCTTCTAGGAGAAGAGCTATGAGGAGAAAGCTTTCAGGAGAGGGGAGCTCCGGATAGCTGTCTTCTAGGAGACCTCGTTTCTTGTGAGCGCTTCTCATGTAGTCATAGCTATATTCAACCAAAAATGATGTAACAAGTGAAAATGATTGCGCCATAAATTGGCTTGAATGAATCAATGGAACAATAGAAAGCCAATAATGAGATGACTGTATCTGTGGCTATGAATCCAGTACATCTCGACGTGTCCAAGTTCCATCCCCTCCCTAGACGTCTAGATCAGAGAGCAGATCATCCCTGAGTTCCATGAGATTGCTTTCATTATCTTCCTACGTTGTGTCAACATCGACCGTTACCAACACTGCATGCGGGTCTTTCTTGGGTAGGTCTGATGGTCTTGCTGTCCACATTTGAGTTGGCCTGGAGCTTGAGACGCACAACGTTTGGATTTCGGCCGACAGCCTCGTCCTTGTTGATACGCACACCAAACTTTGCATCGTTCTTCGCCGTACGTGCTTGATAAGCCCTGCCACCAGCTCCAGTTGAACTCGGTTTAGTCAAACGAGTAATTTTTCCCTTCGATTTGGCTGCTTCCCCGAAAAGTTTCTCAATGGGTTGTTTGTTCTTTCATTAGAATCATGTAGTTTCACTGCAACAAGAACTATCTACACGTAATTCGAAGCAGCACGTTTGTACCGCAGCGCATCCAGGATGCATCTTCATCATGCGTCCGAGATCTTGGGATCTCAAGTTACTTAGAACCTTCAGCAGAGATATTAAACGCGTTATATCGGCCTCGCGAGGCGTATCAAGCAACTTCCGATCCTTCTACTCCTCTTCAAGGATGGTTCCAGAGCAGCTTACAACTTGGACGATCAATGGTACAGTTCTTTCAAAGGGTTGTAGATGTATTAATCCTAAATGGCCTTCTAGATTGCGACCAAGAAAATTTCTTCCATTACTCATCTGGCCGGGGCTTTGGAATGAAGATATGCAGCGTGCTGCATGTCGTGTCAAGTTTGCCATCCAGGCGCTATGCTCAGTGGCGTGCAATTTGACAGGATCTTCTGCTTGTTCAACGGTAACAAAATTGCCCGAAGAGAACTTCAACAAAACATTCCTGCTTTCAATGACAGATGGAAGAGAGATCATTGCAAAAGTACTGAATCCAAATTCCGGGCGTCCTGGCCTCAGTACAGCGAGTGAGGTGGCCACCATGGACTTCATGAGTGCACCCCTCTCATATCTCGAGCTCTACCTATTTCTATCCTTCATATATCACAGGTTAAAAATTGCTTAGGAATACCAGAAACGGAGATATACGCATGGAGTTCACAAGCAAATGAAACAGCAATCGGTACCAAGTTCATAATCATGCACAAAGCGCCAGGAATTCAGCTGAGCGAAGTCTGGGATACTCTGCACAGCAGGCAAAAATTCAAAATCGTACAATAGCTCGTGCGATTCCAGTCTTACTTTGTCGCCGAGTTTCCTGTGTATGGCAGCTTGTACTACAGTGGCGATCTGCCCGCGGCTGTTTCTGCCGTTGAACTCACGGCCACCAAATGGAAGAACGGTTCAGATACCTTCTGCGTTGGGCCGACGAATAATCGGAAGTATTTTGACGATGGCCGCGGCCGGCTGCATCTGGATAGAGGTCCTTGTAAGGGGAGCTTTTGTCACACTTCACCCATTCTTATACTGATATTCCGGTAGGGCGCACACTTGAGGAATACGTGACCGCAAACGCGGAACGAGAGCAGATGTCTATCCGAGAGATCAAGGAATGGCCTCCAATGCAAGGTCTCTTCGGAGGACTTGACCAGTATCAACCTTCCAATGCCACCAAACAGCGGGTCTTGGAGGACTATCAGAATATTTCCACCCTCATCCTACCCAGGGTCACATCAACCCACGCTCCCGCGCTATCTCATTCGGACTTGCACACGAGTAATATCTTTGTCGATCCTCTCGAACCTACTCGCATTACATGCATTATCGACTGGCAAGGCGCACATATCGCTCCACTCTGTATTGCTGGACTTCGATGGTCCTATTCCCGAAGGCTTGAAACTGCCGCCATGGCCTGAAAATTACTCTCAACTAGATACAGGAGGGCAGTTAGAAGTAGACAAACTCCGCGAAGCGCAGTCACTATATAAGCTGTACGAGGTGGAGCTGTTACAGCAGTGAAAGCCAGCCGGACGGGCGCTACAGAACCGACATGCTCTTACAAGTGGCATTCACATGCTTGCAGGCTCTATATTCACTGATGGCGAACCTGTAATGCTCGGGTATCTCATCAAGGCCGTTGGGGACTAGAAAGCAATCGTTGGGGTTGATGCAGAAGGAAATTCGCTGATACCCTGTCCTCTTTCGTACGCTGAGGAAATGGGAAAGAATCAAAGGGATATGGAAGAACAGTGGAACGTTGGCGTCTTGATGATGAATCAATTGATCGAAGACCTTGGGGTCTATAGCGGGTGGGATGTTCTTGTTAACAACGCTGACTATCAAGTCATGAAGCTGAAACTTGCAGACTGCAAGGAAGGTTTCTTGCAAAATGGCAAAGACGAAAGGGGAGAGAGTCGCGTGGAGTTCCGCATGGCCCTTCCAAGATCAAGCACATGGAAACAGGCAGGATCGAAATTGACAAAGAATTAATTATCGCTAGCGTTGAAATAGAATAAGTTTCCGACGATGACTAGCTCATAACATGGTGGAGTGGTTCCTGATTGTCGTCATAGATATCGCTCTTTGCATACGACGATCTCTCCACTTTCATAACAACCATCAATCTTCTTGTCTAAACGCAGCACAATTTGAAAATTACCGTCCACGCGATACAATGCATCCCAGTTTCAGGCCATCTTCATGCTGCTCATCGGGGCTGAATCAGTCACAATCAAGCTGGCTAACGTTGGCTTGGGCGGGTCTCAGGAGTGTTCAGCCACAGCTCAAGCTGCTTAAGTACTCATGGCAAACATTGCACCCCTATGTAACTCAAGATCAAAACCGGAAAAAGCTTTATGTGAGAGTAGATTTCACTCTATTCCGCGCATGCAGCTGAAGAACTCCATCCCTCTGTTATTTTTCTTCCATCATTCAAAATTAAACTTATATACGTGGCGGGCTGGGATGGCTGTATAGAATTTCTAGAGAATATTTACAACGCACAAACTTCTAGCACTCATATTGGCCATTTATCTTTCACTTGTATTCATTATTTACGATTCTTCACCATTCACCAGTTACTATTTAACCACTTACGTCACCACTATTTACTTAATTACTATTCACGCTTCACGCTGTACTTTTTCCATCGCCCTGGAAGTTTTCCTTGCGTTATTAGCTTTAGAAATGGCGTGACATGTTCATAGGGAACGACATGCAGTGACCCTGGAAACAAGATTACATTAGTAGAAGGACGGTACGACATACAGAGTCTGTAAAATCCCCACGAGATTAGATTGGAGTAATCTTTCAAGGGGTATCACGTTGAATTTTGAGTCCTAGATCAGTCTATCCTTTTCACGCTCCCTCCAAATCCACCCATCAATTTGCTATGCAACTCTATTTGTCACCTCAACAAAACTGTCCCACTGCCTCAAAGCCGCCCCACTCGTAATCGCCCACCTAGCCCTCCTTATACCTTCTTTCCACCTCCCACCACCCGGGCCAACTTCCTTAATCACTTTCCCATCATCTCCATGACCCATATCACTCGTATCTGCATCGCATATCCCACTGACTACAAATAACGCCGCAGTATTGATTAATACGAAACGCAGAATCGGATCATCGGGCTGGACTTCGCCTCGCAGTATCCTCATCAATATCTCCGCGTTTTGTTCCGGACTCTGCCCTGGGCTAACTTCAGTGAGCGCGTGGCAAGGGAGGCCGAAGTCTTCGGGCGAGATGGTGAAGTATTTAATCTCGACCCCCCCTTCAGCCTCAGACTCAGCTCCAGATGATGTTCCAACGAGCCGCCAGCAGTGTGTAGGGCCCGCGCAACTCAGCTCATCCAGTTCCTCATAACCACAGATGACCATTGCTTTCTTAACCCCAGACTGCCGTAGCGATTCCGCAAAGTCCGGTCCGATTTCCCTACGCGCAACGCCGATAACCCGGGCTTCAATCAACTCATGCAGAGGATTTGCCAACGGACCCAGTAAATTAAATATCGTCCTCCAGCCGAGTTGTTTTCGTATACTCGCCGCGTGCCTTGCGCCGGGGTGGAAGATAGGGGCAAACAGGAAGGCGTAGTTTGTGTGGCTATAGATTTCAGCGAGAGTGGAGGGGGTGATGGCGGTTATTACGGGGGGTTTGGGGCGGACGCAGGAAAGGAGGTCGGCGGAGCCAGAGCGCGAGGTGCTGGCACGGTTGCCGTGTTTGCCAATCATGAGGAGGGAGGAGGCGAGGATGGAGGAGGTTGTGCTGATGTTGAAGGTGTTGTGGGAGTCGCCGCCTGTGCCAACTATGTCACACTGTGGGTACGGTCAGATATGGGATCAATTGATGTCTGAATGTAATATGTGCTATACCAATCCACCATTATAGCTTCCTTCCTTCCTACCCCTCTCTGCAATAAGCTTCGAAAGGCCATCAAAGTCAATGCCTGCGGAGAAGTTCCTCATAGCTTCGGCGCATTTTGAAAGGACATCGGCCTGTCGATCGCGGTCGGTGAAATGTAGGCATGTCAACAATGCACCCGTTTGCACCTCTGAAAGGCTGTTGGTGAAGATGTGTGAAAGTGCAGCAGCGATCTCGGATGAGGTAGGCTTCGCGTCGGACTCATGCCACAATCGCTTGAGGAGGGGGGTGATGGATATCTTGGACTCTTCCGAGCCTTCCGCTGTTGCCATTGCAGGGAAATGAAAGAGTTGCAGAGTTTTGGATAGCTTCAGCTAGCCCTCTTCGAGCCTTGATGGTGTTGACTCACCCCTCGGAGAAGAGTACCGAGCTGGTCATGGGGTCCCGATAAAGTGGCATGTCTAATTCACCCCACCCCACGTGGGCCAATCATAAACGAGTTGTCGGCAAATCGTTTCTCCTGAGCCGGTAACTGAAATTTACACGCGCAGCCCGCCACAACTGCCCTCGACCAAGGTCATGACGAGTCAGAGATTTATCTCTGACGGGCCTTGCACTCCGACCACACACGAACCCGACATCAAATGGGGAAGAAGCGGACTCATGCCGAGACGAAAAATGGCTTCACGAAGCCGCCGCCGGACAAGGACCGGATGAGCCACAAGGACAAGAAGAAAGAGAGACGGAAGAATGGCGAGGAGAAGAGGCAGAAACCTGCACTGGTTCGTTGCCTTTCTAATGCGTCTGGATGCTGTTGCTGACGCTTTGATAGCTGTTTACACCCCAACCAGAATGGCACGCGGTCGAGCTACCCGAGCTACCAACGATCGAAAACCCCGTCATTCCTCCGCGCCATGTCATTGACGAGCTTCACCACTATGCCGATGGCCTTCTGGAAGCAGAGGCGACCGAATATGCGGGGTCCTCGTTGTCCCAGGACTCGTCCCATAAGTTCTTGTCTACCATTATGTCCTCGGGAACCATGGAAGATAAAGTCTCGGCCCTGACGTTGCTCGTTCAAGAGTCGCCCCTACATACTACGAATGCTTTTGAGCAGCTGCTTAACCTTTCGAAGAAGAAGAGCAGGAATCAGGCCTTGATGGCTTTGGGCGCGTTGAAAGATCTCCTCGGCCAGGGTGTCGTGCTTCCGCCGGACCGAAAACTGAAGGCATTTGCAAGACAGTCTGGCCTTATCTGCGCACTGCAAGGGAAGGTTGCCAAATGGGAACCAGGCGACAAGCTGCCCGGCAACATCCAGAAGATCCATTTGATCGCATGGGCGTACGAGGACTGGCTCAAGAAGCAGTATTTCGAGATGCTTAAGATCATGGAAGGATGGTGCAATGACGAAGTCGAATATTCACGGAACCGGGCATTACAGTTCGTTTGGGAGTTGCTGAAGGAGAAGCCTGAGCAAGAAGAGAATCTACTTCGGCTCCTCATCAACAAGCTTGGTGACAAGGAGAAGAAGGTCGCATCCAAGGCATCTTATCTCCTCCTGCAGCTGCAAGTCACCCACCCGCTTATGAAGAGCGTCATCATCAATGCGATCGAATCAGATCTGTTGTTTCGGCCAAACCAGAGCGCCCATGCAAAGTACTATGCAGTCATCACGCTTAATCAGACAGTCCTAAGCACAAAAGAGCAAGAAGTAGCTAACAAGCTTTTGGAAATATATTTTAGTCTCTTTGTTGGATTGTTGAAGAAACAGAAGGATAAAGAAACCGAGGAGAAGAAGCTGAATAAGAATGGCCTCATTCAGGGTGGTGGTGGCAAACCTGGCAAGATGGCTCGAAAGAAGGCTAAAAGGGGAGCAACAGAGGCTTACAAGTCCGAGGATGAAATGAAGGAGAAATTGATCGCTCAAGTCCTGACGGGCGTCAACAGAGCATTTCCTTTCGCCAAGACTGACGATGAGAAGTAAGTCTAATCCACTAGATTTCTCCTAACACTGTACTAATAATCGCAGGTTTGGAGAGAAACTCGACACCATCTTCGAAGTCACTCATTCGTCTAATTTCAATACTAGTATTCAGGCTTTAATGCTTATCCAACAGATCTCAACAACTCAACATTTCTCCGCCGATCGCTTCTACCGAACTCTTTACGAATCTCTCTTAGATCCACGGCTCATCACCTCCTCCAAGCATATCCTATACCTGAATCTCCTATATCGGTCCCTGAAAGCGGACGTCAGCATCAAGCGAGTCAAAGCGTTTGTGAAGCGATTACTTCAAATTATCCATTTGCATGAACCACCATTCATTTGTGGCGTCCTATACCTCATTAATGAGCTCATCGCCAGCTTCCCTAGCATTAAGTCGATGCTTTCCACACCCGAGGACAACGCTTCGGACAGTGGAGAAGAGCATTATGACGATGTACTAGAAGACTCGACGGCTGCCAACAGTATAGAGCCTTCCAAGCATCCTCATTACGATTCCAAGAAACGAGATCCGGACCATGCGCATGCAGATCTATCTTGCCTGTGGGAGCTTCTTCCGCTGCAGGCACACTACCACCCATCGGTCCACGTTCTCGCTTCCAAGCTCCTCAATTCGGAGCCCATGAAGGAGAAACCAGATCCAACGATCTACACTCTCATGAACTTCCTCGACAAGTTCTCCTTCAGAAACCCGAAGACCAAGGCGCAGGTCTCACACGGTACATCCATCATGCAGCCCATGTCTGGCACCTCCAAGGCAGCCGACTATCTCATCACACAACGAGAAAGCGGCAAGCGTGAGGAGGCTGTTAATTCCGAACAATTCTGGCGTAGAAAAGTGGATGAGGTTCGAGTAGACGAGGTCTTCTTCCATACCTACTTTGAAAAGGCAGGCAAGGCGAAACAGGCCAACAAGAAAGAGAAAAAGAAGAGGAAGGGCAAGGATGAGGGGAGCGAGTCAGACGGTGAGGAAGAGATTTGGAAGGCATTAGTCAATAGTCGTCCAGAGATTGAGGGAGGGGATGACAGCGATGAAGGATTCAGCGATCTAGACATGGGCGACATGAGTGACGATGAAGGCGAAAGCGGAGCTGACATTGATGAAGGTGTGGAGCTGAACCTCGGAAGCGATGATGAAGCGGTCGAGGACACCGACATGAAACAAGACGGCGAAGATGAGGATATGGATGAAGCGTTTGACCTTGACGACGAAGAGGCTTTAGTAGACAGTGACGAGGATATACCCATTGATTTCGACATGAATGGCAATTTGGATGTCGAAGAGCCTGCTCTTTCCAGGTCCAAGGGAGATACAAAGGACCAAGATAAGGAGAAGAAAGGCAAGAAGAAGAGGAAGCTCAAGCACCTCCCGACCTTTGCCTCCGCAGAGGACTATGCGAAGTTGCTAGGTGATGATAACGAGTAGGTGGTTCAACACTCGAGGTTTTCGGCGACTGTGGTAGAGGATGGGTGAAGGGTATTTATTCTGCCTTTACTTTGCTGTAGATATCCCCTTACTTTTGTAATGGCTTTGTATGATGTGTTGGTTTCTCTGTTCGCGTGCCATCTTCAGTCCGGTCGTCTGGTCTCTTCCCTGCAACTCTCTTTTCCAGTCTTCTCGATCTCCATTTTACGTCCAGAATGAAGTAGTAGTGTAGCTGCTATGTGAAACTGGTAAGCGCCTATCTCCCAATTAGTTCTGCATTCATTTCCAAGAAGTAGCAAGGCATATGCTCGACTGACCACCGATTATACATAGTTGGCTTCTAGATTGCCCTCAGCAGCGATTCGATCCCTTATAATACTTGATTATAGGAAAGGTTGGCTAGAGCTTTCCTCAAGTAGAAGCGTGCCACCACGCTTAGTCGCACCTTTCATTCCTCAGTGACCCCACGTCACTTTAATCTTCGCCCTTTCACTTACATTTTTACCAACACCCTCACACTCGCTCTTCGTCCTACTACACACCATTTCCTTTCTCGTTGCACTCGCCGCGATTGGTTGCTTCACAGCTGCGCATGTCACTCAATACCATACTTTATGTACGGCTATCTGAGGCCACAGTCGAGTCGCGAGCGACAGAGACGACCAGCGAGGACGATACCGACTCTGAGTCGGGTTCTCTCTGAACCAATCGAATTGTCGGTTGACCTCAAGTTCATGGCTCTCGATATTAGCTTGTTTGAGTCCCACTAGTATTACTGGGCCCTCCACATCCTTACGTGCCAAACACCTGACCTAAAACGCCACAGTATCTAGTGTAGTTCCACTGCAGACCTTACGATGAACACCGAACTCAAGGATATGTTGAAAAAACAAAACTTTGGACGTATTCAAGCAACTCCACAGCGCGGCATCAAAGAGCTTAGTCTGAAAGGGCTTGTTCTCGGCTCTATGCTTTCACAGCTCATCAAGGTGTTCGATTTTTCCAACTTAACTAGCCTTGCCATCTGGAATTCCGGGAAAGGTACTGAGTTGTAGTGATCTTGGATTCGCATATCAACACAAGACTTTATGTCAAAGACGTGGCCATCGCGGAGAACGCGCTTGCGCTAGGGTCAGAATTAATCGTCCATGGCGTCTTGGATGAGCTCTTGGCATCTTGTAGGAATATGCGCAGCCTCTACCTTGCTGTACAGCCTAGGCATTGACACTATGCGATGGCCTGCTCCTTTGGGACGAGCGGTTCTTTCTTTTTCCTTCCATTAGCTTGATGAGAATGATGTACTCGCAAAGACTACAATCGTTATGCTCCTAGTGTCCAAAAGTTACAGTAACTTTGTTCAGATTGCCCCAGAGCCGATTTTCGAAGCTCTTCTCGGTGATATCAATGAGATAAGCTACGTTCACAGGTTCCAAGTATTTTCATTGAGAGTGGAGAAGAGGACTGACTGACATTCATGTTGTTGGATTCCTTGAAATACCTACCAGAACCTCGCGACCTTCACCCAGGGCAACCAAGAGCGAGAAACATTCCAATCGAACGTCATATGGATGAAAAGGCAACTGCTTACGATCAAAAACAATTCGCAACCTCGCTCTTTAAGCATCTTGACGAGAACCCGAGGTGTCTCGCTCTGCGTGTTCTCGTCTTGGACATGAACATCGCAGTGGCGGATACTGACATACCGGAGTTATTCGATGAAGACAGAGACGAATTGAAAACACAGTACACCGAGTAGTATTTCTTTGTCAAAGGCCATCAGAAACCCTTCATGCAAACCTCCACTGTCGCTATACCCGTATCTCGGAGTGAACTAAGGGGGGTGGAACCGGACTTGACCATATTGAACTTCGACCCTGATTGCCCATGTGCTGGACGCTATTGTAGACACTTTAATGGCTAGCCGAGACTCGGCCTAACTCGAAATTCGCGGACTAAAGAGTAATGATAGTGAGATATACGGTTGGTGTGGTTTTTCTATCATTGTAGGTACAGCAGCACCTTTCACTATGTGTCCCAAATTATGTATTCTGGATAACACGGAGACATCTTCCATAATTCCTTTCTCTTAACATCTGCATAGCAGCGTCGTTTACGGTTTCCATTGAGAATCGCGAGGGAGGGTGAAGAAACAGGGGGAGATATGCATTGACGAACTATATGCTTCCAGGGCAGGGCAATTTTATCTCAGGATCGGTCACAAGATCTTCAAGTAGATATCTTATAATCATTGCATGCCCAATCGTTATGACTTGATGAAGCCTGGTTTGGGTTGGGGATGATATTCACATCGGTGTCCTGGAATGGTTGCAGACTGCTCCTCAGAGGCTCGAGGGAAAGTTGTTTGTGTCAGTCCTCACCCTTGTCCAACATTTAGAGCCAGCGCAAGATTTTCTCACAACGCACACCCATCCAGACTCATAAAAATGTTCGGATGTACTAATATCCAATTCCTTGCAATCCATGCTATACTACGCTATGCAATCCCATCCCATCCTATGATATCCTACCCTAAACGCACGCCACGCAGATCATGCCAATGTCAATGCCAATTGCCATGTCCGAGTCATCATCTCACCTCCACGCCAAAGACGACCAATCAACCTACCAACCTTAAGTTTGCTCCAGCGCCTCATTCAAATTCATCTCACATCACATAATCCCATGAAAAATATCCCTAAGCACCGGTTTCCCCTCCAGCACTCCCTTCTTCCCAATCTTACACACCTTCGCCTGACTCTTAAGTCCGTGTCTCACCCTCAATTTTCCAGATCTCAGCAGTTCGGGGCTGGACGACGGGGATTTCGCGTGGCTGGATCTCTTCAGCGAATTACCAGCGCTGTTTGATGTGATGTCTCCGAGAGCCGATCTTATTTTCTTTACTGGACTAGGGTTAGGTGTCGGAGACTTCATCGCTTTATCTCCCTCACGACGTCCGAGTTCCGAGGGCGCGGGCGTAGGAGGTTTGCCCGGCATCCCTAACCCTAACTCATCCTCCACCCTCAAATCCACCACAGCCCCCCTCTCCCTACAAAGCCCCACCAACTCCCCCAGCAATTCATTCGCCCCCAACGTCCTCTCACTCCCCACAATAACCAATTTCGACCTCGCACGTGTCAACGCAACATTAACTCTCCTTCGATCCCTGAGTAAGTCGCCTACGACGCGGGCTTCGTTGCTGCGGACACAGGATACGAAAATGACTTCTTTGTCACGGCCTTGGAATTTGTCGGCGGTGTGGAGTTCGATTGCTTCTGCTCCCCCTCCTGATCCCCCCGCTGCGGCTGTGGAAGTGGGAATGGAGGTTTGTGTCTGCGTTCCTGCACTTTGCAAACACGACTTTAGCAGAGCGAGTTGCGAGCGGTAGAACGCAATGACTCCGATTTCAGACGCAGGTAGGCCGGCGGAGAGGAGGGAGAGCGTGAGATGGGTTATTAGCCGCGCTTCTAGGGTGTTCGTTATACGGCTGCCAGATGCGGTTTCGAGGGTTAGAGAGGTGGTGTCTGTGTTTAGGAAGATGACGGGGGAGGTAGGGGAGAGGGTGTGAGCTAGCCAGTTTGTGGGATTGTCTGACTGAGGGTCGGGGGAGGCGGATGTGATTTGATGAGAGGGTTTGGGATGGTGCATTTGTAGCGCTTCCGGATTCGGGATATTGAGGGTTCGGGATGCGACAGTCTCGGTCCCACATTTCAACCTCCCACCATAGATAAACGTGTTCGAGAGCAGCATAATATCCGCACACATACGATACTGATGTTCAAGACTAATAACAGCCTGCGGATGCGCTTCACACAGGAGTTTGAAAAGCGAGACATCCAGCCCGCCATCCGCAGCCTCTTTATTCTGAACGAGTGGTGGGAGTTGGTAATGGTCTCCCACAAGAACAAACGTATTTGCCATACGTATCGGACCGATGCAAACAGGGAGCGTAATCTGGGATGCTTCGTCTACAATACAGTAGTCGAAGATGCGGCGGTTGAAAAGCGGGTGGTTGATTGTGAGACAGGTTGTTGCCACTACGGGCAGCTCCATCCAACTCTTCTCGAGATCTTCGAGACTGGGTTTTGGTTCCGAGGCAAGGGTTGCGAATTGTCGGACCTCGGGATGGATTTTGGCACTCGCGCCGAGACGTAGGATGCCGATGTCATCAGAGCGGATTTTGAGGAGGATGTTATCAACGGCGGTGTGTGTGTATGAGGTTAGTAGCACGCTTTTTCCTCGTGCGACTAGGGAGCGGATGATGTGGGCGATTGTCGTTGTTTTCCCCGTTCCGGGCATGCCGAGGACGAGGGCATAGTCTTTGGCTGACATGACTTTGGTTACAGCAGCTTTCTGGTCGGCGTTCATCGACATCTGAGAGGATTGGCTGGGAACCATGGCAGATGCTGATACGGGTCTAAATGTGGGCGGTCGGGCATCCACGATCAGGGAACGGAGGTCTCGGGCTTTATAGACACTGTCGTCCATGATTTGAATGAGGTTATTCCGGGCGGCTGCCATGCCGTTACTGAACTCGTCCTTGTCCAGGCGATATAGCACCGGTTCGTCCTCGGCTTGGGACTCCGGTAGGGGTTGTCCATCTTTGAAAACCTCCATGATTCCGGTAAACGTTTGGTTGCTTTGCGAATTGAAGCCCGGCAATTTCTTCCTCGCATTATGCAACCGTCTATCCACAGCAACGGTAATCCGTCGTTTCCGAACATTCGTAACGTACCCATTGGCAAGAGCAAAGTGTCCTTGTTCATCCGACACGACTACCGGCTCTCCAATGATTAGCTGGGATTCCGTGAATGAGAATCCCGGTTTAGTTTTCTGTTTGGTGAACGTGTAACTGTACCGGTTGATCTTCGAGGCATTATTTTCCTGATAAATGGATCCAGGTTCGAGGACAACATTTGAGAAGCATCGACCCAGTTTCTCGCGCTCGGTGCTTAGCATGGTCCAAAGTTCTCGGCGGAACTTCATCATGTTAGATTCCTCTTTTGTAAGAAGCTTGTCCCATTTCTTCATGAACTGTGCATCTGCAGGCTTAAGAGACTTGACGAGTTCATCGTATCGTTCCTTTGCCTTTTTGTTTAACAGGTCGCCGTTTCCATCTTCGACGAGCTTGTGGTAAAGAAAGCAAGACTCTTGAGCGTAGCATTTCTGACACTTGAAGTCTTGCTTCAGCATTGGAGGGAGTTCGATGCGGTCTCGGACGTAGCAGGCTAGTTCGTTGCGCTTAATAATCATGTGGATGATATCGTTTCGGATGGTAGGGATGCGGCTAATATCAGAGGTCTCGAGATAGTACAGTATGCCATATGCGACATCGACATCTACGATTAATCAGCATGTCTCAAGGACCAAAAATCTAGATACTCACCGTAGCGATTGGACAACAGTAGGTTGTACAAGGCTGTTTGGGCTACATGAGCCGCATTGGAGGAGTTCTTTCCAGTCTTGACCTCGAGGGGTACAGTGAGGGTACGTTCATCTTGATCATCCTGCATCGTGACTTGCACAGTTGCATCAATATTCCCTTTCAGACCGTACATAGGCGACCACACGTGCTCTTCTACATCAAGCAGTTTGTTGATACTCATAATGGATGTCTTCCCGTTTCGTTCCCGGACCACGGCATCGGCCTGTTCAGCAATTAGCGCAAATTTACCGTCAAAATTGAGTCGCTTACGCAAGGTTCTGCTCGGACAAAGATTTTAGCCCATGCTTGGAGTTCTGGCAACTTGCTGCTCAAGTGCTCCTTCACCTCTGCACAAGTAGAATTGATTTCGAGGATCGTCTCGAATTTATTGAGGAGGAGCTTATCAATGGTTTCCAAGAGAAATCCAGAGTCCCATCGATTCACCTTCAACGCTTCTTGGAACAGCTCGTGGAAAAGGGTGCCATAGAGCATGGGCAGGTTCGCTTTGCTCGTTGCCTTGATGCGGTCCTGGAGAACTGCACGCCGTAGGCAGCCAAACGAGTCGGCAACAACGGTCGCAGAGATCAAGTGATCCGGATGGAGGATAAGCATATTCTTAGAATCATCAACAAGGCACTGTCCGGTCGAGGAGAATTCACCGATGATGTGGACGAAAGACTCAGGCGTGCATGGCGTGTCGTACCAGGCTTCTCGAAGGGTGATGGCCTTGAAGAGCTTTGTCTTCTCTTCCTCTACTAGTAATACCTATGGTCTGTCAGCACACCTTCGCACTGAATACCACGAAATGGGGAACCATGCGCACCTTTTCTGGCATTTTATACCCCCGTTCAGTAGTATAGAAGCCTTCATCTACTCGCTTTATAAGATATCGCTGGATTGCTCTGACATCTCGTTCACTCTTCGAGAGTCAGTGCTTTGTTCGTTTACATATATTACTGAAGTTTACATACAGTGCCAGGATGTCCCTGTGTGGCTGCAACCTCAGCTGCAGCAAATTCATCGATGTCTATATCGTCGCCGCCAAAATCATCAGAATCGTCATCATCTTCGATGGTAATGATACGAGATTCCGTGGTGTTTGGCGCCGGAACAGTGCCAGGTTCTGCATTCGGAATCTGGTCTTCAGTAGACGAGGCTTCGGGCCTGCTGTCATAAAGCGATGCAACGTGCTCCAAGTCTGCAGCAAATAAATCCTCGTCTAAATCAAATTCATCATCACTACCAGCGAAATTCAAAGGCGCTGCGATAGGTTCTGGTTTTGCTGGAGGCAGCTCTGGAATCTGCTTCACCGGGGTGTCCGACACATTCGCGTTCGCCTGGGGTTGTTCGGCGACCCTTTGCGATATCTCGAGTGCTTCGACCATTTCAGTATCAAATTCCGCACCGCCAAACTCGTCGGACGAGTTTGACGACTGCCGCTGATCGATAATCGTGTCATCTTCCACGTCCATAGCCACGGCGCCATGGGTTGGCGATTCAAACTCATCGTTCTGCTCACGGCCACGTCTTTGCAATGGCGAATCCGATGGAAGGGCGTGACGATCTCCACCTTCAGGTAAGGGAGATGAACTCGACGGCATTTCCGAGCAAGTCATGTGAACCGAAGGTTTCGTAATTGAGTCTCGCATCCTCTGAAGCATACCCGCGAGTTTGGACTTTTCGGGTCTAGGCTGTACAGTTCCATCCGAGCTAGGAGCACCACCGAAGACGTCTTCTGCAGCATCCTTATCCATCCTGAAGCCCCCATGGGTTCTCCTCCTCTTTGAAGTAGATGCAGGGAATTCCACTCCACAGCTGGCCCACCGGCGGAGTCCGCTGATGCTGCCGGCCGTTGCGGTTGACCGAGGCGATGACTCGTTGATAAGGTGAGCAAAGGCGACACCTTTGTGGGCGGTAGGCGTTCCCTTATTGCTTGTGTACCGTGTCCATAATTCTGTCGCGGGGTCCGCCTGGGGGGTATTTAGTTCCTTCCTGATGGAGTCTGCCCTAAGTTCCTCTTGCGACGGCACAACTGGCGACGAGCTCCTTGCTCGCTTCTTGCCTTTCCGGGGCAATGGGGTGGTAGTAGGCTGTGATCCACGCCAACATAATTGTTCATCCGGGGACACATGCTGCCTCATAGCACGTCTCGAGGAACCATCTCCATTCCCAACCAGATCCGCTAGTGGAAGCCTCATGGCCGGCGTCGAAGGCGGACATGTCTTCGGCTGTGCGGGCTTAGGCGTTTTGGAGGTCTTTGGCTGAACAATCTCAACGACCTTCGAAACCTTAGGTGTCTTCGCCGCCCTAGGGTCCGCTGGTAGGTTCTCCTTCCCTGCTTCTCGCTTAGCAGCGAGCTCAGGTGCGCCGTCGATGAATTGGAAAGCCTTCAGCTTTGTCTGGGTCTGGGTCGACGGCATGATGGGCGGACCGGTTACCACGTGCCGTTGTGAAGGTGCGTCTGCTCTATTTGGGTGGGGAAGGCCTGGAGCGTTGCGTGGACGATGCCATTGGCCCTTAAAATGCTAGAAAGGCAGGGTTCAGCGTCGAAAATCCGACGTGGAAGTGATGTGGCAGGTCTGGTTACCTTGGGCTTTGGATTCTGGTCAAAGAATGACTTTTGGCGCGTTGACATAAGGATGGCGGTAAGCAACTCTGGTGGATGTTCCTCGACGCGTCTTCAGCCATCGAACCGCAAACACGCCTGAACACGGTCACGTGGAGATGCAGCCAAGGCGCGGGCCATGTCGGCAAAAGCAAATATTAGACCGAACAGAAGCCGTCGAGACCCACCTGCATCGGAGAGAAGCCTGATTTGACTGCGTCAACGAATTCTTCCTGGCTGCCATCGCGCAAAAAACAAGCAATTGACGCTCCTCTCACCTGTTTCATCTGACATCTCGTAATTGAGATCCAGATCTGGTGTGGCAAGCGCGGTGTATCGATTGCCAGGAGCTTGGGCCCATCCCCCCCCACGGAAACCAGGAACTTTAGCCCTGCAGGTTTCCCCAGGTCTCGTGCAGGAGCTGTGTGAAATACCTCAACCACCACCTGCTAACCTTGTCCCTCCTCATCCTTCACTTTCCTCCCTATATACCCGTAGGCAAGATGTCGGCAGAAAAGCCCCTCCCTTTCGTATACCAGTTCGCGGCCGGTGAGTCCTCCAATTGCGGAAATAACGACCAATCGCCGCTGACAAAAGCCCAGGTGCTGTGGCCGGTGTCTCTGAAGTAAGTGCGCCTGGGCCGCTGGACCGGAACTGGCCTCGCGGATGCTAATTGAGGCTGCGCGCATAGATTCTGGTCATGTGAGAGCTCAGGAGGTGACATGTTACCACAGAAGCTGATTGCGTAGGTACCCGCTGGATGTCGTCAAGACCCGAGTGTAAGAGCCTCGCGGCCGGCGCCCTCAATCGCTTCTAAAAGCATACAGGCAGCTCCAGACGGGCAAGGGCGTCGGCGACGAAGCGTACAATGGCATGTTGGACTGCTTTAGGAAGATCATCAAGAATGAGGGGTACGATCACATTTCCCCAATGTGAAACTGTATTGACACCGCGTCTAGTTTTTCGCGGCTGTACCGTGGCATCTCGGCCCCCATTCTCATGGAAGCTCCCAAGAGGTGAACCAAACCCTAGAACTTTCAGAATATCCCCCATCCTCACCAGCTTCAGAGCAACGAAGTTCGCCGCAAACGACTCATGGGGCCTCTTCTACCGCAACCTCTTCGGCCAATCCAAAATGAATCAATCGCTCTCCGTCCTCACCGGTGCCACAGCCGGTGCAACCGAAGCCTTCGTCGTCGTCCCCTTCGAGCTCGTCAAGATCCGCCTCCAAGACAAAGCGCAAGCACACAAGTACAACGGCATGATCGACTGCTTCACCAAGATCGTCAAGCAAGAGGGGCCTCTCACCCTCTACCAAGGTCTAGAAAGCACACTGTGGCGACACATTCTCTGGAATGCCGGCTACTTTGGCTGCATCTTCCAGGTCCGAGCACTGCTGCCAAAAGCGTCGGACAAGAGGGGTCAGATCGGGAACGATCTCGTTTCAGGTGCCATTGGTGGCACTGTCGGCACTATCCTCAACACGCCGTTGGATGTCGTCAAATCGCGTATCCAGAACTCCCCCAAGGTCGCCGGAACAACTCCCAAGTATAATTGGGCATGGCCCTCTGTTGGCCTCGTCATGAAGGAAGAGGGCTTTGGCGCTTTGTACAAAGGGTTCCTCCCTAAAGTCCTGCGACTGGGTCCCGGTGGCGGTATCCTGCTCGTCGTCTTTACCGGCGTCATGGATTTCTTTAGGAAAATGCGCGCGGACTAGGCGTTTCACACTTACAGTCAATTAAGGAGCTATGTGTATGAGTGAGCATTGAACAAGCAATCGAGTGAGCAAGCGGGTTCAATATACTGATTCCGTTTCGATCATTCCACGTTTGTCAAGATCCACCGAAGTCTAAGAGCCTTTCTACTTTCTTGATCGATGGTCCCCATGGCTAAAAGGGCAATGGGCAGGCATATAGACTGTACATTTCCTACCTACGGAACAAAGCTTGTAGAGTACACCAATTACGTGGCAGGCGTCATTACCACTTCCTTCCTTCATCCTCTACTCCAACTCAATTTATGATACCGCAGTGAATGACATTCCGTTGCTAATCTATAACCGCGTAAACCGTACGTAGCTTTCTCAGGTTCCAGTTGACAGATTCAGCGAGCCCCCAAGATAGCGACTGCGGTGTGACACTCTTTCTATGTGTTGGTATACTTCCTCCATGGCGATGCGATAACCACCTGCTTGTGCACTACTGCTCAGCGAAAAAGAAGAAAGTGGACGGTGCCCGTCGAGCATTTTATCAGCATTTCCGTCCCATAATACGAATCACATGATGGCGCGTCACTGCTCATTGATGGAAAGGGGTCGGCTTGGCGTGGGGCACATCCAACTTCAGAGTTCCACAACCTTTACCCTCGTCTCCTCACCTCGTGCTTTATTCATTTCATCGCACGTACATCATCCCCCATATTCAGCACTTTGACGTCACTCCTTTGCAATTCATGCGTTCCGACTACCTGATCACGTAACTAAATTGTCGTCATCAAACTGCTCGTGATGGCAGGTCGGAAAAGACGAAAAGCTAGCCTTGCGCAGCGTCCGCAAGATCAAGCTGAATCAATAGACCTTTCCGCTGATGTCAAACTCGTAGTTCTAGACTATGTATGCGAACTTCCGTCATTCTTGATCGCACTTACACCCAATGAATACCTGACTGCATGGTAGATAACGCGCCCCTCTGACCTCAAAGCTCTATGCTTAACCTCGAAAGCCTGGCGCAGTGTCGCCACCCCACGCCTATATTTAAATATTGAACTCTATATACATGACCGGGATGACATTTCTAGGTTCATGAGGTGTATTGGAGCTGGTGCTTCATTGCATTTGAAGGCTATTAGGCGTCTGACCTTCATAGACGAGGAGGGGCCGCCAGAGTCGATCCTCGTCCGCAAAGGGGAGAGGATCAGGGGCGGGCACCATTTCAGTACGTCAGAAAGGAACACAAGTGCGTTCTTGATCCTACAGATGATCCCGCGGAATGTTCTCCATACCTTTAGGTAGGTTACCGGCTTACGCTTGCCAAAGCCTTCTGTTTGACGACAAGGCCCTCTTTTGTTCCAATCTCACATCGTTCTGAGCCCGTTTCGGCTCGTTAGATCTTCACAGGTTCTCTCAAATCGTAGTGTGGTGCACATTTTTCAAGGCCTGATTAACCACTTCCAGACACCTCTCAATCGTCTCGCTGGACCAAAGGTGCCTCAGAGCGCTTAAGCACAACCAAAAATCCCTAAGGCATGTTCAGTTCTCCGTGAATGGAAACATCTTCTTACCCGACCTTCTGAAACCTGGATTGGAAACGCTTGATGTTTTCTGGACGGGCGTTAGAAAACCTTACAGCGAATTCACCAAAGATATCCTCAAGAAAGCGCCGAATCTTCGGCGTCTCTGTGTGATCGGTTGCACTAGTGACAATCTAAATCCCGAACCGAATTTCATGTACGGCGACGATTATACACATCCACATTCCAGTCTCCAAGAGCTAAGTCTAATCGAAACTGAACTCGGGCCCAGAGGAGACATCTGGACCAAAACCTTCGACTTCACAGCACTCACCAGCCTTGCCATTTGGGACTGTTGTGATGCTGATGGATTCTTTACGCAACTAGGACAAACCTACCGAGACATGCCATCCCAATTGAAGCGTTTAGTTGTAGCCGATAGTGAAAGCGATGAACCTGAGGTTCTCTACGAATCTTTGATCAATATCTACAGTTCATCCCCCAATCTTTCTAGCCTTCATCTCAATATGGCTCTCATAGGCGATATTTGGGACGATTTCTATCAGGTTTGCCATCTTCCCAAGACTCTGTTATCCTTATCCTTGCACGATCCGGGGCTCTACAGAAGCGATGCCGCTACTCTTTCTTTGGGCTGTTTCCAATCTCTTTGCTACGATTTGCCAAAATTGCAGCAACTTGGAATTCGGCTTCCTGACGACGGCCTTCTTATGTGCACTGAAAATATCCACGACTTGGACGCTGAGTCCGTAATACCTTATCTAGTACGTTGCTAGTCATTATTACCACATGTAAATAGATAGAAATTACTTAACTTGACACCATGAAACTAATATCAGTAGGAAAGCTTGAAAGAACTCGGCGACCTCCGCATCCTCCATCTTCGGCAGCCCAGATCCAAATGGAATGAAGACAGTATCCCGCGATCGGAAGAACACATAGCTTTCAGCCTTCAGCAATTCGCAAACTTCTTTTTCACGTACATGGAGTCCAGGTCGATGTGCCCGAAACTCAATTTTCTTGTTTGGGGCATGTACTGGGACAGGGGGCTGTACCACTCTACCGACGAGTATGAGGCTATCTATCAGCATTGCTTTGTTCGAGGACAGCAGGTGGCCTTTGGCGAGACTAAGGCGGTGGCAATCCCGGTTTCGCGGCGAACCCTACGAGAGTTGGCGCCGGAGCTGGATATCCTGGACTATCAACCTGACTGCGGATGGATTGGAGCCCAACCTGGGCGCTTCTATGAGTGAATGGCCGGCGAAACAAAGCTGCCGAGGCGAAGGGCTTTGGGGCTACTGGTTTGGGAGATCTAGGCTTTTCATTACAGCATCTACGCCTACTACAGAACACTAGAAAACTTTCATCTTTCAAGCCAGTTGTTGGATTGAGAGGGAACGTTAAGTAGGGTCTAAATTTGTCATAAATTAGGCCCAGCCATGTAATAAGAGGAAATTCTAGGTCAGGGGTCTAGGTATAACGGGAGGGATAGGGAGGGCTTGGCGTTGGACAAACTACTTCCTATATACCCTTTTGCTATTGGTACTTTCACTCGTATAACACCAATCTGTCTTTTTCGATCCGCACACCAAACACGGAGCCTTGTCAAGGGTGGTCTGATCAACTAAATAATGGTTGGGGTGAGCATGAACGCCAACAGGAGGCTAGCTTCTGCCCGAGAGCCCCGCTCGTCTCATTCGCTTTACATCCGCACAACAGGACACAATTGCAAGTTGTTCCTGAGTGTGATAACGCAGTTGGCGAAGTACGGACGCCCCGGTGGTTGATGATACTTGTAAATCTTAACATGGCTTTCTTTGTGAAAGCCGAAGGCCAAAAGCTGAACACTGGTTTGTCTGTAATCTGTTTGCCCCCGTCTTTTAAGCTCCAGGTTTCACCTACGCTTACAAAGTCACCACTACTCGCGTAGATTACCCCGGGATCTATTACAAAACATTGAAACGGATTAGACCTAGTACACCTCACGCGAGAATTCAGGGTGATGTCGACAAAAATGCAGTTACATATACCGCAAGAATCATCCTGACTGTCAAGGTCCATTGCACAAGTGTGTGAATACTAACAGGGAGTCACTAAATACACTCTAATACTGGATGATATATCCCTATGATTATATTAGATAGCTAACCTAGTATCCTACGCAGGAACGACTCTATAGTTTCCCACTCCCCTTTTCTGAACGCCAAAGACTTTTGGCTGAATCCTACCTAGCCAGTTTACTTGCCGTTATCCTTAGAAACTAGTATTTTCTCTTCTTTCCCCACGTCCCTAAACTTTACTCTGTGTCTAATGTTAGCACGCACAGTACGGTGGAACATAGCTAGGAGTCTGGTTCAGGATAAACACTGTTAGCAAGCATTGTTAGAACCTTCTCCCATAGTAGAAAGAAGGCAAATCCCCTAAAACTTCCACACTACTTTCCCACGACCGTCGTCAAATAAACCTATCTGTATAAAGCAGCCAAGCAGTCACCTTCCCTTGACATGGTTAACTTCCTTTCTGCGTTCAGTCAACTCTCTCGCCACTTACGCCTATGTCCCACGCACAACACGATTCTAGAGAAGTGTTATGTCAAATAAGCCTGTCATCTATAAATCAGATCCCACTCCCCCGGATATCAAGAGATCTATGACGCACGCGCAAGTATACATCTAATGGTTTTAAAAGGCAAGACCTCACCTGAGTCCCCCGTCCGAATCCGGACGCATCCAATCCTAGTTTTACCGACGATATAAAGAACAGGCCGGTTTAACAGAAGACGAGAACCTGCGCACTTCGTCTGGCCTAGAATCCTCAAGATCATCATCTTCATCGTCACCGTAATGCCTTGGATCCTTCCCCCTACCCATTACTCCAGACCAGTCGCTTTTTATTGGAAATAACACTTCAACCGACAGTCCGATCCGCCAACTCTGGTTTAACTCTCGCAAACCTACTCTTCAACTCGTGCACCAACTCTGTCTTCTCAACCAGCACACCATTCTTCTCCGGGTCTCCATCGAGCAGTCCCATCTCCTTAATATTAACCTTCCCAGCTTTAAGTTCATCCTCACCAAGAATAACTGCCCACGGCACCCTCCCGTTCTCTGCGGCCTTGAACTGTGCTTGCAGCTTCGGCTTTTGCTTCCATGTGAATTCCGCCTTAATACCTGCGTCCCAGAGCTCCTTTGCGACTTCCATTCGCTCGGGCAGGAGACCGGTGAAATCCTTCCCGCCACCTAATGCCATGATGAAGACGTCAACTTCGGTTGGTCGAATAATTTGTGACGCATCTAGGCGAGCCTTCGTGATACTGAAGATTCGGTCTACCCCGAAGGAAATGCCGACGCAAGGAATTGGCTTGCCGCTGAACATGCCCACGAGCTCGTCATATCGGCCACCGGCGGCCACCGAGCCTACTCCCAGTGTGGGGTCGTTTGATCGGTCTTCGTCCTCATCTGCTACCTTTTTCTTCTCTTTTTTTGGCTTTTTGGGCGCATCGTTCTTCGTTACGGCCGGTGCTGACCCTTCTGTAACGACTTCATAGATGACACCAGTGTAGTAGTCAAGGCCTCGAGCGAGGGACATGTCGATAGAGAGAGCGGGGAGGACGCTGAATATGTCGAGGTAATTGCATAATAGGGCCATTTCTTCTAGACCTTGTTTTGCGGAGGCATTGGCACCGACTTCGGGCATTTCTTGGAGCTTTGTAACAAGCTCCCTTCCGCCTCTGAGTTGTACGTACTCACCGATTTTGTCCGCAATTGTGGGATCCAAGCCTTTTTCGTTAACCATTTCGCGTCGAACTTCTTCCCAAGGTGACTATAATTGTCAATATCCCTGCCCCATATATCAACTCCCGGAGCACTCACTTTGTCTAGTTTGTCAACGGCGCTGCTGATGGTTCTAATCTTCTCTTGGGGCACTCCACAGATCTGGAAAATGCCATCTAATATTTTCCTGTGATTTATCTTAATCGTAAACTTCCCCTTCCACCCAGGCAGCCCCTCAAACACCTCCTTCACTATCCTCAATATCTCCGCGTCTGGCAGCATGGCATCATACGCCCCCGCAATATCGAAGTCACACTGATAAAACTCCCTCATCCTCCCTTTCGTCATCGCCGGCTGATCTCGTCGGTACACCTTGGCGATGTGATATCGTTTGATCTGCTGGACGCTGTTCTGGGCGAGATATCGTGCGAACGGGACGGTGAGATCGTATCGTAGTGAGCAGATTTCGCCGCCCTGGTCTGCCAGGTCATAGATGAGTTTGCTGTCTTCACCATATTTGCCAGCGAGGACTTCTCGCAGCTCGAATACTGGGCTACGCTAGGTTAGGAGAGGCATGCGGATGGTTGGCGGGAGAGGCATGCGTACGTGTCTATTGTTACGCCACCGTGACGCCTGCAGGCATGTGTTAGTCTCGGGAATGTTAAGAGTGCTACAGGAGAGGCTGTGACGTACTTGAATACCTCGATGATGGTCGAGAATATCTGTTCGCGGAGAACAACATCTGTCCCTTGCCCTGTAGTCTGGTCAGAAATGCCCCGCACAAACGAAGCTTAAACCATACAATCCCGCGTGCCCTTCGGTGTCTTAAGCTGGAAGTTTCCCTTCCCTTCTTTACCCATATCGTCGATGTGTGTGTCGTGTGCGCGCCGATCCGTAGTGGTCGAGAGCGTGCGCTGGGATGGAGGATAAGCCGTCCAGAGAAAGGGTAGAAGAGGCTGAAAGTGGCCAGAATAAAGAGCAGGAAATCGTTTTCGAGGTCGTGAGGCTACGAACGTGCTCAGACGACGTAGAGTGAGTTGTGTAGGCGCAGGATGGTGGGGCATTGAAGGCGGGGTGAGTCAAAATAATTTGTTTGCATGAATGGAACGGAGAAATTCCATTGCCGATGATAACATGTCACGTGACAATCCCTCCAGTACCATTGACTGAGGCTCTGCTGGGATTTTTGAGTTCAGCACAGCACCATTCATAGTAGACATTATTGCAAGCTCCTCAATAGCAATGAGGAGCCGGATCGTTGCTATTGCCCGCCCGTTCGCGGGCAGAGAAAAAAACTACAAGTTGACATCAATAGCAATTCCCACCCAGAGGGAGAGCAACTCCATCGCTAATGCAAAACGCCATCCAAAATGCCTTTTCCCAATGCTCGACAGCAGTGTGCGTTATGTAAGGATAGACCTTCAATGTACTACGTATAGGAATGAAAGCAATAGGGAATTTGTCTAGCGTGGACGAAGACGAAATGACGATTACAGAGAATTGGAAGCAATTTATGGCTCAGAGGAAATGCGCCGTCTCTTCAGGTAAGAGCCCTGTAGGCACGGTTGAAAGAGGTTAGGAAGAAAAGCGTAATAACCTAACCGAGAAATTACTGTTAGCCTGCAACTAGATTAGAGACTGATAATGATGTCGACTCTAATTTAGCTGTAGATGGTGGAGTTGTGCCGGGTGCTGGAAGCACTACCTGGTCCAGAGCTGCTCGAAGTCTCACTCGGCGTTTGCGGCGTCTGAGGCTCAAGTGACAACTGGGCCCGCAAGGTCATGATCCAATCGTGCTGAAGAAGTTCAACAGCGGACACTCGCTTAGCAGGCTCCTTCTCAAAGCACTTATTGAGAAAGTCAATACCTTGCTCGCTGAGCTGGTCCGTGGTAGGGAGTTGTGGGGAGTTGCCTTGGGCAATGTTATACATGATCGCCCATTCGTTGTCGAGGCTCGCCCAAGGTCGTCTTCCAGTGGCCATCTCGAGAATAACACAGCCGAGGGACCAAATATCGACCGCACCATGGCGACCATGATCTTCTCCTCGAATGGCCTCGGGAGACATGTACATCGGGGTGCCGCCGCCTCCCCCTGCCGTTCCCGGCTGCTGAAGACCTTGTTTGGTGGCCGCATGATCTGCGGCAAGAGTCCTACCCTTTCTTGCAATGACTTTGGCTGCTCCAAAGTCGACAAACTTAATCACTCCATTGTGGTCGAGCAAAATATCTTATTTCTATTAGCATCTTCGTTTGGATAGACAAATAATCCCAACTTACTTTCTGGTTTGATGTCGCGGTGGACGACACCGCTTTCGTGCAGATAAGCCAAACCCTCCAACATTTGCAGGGCATACACCATGATAACCGTCTCATCCTCGATCCGTCCATGCTCAAGCAACCCTGCCAGGGACCCGCCGGAACAGTACTCCATGAAGATGTACACCTTGTCTCGGTGTGGCTCGATACCGTAATAAGAAACGATATTAGGGTGATCGAGAACCTGGAGGACCCCCATCTCGTCTCGAATCTGTGCCACAATGGTAGGGATAAGTTGGGGATCCTGAAGGCGAATTTCTTTAACTGCCATAAGATGACCCGAATCGAGGTTCATAGCCGCGTAAACGGAACCAAATGTGCCACCACCAACGAACTGCCCCTGCTGCCACCGCAATGTGACGTTTGTAGAAGAAGAGGATAAATATGTGAGGGCTCGATCTGCTTCGTTAGAGTCTTCTAGAACTCTTCCAAGGGCCTGGCGTTCGGCTTCTTTTTCCTTTCTAAAGGCATCAATCTCCTCAAGCTGCAGCGTCCATTGAGCTTGAGTCAATTTGATCGACTCTTCATCGTCTTTCAGATTTTTGGGGTCGATCAAGCTCTTGCCTGCTATGGCGTTCAGGCGTTGCCTCTCCGCTTGGGCGGCAATAGTGGATCTCGCTCCCATGATATCGAAATGGGAGATAAGTAGCGACATACAGCCAGCTACTTTCAATCTCAGCCTGGAATACTCTTCGTCGCTGATTGACAATATGTTCTGTCCCCGAGTCATCATCATCGCGAACTCCAGCGCAACCACTGCCCATCGGAATGTTTTGCGGTCCGAAGCAACACAATCGTCGCAAATAAAGCTGACCCAGTCTAATGCCAATCTGGTCAGCTTCAGATTGTTTAGTGCTCGCCGATTGGGGTCCATGTAATAGACCGAGCGCTGGCCAAATTCAGTGGCAAACGCAAAGCAGGTCTGAATCAGATCCTGGCATTCAAGCCCGGCTGTCTGCTTCCTGATGATCTCAACACTGTCCATGATGGTGTTGGAGAGCTTGTACGCTGTCTTCTTGATCTTTTGCAACTCTTGGTTGACGCGAGGTAAGTTGGCTCGCTGCTCGATCAGCTTTGTCAAGTCCAGGCCCACTACTTGCGAGAAAGTAACATTTGCGTTTGCTAGACGTTGCTGTGAGCCATCGGCCACTAATCGCAATCTGCTACCCTTCAGGTCTAGATGTGGTACCCGAATATCTGCACCCATCCTCTTCCCACCCCAAAACAGCGGATCCTCTGGGCGGAGAATGAGCACATAGGGGTTTGAAGGATCCTCTGGGTTCTCCTCCGCGTGGTAGCAGGTGGTTAAAAGGGACTGGATGTCCTTAGGCCTGTCTTGTAGAGCAGGTGATGCAAGAATGTACATGTCGATGTTGTTGGCCCCCTGTGCTTCAACGAGAAAGTGACCCGTCATGACTAAAGCATCGTAGAGTTCATTTAGCTGGTCCTGGTCAAGTTCGATGTGATTAATGTTGTATTCAGTGCAATTCTCGAAACGTTGTGTGAGGAGCCTTGAGAACCTGAACAGCTTCCGCTGCCTAACACGCACAGAATCGAGGATCTGCTTGTATCGTTTCTCCATTTCGACACCTGTGAGTTCCTCGGGTGGACGTTGAAGTTCTTTGTCAAAATGAGCTGTTAGCCTGGAAAGGGATTTCGACGTAAGAGAACTACTAACAGTAAGCTCAGATCCTGCAGAGTGGATGGAAGGAACATACCTGAATTGTTCGGCGACCTCGACGTCACCACCTTCAAGTTGTCGGCCAAGCTTATTTGAGAATTCCCACTCTTGCTCAAGGATTTCGGCTTCCTTGAACGTATTCTTATTGGCAGACAGTTCCCAGTTAAGCATTTTGAAATAAAACTTTAGAGCGTCCAGTACCACAAGATCGAAGTTCTCCTCAATGCACGGGGGAAGATCCCACCCTGGTTCTGGTCTCGATATGATAGTGTAGCTTTCCTTGATCCTACATGCAAGTGTGAGAAGGATCTGAAACTGGGAAATCATTTGCTCGGCCATCAGTATGCCCTGTTGAGTTGGATCCTTGATCTTCTTGGCATATGAGAGCCTCATACGGATAATTTCCTGGACAAGACGAGAAGGGAAGTTGATGAGGGTCAGCAATTCCTCAATATACGGCGGCAGATGGCGGTCTGCAAAGCCTTCCGCATTCGCAATGAGAGTCGCTTTGGCTTTATGTATAACTTTTTCTAGGGCCACGAGTAGACTGGTATTCCCCTGAAGGGACTTGAGGCCGTCTTCCTTTAGAATGCGGTCAATGAATGAGGAGTCGTCCGCCAGATGGTGGTCTTGGGAGGAGCGTGTTCGTGGTTTGGAGAAGTCCAGCTCATCATTGCCAACCCATTTTTTGAGAATCGACATTTCGGTGTTGATGAGTTCAGTAGTGTTGTGCCATGCCATGACAGCTTCGCAGCTGTCCTTGTAGGCCTGAGAGGCTGCCCTGGGATACGCTACCTCCAACGCTTGTCTCGTGGGATAGAGACATTCGCACTTTTCAATCTTCTTGACAATCTCTTCCACCTGAGCTGCGGCAGTCTGACCTGCTTCTGCAGCACCCTGCACCTCGAAGGCGATGATGCTTTCCAAATGTGTCTTAATGTGGGAGCGACCATCATCGACCACTCGCCGTTGTGCTTGGAGCGGCCTCCCGCACACCTTGGCTCGGATGCCCATCCATATCTCAGCCTTTAAGCTGTTGTCGCCCTGTTGTTCCGCGCCGCCTATCAGTCGCTTCTTCTCTTGTTTGACGACGTCCCCAGTTAGGACGCTGGCGAGCATGGAATGCCACTCCAGCCTTTCCCGGTTCTCCGGTATCTTGAGCTCCTCAACCGAGGGCTGCATGTCGTCATTGCCATAGTACAACAGTGTCTCTTGGTCGTAAGGGTCGTTTTCGGGATACTCAGCCGTAGACGGCGACTCGTCGTCCGAATCCGTGTCGGTGCTGTATCCTAGACTCGGGGTGCGCATGTCACTGAAGAACTCATCCTGTTCGTTCTCTTGCCGGATCCTCTGCACGTAGGCCTTTTCCTGGGCGCGGTACTCTGCATTGGGGTTGCGGCGGGCACGGTTCGTTGAGGAATTGCGATGGCGGCTCGTCGTGGTGTTGAGGGAGAACTGCTGCGGGCGGCGAGCCGGGGCATATGCATTCGACGGTGTCCTGACGGCGCTGGGCCTCGTACCTCGTCCGCTGCTCATGCCGTTCGTCTGGATGGGTGGTGGGCTGTCGGTAGGCCCAAGAGTCCCCCCAATGCTGCCGACGGCGCGAGAACGAGGCTGCACCGTTGTATTCCAGCCGTACGCTGCTCCGCTGCTTAGCGGAGGGACCTCATCGATGGGCGTCGTGGAGACAGGAGGCGCAAAATGATATTGGCCTTCCTCCTTATCGTCGAGGGAGCCGTGGCGCTGGCCAAGAGGCGCGTCCTGGTCGGATTCGCCAGAGCTGCTTGAGCCCGAGAGATCCTGGACTCGCGGCTCTGGCACATTTGCGACAACAGGCTTGGTCATGTCAGCGGTGGTGTTTGGCAGTAGGGCATTGTCCTGCACGCTGAAGCGGACTCCTCGAGAAGCATCGTGGCTCATGACGATGATAGTGGTCGTGATATGCTCCTTCGTTCACCCTGTGGAGGCAAGATCAGCGCTGCTGAACCTCGAAGCGGGCTGCCTGTAACTTGCTGTGGCGTTGCTAGAGATTGCACAGAGCAACAAAGAATACTACGATGCCGTTTCAATATGAAAAGAGCTTGGTTGAAGAACTGCTGGATCCAACGCTCCCCTTTGGTTCAGAGCTTGGCCTCCGATTCACAACACGTCTTGCCACCAGCCCCAGATCGGAAGTGGAATTGCACGACACGTTCAGATTAGCTCCCAACCTGGTTTTCTGCCACTTCATGCACCTGGATGGCTTCGCAAAGGACAAAATGCCTGTCTTTTCACGCTGCGTTCAAACAGCGCTACTAGCCGTGCCCTCCCATATATGTCTCACTTCTCCCCGGAAACAGGATTTGGTCGCTTGGATGCGGCGAACCGATGATGATTCAGCAGACACTCCAACCCAGTATCTCGATTACATTTCGCACCACCAAAGAGAAGAGTACGCTTCAGTGAGTACGAATAATAGGAACTGATCAGATTTGTCAAAGAGAGGACACATCCCACTGAGACATCGCAGCTGTGTTTCGTCAAAAGCGGCGAAATTGAACGCCTTTGTAACACATGCCCTACTCAAAGCAACCAGAAATATATCTACCAAAACCCCAGGAGACATTGTTCCAGCCTGTTCTCCGTAATTCGTCGAGACGTCCGGGATAAGGCCGGAGAGTCCTTCAGTTACGCCTTACAGACGCCTCAACCGCTGCGGAGCGGGCATCTCGACCATTGTCTTGACATTCAGGAACAGCCAGAAAGATTGACAAGTCGTAACCTTCTACCGAGAGAAAGTCGGTCTTACAAGAAGTCTATCCATCAGGGACGCCAGAGGGGGGTGCGAGAGGGGACTCTTGTCAGCTGTTTCTCGGGGCACACTGCGAATTTGAGTCCAAGAAATGCTCAGCTCTGGTCGAGAGTCTACAAGACAAAGAATGCTGCAAGCGCCACGGTTGCATAATGGTGCGTTGGTCACCCAGCTTTGCTCTCATTGGCTTCACCATTGATGGTAGCGCTTCACGAACGAGATTGGATCACGACTGCCTCGCCGCCTTCCGCCTGACTGCTTCGAGCTATTTGACGCCGGAATCCAAGAACGTGCTTTGAGGGGAATAAGCAGGACCCTTGTGGTCATCTGCACCTCCCTCACCTGTGCCACAGGAATATATGAATGTTTTGTTTCCTGTCTCTTGGCATCCTTGGCCCCTTTTCTTCTGGATCTACCTTGTGCAAGGCTACGAAAGGGAATACGGATCGGGAGCTCGTTTCTTTAATATCAGCCCAAAGGGCCTGCCCGAACCGTCTAGCTGATGAGACCGAATACGGAACGCTGAGCAGAGGAGAAACCCAAGTCCGTCAGGTGAGTTAGCGTTGCTTCACGCATTCGATTCATACCGAATGAGAAGACTCCTGTGACAATAATCTCCAGTTGACGCAACACTCTAGATCACACCTCTGGTTGCCTCCTCTCACAAACGGCTACTTTGATGGCCTAACGACGGTAAGCCACGCGACGGAATCTTCATGTCGTAATCTGAGGGACTCGTTCTTTGGATGCCCGTTGTTAGACTTTTCGCATGCTATGATACAACCTCAAATACATTGGTGACATTGCGGGCATTTGGTTAATGTGGCTGGCAATACCCGTTGTAATGGGATTGTTTCTTTGTCGGTCCTTTGCTGAAACGGATGGCTAAATCGAGCACTCCACTAGTTGACTCGCTGGGCCTCCACTCTTGGGAGTCTTGGCGATGCGCTGCCCATGTCGATTGTCGGACCCAAAATAGGATCAGTACTCCGATGTTGCTAGGAATATCTGCGTGCACAATCCACACCACTGGCTAGGCCGTACGACTCTGACACAACATACTTACTGAGCGTCTTGTGTTCATGGGCAGGCTGGAACGAACCGACCCTCTTTCACTACGTACTCTGGTTTACCAATTAGAGAAGATAGCCCTGTATTGGCCTGGACAAGCGGCTTGCAGTTTTGCGGGTGGTGGCGGAATCGAAATTGAGTTTGCCCTGCAGTTCGAGGAGGAATACGGGGGTGGATGGAAGGCGGCCCAGGGCGAGATTGGACGGACAAGTATGCAATGCTGAAGGGAAGGCGAGCATTCAAGCAGGGGTGGTTTGCAGGCGACATAAAAAGCAACTGGCCTTTTTATGGTGCCACCGACAAGGTTTTCAAGTTCCAGTGGAAAGTTCCATCAGGGTTCTCCTGCAGTGGAATCGGGGGCCGCAAGATCCAGGCACGAATGCAGAAACAGGCACTGATTTTTGGGGTGTCCGTTTGGAGAGCGAGGGATGCGAGATGAAAGAGGAGGAGTGGAACCAAACCGCTGAACGTATACGGCCGACGGCACAGCACCAACAGAGCGCATATGAGAACCGGAAAGAAATTAACTAAGCTGAGGGGACATAGTTATGTGACGGCTCCAGCCTCGCTGTGCCACACAAAAGAGGTGTGACGAGCAACTCCGCAATGGTTATTGATTATGGAGACTGAGCGCCCGACTGTCATTCGAGGGGGAAAGGTCAGATGTGCAGAAAGCGGAATAGTGCCTGACGGCCCTCCCTGTCGGTCCGCGAGCGCTGGTCCCCGTCAATGTCGGCTTGGCGCGGTCCGAGTGCTGATAAGAAACGAAATGCAATCTTCAACGCCTTTTGATAGGCCGCATCTCGTGACTCTTCTCCAGTCCTCCAGGACCCAGTACGCAGCATTGGAGGCAACACCGCGCGCCTTTTTGCCTGTTCCTGTACAACTGCTTGCGAGTCTGCCTGAAAGCCGGGTTGTCGGGCGGTCGCCTGCTCGTTGTCGAACGCGGGAGCAATGGACAGAGACAGATTTGCCTTCTGCAGCCCTCGCCGTCATCCCACGGGCATGGTTCGACAACCGAGCGACCTAGGCTCTGCCAGTGTCCGCCCCGTTTCGATGGCGGCATCCCTGCGTGACACCAGGCTCTGGCAACAATGCAAACATCGCCCAGCATTGGCTGCAGGCGGTCACATATCTTGCACCCCACCGAGTGGCTTGCTTGTGATCCTGGGGGTTCATGCTTCAGCAGCGAGGCCGTCCGAGCCCTCTGGCTGCAGGGAACGGGAAGAATGCAATGTCCGCACTTATATTCAACCATGGCCCCCTTTAGGCCGTATCCTGGGACCGCGCGCTGAACCTTCTCGCCGTGAATGCGACTTCTATAACACTGTCTTCTGTGCCACACCTCACAGAGGCTCTTCTTGTGTTGACCTCTATCTCGTTGACCGCACTCCCACCTGCCAGCCTTCCCAGGCGCACGCCAAGGAATCCGCACTCTAGATCCCTGGAAGTGTAGTTGGGACACAGCCCTTTGGCTTTTCTTCCGCGCACTCCGTCCGCTCCTTCTTCGATTTACTTTCTTTCTCTTTATACAGCTCCACTTCGCTCGCCAACGCGCAGGTAAGCTCGACTGTAGCGCGTTTGAGCCCCAAGTCTCTGTCGACATTCTCATATATCCATTTTCCGGTCTTGGAACGAAGATCGGAAACAGATCGCGAACATGGACCCTGTCGTATCTGGGCAGTTTCCCACCACACCTCTAGAGGACTTCAAAAACCTCACTGATCCCACTGGGGGTGACTCTTTGACGTACAATCTCAATGTCTTCTACAATGTGAGCACAATGCAAAGTCTCAGCGATCTAAGCTTGGTGGAGCTAATGTTTCTCCCAGCCCGGCGACATTGCTTGGATGATCACATCTACTGCGCTCGTTCTTCTCATGATCCCGGGTGTTGGCTTCTTCTATTCTGGACTGGCGCGAAGAAAGTCGGCCCTGTCGCTACTATGGCTGTCTGTAATGGCCACAGCCGTCGTCTCATTCCAATGGTTCTTCTGGGGCTACTCCTTGACCTTCTCACATAAGGCTGGGAAGTTCATTGGGGCCCTGGATAACTTTGGCCTAATGGACGTCCTCGGCGCACCTTCTGTAGGCAGCCCTCGTATCCCGGATCTCCTTTTCTGTGTGTACCAAGGCATGTTCGCCGCTATCACGTACGTCACCTCACCAGCTGATATCTTGTAACTTGTGCTGATAACGTTGCAGAGTCGCATTGGCTGTAGGCGCCGTGGCTGAACGAGGCAGGATGCTGCCTTGTATAATCTACATGTTCGTTTGGTCGACAGTGATCTACGACCCTATTGCCTGCTGGACCTGGAATCCCAAGGGCTGGGTCTTCAAACGTGGTGGCTTAGATTTCGCCGGTGGAACCCCTGTCCATATCGCTTCAGGCTGTGCTGCCCTTGCCTACTCCTACATGCTCGGAAAGAGGAGGGGACATGGCACACAGGAGCTGAACTACCGCCCCCACAATGTTACACACATTGTGATTGGGACCGTTTTCCTCTGGGTCGGATGGTTTGGCTTCAATGCCGGTTCAGCCCTCTCCGCTAACCTTCGCGCTGTCATGGCGGCTGTTGTCACCAACTTGGCCGCTTGTGTTGGTGGGATCACCTGGTGCCTTGTTGATTATCGTCTGGAACGCAAGTGGTCAACTGTTGGCTTCTGCTCCGGCGTGATTGCCGGTCTCGTCGCCATCACTCCGGGATCAGGATATGTTCCAGCCTGGGCTGCGGTCGTGTTTGGAGTATGCGGTGGAGTCTGCTGCAACTATGCCACGAAGCTGAAGTACTTCCTTCGAGCCGATGACGCCCTCGATATCTTTGCTGTCCACGCAATTGGCGGGTTTGTTGGAAATATCCTGACTGCCTTTTTTGCTGCGTAAGTCTCGCCCGTACCGTCCGCGCGTTCTATTCTAATCGACTCTACAGTGACTACATTGCCCATCTTGACGGGTACACCATCATTCCTGGTGGTTGGTTGAACCATCACTGGGTCCAACTTGGCTACCAACTCGCGGACTCTCTCGCTGGTGGTTCATACTCCTTCGTAGGAACCTGCGTCATTCTCGGCTGCCTCGACTGGCTTGGCAAATTTATGCCCATCTTCAAGCTCCGCGCTACTGAAGAGGAGGAGATTTTGGGTATCGATGATGTTGAGATAGGCGAATTCGCTGTAAGTGCGACCTCATCATTTCTGATGTGTAATAAGACTAACTGGATTGTAGTATGACTACGTTGAGCTTACCCGCGACGTCAAGACCCCTGACGATGTTGATGGAATGTCCGCCCACTCACTGGAACACCCCGAGGCCATGGCTGGTCGACATGAGAAAAATCAAGACTCGGTCGATTCCTCCAATCAGCTTGCCGAATGGGCACACCGCGCCAATTGATTCAATTTTCTTCGGTATTTGCTAAATACCATTGTTTCGGCTGGAGTTTGAGGTTCAAACTAAGGCCGGCAATCACTTAGTTCATTATGATAATGCTTTAAATAGGGATGAGTGACGGGGGACGGTGATGTGAGATGGATCGCATGGTTCTGGCTATGGCCGGGTCATGATGGGGTAAAACTACGGATGGATATCTACTGGATCGACCTTGGGTGGTGGGAAGTCAATGCTAGTCAATGGATGCATCAACCAGGCGCGATTTCTATACCTACTGCTGCGTCATAACTACATAATTTCTGTACTTTTAGTTCATTACAAATGCAAAGGGGATGCAGAAGATATAATGAGATTACACGTGAGAAATCGTTTGAGTTTAGATTCGTCAAAGTTACTTGGTCAGGAAAGGTGAGCGCGACTTCACGTGATTTTACTAGTCATCAATCATGCCCACATCTTCATCCCGTTCAAGCTCGGTACGATCTACCACTTCACATCCAACTCTCAGTCCCACCCACCGTATTCAGAGCCTGCCGTAGCTTCCCTGAAGAAATTTCTTCAGGTGTGGCTGCTGTCGAACGCATAATTTATCCCACGAAACCCCGACAGCCGCTATCATTCTTGTTCAACAACTCCAGTTTCCAATATGCCTCTCATCGGCGCAACCCTCAACACTATGGGCCTAATGTTTCTGACCCACGCGTATGATTTCCTCCTTCTCTCTATCTCCCTTAACAATTCTTTAATGTCATCATTTCCTTACTCTCAACCCCCTCACCATCGCATCTGAAACCGATTGCGATTCTAGACCCTGTTTGAGACCCTCAACCCCAGAACCCAGCTTCCAAGCTTCTCGCCCGATGGCATCAAACTAACACCTACCTAACAGAGTCTACTCCACCTACGAGCACACCGCCACCTTCCCTTCCGCGCCTCTGCCGCTTGACATCACCATTGAACTCCTGTTTTCGACCCTGGTCCTATCAGCTGGCATCGTGTTTTCGTCGCCGAGTCTGAAACCGATACAATGGGCAAAATGGGCGGGCAAGATTGAGCGCGAGGGATGGCAGAGTGAAGGCAGGTGGACGAGAGAAGGGGAGGAGGTGCTGAGTGATGGTGACCCTTATGCCTTCTTAGGTCTAGATGGCGGGATTGGAGGGAAGGGAGAAGGCAGGAGAGGCTTTTGGGATGTTAGGGTGAAGAGGAAGGAGTATGCTGAGTGGGTCAAGACTGGAGGTCACAGCTGAGTCGTAGATGCGACTAGAATGGTATATCCCACAGCCCAGTGAGCATTCTATCGTGGCACTCCACATCCACACTCGCATGGCTGATATGATGAGCCTCATGATATCCAACTAGCCAGTCTATCACAATACCTGCGTAGTCAATAGCCGTTTGGTTACTAATTTTCCGCTCTGTTTTTGAAGATCTATGTTTATGTATATTTGCCTCCCAATGCCCGATGACAATTTCTTTTTACCCACCCGCTAACATCTCTCACCAACAGCGCATTTGCCAAACTGTTCAAATCGTGTTTGGAATCATTCATGTTCTCTCAACCAATTTTTCAACTCCCTTTCTTCCACACCCATGCACTCTACAAGCCCAACACTCGTTCTCTTTGCTGGTTCTCAGCAAATCCTCTTCACCAACACCCCGATCCTTTCCCTTGACTCTATCCCCACTACCCCCTCCTTGCGCATCAACCCCACTAACCCACCAGATTGCCGCTTGCACAATGCGTATAACAATCTCCACCTCACCCTCATCCCTCGGCGCATACACCAACACAAACTCTCTAGGCACAAACCGCCTAAACCACCCCCCTTTTGCCAACGGATGTCTCTCTCCCCACCCACTCTCAAGCACAATCTTCGCGTCTGCTGGATGCAGCGTCATATGCAACGACCCGTCGCTCGGGTGTGCATGACATATCTCCCCGCCACACGTCCGCGTAATCGGCGTGCTGGCGAAAAGCCCAGAGGAATGCTTCTCGAAACAGGATGTCCGTTCTACTAATTGGTTTCGTGGCTCCCGCGCTAGAGTGTGGAGTTCGGAAACCAAGGTTGCGTATATGGTAACGGGTGATTTTTGTGTTTGTTGTCGTTGCGGGGCGATGCCGCGAACGATGGGTCTTCTGCCTTCGCGTTTTGTGAGGCTACATGAGGTAGAGAGGTAGCCTCTTTGTGGGCGGAAGTAGGCTGGTACAGGGAGCGGGCGGTAAGGGTTACGGAGGGAGACGATAGAGAGCAGTTTGATTTTTAGGTACCCGAGGGGGGTGGAGGGCGTGCCGCCAGGGCCAAGAGAAAGGAAGGCGCAGTAGTCATGGTGGATGTAGAGAAGGGTTAGGATAGGGAGTGTGAGGGTTAGGAGGAGGGTTAGGAGTTTGAGGTGGGGTGTTGTGAGGAGGGAGGGTAGAAGGGTGGAGATGATCGGGTTGGTAGTGTCCATGTTGAATGGAGATTGTTGCGTATGGGTTGGAACGAGTTCCAGTTTTGGTTCTACAGGATTGCGTTAATTGAGGAGTTGTCTGCAATTGAGGGCTCAATGGCGAGCGATTTCAATGACCCACCAGCCGTTCAAAATGGCATTAAGCCTGAGCTGAGCTCGGGTGCGTTTATTCTAAACCCGCGTCTGTTTCTCTTCTATCATAATAATGACGAAACATGTAAAGACTCTGGAAAATCGGTGGTCGATGATTTATTGCTCAATCAGCCAGGTACAGAAAGCCCACAACACAGCACAGCAAAAAGGAGCTGGGCGTCAAGCTCTTTAAACCCCCCTCCCCCCTTCGCTCCCTCCTCCAAACTTCGCGCAAGCCAACGCAGCCCAGCCTCAAGCAGTGGACTCTCAGCTCCGCCCGCATCCAATCCATCAAAATGTCAAGACGTCGTACTATCTGCCCACGTGAGATGCCCAATCTCGCCTAGCATACCCGCTTTCAGCACTCCCATAGGCTAGATAACAGTGCCTTGTGACGTTAGAAAGGGCAAATCACAACAACCTCCGAACTCGTTTGTCACGCTGCGTCTGAAGTTTTAGGGTCCAGCTTTCTCCTTAGAGCTAGAAGCCTATCGGCGATCGATTTAGGACAGTGGTACGTTACAACGCGAATAGACCAGCAGGTACGGCATTCCCAGGAATTACAGTGACTTAGGTGGTAACGCCGTCTTGTTTGTCCCTTGATCTGTACCATTGAACAGGAATTGAAGCTCTCCAGAGAGGGATCTCTTAGGTAGCTCGCATGTACCTCCTGATATGCTTAGTCTGCAGAAGAGTATGGTGGCGAGGCGGCGCGTGTGGTTGGCCGGAAACGGTTTTTCGGTGTTGACAACCATGCACACATGCCACATGATGAGATATTGTGGCGGCTCCAGGGGATCAGGAACAGACAGACACATATGTGAAACTACGAGAATTCGATTGGTCGTAGAGCAGAATAGAAGCTTTCACAGCTCCTCATGCGCAGAATCCTGGCGTTGTTCCGCGTTGGGAGTTGGGATATTTGGTCGCGGAAGTTGAGAAGGGTGATGATTGGGAGGGTGGAATTGCCCCATGTGCATGGGAATACATGATGAAGATTGTTCTAGATAAGAAGTCCAGGATATGGGGTGAGTATCAGGCGACATTTGAATCAATTAGCGGCATCTAGACAGACAGAATGTACTAGTGGTGTTGCTGGGCGACGTGGACGCTGGCTTCCTACCTCCACGTCTATCGTTGAAGCACAAAGGTGGGCCATGCAACGAAGTCTTACCAACGCCACACTTTCGTACTGCATGTTATCACAAAAGATGGAACAGGCAGGGCTAATTTAGGACAGAAATGTGTATCCTCTTAGTGCTCTGCCTAATTGCAACAAGAGGTTCGACAGATTTGACTCTACCTTGGCAAAGTTCCACGTTTGGTGAGAAGCTGCAGTAGGAATCGTTCAAGTTGGTCAAAGGAGCCAAAATGTCTTTCCCTACGGAGTACTACTTCCCAAAACACCCTTCAACTACAGCTTGGTACTCTTAACCAATCCTTTCTTAATACCCGTCAACTCACCGCCATACCCTCCTCTCCCCTCTCCACCTCCATACACGGCCTTCTGACTCTTAAGCTTCTTCTTCTTCGCCTCAAACTTCAACTTCTTCTTAACTCTCGGATTCCGCACTTCCTTCTTCCGATGCGGCGTGAGACCCTTATTCTTCGCAATCAAGTAGCTAATCTTCCGCTTCCCATCCGGCCCAATAATCTCCTCAGGCACCACCTTCCCGCCTTCCGCAGCCGCCATCGCATATGCAGCAGCGCGGTCCTGTTTCGCTTCTTTCTTGGCTTTGCTGCGTGAGGCCACCAAATCGTAATAGTCTCCGTCGTCGGAGCCAATGCCACGTGGTTGCGCATCATCAGAGGCACTGTCATCACCTGCGCCAAGAGCCTCACCGGGACCTTTGTCCTTGTGCTGGCCTCGCTTTTCGGCTTGCGCTTGAAGCCTGGCTTGCCTGTCCTTCAAGCGCTCGCGATGAGGTATGTCGACGTCGCCGCCTTGGTCTTTGCCAGCTGCGTCGCGTTTGTTGGATTTCTGGACGATTTGAGACGTATAGAAACGGAGGCTCTTCTTCTTTTTGGCCTTTTCAGCAGCTTCGTGTGCGGTGAGTTCTGTTTCTTCCCCGAAGTCGGAGTCATCTGCGTTGAGCAGGTTGAGGAGTGGTTTGCTCTTCTTTTGCTTGGTAGCTTTTCGGAGCGCGGATTTGTCCGTCAGAGCGGAGAGAGTTTCTAATTCTTGTTCAGTCTTGCGGAGCTTTTCGGCACGGCGGGCGGACGCCTCTGCTTGGGCGGCTTCGGCAGCTAGTTGAGCTTTGCTCTTCTTGAGTTTCCTTTCTTTCTTGGGAGCAACTGGGTCCGTGGGTTGTGTTTCTGGAGCAGAGTTTGCTTCCTCGATAACAGATAGCTCATCACCGTTAGCAGTTTCCACCATTGGATCCGCAGCTGGCAAGCTTTCTACTTTAGCCCAGAGTCGTTGGCACTTGAGGAGGCTCTCCATGACAGGGTGCTCGTGTAGTTCCATGGGGTTGATTGCGATGGACGGAGAGCCATCTTCGCTAGCTGTCGATCCCAGAATCGCAAAATACATGGCCATTGCTGCTAGGTATGCAGCACAGGCTCGATATTTAGTTACTGCAATAGGCGTTGGAACCAGTGACCCATTCACATTGTCCGCCTCTGCTCTAGTCTGAATCAGGCGTTCGGCTGCATTGGCAGCAGAGGCCAATTCGTCGTGGAGAGGTTGTAGCCTTAGGTATTCCTTCGATATAGGCTCGAATTCAGGATATCGAGTCTTTAAGATTTGCAGCTTCTCCTCTTCCGTCATATTCTCGGTGATTTGTAGCTGCGGGAGCACTTCTGTGACCACATTGCCATCACCATTCTCGTCACCGTTTCCCCCTAACCACTCCTCCTCGTCGAATCCAAAATCTGCCTCCGTCATGGCCTGCAACTGTTTCTGCTGTATGCGCCGAGCCTCTGCTTCTTCGTCCAGGGCGTCCTGCTCAGTCTCAATTGTATCGGCGTTGTAGTAGTCCTTCTTGGAGGGGCCCCATCCGCCCAGCTCCTCGTCTTCGTCGCCATCAGCAGTTCGACCGCGCTTTTCGACTCCTAGGTCGTCGGAGAAATCATCGCCTTGGGCGACAGTCTTGCTTTGGTCCCCTTCTTGTTCGTCGTCGTCGTCGTCTTCGCCAGTGCTATAGTCGAGAACTTCCTCATCCGAGGGCTCCAAGAACTCCTCTATAAGACTATGGTTAGTAGTGCATAGTGGAGTAGAGATGGGACAATACCTTGTTCCTTCCATTTCCTCAACCTCTTCGCCGCTGGTCCTTCATCTAAAAGGAGCTTATCCCGATTCAAATAGAATTCGTCTTCAGAGTTGGCAACATCCTCAAATGTTGTGACTCTCATTTTTGAATCATCGATGACTTTTGACTCTTTTGGCTCGCCGTATGGCTTGCTGCCCGCCTTCCTTTTCTTCCCCATCTCTTCTCAATGGCAGCTATCGAGTGTGGATGTTGAATGGTTAGGCGCAACCGTTTTCCAAAAATTTGGTCCAGAGATCTTGGCGTCGCGGGGCTTCGGCAAAACCCAGCCCGATGTCAAGCTTTCATGAAAAGATCCACTAGCTCCTATTGTATCCAGCAAGCATTAGGGCTGATTTCAGTTTCGGAAAGTTTACGAATCCAGAACAAAACAAATGAGGGGTTGGGTATTTAGCCCCTAAAAGTTACAACTATCTACCCCTTTCCTTTCTCACTCTTTCCTTCTCTACGCTTGTTACTGTTTCTCATGGCGATTGGAATCTTTTGGGCTACTGTCTGTCTTTTGATATTCCTCGGAGTTCTGAGTCTCGACGTCATGGGGTTCTTCGGTAGAGGAAACAAATTCCAGTTGGAAGGGCGGGTATACTTCGATGATATACAGTCTTCTCTAACGGGTGAATGCTAACGCGCGGTTCGTAGACGGTCCTTCTCACCGGCGGGTCCTCCGGCATGGGTCGCGAACTCGCAAAGATGCTTTCTGAGCGCGGTGCGAACGTCATAATCGTTGCACGAGACATCAAGAAGCTCCAAGACGCGCTCGAGTACGCAAAATCCTTCGCCAAACACCCGGGAAGCCAGCGTTTCCATATTATCTCCGCCGACGTCACATCCGAAGCTGAAAATGCCCGGATACTAGCAGAAGCAACGGCCTGGAACAACGGCCAGGTTCCTGAGATTGTATGGGCGAATGCAGGAGCGGCTACACCAGGACTATTTGTGGAGACAAGTCTTGAGACCATGCGGAAACAGATGGACATTAATTACTGGGCTGCCGCATACCTGGCGCACAAGACGCTAAAAGCGTGGCTCTATCCCTCCACACCTTACCAAACACAAGACAAGAGCAGCAAGAAAAAATCCGAGGCACCGCGTCACTTCATTATTACGTCATCCTCAGTAGCGTTCATAAACATCGCCGGCTATGCCCCATACGGCCCCGCAAAGACAGCGCTTCGCGGTCTCGCAGACTCGCTCCGTTCGGAAATCCTTCTATACAATGGAGCAAGGAGATCGAATGCATCCACCGGCCAAACCCCACCGCCTTTCGATATCAATATTCAGGCAATCTACCCTGGCACCATCACTTCTCCCGGCCTAGAACTAGAAAATGTGACGAAGCCTCAAATCACACATATTCTCGAGTCGACGGATCCAGTACAATCCGAAGTCCAAGCCGCAGCGGCCGCGATGAAGGGTTTGGAGAACGGGAATTACATGACGCCCACGAACTGGCTAGGAGAGTTGTTGAGGCTCAGCTCGCTTGGTGGTAGTCCTAGGGACAACATAATCAAGGACACCTTAGGGCAGTGGTTGACTAGTATTGTGTGGTTGTTTGTAGGGCCTGATATGGAGGGTAAGGTGTGGGGACTTGGGAAAAAGGAGGGAATGCCAGTTTTCAAGGAAGGTGGCAAGTGAATTGATAGGGTAGAGTCTACTGGCGGCCAGAAAAGGAAGCGAGAAACTAGAATACCGCATTGCGTTTGTCCTGCGTAGGACACTCTCAGCCGTCTCATAGATATACTGGCAACAGCGTTTGCTAATATGCATATACCTACTGCGTACCTCAATCTCTCATCTCACTCGCACAATCACATGATGCTAATATTCCATCCTCTGACCACCATAGCCACAAACACAAACCACTGACTCTAAACCCTCCAATTCCAGTCGTGATCCCAACTCTACCTTCATCCAGCTCCAACAACTACGATTCTCTTAAATCCCTCATCCCAACACAGCACAGCACCCAATCGAACCTAAGCCTAGCTACAAGCCGAGCCAGTGTGGCTGTGCCCACGGTTCGAGGCTTGAACATGTCAGTTTGCACCGCGTCCGTGTTCGCGGCCATCCCATCAGCGTGGTTCACGGTCTCAGCCCCGAGCCACGCTGCTTATTGTTGGTCGCGTTGGCAACCCTGTACCGGTGTGCTGGTACTTCGTGAGGAATACGTTATTTAGGATGGCTGATGGTAGCGGCGTGATCCGCTAGGTGTAGATTAGGCTTAAGTGGGCTAGGTCTGAGTATGGGTGGGCTGGGTTGACGAGCGAAGCATGGGCGTAGACGTACTAGAAGTCTGAGCGCGAGCTAGTTCTTTTCCTAAGCCCGGATTTTGCGTTCGAGATTGTGGTTAGGTTAGGCCGGACGAAGGGCGGATATGCCTATGTGGGCATGGATGACGTGAGTTTTGAGTCTATACTCATGGACCTGCACTTTTGTGGGTCAATTGCCGGAACATGCGGCACATTTAGGGCTGCTTGCTTGATAACTACTCGCGAGGCGTTCTCGTTAGAAATGGTACTAGATGCTTATCCGCGTAAATGAGTTAGGTAGTCGTGCACAGGGGGGCCAACTTCGTGCTAGAAATTGACAGCTAGACATCCGTCCTATGCAGCATGACAATTCATCGAAAACCAACATTAGACTCAAGACTTGCTATTTGCTCTCAACTGCTGATATCTGATATGCAGGAGGTTGGGTATAATAGATGGATAGCCAGAGGGTAGATCTGTGGTTCGTAACATGCATCCTTAAGAATAGAAAAAGTTGGACGTGGAAAGAAAATCTGAAACAAGAGTCGCTCAAACGCAGAATGTAGGAATGCGTGCGTGATATGATGGGAATAATGCAATGCAGACTGTGAAAAACAGAAACAAGGAGACGGAAACAAGGAAATTCAGCGGCTAACAAGTCAATGGCCCAGTGCATTCGCCACAGATTCCAAACTATAGTCTTTCACCCATTGCTCTCTGTTCCCGGCCTTCCTGGCCAATTCGTACCTTCCCTCTCGTTTGCTGCATGTCACGTGGGAATGTCTACGGCGATGGTGTGTGTACAATCTTGGGTATCTGTGGCATAGGTTCCACCGGGCTATTGTTGTCGTAATATCTCGTGCTCGCTGTACTCGTACTCCTTGGTCTACTCGTCCTCACTCCCAAATCCGTCTCGCTCTGCTCTTCCGGTACGGGGAAATTCCGCAATCCAATGCTACCACCCGTCGTCGCGCTGTATCTGCTGCTTCTGCTGCTTCTGCTCACTCCACTTCCGTTACTGCCGGCCATATCCGTCCCATCATGGGCTTCGTCTACCGGTGTGACAACCACGGGAACCAAGCTCAAAGTCTCCATGCTCATGCGCCGATTGTCAACATTCGAGTCGACATAAAGCGACACGCTCGAATTTCGGTCCCTACTGAACATGCTAGACTTGTCGTCTGCCTCTGGTGTTGGCGCAGCATTTGCTAGTAGTCCGCTTTTCTGGGAGTTTGTTCGGAAGGGATGGTACGAGGAGACGCGATGCGATGGCGGGAGTTTCTTGCGTTCGGCGCGCTTGTGGAGCCAGAATGCGATGAGCATGATGCCAAATGCAATGACGAAAAACCCGAAGATAGATAGCGCGACAATGGAAGCCTTACCCCAGCTCCCTTCCTGAGGGGTTCCTGTTGAGGAAGGTTTGGCTGGGGAGGGGCTGCCGTCGACGGGCGTGGGAGCCATGACGGCGACGATGTTGCGATGTTGATTCAAGATAAGGTCAGCCGATCGATAGTTGATATACGATATTGAGAATCCAAGGTGGGACCAGGATGTATATCTAGACCAGGCAGACAGACGGGAGGCTGAAGCTTGTGCAACGAAAAGAAATACGAATATAGAATTATGCAATACGCGGCTGAGACAGTATTCCACATGCACTAAAACGGCAACCTAGGAATAAGAAACACCCTGAAGCATGAAGGAACCCATCAGTCAAAAAGGTACCTAGGGGTCAGGCAGAAGATATACTATGAGACAGCCAGCCTAGAGAAGGAAAAGAAAGTGGGTATCCAGGAGCTTGGATCAAATCTTCTTGTGACTAGCGAACTGGTTTTAGAAAAAGGCATCCCATTTTCTTGTCATTTGCAAAACTCAGCCTCACTGTCTGTGTGGAGATCGTGAGTCTTCACAACACGCTTTGATTCATGGCTGGGTTTGCTGCAAGATGGCCAAGTTTGGCCCCTTCGTATGATATTCAAACCCGCTCTGAATCCTCGAAGAAGAGGGCGAATAAGAATGGTCAAATACCTTAACATCCGCGTTTAACTTAGTTGTTATGGGATTAATCGCATTGGTGGCCTTCGGGAGGCGGTGGCAGAGTGGAAGACCAAGTAGCCAGCCGGAAGGCTGGGTTTCAGCCCTGCTAGAGCATGGAATAGGCGCGATCCAGTCACGAAGCGTGTTCAAGCACGCTTGGGAGCCACACCGTCTGCTTTTGCTGTTTGGGGATGTGCCGGGCTGATGATATCCTGCAAGTCTTCATTGTTCTGAGTTCAGCTCGTCAGAATTGGGAGGATCAGAGAAATGCGATCGATCTCACCACCAGCATCTCACCTTCGCCTCCTGCCATCATCATGGGAATGATGATTACTTGAAGGGCTAAAGTCGGAGACTGAACAAAGTGATGACAGTGCGGAAACTACTCGGCACACATACCGTGATCCCCAAGCTTGTTCCGCTCCAGAACATTCCGCTCCGCCACCTGCGCTCAGCTTTGCCGAATAACTAGGCTCCTTCACTCTGGCTCTGCAGTGAATGGGGCTGTGCCAAGTTCAAGCCTCTGCAATTTAATGATGCAAAAGCACTCGGTGGGGGCCGTTGTTGGGAGTTCAGGCCCACTGCCCGAAGTCGCTCTGGTGAAGCAGTGGTGCCGCGCCATGGCAGCAGATGTGAATGTTCCTGCAGACAGTAAAATGAGGCTCTGCAAGACCAAGCAACATGACTGGGTCCCCAGGGCGCCTTCAAAGCGGTAAGACGGGCGACGGGGCGATTATTGATGCGCGTGATGAAGAACTGCGTTGGTTTTTGAGACCTAACTGCTATGATATTGACGGACAGCCTGGCGAAGGATCCAAGAACGCACACCGCAAAGAAATCCCTCGATGAGCCGCGTCCAAATTTATCCCAGCGATTGGACATCCAACACCAACCCTCGAGCCGATCAAGAATTCAAAACAAATTACATTCCAGAAAGAGACAAGCTGCATAGCGAAATGAGGACATGAAGTTCAATTTGGGGGCCTAGTTTTAGCCGCCGAAGCGAACACTCACAGGGTTCAGGGGCGATGCCGTTTCAGGTTAGTCTCGGAGGAATCTACCTGAGTACCTTTGATGCATCCAAAGTCCACCGTCTCATAATCGTGAGCCTTTGCCGCCGAGTTCTAAGGTGCTTCAAGCTCCTTCCAATAGCCGGCGAGCTTCTCTGTATGGAGGATTGTTGTGGTAACGCTGAGATGCAGCTGAGCTTCGAAAATTCGTCTGTCAACACAGAGGATGTATCACACATGCGCACGCAAACGTTTCATTGATCATCAAGGACGTCAGATTCTAGTTAAGGTAAGAGAGATACTTTCTCTTAAGCCATTGTCAATCCTGATGCATGTTAGAAAGGCTGATTCACCTACGTAGCCATTCAGTATAGGATGACGTATTTGCTGAAGTTAAATTTCTTCAGTACAGCACCCAGAAACATTCATTCTACCACAGTAAAGACTCTGTGCAACGCCAGCACGAACCTTGAGAGATTACCCAGCTATCCAGTGCGCACTGAGCGACGCGTCTGCGCCCTATTAGTTCTGAAAGGCATCCTTTAGACTCATTGCTTCCTCTCCCTTCTCGGGGTTCTCCAACCACTTGTCCGTGGATTGTACCATAGTTCATAGGCACAGAACCCCACCCCAATCAAAGTCTACTTGCAAGGCATTCTCCTTGTAGATCTTAGCCGATTCTGGCGGCAACTTCTCCATTTCCTCGAAGAAGAATTTTTGAAGCTGTGTTTGCTCGTATTCTTGCTGCAGCTCCTCGGAACACTCTTTTGGTTCTTTAGTCCCATCGCCCCTTTTTTTATGAAGAACTCCTAGTCCAAAGGCTCATCATATGACCGGTCGTTATGAAAGTGTGACATTTAACACGTACACCAGAGAGGAACGGTTTGGATGCATTCCCGATAGACGATAACAGTGACATCTCCGGTGTCATCTACGAGGGTGTTGGCGGCGTTGAGGTCGTAGTGATGTCGAAAAAAGGACCTATTATCTTTGGTAAATACCGTTGGGAGGGGCTTGAGGAGCTGAGTCGCATGTCTCTTCGTGCCAGTTGCAGCATTTAGTTCGTTGTCGTTCCCGTCTAGTGAAACGCTCTCAGTCGTTGATGCAGAATTGGAGACACGCTTCGAGCCAGTCATAGCTATATTGAATGGTCCGCGCGATACTTCCTGGCTAATGTAGTTACCGATTACAACAGCAAGGAGATGGCCTAATTCAAGAAATGTGAGTAGAACTTATCTGGGTCTTACTCCACAAGGTCGTAATCTAGTCTAATTGCTATTAAAACGGGCCACGACATTAGCCAACTGTGTAGAGACTCCTAATTTGCGAGAATTGTTTTCGGAATATTGTACCACGTACCCAATGGCCTTCTTGACAAGGGCTTCCTTCTTTAACATTTTGCTAGGTACTCCATCCATCAACACCCACTCGAAATCGAGCTCGTTGTCGAAATCCGCGCTCTACTTGAGTACCGGTGGAAGAGGAGCCCGAGTGGATTCCACGAAAAAAAAAATGGTTTGCTGAATACTCGCTCAGCATCCGCAACCCGAGGTGAACTAGTAGAGCAACGCTGGAGACGTAATGCTTGTCGATGCGCATTCACATCGGAGCATATGAGAGTGAAGACCTCGTTGACCGAACCTTCGACGAGGAACTCAGCCTTGCATAATTCGGTTTTCGTAAGCCCAAGCTCATTTTGTACAATTTTCCGATAGCTCCAACGTCAGGTTCAGCCGTCCGGATAGGTTTCGAGCCTAGGAAATCCTCGTAAGCCGATTCATTGTATGCTTAATAGTGATAAGGTCGTAGAAACTTAGTCCTTTCTCAGATGTAACTTCAGTCATCTCAGATAGCTGCACAATGATATTAGGGTGTGGGGAGGTCATTGTACGGCTGGTTAGTTGCAAGTTGTGAGTCGTGGTGGGGTGGAAGTATGGAGGGCAGTCGGCAATTCATTCACGCGCGACTAGCGTCACTTCGCTGGTGAAGTATTGACGTCGCTGGATGCTTCCTAGCGAGAATATTTCCACTTCCTTCCTACACAGACCCCCCTCAAGTCACCTGGTAATCCCTCACCGATACTTCGTTTTCTAAATCAACTTCCGCGCGAGGCTTTATGAATTTCCGTTCGTCACATTGGGTAAACTCACTCATTCCAAACGCATTAAGAACTTCATCGACGACATCCCGAAGGACAAGGTTGAGGGGAGGTATCTGGAGTAGTACGATTTGGAAGGAGGAAGATATGTGGCCCGATATGCAGAAGGTAATTCAGGGTCGTTCTCTGTCTCCTCCTGTGCTCATTCTTTGTGATTGTCGTCTGACTCCTTCCAGGTCAATTTGGCGAACGCAGATACTGACAAACTAAAGTCATAGAATCTGAAAGTCCAAGTGAACTAGGGTTCCCCTAGCCGAGCTTTCGGGAAGATGTCTCCATTCTCAGTCGCCATCTGCGTCGCCCCAGTTGACGGTCCTTAGGATGTAGACAAATTCCGATCTGAGACTAGACACCAGTTAATATTGAGTGTGTAGTCAAGCGGAATCCCTTCGTCGTCATAGATCGAGGGTTTCTCTATGCATATTATTCATGACCCCATAGTTAGCTTTATTCTTTAATGGAGAATAAACCTCCATTGGGTCCAACTCCGCCACCTCACTCATATTTTTGCCCTCCCATCGTGGCCACGCAAGAAGTGGGTTTTGCGGCGCTCGAGGCTTGGGTTATAGGATTTATGGGTCTGCAATGGCGCTAGGCGATGGTTTATCGAGTCGTACAGTTTAACAACAGCGGCAAGCCAATGGTATAGAAATAGGTCATGTAAGTAGATGCGTACCGTATATAGCAATGGGCACTTGTGCCTAAAAAGGTGAAAACTCACTAGCCGTTAACAAACTCGGTGCATTGCATCAGTAAGACTAATAGAATGGGAAGGTAGGGTGAAACGAAGGGAAGGCTATCGTAATTGGAAGGACATTTTTAGAGCATTACTTGGTAGTTGTTCAACTATGCATACAATAGAATGAAGTTGGTGGACAAGGCTCAATCCTAAGTAACATCGAATTAGCCCGCCGACTCGCCATAGATACACAATGGCTACGGTAAAAGGGTGGAGATTGTTGACAGGCGATGCTCTTAAATGAGAATATACGCGACGCTCGTATATGAATGTAACTGGTAGGTTATTGATGAAGAAGGAAGAGGCCGGAATGAGTTGGGGTTGTGAGAATACGAACAAGGATTCGCAGGACGTGGCTGAGCACGATATCCCACTGATCGTCCATATATTTGCATTGAGTTTCGAAACACATTTAGTATCCGCCTATTCAACAGATGTTTCGAGTTCCGATCGAAATCTCCGACTAAACGATCCTGCATGACTGTGGCGGAGTTGGAGAATCCTGCGACCAATATGCCTTCCCTTTTAGGAAAACGTAACATCGGAGACAACATGGTCTTAGGAGAAATGCATCCTACATTCGTATTCATTGTATCTTGATTTCCATGTATAAGAAGGTCACAGCCTCGCCCGGTTTTATTTTCCATTCCGCATCGCCAGGTTTCAGCTTCGGACTGAGGACCTTTCTTTTACTCTGTGCAACCAGTCACTCTTTTCTGATACATTCTTTTGGCAAACTCTTTACACTCGTTAAGTTACTTGAAACCCTTTTTTCTCAAAGAGATTTATCTAAGCCAACATGTTCTTCAACCCGAGAACTCTCCTTCTCGGGACTCTCTCCCTTCTCTTCACTCTCAGCTCTGCTAGCGACTGCGACGAAGGACCTTGGGCTCCAGTCTCCGCGACAGGGTCGTCAGACACTGGATCTCCATGGTGTGAGACGAAATGGAAACAGGGACCGATCATCACTGGTGTAGAGGTCTGGTCCAACAACGAGCGCGTCAGAGCTATCCGATTCTCTTACTCTGATGGCTCCGTTGGTGAGCTTCACGGTAGAATTGATGGAGATCGACACGGAATAATCTCATGGGATCCTGCCAATGACAAAATCATCCAAGCCACCACGTGGGGCGATGGCAAGGCGCACGCTTTAGGCAGACTCTACCTCAAGACCCAGACGGGTAAGGAACTCAATGTAGGGAAGGATACCGGCGGTCAGGCTTCTTTTGATCATGATGTCGGGTCCGGTATCATGATGACTGCTTTCGGGCGGCAAGGTTATGACATTGACCAACTTGGTTTCAACTTCTTGCGTGGGGAGATCAAGAAGATCACCATCGGAGACGTCAAGTTTGAGGAGAATCCAGATGATCTGAACGCAGAGAAGAAGTGAGTTTCTGTTCCGTGAAATTGTTAACCTGCGAAGGACGTGCGGCTAACTCCTAACAGGGGCTTGCAGCCAGTCAGTCTTGACTACCAACATCTCAACAACATCAACGGCGGGGACAAGATCTACAAAGAAGTCACTCACAAAAGAACTGAGAAAACAAGCAAGACATGGACTCAAAGCACCATGCACACATTCGGCATCAAGTACTCTGTGGAAATCTCCGGCGAAGTCATGGACATCGGTGTCAAAGCCTCCTACGAACTCAGTTACCAATTCCAGAGGACGGATACGATTTCAACCACCGTCGAGGATACCAAGGAATTTGGCTGGACTTTCAAGATGGAGGTCAGCCCTGGAAAAGAATTGTACTGCCGTGAATTTGCTTGGCAGGGAGTCTTTAACGGCAAATATACCAGCACGGTAGGTCTTCCATTCTTCAACCAAGGGACGAAATTTTCACACATGCTAATAATAATTTTCCCAGGTATCTGTTGAGCTCGAAGATGGGTACGTGTTCCAATATCCCGAGTCTGGTCAGATGAACCAAGTTCAATGGAGCGAGTCCACGGACGAATGTCGAGACACAGACTTCGATGATGGTATCCCCAAGACACCGGCTAAGGAAGAGTCGACCAAGAGAGCTATCACATTCTTTGCTTAGAATTGTAGCGATTGAGTAGAACTACCCCGCTGGAGGCGGGGCCCTGATGGCACTGACCATGAGCTCAAGAATATACTGGGCGGTGGAAGGATTACTTCTTCAATGTACTATTTGAATTAAGATTATTTTTATTTTTTTGGGCTTGAAGTCCGTCCAATTTGTACTTATAATTCCCCCGTCCATAAAATTATCATGTATTTAGAGAGTATATATTTCCAAGTTCATGCCTTGCGCACAAAATGGGCGCTGTCTAGCTGCCGATAGCCCAATAAACGTTGTAATTGAACCCTTGAGCGTCATAAAATGGACCCAACTTGACGCTTTGCCCATTAGCAGTCGCTGTAAAATCCAGACTAGAAGTACTAGTTCTCTTAATTGAGGTCAAGGACAGTGTTGGCATTGAAGAGACCGTGGTGCTGCCATAATTCCCAGATAAAACAACCGGTCCAAAAGCAACAGCCGCAACACTCGTCTGATCGTTCGCGGCGATCGTTCGCAATGTCATCGGTAGTCTCACAGTGACCGTGTCTCCGGAGGTCCACGTGCGTGAGATTCGGGCATAGGATCCTGGAGTGGCGCTTACGCTTTGTTCCTGACCGTTGATGGAGATTTCAACGTTTGATGTCCACGATGGAATGCGAATATTCATTGCCCAGTCTCCAGTGCCGGTCACCTTTAAGGTCGTTGTATCGCTGACTGGGAATGTAGTGGTTTGCGTCACGGTAACGCTGCGCTGGGTCCACTTCAGCACGGAGCCTGTGAACAGATTCACGTAGAGGCTTGAGCTGTCGTAGCCGTAGATTGAATCCATTAGTTTGGTATTTGTCTCCATGCCGGTGCCTTGACAGCACCAAAAGGAATTGTAGTCCGTACTCCACGTGCCTCCACCCCATGCCGGACCCACTCCGCGACGCCCACCGGGATTGAGAGGAGTGAAGTAGGTTATGTGTCCGTGACTGTCTGCTGGATTTTGCTGGCCAAGAAGGTGGTTTATTAGAGTCCGCTCATAGAAGTCGAAGTAGGCAGTTGATGAGGGGTTCAACGTCCACAATTCTCTAGTCAACTTTAGCATGTTGTAGCTGTTGCATGCCTCAGCAGTGTCGTTGGTGAGATGCGAGGCGATGCCGTTCGGTTCATGGAAATGCTCGGCTTGGCTGTTTCCTCCGATTGCGTATGAATGCGCTTTGATGGTTATGTCCCAGGCATTGGACGCAATATCTCGGTAGCGTGCTGTTCCTGTAGCCTTGAATTCGCGAGTAGCACCGATCCACTTAGGCACCTGCGTGTTCGCATGTAGCCCATTGAGTTGGTCCTGGTTCGATGCCAGTGGGTCGAATACAGCTGCGTGATCGAACCGTTGGGCGGCAGTGAGCCAGGTCTTGTTTCCAGTCTGATGATAGATATCTGCGAGAACTTCGTTCATCCCGCCAAACTCCGTACCCATCAAAGTTTGCATCTGGCTGTAGTTCAGTTTGCTGGTGCGGGTGTTGACCCATGCTGCAAGTGATAGAAGAACGTCCCGGGCTTTTGTGTCTCCAATGTGTTTCCAAACGTCGAGTAGCCCAGCCATAGTCTTGTGGATGACATAGTATGGAACATTCCCATTGCTAAGCGTCCGTGCCTCTAGAGCAGTGAAGTCGGACTCTGGAAATCCTGAAAGATATCCTGCGCTGAATCCTGCAGCCGCGTTATTGGCCTGACATTTGGCTAGTTCAGCCACGAAGTAGGCAGCTCGGTCTCGACAGGTAGTATCTCCCAGAGTGGCATAGCATTGTGCCCACGCTGTAAGGAAATGACCTTGGGCATGAGTGCGAAAGGGGAATGTTGGTGCATCCCATCCGCCATTTGACGTAGCGCCGTTGGTGGACAGCTTATGGTTCGCACGGAAATTGTAGAGCAGCCGCTCGACGTCGACCCATTTTAAATATGTGAGCGTTCTCTGCTGATTATCCAAAAAGCGGCCACTGGTGAGTGAGACTTGGCTGAGATCGAAAGCAAAGGCAGAGGCACCTATCTCTGTGGCTACTGGAGGAACTGCCTGAGAAATGGCTGAAACGATAAGGCCAAGCGATGCAACGATGATGTGCAGCAAGCTGCGGCTACTGTTATATCCGATCATTATTGCTCAGGGGTAGGTTCTAATGATAATCAGTCGCTGTGAAACGAAGGAAAATGGATTGGTTGTAAATCGCCTCAAGTTGCCTTTCGGTAAAACAAGTTTAGAAATTTCAAGTTTGCCGGCAATGCAGGTGCAGGAAGAGCACATCGTCTTAGAGAACAATATATATCAAAATTGTCGTCCTGGATTTATGGTAGTCGCACCACGTTTCCCCGCACAAGTAGATGAGCATGATCGTCGGAGTATCGTCGTCGTGAGCCCCAGATGATGTGGAGCAAGATCCCCTTCTGGAATAATATCTCTTTAGTCGGGAGATTTTCCGATCAGCGCTCCCTCTGGCATCAAACAACTCGTGGTAGGAGGTAATTACTCCGGCATTGTGCTCCTTTCAGTGCCGACGCTGAGCTTTCGGCATTCTGGCGCCAAACTCTCCACCAGTCAGGACGCGAAAGAGGGATGGGCCGACTGTTCGATGAAGATTTCCAAATTAAATGGTACGAGGGGTAGTTATGCTCGATATGCAAGCGCCATGGAAGAGACGATGATGAGAAAGTATTGTGTCCGGCTTCACCAGGTAGTTGAAGTCAGAAAGTGAGCTAAGACCGCTAAACCCCTCTTAGCGGTCTGCGTAGAAGTCTCCCCTCCAAGATGGAGACTGAACATGGTGACTATTAAGTTAATATTTGAGGCCATTGGGTTTTGAACCTGCAAGTATATGTAGTCCCCGGTCCCGCCTTTGTGAGAATCTGCTGAATCTCACCAATCGGACCACACATAAGGAGGCGTTCCAAGAAGGTGCGCAGCCCCCATCCTAAAGGTGACGCTTCACCTTCTATCTCGGTGAACCCTGAAACTACGCCTATATCTGGGGCTGTACTGGGAGTTGAAATTGGCCACGAGCTCCAGGATGAGGTAATGAGAGAAAGTTATGAACAGCCAAATTGGCCACCATTCCTTTTTTGTTGACTACCATAATGTCAAGCGTGTATTACATAGTATCCTGAAGGCTCTGGATTTGCCCAGAAGTCTAAGAACAAATTTGCTGTTGGTGTGAAGGATAGGAAAAGGCATTGAGCGATATGTTGATCTTACCTCCCTTGTAGAGTCCAAACACGGAGAGAGGAGACCAATGATGGAGGAAACACGAAGTCGATAATTCCACTCCGAATTTCATGATGGAACCTCAAAATAGATGCCATTATTTCCTCCGTGGAGCAAGGAGTCTTGTGTTCCAAGGTATTGATGAAATCGAGGGAGCATATGCTACAAGTGGCGCGAATGCGTGCGGAACAGCTACTTATGGGAGCACAGAAGAAACGACCGAGTGCGGCTTCTCGCCACACGGTTGACATCTATTCTTAACACGCTTGTGTTATAGTTTATTTTGTCGATAGTCATGCCCTCCCAAAAGTTCTCTTTTGAAGCATGTTCAAAGCTATGCTAGCACTTCCTACAGAATATTGGTCGGGGGGAACCTAAACTGCTAAGTATCTTGCTAGAATCCAGGAGAGTGGCAAAAGGATAAACATTCCTACCAGAAATCATATAATTCTTATTTGGGAGGCAGGGCAATCGCGGGATAGCGAAAGTCTACTCACCACACCCACTTTCACTTTCAGCATTGCTATCACTGCTAACTAGCTCTCTGCGCCGTACTCACTCGGTGACTCGAACCACGCAAACAACCATTAGCAGACCTTGGCTGAAAATAATTATTATCTTTCTAATTGTCCTATAAATATTTCAAAAATCTCGAAGTTTACAATAATGATCATAGGCGGTTTGGCTGTTATAGCAAAGAGTCCACACTTTGCCCCTCAAGCAACCTCACTACCGATGACCGATCATTAAGGTTGTAGTTCGAGTAAACGTGGTGCTCTACAACTGAAACAAAGAAACCAGGGCCTGTGAATAACATTGGTAGCAGGTCTGAGGTTTCTGGGTTCTGAAAAAGATTCCTCTTTTGCCTCTTTTATTTTATTTTATTTTTCTTAAAAATGCCTTTTTAGGTTCCTTAGGTTTTATGGGTAGGAAGGGGTTGCTAGGAAATTGTAGACGTGAGAGAGTCGTCGCGAAGTGAAAGGCGGGCTGTGGAAGCCCATAGTGACGTGGGAGCTGGGAGACTTCGAGTCTTTGGCGACGTGCAAAACTGATATTTAGCTGTGAACGTTGAAAGACCTCGTCAACAAAATGTTAGGTTAAACGCTTTCTAACTTAGCAAACGCTCAGTCAAGAGGACTAAGGTAAGACTCTACTCGCGGGCAATGTAAATTTTCTTAAATGAATGCCAAGCAATGGGAACCAAATAGCATCTACTCTTTACAATGAAAGCTCTGCAACATACACAGTATGCATACATATCATACTCTACCATAAAGTTTAAAACAACCTCCCTCTCCCCTATTCATCGCTTATCACTCCCTTCCATAGTTCCGCATGCAATTGCCCAGAGCTAATACCCTGAACCCACTCGCACCCTTTCTTCAATTGCACTTGCACTAACTCTATCGCAATCATGTGCCACTTGATCTACAAGCAGTGCAAGTACTATGATAAAATCAAGTACTACTCTGCAGTTAATTGCTGCGATGGCACTGAGTTCCATCCCTCGTCAAGACCGCCATCGAGTGTCTGAACGTTGAATCTTTAGTCAGTGTAAACAAGGAATATGTAGGGCGAGTAGGGAAATATTTAATGAGTATTTTTGAGAGAATGGCTATAATTTTGCTGTGACATTGGTGATATGGCGAGATAGCCTTATAGAAGGGGACGTCGAGGAAACAATAGAAAACGCAGGAACTGCTCGTAAATATAAATTTCGGAAGTGTTATTTGTGTGGATTATCGTGAGAGGTCAAATTTGAGCAGTACATTTGGTATGTCCACGCTGTCGGAAGGCATACTGTATGTGAAGTTCCAGAACTCGAAATTGCTATCGCATTTTAGCTAAGTTATTGTACACGACAACACGAGGATAGGCGAGGAGCTCTGCGCGCCGATTGAAATCAGGAAAATGGAAATGAGGACCTACTTGATCGTCTCCCCAGCGCCTCCAACCAAACCATTAAACGAAACTACATACCCCGGATCAATCGTCCCGGAAATATTCACACTCATACCTTCAACATCCGCCCAGCTGGCAACGTCACGCTTACCTGCCCTTGAATTAGTTCCTACCAAGAAAGTGAAGGTGCTAGTGCTGTTGCCGCTAGGGTAGGTAAGATTCAGTGTTTTCTCGCCTGCCACTGCAATCAAATCCATGACTTGAGCATGCAACGTCAACCAGCCAACGGTCCCGTCATTCCTTGCCCATTGAACAACCGCAGGATTGAAGCTATTGGAGCTCCTTGCTGGCCCACCGAAGACATTTTCAGAGAAAGTTTCGGAACCGATAGTGAGGTACGGGGACATCCAAGCGGTAATGTTGCGAGGGTAGGTGTCGTAGGGTGGCGAGAACGCGGAGGTCTGGACAGTGTGGGTACCAGGAAATGTCAAAAGTGAGTTAAAAGTCTCGTTGTCGATAAGGGTGTTGTGAAAGGGGGCGAGTATAGCCACAAGAGGGCCGATGGCAAAGTCGTCCTTGTGGCCCATGGCATACGGCTGCAGACAGGTCAGGACGAGTTGCGAAGGAACGTCTTTGAATATACCTTTGCATTGATGGGTGCATTTTTTTTCCCGACCAGTGTCCACATCTGCAAGGCAAGAATGCTTAGATACCTGTTCATATCATACCCGTAGCTTCGATCCCACGGCCCTGCCACATTCTTCAAGTTGGCATTATACAAGGAGCCCAGTGTAGCCCAAGTTTTTCTGATCATGTCGCCGCCATATTGCCCCATGGACGATGATTCCGGCATGTATTTCGCCCAAAGGGTCAGGGCAAACAGGGACACACCAGCATAGGTGCCTGAGTTGAACTCCGATAGTGTATTGGCTCGAGTGAACAGATCGATGACCTCTTTTGCGTAGATTTCACCAGCAGTAGTCATGTTAGACTCGTTAAGTCGTCGGCCCGTCCACCCAGTCACAAATGCTCTCATGATCGAAGGGTTGCTGTAAGCCGGGTAGAGATTATCATCATCAACTCCTCCAACACGGTAGCTATCGCCAATACTCGTATTATACAAACTCTCTAGCATATATTCCTGGATTTCATGCGGAATTAGATGCGGGAACTCCTCGAGTATCAGAATGAAAGTCGTTCCTATGAAGCCTCTCCAATTCGGATCCCAGGAATTGTAGATTACCGGCGGATACTGCTCCCTGCCGACGGTAGGTTCTTCAGGGTAGATTTGGTAGTCTCCATACCATTGGGAGCTGGCATTTTTGTGCTGACCATCGATGACATTCCGGATAATCCTCACCGCTTGCTCGACATCGTTGCCCTCGTTCCTGGCCAATAGTCCTGATGCATACCAAGCCGATGCGCGTGTTTCATGCGTCAAGGCAGCCGCATTTAGGGAGTAGAGATACCCTGTTTCGGTGTCGTAGTACATGTCCATCCAATTCATCGATTCGTGAAGGAGGTTGAGGGCGAAACTCAATGTATCATTGCGCCTGACATGGCTGAGAGTCCCACAGGACGCGCTCTGCAATAAAACAGGAAGAAAAAGCACGGATATCAGCAACTGGGCCATGTCTAGGAGTAGATACACGATGAGAATTAAGAACCAAATGCGACGCCATGATCTTAAACCCTCGATCGGACCAAGTCAACGGCTGTAACCACAGATGTGACTAGAAATAACCAAGAAATTGGCATTATGGATCAAAACACAATCTTGGGACCGTTTTAGGCTTGTGCTCCGCAAAGAGCGGAGTTGTGACTAAGTCTATGTCGGGAGAAAGAGATGCGAGGTCAAAAGAGCCCATGTCGATCTGATCCTCGTCGTGCACAGGCCGGGCTTCTTATTGGTACCTCGGTAGTGCATCTACCACGTGATTACTCTGGAAAAGGTTCAAGATAGGTCGACCAGCTAGAACGAAAGGACGCTTAGAGAACTTTCACTTCGGCTATCTACCAAAGGCTGAGATTGGTTCTAAATTAGTACTATCAAGAATCTCAAATTTTCCCCTACCCTATTCCACAAATGTTCTCCTTCGAATTCACCCTATAGACAAAGTGTATTGCGTAACTTACACCATTTTGTCTAGACCGTCTCCTTGTTGTGTTCTTTAGCCTCGGCCATGGCCATCTTTTCCTCCTCGATAACTTTGCTAATGCTTGCCCTTGCCTCACCCTTCGCTTGCGCGTTGACGACCTCCTCGATTTCTCTCTCAATACGAGAGTTGCCTTTCTTAGTGTTCCATGGATGTGGACCTTCACTACTAAACAGAATTTCGATTTCCTCGATTGTCTTGCCGCAAGTTTCTGGATATGTGAAGTAGAACTGAATCGCACCGCCAAGACACAGGACACCAAAGACGATAAAGAGTTTCCATTTGATGTTGAGGAAGGCAGGGGGGATAAAAAGGCCGATGGCAAAGTTGCTAAAGAATATTAGCAGTATACATGATCCTTGATGACTGAAACTTACAAGAGCCAGTTCCCAATTGCGGCAATACCCATACCCCAAGCTCGTGTCTCAAGAGACCAGACTTCAGCGGCATAGACCCAGCAAATGGGTGCAAGAGTAAGAGCATAGATGATAATGAGGAGGTAGGAGAAAGCGATGACGGTGTGAGCGGGAGCACCAGTCACTCGCATGACCACGTTTGCGTTGCCCGCAACACCCTCTGTTTGCATGTTAGCATATCACAAATTTAGTTCGCAATGTGGCGACACTTACCTGGTACGTAGGTGTAGTGGGCACCGAGAGTTCCACCGACAACGAAATGGCAGAAAGCCATAGCAATGGCACCCCATACCAATAGGGTCCTCCGTCCAATCCTGTCGACGAAAAAGAACATAAGGGTAGAAAAGATAATGAAAAGAGCGTATTGAACTCCAGAAGAGATCAGATTGATGTTTCCGGTCAGATTCGCCATGTAGAAGATGTACACCACATAATACGTCATGACGTTGGCTCCAGACAGCTGCTGCCAGGCTTGGACTGTGAAGCCAGCCATAGTCCTGCGCCACATGCCATTGTAAATGAACTTCCTCCATCCCTTTGGAGCTAGTCGTTCTGCAGTCAGGACAGTTATAATTTCCTCGTACTCTGCAATAACATATGGGTCGTCAATTCTACCGCCGGCTTGAATCTTGGCTAAAACATGTATAGCTTCCTCTGTTCGGTCCATTTTAGCAAGCCAGCGCGGGGATCGTGGAAGGAAAGGGAGGCCGATCATTAAGAATACGCAGGGCACAAATTGGATGCCCCAAGCGGTTCGGAATGAAGCTGTCCTTCCGCCAATGAAAGAGCAGCCATAACCAATGAAGTACCTTTCTGGATGTTAGCGGTTATCGCGGTAATTATTTTAGGGCAGCTCACATGAATAGAATACCCCATTCAATAGCGAGTTGCTGGATGATAATAATGGCACCACGTTGACTGTGCTTGGAAATTTCTGCTAAGTAGACAGGGACTTGAGAGGACGTGATCCCGACCGTTACACCGTTCAAGACGCGTCCAGCGATGAGCATACCACGACCATTACAGGCAACCTGAACCGTGGTTCCAAGCAGCCACCATAGGCATGCGAACATGAGAGAGTCCCGACGGCCAATTTTGTCGGAGATTGGTCCAGCGATGATTGACCCTACAACAGACCCAGCTGCCAAAGCCGAACCGATGGCTCCTTGAGCAACACCGGCGGGATTGTTGAAGTAATCGCTGAAATAACGTCAGTGAGCTAACCCCTACTTGGGGAATGAGAACGTACAGATACTGTGGAGTCCCAATGATCGCGCTCATCGACGAGATATCAAAGCCAAACAGCATTCCCCCCATGGTGGCCACCATGGCGAGGAAGTAAACATTGTAGATCTTCGGCAGCGAAGGAAGCTTCATAGTGACAGGCAGCTCTTGGTGTTAGGCGAAGAGAAGAGACCTAGCTACCTGTCGCACGAAGGTCGGCGCGGCGTAGCTCATATATACTGTACAGGCGTGAGATAAGAGCTTGGGGCCCCATCCCCCGCTGGAGGTCTTGCCTCATGCAACCTAACGAGTGCAAGCTCCGTGGTGGTTAATTGCATGTGCCGAGATGCATGGTCTTGCAACGGTGCCCCAAGCCATTCGTCAGCTCTTCTTCCATGCAGTTGTCATGTTGATCGTGGAAGCCGGGATATATTGCAGCGAACGGTTGGGAGGAGCCTTACCATTGGTGGAATTATATCGCAGCAGATCTGGGGAACGATGAATTAAGCATCGTGGATGTGGCCTCACCCGTCAGTGGCGTGCACGGCTCCAAATTCTCCAACACCTTGATTGCACCAAGTTTGAAGACGACGCTTGAACTCTCTCTATCAATCTCTCCTTGCGCTGCAAATTCAATGTTACATTAAAGTCGCAGTGGCGGCACAGCGCCGAGAAAGACGTGCGACGGGACCGCTGAGCAGTTTTAGTGATGCTTTGAATGGCGGGGAAGAGCTCGTCTGAAGTCAACCCTCCTTGGACACGGACCAGTGCCCAGCTCCCTGCATCCTTCCAACCCAGCGACCCCAACCTCTTGACACCCATCCCAGCTAAATACTCGGCGCTATTTTCCACCAAGAGCAGCGGGGAATGCGGCGTTTGGGTCAAAGTCACATCGTCAGTTCTCTTCGCAGTGGCTGATGATTCGACGGTGAGCTCACGGTTCTGTGAGGAAGATATTAACCTGTGTTTTAGACGCCATTCTACCACTCAAGTAAACCATTTCGGACAAACAGACCCACTTAAGTGGGAAAGAGAAGGGCCGAAGCCTCTTGCAAAGTATACCCCTGCTCAAGCCTGAGAGTTGCTCTTCCACGAACGATATTAGCGTTTGAACACGCTCAACTCTTTGCTGGTTGTCGTGTTCGTCGAGCCTTATCTAGATACGGGAATCCTCAAGGATGCGATCTATAGCATGTAATGTTAGACTGAATTCTAAAATATAAAGTCCCTCAACTGGAAAGGCATGTCTCTGAGGTGGGCAAACAGCAGCCTTTAGGAGGAAATCCGGGGGGGAAGGAGAGAGGGGGCCGGCCCAAACCCACTTCAAGTGCTTTCCCAGCGAGTGGAATGTATTCAGAACCAAGTGGGGTAGCGAAGGTGCTCTCGTCAGTCACTTCTCATTATTCTCGGCTCTCGCTGTTCCTCGACCTGACTCGCCCTCCTATTATCTAGGCCCTGTTCCTAAATCCTAACACCTCTCGCTAGAGTTCTTTCTCATGATAGGTCTTAGGTATAAGGCACTGAGAGCATCTTCAAAAAGCATATCACAACCTGGTTGGGTCGCTGAAACCGGGTCCTTGGAAGTCATAATGCAGGTTTCCATCTCGATGAACCTGACCCCTGATGCTTACCACGGCGCCGGGCTCTGATCATTGCAGTCTCCTGGCAAGCGTTGGTATCACCATTCCTTAATCACGTGGAGGCATCACCAGCGAGTTTGTCCAAGACGTTTCCCTCTTTCCTGACCTCTTATATTATATCACAACGTTGGCGGAGCGGTGCTAGTATTGTGTTTGAATCCATTGCTTCACCACCCTCATTCTCCTTCAACCAGTCATATATGTTTGCTGTTCCTTTGCTGAGGTAAAAAAATGCTCAAGCTTAACCGTCTACTATTGACCGCCCATTCCCATACGCTCCTGCTTTCCCAATATCTCATTGGCGCCAGTATATAACTTTTGGTTTCGGATTTCTCTAATAACTACAGTCGGCGGGTTCGTGGTCTAGTGGTACGATTCCTGCTTAGGGGTTTTGAGAACTTTTAGATGCAGGAGGTCCCGAGTTCGATCCTCGGCGAACCCCGTCTTCTTCCTTTTTTTGTTGTTTTAAGTACGGAAGCGGTGGTTTGTTTGCAGCGATGAAGTCTATCCAGTTCGTGTTATTCCAGAAACGAGGAGCTATTTCCGGCGCTATTTCCGGAGCACTGGATATCCCCAAGGAAGACTAAAGTAGCATTCTTTATTGACTATGCTTCAACTATCTTCAATATGCAATTCTCTCTGCACTATATGATAAATTCAAATCGAACAGTATGCTATGTGAAGGGAGACAAGTTCGAATCTGACCGTGAGAACTTGCGCTCTTAAGAAGAGCGCAGACCTACCCAAGCTTTCCAATAATATAAAATAACACTCATTCCTCTCCATATCTGCCATTGTCGATATCGAACATCTAAATCCCGTCCATCTCAAACTGGCATGGCCCCCGGAAGATCCCGGTCTGTAATTGGTCCAAGCTCTAAGCTGCAGCACCACACCACACCACAATTGATACCATGGAAACTTCCGAACTTCAGCCTCAACACTCCACTGCTTCTACACCGCACATTCTCACTCAACTTCTCCTTTCCCTCAATCTCTCCATTTGCACAACCAACCGTGCAATGGACTTCCTCCGTAGACCGTACGCGCAAAGCCCCGGGACGGGAGTTTGGGGCCCTCCAGATTCAAATCAAAAGTAAGTCTCGGATATCTGCGGTTTTGAGATTTGGGCTCTGTATTGATGAATGCGTAGTTTCTGTGAAGAGGTTTGATTATAGGCCATTCAATTGATGGGTTTGTGTTTGCTGAGGCTAGGGTAGGATTATGTGATTACGATGTACATCGGTGAATTCATGAATACGCTTACAAACCTCACTTACAGTACGTTCATACCTACATCTTAAACACATTCTATTGAGTATGTATGCCTGATGGTATAGTTATTTACGGCATCCATGGAATAAGACGAGTGCAGCCTCGAGAAGACGGGGGCTTGTTCTCGACGTTGGCGTTCCCGTATTGGGGACTCGTGGGCGTGGGCATATTGTCAGGTTACTATCACGCAACATTGAAATATCACAGCCAGATGGGTAAGTCATTGTTCACCTCTGTCGTGGTTTTCTTTCCTCGCGAATTTCGGAGCTTGTGGTTTTCTAGTTTCATAATTGTCGTGTTTGCATCTCATCGATCATGTGAATGTAGCTCTGGATATGAGCATACGAGCCCATTTCGGAGCTTGGAATCAGAGTCTCTGGAACCCCCACCAAAAAAAAGTTGGCTTCTTTGATTTTCAAATTTCAAGCGTAATCAAGTCTCATTGTGCTACTATTTCTTATATCTGGAGAATCTAGCGAGATTTCCATCGCACATCGACTACAATTCTCTAAACTTGACACAACCTTACAACCCCTAGTTCAACATCACCATTCCCAATCCTCCTCTCCTCGTAATCCCAATAACTCTCAATAAAATGACTAACCCCTTACCACAGGCGACGATCTCTCCATGCTCCTGGCCGCAGGCTCCATCCTCCACCAAGTGCTCACCTTTGGCGCCCCTGGACCACAACGCCTACGCACAACACTTCTACTACTCGGGATCCTAATCCCGATATCCGTCTACCACTGCTGGGCGGACGAAATCCTGGTCCACGTGCTAACTTTCGGCATCATGGTTGCAATCGTGGGTCGCAAGATCCGAGGGCTGATAAGCCAACGTGTAACGAATCCTGATGCGAAGAGGAGATTGGGGGGTTTGGCTACCATGGGGATGGGTGAGTTTGATTTCCTTACTTTACTCTTGTACTTGAGTGACTTCATTTCTTCCTCTTCCTCTTCCACAAAATCCCCGTTCAATTCCCCCGATTTTTTCTCTTGTGAGGTTGCGTTGGACTTCCGAAATCACAGCCCGCTAGGTAGGTAGACCTGTGTCTGCATTGCTAACCCGCCCCTTCTTCCCAGGCAGCGGCCTCTTCGGCTACTTCGTCTGGAACATCGACATGCATTTCTGCAGCCAAGTCACAGCTATAAAACACCGTCTCGGGCTCCCGTGGGGCTTCCTGCTCGAACTCCATGGCTGGTGGCATATTTTGACTGGCATTGGCGCGTATGTTGGAATGGCGTTGGTGGAATACTTGATTACGATGGAGGAAGGGAAGACGGATAGAGTGGAGGAGGGGTTTGTTTGGCCAGTGAAAAGAGTTCTGAGGGATTTGGAGGGGAGAGAGAAGGAGAAGAAGGAGAAGAAGGGGAGGTAGTGGATGAATATGGAGATGGAGATGAGACAGTAAGGAGTAAAGAGTTGGGACGGAGAAGGATAGGAAGATAGATGTAATTCGTACATATAATCATGGCTTTCCTGGGTAGAAGGATAATCGCACCACGTAGCGCAAGGCAACATAATAGCGACATCCATCTCGTATATAGACGCTGAGAGAAATGAACAAACACGAAAGTCAAAGTAAACACCGAAGAAGCTGAAGCTGAAGTCGAAGCCAAGATCAGGCATACCAGCACACCCCCTCCGACTTTAACTCACCCACACATCTCCGGTCCCCCAACAATCGCCCGGCCCAAGCCGTCCGTTCTCTTCTCTGGTCCGGAGGCGTCGAACTGCATTCCGCATGAGTAAAATCGCCGGGGATTACATCGGCCGTCACATCTGTTCCTTAACTCCATCAATCTCCCTTGTTTAGTCTGGAAGTCACTGCGTGATTTATTGGATGGCGGAAAGCCCCGCTGAAGTGGGGTTGCTGCACGGAACGGAAATTTCGCGGGTGTAGAAGGGGAGGGCACTGACGACGTGCACTGTTGCTTTACTTGATGCCTGTGAGTAATACCACAGTAGGTCTAGGAGTATATAAATTGTGCTAGGCCAGGCTTGATGGGTAGTTTTTGCAGCTTGAAAGCTACCCTACTACCCATTGATTGTTCTTGTCAAGGCCAAGAAATACTACATCCCATCTAAAATCCACTCACCGAACCTCCAGCGGACACAATGGTCAAGCTCGTAGGCAAAGAAGTCGGAACCATTGGCTATGGTCTCATGGGTACAATTTACTCCCCCACCTCCCTCCAGTCACCACACTAACAGTCCTCAGGCCTAACATGGCGAGCTAAACCACCTTCACAGGAGCAGTCCTTCAAAGCCATGCGCACTGCCCTCGCCTCAGGAGCCAATGCCTGGAACGGCGGCGAAATCTATGGATCTCTCGAACGGAACTCTCTTCATCTCTTGAATGAATACTTCACCAAGTATCCCGAAGACGCGGAAAAGGTTGTCTTATCTATCAAGGGCGGCGTTGTCCCTGGTACGATGAACACTGATGGTAGCAAGGCAGGCGTGCAGAGGAGCATTGATGAGTGCTTGAAGGTACTGGATGGCAAGAAGTTTCTCGATCTGTTCGAGTGTGCAAGAGTGGACAAGAAAGTACCAATCGAAGATACTGTTAGCTATATTGCGGAGTACGTCAAAGCCGGCAAGGTTGGCGGAATTAGTCTGTCCGAGGTCAACGCGAACACGATTCGCCGCGCTGCAAAGGTGCACAAGATCGCGGCAGTGGAAGTAGAGTTCTCGCTTTGGGCGACAGAGATCTTGGAGAATGGGGTAGCGAAAGCATGTGCAGAGCTTGATATCCCGATCATAGCGTACTCACCTCTTGGGCGCGGGTTCTTGGTACGTCTGCCTTTGGAGCAGCCTTGAGGTTGAAATACTGACATTCACTAGACCGGCCAGTACAAGTCTTACGACGATTTACCTGCAGACTCGCATCTCAAGATATTCCCTCGATTCCAGCCAGATGTCTTCGACGAGAATCTGAAGCTTGTCAAGGAGGTCGACAAGGTTGCGTCGAAGAAAGGCTGTTCACCAGCGCAGATTGCCATGGGCTGGGTCTTGGCTCACAGCAAGAAGAATGGACTGCCAGAAATTCTTCCCATTCCCGGAGCGACCACAGCCGAGCGGATTGAAGAGAACATGAAGCCTGCACAATTAAGCGAGGAGGATATGGACGTTATGAACGATATCCTGAAGAGGTTCCGGCCTATTGGCGACAGATACCACCCTGCTGCAATGGCTGCAGTAGAGGGATGAAGGTGTGGAAGAACAGTTGACGGTTGAGGGAAAGACCAGCCATCTGCAAAATGAGATTTGATAGTCAGTTTATTTCTACCTTGGTGAAGTTCAGAACGCAGATTTGGAAGGTTGAAAGCAAAGATCAGATCAAGTGTAGTGTATTGTTTCGTCCACACCGGACGCCCACGAAATGTTCGTTGTGGAGAGTCCATTATCGGTATTGCAGAATTTGCTTCATCACTAGAGCTAAAAAGAGACACAAAGAGGAATTGAGACATACCTTGACAGAATAATAGGATATGGGGGTGACACCAGCGAGCAATAGTGGTGGTTGGGAATGTTGTGAATGTTGTGGTGTAGGAGCGAGAGAGAGCGTGCAGAAGAAAAAGATCTCGCTGTCCCTGGCCTGTGCACTTACCACTGCCCTCGTAGAGTCGTGGGACGCGCCTTCCATCTACTTCCTACCAACCCGCCCATTCGCGTCATAATCACACGCACTCCTTATCACCGACCACCTGACCGCCACAATGGACTCCCCCAACTCGGACCTCTCTGACTATGCCTCCGACGACTTCCCCGAAGACGTCAAAGGCCGCCGGCTCTCCTTCGAACACACCCCCGACCACGACACCTCGTCTGGTCGTCCCAGCAAACGGCCCCGTCTCAATCTGCGTGCAAACTCCGACCCTCCAGCGCCCGTCATGGCCGCCGCCGACGACTTTGGTGAGCTCTCAGAAGATACCGATGGCTCTGTGCCTGCGTCTCCACACCATCCTGGGATGAGCGCCGACGATGACTACGGCCAGGACCAGGTCACGGTGTGTAAGTGGGAGGCCTGTGAGGCTGGGGATCTGGAGAACATGGATAAACTGGTTGAGCATCTGCATGATGACCATATTGGCGTCAGGCAGAAGAAGTATAGCTGTGAGTGGAGTGATTGTACTCGCAAGGGGATTCCGCATGCGAGTGGATATGCGTTGAGGGCGCATATGCGGAGCCATACGAGGGAGAAGCCGTTTTATTGTACACTCCCTGGTAAGCCATTCCTTTCCAAACACCATATACCAGATGACATAGTAGCTGATGATATCAGAATGCGACCGCTCCTTCACGCGCTCCGATGCCCTCGCAAAACACATGCGCACCGTCCACGAAACCGAAGCACTGCGCCCCTCCGACCCCGTCCCAAAACACCACTCCTCAAACCCCCTAAACAAATTCCAACGCCTCAAGCTCGTCCTCGGCGACAAAGCCCGACACCAGCAAGACAAAGGCTCAACACCTGCATCACCGTCCTCCCACCCTCCCAACAGCGCAGGTGCCGCCTCAACCCAACCCCCAAGTACAGACACCGAGTACTCGCACAACAATGTCATGTACATGCAAGACCTCGCGTCCCCGAACGCCCCAGCCATGGTCCAATTCCCCCCTGACATGAACTTCACCCCTCACGAGCTGTCCCTCCCGGCACCAGACCTCTTCCGCCTCCTCCGCAGACAGCTGCACTGGGCAACGCAGGAGGGCGAACAGCTCCGCGCCGAAGCCGAGGTTCTAGAGAAGAAGCGGAGAGATGAATGGGTTGCCAAAGAGCTGATTCTGGAGAACCTCATGGAAGCTGAGCTGGCGCAGACGAAGCGACAGTGCATGGAAAAGGAAAAGGAGATACTGGATGAGCCCGAGAGCATTGGGCTGTTGGAAGAGGATGTGGCGCCGAGCAAATTTTTGGAGATTAAGCCCAAGGCGGATAGGTTGCCGTGGTGGAGGGAGGAAGAGTGGTTGAAGAGGCTGGTAGAGGGAAAGGATGTTAGAGAGGGGGTGCCTGAGAGAGAGGTTCGTACGGTGGAAATCGCGCCGCAGGATGTGGCCGAGAAGACAATTGAACAGGTGGAGAAAGAAGCGGCTTGATGTTGCATGTTATTAACACCTGATCGGTCAAAGTCGCTGGTGTTTGACCATCTTGTATTATGTAGCCATACTAATTCATACCTGGACGGTGTTCTGCCAGCTTCTGCCATCTTCTGCCAGCCATTTGCATCGAAATCGCTGAAACATTTCTCGGCTGCAGTATCACTTAGAATCCCGTGTTGATGATAGGTAATATACAGATGTATTCGGCAAGTCCAGCGCTTTTGTTTCTACAAAACACCTTGAATGCACCATGCCTCGTCCTAACTCTTCAATCCATCCATCCAGTGCACCACACCAGATCTCCTCAAGACCCACACGCATGGACAAAGAACTCCCTCGCTCACCGCTCTCTCCTTATCCAGTTCTCACATCCCTTTCTTCCCTTTCCTCTTATCCGCCTCCTTATTCTTGAACGGAAACCCACTGGTCCTCTTATCCGCACCCGTCTTCCGGCTAATTCTGCCGTCACTCGTCGCAAACAGAATACACCACAGCCCAATCGCACACAGCACTCCACTTCCCATGGTTCCAAGACCGAAGGAGAAGACTCCTGTTTGCGTCCACATGGCGTAGGTGTAGGAGGCGTAGGCGGCGTGGAAGAGGGCCGTTATGGTGAGGGTGGGGAGCGCGTATGGCGCTTTGGGGTCGGAGGCGTCGGTTGAGGTGCCGCCGGCTGGGAGGGGTTAGGGTTGGATTGGAGTTGGGATTGGGGTAGAGTGATGTTTCTATACCTTCTGTGAGCCGACTAGAAAGCGGCACCGAGCCTGTGAGTAGGACACTCAAGATGCCGATTGTGATGAGGGAGAAGCCGAGGGTGCGGGAGAAGTAGACCTCCAAAGCTGAGCCCTCATATTAGCCTACCCAACCTTTCGCACGGACAAATGTTTAACGTACTCGTCGCTTCTCGGACTGTTGGTGACAGGAGTGTGGCGATCATCGTTGGAGATGCGATCAGCGGCAAGGCTTGTAGAGCTAGTTTGCAATGTCAACGGGAAGTACGGGGAAGTACTAGGATAAGAGGAGAGATAAATACGCACCCATCCAGCCCGCAGTAGAGTAACTGTAAAAGTAGTAGACCTTTCATCGTAAGCGTTGTTCATTCTTCCAAATCTTCTCGTATCGTACATCCATTGTTGCAGTATCAATTAACTCAGAAAGCAATCAGGATCAGGGTCTTCACTCAGAAGGGTATGTAGAGATTGCGAACAGCCAAACGGTGAGATGAGAGAACAAAGGTGGAGAAGTATTTAAAGTCATGAGATGAGCTGGAGGGGTGGGAGCTACCTTGCTCTTTGACCAAACGGCTACGTCATTTTCATTCGTCAGTCCAAGCTTGAGCCTCGTTTGCTGGATTCGGAAGCCGGCAGATGCGCTAAACTTTTCTCGGTTGAGATGTTCCCAAAATAGATTGTTGATATGTTGCAGGGTTTGATGTTGGTGTTGTGAAGGCTGAGGGAGAGGGATCGAACGCAAGTATTCATTGGAGGGACTGGTAATTCAGTTCAGAAGAATTTTTCTGTCGAAGGCCGTGAGGATGCGAGAACCCGGGAATGACTCGTCAGCCGTTGAACTCAGTCCAATCCTTCCACAATCTCTTAACGAGTCTCGAACGGACCACGCTCAAATCTCATCATATCGCCAGTCCAGGACCACACCGTAATCCATATTTGCATACGCGCCGCCTGTCCTGGAATGTCAGATACCTCCAGCAGCACTACCATCGTCCCACAAGCAAGGGTCATTCCATCGGAGACACCTCCGAGAAGCCGTTATGAAACTCTGCTCTCAATGAAGTTTGGCTCGACGCAAATATCGCAAGAGCGGAAATCCGACATTACATCTCCATGGCAAGCCATCCGAAGCCACCAAGCGCGATTCATACCTCTATTCGTCAACACCAGAACTGTCCCATTTAAACTGTACGTTAAAGCGGATAAACGTTCATACAACATAGGTGCTCAGTCCCGAGCCTTCCCCTCCCGACTTCTACCGCTTCGCTGAATGCGCCGGCAAATGACCCATAATCCACTCCTCACTACCCCCATCTCCCTTCCCACTTTTCTGCGACCTAGATCGTGACCCCATTATCTCCTCCTTCGCCTCCCCATGCACTATAACAACCTGGTTAACCGCAATCGCATTCATCGGAACCTCACTCCCTACATCCCTATCTATACTTCCACTCGAGCTCGCCCAAGCATAATTTCTCCTGTCTGTATTCTCCGGACTAACTGTCTCGATACTGACGGCATGCTCCAACTTCCTATCCTTCACCTTGCTGAGATTCGAAGTATCGGAGAGGGACAGGAAGGGGAAGGGGAAGGCTTCGGCGTGTGTGGTGCGGCCGTAGTGGGTAGGGCGGGTGGCGTTTGTCTTATAAGAGGAGGCGAAGAGACGGGGGAAGATGACGGTGAGGACGGGTTTGACGCCGGACATGCAGCCGCAGATTATGCCCAGGTTCATTTCTATCGCCATGCTTGGGGGTGAATGAGTGGCTGCGCGTGTATCATGAAGTTAGGGGACGTTAGAGCTTACACAGCGTATATAATTGATGCATGCCCTGTGGCGGATTAGCATGATCTGAGGCAAGCAGAGCCCGGATGGATTTCTTACAGTACAGATCGAAGGAGTCAAAGTAGACCTCAAGATAGTACATTCTGCAAACCCTCATCAGTGAATGCGCTTCTCGTCTACGTATAGATACGGTACCTGCAGATGCCGGCAACACAGACCGTGCATCCCACGGCAAAGATAGAGATGAGTCCAATCCTCTGCTTTAGTGGAAGATGGAGACTCCAGAGTGGTTTCGCAGGCCATCTACATCAATTAGCTTAATTCTGCGTCGCGTATTCTCGGAATACAGACAAGTAGATCAAGAAATCGCTAAGACTGTTTAACGCAGCGATCGAGACTAGAGTAGCACGGAGATTGATACAGTGTTGTTTTGCTGAGGCATCCCAATAGCCTCGAATGGGCGTACACCTGAATTCTTTTCAGTTTGGGTTCTTGGGCTTGCAGCGAATTGAGCTTACTGGAAGAGCATGAGGAAAATACATGCCGCTGTATATAAGGTTACGAATGTGCTCAATGCATAGCAGAAGATCTTGTTGGATCCCGATGGAAAGAGTCGAAGGTACGTCAAGCATAAAGATATCTTGGTGAGAGAACACGAGATAGGAAACAGAATATCGGATCCAAAAGCCATCTGTGATGTCCATTGAGCAATGAAGTCATGATTTGTGACCCGTTTGGATGCATACCTTGTAGTATGGCGTCGCCCACTCGGGTTTCTGGTCCCAAATATGCAGTCCTAGGCCGTATTTCAGGGAGACCATCGCCATAGCTGATACAGGGAATGAGAATATCTTGTCCACGTCAGCGATATCGATATGACGGTCAAGGGCGAATACGTACCGCAGCGACTCCCATCATCCAATCATCCAACCCCAGTGCCTGTCGTAGCACGCCTTTCCCGTAGAAGCGTGCGAGAGTAAATATGACAACCAGCACCATTGTTGAGACTGTCAGCCCAATTACAATAGGGCCCCGACTCTCGGGGTTCACAAAGTTTGCCTCTGGCCATTTGGCCATTTCCTCAGGCGTTGCGGCTGCCATGTGCGCAACTCACAAGGCAGTTCAGTCAGGCTGTGATATAATGAAAGGAAATCAAATGGCCGGTGTCCTCAGCGACGATTCTGCTCGATTAGATAGAAATATATGAAGATCATATCAGAAAGGAGGAAGACGCAGAAGTATTAGAGGTGAATAGAGATGAACATACGGATCGACAGTTGAAGAGACAGGGGAAGAGATCTGAGAACAGCAACCAACCTGAGACATTTGTACCCTTGGACAGCATTCCAGTCCCAATGGGATGTCTTTGTCTTCATTGGATGCGAAATTTGGAATATCTTCTAGCATCCCTGTTCTACCAGCCCGTCATCGCGGGTTGCGGGTGAGAGCTGTGAGGATCTTGTGGCGTCCGTGACAAGAGGGACACCTTGAGTCGGCCTGCGCCTCTTGGGAGATGGCAGCGTATAGTGAAGAGCAAGCATGACTGGAAGGAATCAAAGTTGGGTTAGTTTTCAGGGGATCAATGCGTGGACTTCGTACCGCCCCCATGGGGAAACGAAGCTAGGTGCTCGTAATTTCGTGGCAGAGAAATCAACTAGCATTCGGAAGTCGTACCGATATCCGTCGGTATCGCTTTGGGCATCGAAAGCGGCAATGATTCATCAATCGGTCCGTCTTTAGAGAGTTGAAACTCGAGTGGCCGCAACACGCAAATATGACAAACCTCACAGGAATTCGTCCACTTTCGCCAGGCTGAATAATAGGACTCAGAACTAAGAACCTTCCGAAATCACCGCAAACAATGAATATTTTCACCACTGATCATAAGGCGGCGGTTGTTCTGGAGTGAGGAGACAGCGTGTTAACGGAGCCTAACTGGACTGTCAGGAGGGCTGATTCCGGAGATGATGAATACGCGCACGCAGGGTTTTGTGAGGGAATCAGAATAATTTGTAGATGGTGTCTCCAAGTGGCTCAAGTGTCAGATACAAGTGTCTACTGTTGCGAGGGCATGAAGTTGAGCTTTGAACGAGGAAGTAAACTAAGACGAGCGGTTCCCCATGTAACAAAGACTGTTGATCGAAGATCATAGGGAATGAGGGCGGGCGAGTGACGACAGCGATTGGAAAGGAGATGCGCCGCGTAAACTCTTCCGAGATCGAAGCAACAGGTCACCGCCGCAGCTAAGATCATCCCGCCATCCAAGCTCAAAGCTCAGGTATTTGAAGATTTCCAGACTCCATGCATTAAATAGCTGCCTGAAGATACCTCAACTATTTAAAGGAGCGTTGGCCACGTGCATGCTGTCCGTGATAAATAAATAAATCTAGTACGAGTATTTGATTGGCCTGACGGATTTCTCAAAGAAGTCGGCCAAGGTTCGTTGTCACTCCTCCATCTATCCCACATAATGTGTATATACAAAACTTTTTTTTCCTGTCTAAATTATTCCACATCCCTCATACCTACACAACCCCTCCTTCATCACCGGTCAGCATGAACCGATACGAAAAAACGGGCATTCCACAGGAGAAAAAGCGATTATATTGCTAGAAAGTACTTGAAAGAGGCTCTTCGAGCTGCACGAAGAAAGGACTCTGCAGCTATCACCTTCCCAGGAGAATCTTCGAGCCACCCTTCCGAAGACTCTGAAAGCGGAGAACACTATGAGAACTGCGAAAAGCTGTGGACGCCGTGAAAGCCGTGAATTCCTTCGTAGAAAATAGTTCCTAAAGAAGCATGGGACTGGAAACTGAAATCGGAGCTGTATATCTCTAAGTTTTGGAAAGCCAGGCCCCCCTATCACCTATGCCCACCGAGAACAATACCAGTCCTCTAATGACCTCCACTATTGTTCTCGCTCAGATGACCATGCACTACAGGGCTCACCTCAACTCTCCCGCCACTTCTAACAAGCCCTAGTCATCACAGAAATCCATGAGGGCATTCTGCGAACCAGTGTAGAGACGCGAGTGACTGCTCAGAGCGTCTCATCGCAGTAAAGAGAAGTCATTCACTAGACCATGAAGCCACTTAACCCAGAGGAGGATCTCTCGAGACGATATCCTTGTGGCACAATTGGCCTTGGGGAGCCTATAGACCCTAATCTCTCCTGGCGGTAGCCACCTGACAAGAAGATTCAAACTGTTCGGCAATATCCCCGGCTTCATGGGCCTACTCTATTCATTAGCACCCCCCGATGATATTATCTATCTCTCAGCATGGCTCACTCAAGCATACCAAATTTCAGCCAAAGAGCTGGCTAATGTCCTAATTTTTCTCGACAGCTAAAGATATACGGTCGGTCTTGGTAGACAAGCTCAAAAGTACGAGTTATGAAGACAAGCGAAGACTACAGCTACGTCCACCTGGATCTCTTCCAAGCATTTGGCCGTCTATTCCGAGCCTTCCACGAACCTAGATAGCCTAACCAAACTCAGTTCAAGGCCAATTCCTACTTTACCAACCTGTTTCCTGACCGAGTCGCATTTCAAAATGGTAGATACGATATAGCGCTATGGCCTTCGACATTGCCGTGCCAGAGACTGGCTGTTGATTAGCCCTCTTTATCAAAGGCAGGAGTCGAGTCCACCGAAGGTTAATTCCTTACCCGCCACCGATTAAGTCACTCAGAATTCATCTATTTGTCTCAGAACCAGACCCAGTTTGCCACACACGCGTAATGCCGATGAAGGTATTGATGAGAAAACATAGAATACGAATCAAGGGGTTGCCGCCGGTTCTTGAGGTGCTCGATAACTAAATTATGGAGACTGAGAGACTGTGAGAAGCAGTTGCAACAGGAGCTAGAAGCAGGATGTGTGGCATGCCCAAGGAGCCTCAAAGATAGCGATATACTCTAAGGGAATGCCTAGGGGTGTCGGCTAAAAGTTAAAGGAAGCCGCTATCAAAGTATTTCATTTTTGTAGGCTAATTTCATGCAATATCCAATCTACAATTCAAAAAAAAAGGCCAACAACCCATTGCTACATGTATAAAGGAGGTGCTAGTACTCCTTCTCTGTCAGTATTGTCCAAATTATCCCAGATCCTATAAAAATACCAGTCATATATTCCTGAACAGGCTCTGATTCGCAGTGAATGTACACCTGGCTTTGATTTGTGGCAAAACGTTGAGATGCTAAAGACTCTCATCCTAAGTGTGGAATATTCCCATCCAAATACCACGAATCCGCCTGCCTCTCCTTTTCCACCCGTAGATTACGCGGGAACAATCTTCTCCGAAGGTGGCAGTCTGGCCTCATAATCCAGTTTCAACAAGCATCCCTGTCCCTTCTCAATTTTTACCGTCCAATTCACCTCTCCATTCTTCTTCAGCTTCGCTACCGCATTACCCCACATCGAACTCGAGCTCGTCGACACGGCGCCGCTACTTCCCTCCTTAGCCGACACACCTGTTTTCACTGAATCCCCTTCCTTGACGAGGCCTCTGGGGGTTGTGATCACGATACGGAGTCTCTCGTCCTCGGAGACAGGGATTTGGTCCAGAACGAGGAGTTCCACGGGCTGCGATTTGGTGTTGTTGAGCCACACGGAGCGCGTGAAGACCTGTGCACTTTCTTTGCTGAAAATGATACCTTGCGTACTGCGGTGGACGATCGGTTTGGGGTAGTTGACATGAATCGCTGGGTCGACTCCGAGCGATAAATTGAAGACTTGCCCGGGAGATACGCGCGGTAGGTTCATGTTTCCGAGGAACGAGCCATCGAGTGTGACGCCAGCTGAGCCCCTGAGGAGCGTGACCATGCTGGATGGGTTCCGGATTTTAGCGCGGAGGAAGGCGGCAGAGCGGAGCTTCGGGACGCAGATGTGGGAGAGGTGGATGTTAGATGCATTCAGGGAAGCGATTTTATGGCGGCGCGTCATGGACGATGGGATGAGGGTGCGGACGCCGGGGACGTCGTAGGTTGCTGTCAAACCGCTATCTTCCCAGGAGGATTCTTCGAATTCGATGGCGGAGGGTTGGTCAGCGGTATCATCGTCCATATCTTCAATAGTGGGGTCGTAGGTATCACGCTCGTTGTTCGAAGTGCTTTCCTTCTTGTTTGTTCGAGCTCCGAAGAGTGAGGGGACTCTACTAGATCTTCGGGCGCTCTGAATGCCTGCGCTGAGTTCGATATTCGCTCGCTCCACTTGAGTCTCCGTATGAGAAAGTGCTGTCTCTTGGTGGATTTGAGGCCCTAGCGTTTGCTGTGCTTGCTCGTAGGGATTGCTGGAGCCGAAACCGGGGTGGAAAGATCCCCCTCCGCTCTTCCTGGAGCTGGCCCCGAATAAACCGCCAGCATTTGGCTTTGACTGCGCCGCTTGAGAAGCCTGTTGAACCTGGAGCGGCCTCTTAGAGTGCCAGGCTGGGATGAAGTTGTCGTCTAATCCAAACAGATCCGATCGGTTGAAGAAATCTGTGGTCTTAATTCCGGCACGAGATTTGCGTGCTTCTTCAGCGCTGAGGAGACCACCATCGCCGTTATCATACCGAGACAACTTGATACGCCAGGCGTGCATAAATGGGACGACATCGTCAAGCCCTTGGTACGAAGTCTGGGAGGTGGAGAAGGATAGTTTGGCATCTTTCCATGTCTCTGATGTCCTGTTCAGGAACTCGGTTCTGTAGATGATTGTCGCAGACTTCTGTAACGATGAGATGCGGAGGTCGTAGCGCGGGTTCCACCCAGCTTCCTTGGTAACGTATGAGAGGAGGAGAGAGATTGGGGTCTGGGTGGCTGACCCCTCTATCTCCGCGGCTTTCGATCCCTTTGCCTCCAGTCGGGGTGATTGTGTGAGGGTAATCTCATCTATCGAGCCGCGGCGAGAGGAGCTCGGAGTCTCGAGCGATGCACCCTCGAGCAGCAGCGTTATCTTATATACCTTCTTGGCCCAGTACCGCAGTCGCTCTTGTTTGACATACTTAACTTCCTTCTTCTTTTCAGCTTTCTGAAGCTCCTTGCGACGTCGCTCCTTTGCTTTCTGCTTCTCGGCCTTCTCCTTTTGCTTCTTCCCTTCCTTTCCCACTTTCTCTTTCTCATGGCCTTTCCGTTTGATTTGCTTCTTCAGATCGGCAAGCTTCTGCGTAGCAGTAGAATGAACCTTGAAGATGGTCGCTCGATCTTCCTCGTATTTCTTCAGCAGCTCGTGGATTTCCTCAGGGCTATTGTGCTCAGCGGTGACAGACTTCGCAAACTTATCCAGCGTCGCCAAACGCTCCGTAGCCGAGTTCTGAGTCTCAATGGCCTCCAGTACCCCCAATTGTAGATTCTTTAGCTCATTAGATAACTTTTTAATGCCTTCCTCTTCGTCATCGCTGTCAAGATACTCGCTACCATCGCTCTCTTCATCGTCCGAGATATCTTCGTCGTCTGGATATATCTCCTCAAAAATGTCGCGGTTTGGAACGAACTGGACAGTCATATCCGCAATGGTAGCAGCTCCTTGGCCTTCGATCTGAATCGAGTGCTCATCAACGGTAGGCGAGAGTCCGTAGATCTCGACTTCGTTCGCTCCAGGTTTTAGTAAGACATTGTTGATCTCTCGGGTGATATGGGCCCTTGTAGGATACAGGATGACTGATTTAGTTGGCAAATCTTTTATGTTGAAGATTTGTTTCGAGGCATCGGATGGCATGTTTGCATCAGTCTCGAATGTAGTATTTCCGAACATTTTAGCAAATGAGTCCTGACGCGCTTCAAGATTGTATGGGTAATTGCAAAACAAGATGGATTTCGTTGAACAGTAAGGTTTAGGAATCTTTAATTTTTGAAATCAGACACTTAACGAGACATTATAAAATGCAAGCTGATGGAAGGCAACAGTATTGAGTGAGTAGGCAGTGAAGTTTGGAACTCAGCCGCTTCTGCCTAATCCCGAAATGGCCGGGTGGCACAACATCTCGCCGAACCACAACGGAATAAAACGAGGTGTGGAAATGAGAGGAAGGGAGCCCCTTGTGCTCTCTGAGAATGAATTCAATGTGGCGCTAGTGAATACTTCTGAAATTAGAGGCCTATCTTGGGCACAATATCTGAATTTCCCTACGGAAAGCTTGTCGTGATTGGAATTCATGACGGGGTTGTTTAGATGGGTGACAGCACACAACTCCGAGCCATTGCTATTCTCGATCCATTTTATTTGTACTCTACAGATAGAAAAGTCCCTCCTTGGTTAGGGTTAACCCTCTTGCCCTGAACGAAGCAAGCCCTTGACTGTTTCGCCATTTTATTCGTAGATGCTCTTATCATTCCATCGCTTGATTTCCTTAAATCCAGCGCCCGACTGGTACTCTAGAGACCCGCGCCACCGAGAGCCTTTGCGGCCTTGAAGATAACTCTGAAGCAGAGTCCAACACTAGCAATCCAAAGCCCGCTTCGCAGAAGAGTCGGGCCTTGCGTCGTATGGGTAAGATACACACTGGTGTATGCTAGCCTCAAGGCGAGATATAGCCCTGCAAATCCATTCATACCTCCAAGACCTTCCTTCTTCAAGCCGGCCACATTACCAAGAATTACAGCAGTGGCAAAGAGTGGGAGATTCTCCATTCCATTTGCATGGCATGCTTCGGCGCGCTCGAATGTAGCGAATGTGTCGGCATCGAGACGCTCTTTCAGATTCGCCTTGAGGGTGGTCGAGCGAGGATTGCGATTGTCCCACTTGAGGAGGTTACCCTGAGTGGCTACATATTCTGCATATGCATGTGGAAGGAATGAGAGAATATGGTAGGCAGGTAGGGCTAAGATGGAGGAGTTGAAATCGCCAAGGAACGAAGTCATGATGAATGTTGTTCGCGAAGGAGCTGCAAAGAGCGAAATAATGAAGAGATGTTGAATAGTTGAAGGATCTACCTTTGTAGCTAAGGATCGAGGTTGGGCGACACGACGGTATGGGTGATCGCGGCTTAAGTGTGTGTGGGAAAATGGGACCGGGATCGACTGAGGTGGCGCGACACCTTACCAAAAATTCCTTCTCAGACCACGATGTCATCTTTGTGAATGAGCAAATGTGATTCCTTTCGAGGTATAACGATAAATCCCTCCGAAGATGAAGTTTGAAAACTTCTGCTTTGGTTTACTTGCGTCATGAGAAGGAGCAAGCAAGCTCGCCTACGAATGGGCCTGTCCTCCTTGAAAGGAATACAGTGGACCTCAACAGCACTGTAATATTTAATGGAGCTTGTATCATACTATGTCATGCATGAGTACGGCTGGTGCTTGCAAGAGAAAGGACGAGTTCAGCGACTCAAGCTCTGGACTGCTGTTCGGGGCCTCGGTGTTGAGCAAGAACAAGTATAAGATCGGAAGAAGAAAGTGTTGTGAGTTTGTACCTCATCCGTCAGTCATCTGTGATGAACAGGAGGAGAGGTGTTCGTGCAACCTCGGAGAATTTGTGGGTCCTTGGTTCAGGAGAGTGAGTATCTGCGAACCCTAAATCGATCGCTGGTTGGCTACATCGGGCGAGTGCAACAATGAAGCAACCACGAGCGCCACTCATCCGCATGTCAACCTCCTCTGGGCAATCCAGCATCAGACCTAACGCGATGTCCGCCTGCATCTTAGATGAGTCGTCCCGCGATATCAAGGCTTCAGCCTAAGCATAACTACTTGTGATCAGCCACATGAGGGCTGCGTAGAATGTCTGACCTTGCCCTTGCGGAGCACGAGCTCGCGTCACAAGGGCCTTGACTGCGAGCCTCAACATCAAACTTAAAGCTCATCTACGCACTAATGGACGCAGCACTAATACATCCGCACATCAAGAACTGCTTCAAACATCATGGCCGGCCCTTTTCGACCTGCATCTCCTGCGGTTGATCTATCCCCGTATTACCAGGAACTAAGTGACGACGACATCACGGAATCGTTTAGGAACTTCGATGACGAGCGAAACTTCGATCTTTTTGACAGGCAGACTCGAAATCCAAACAGTAGCAACTTTTGTATAGACTTCGGTGACGACGACGCTTTTTGTGCCTTTGACCTAGGCGCTGATTCCTTTTCACGACTGCTCCAGACACCAAGGCCCCCGAATCTGCATACGAGATGGATCAATCTGTGGCAGCCATACAACCAGAAAGATACGCTTCATACGCTAGCGAAACACTATGATTTTAGTCCTAGATTACTCGGGTTCATGTGCTCTGACCCAGTACCTCCGAAGCCAAAATCTTTGCAGTCGAAGAAGAGCTCGTCAACACTTCGATCTCGGGGGTCTAACAAGTCACAAAAGTCGCAGGGTTCTTCAAAGCAGACCTCTTTGGATTCTGAAGAGAGCATCGGAATGACGGAGATGATGCAGTCAACGCAGTTGGAGCTGGTTCGCGATATGAGCCACTATCGTATGGTCGACGAGGTTTGGCATTGGTCATCACTAGACTGGGGCAGGCGGTGTAAGTCTTTCATGCCTTCTTCGTCTGAGATGGGATTGCGTGATAAAATTCTCTGCGATTTATCACGGCCGGGTCTTGCTAAACTACGCTGCAGTTATTTGCCTCGGATACAACACTCTCCACAATGTACGGACAAACACCCCAGTCGAGCACGATGACGAGACCGACCAGAGCAGAGACGTGCCGTATGCTAAACGGGTATGGAATTGGCTTCTATTGTGCGCCGACAAAACCGTCATCTCGATCACAGAAGATCCCTTTCCATTTAGCGACGGCAACTTGCGGGCACAGGAATTAAAGACCCTATACACAGTTAGAAGAAATTTAGTAAGCGTTTTTCGGCAATTGACCAAGTCTCCCACGCCTTTACGAGAAAGTTCCCTGGTCATGCTACCTATTCGACATCGAATCGGAAACAGTGAAGAAGAAACTGCCCACAGACCTACAGACTCACCAGGCTTATTATTCTATTATCTTTTCGAGGATTGGTTTACGACATATAGTCTTGTGGCTAGGCGCGAACACGGCTATGCTGCTGAATTGGATCGACTGGTAAGACGTTTGCAACCCTCTCTATTTCATCGGTATTCTGACGACTCTATAGCGACGAGAGATGCTTGTGAAAGCAAACCTCACCCACGTTGACCAGCTTCACCATATCGGGTGTCAGCTGAAAGTGCTCCAACGAGTCTATCGAAGCTACGAACTCATCATTGAACGAGTCCTCAAAAAGCAGGAGGTGACTCTGGCATCACTTAAGAACTCGCACATCGTATCTGGATTCGATTCTCTAGCATCGTCTACTGCACAAGTTGCATCCATGCCGCAAATACCCGAAGCAGAGAGTCTATTGGGAGTGTCGCTCAGCTCCGCCGCTCGAGTTCGGTTCGAAAGGCTCAAGGATCGCTTACTTCTGTACGCTTTGAGCGAGATTCAGGAATGTATTGACCAGAAAGACTCTTTGGTCATGATGGTAGGCAACCTTCCGTTCCATCCCTCAGCTGTCTATACCCCAAGCTAACGCCGACAGAATTTCAACCTCATTGCTATCAAAGAATCCTTCAGTGTTGAGCGTCTCACGCGTGTAACCCTCCTTCTCGCCAAAATTACCGTCGTCTTTATGCCCGTCACATTAATGACTGGCTACTTCTCAATCCAGTTTTCTGGTGTGGAGTTCACAGTGAAGAGCTACTGGTGGGCGTTCGTGGGTATACTGGGTTTATCTCTAGTTCTAGTATTTCTGTTTAGCTTCTTCAGCGGTACCATGGAGGGTAAAATCATCTCCCGCCCGTGGAGCCGCATGGCGTATGACATATCCAAGAGATGGTTGTTGCACCGGAAGAGAAAGGGATGCTAAAAGAGGCCAACATTGGGGTAGGGACCCCCGAGAAGCGTTAGAGCTCAGGCAGCTCTGCATGCTCAAACGCATCGCTGTCCTCTTGTATTTTACTGTAGCCTGAAGTAATGTCAGTCTTAGCCACTCGCTTCCACATGTTCCGCTTGCGTAATACAACGGTTTGACGATTGAGATGCGTTTCCAAGTAGAGATATGTTACTTTTTCTTTGCGAGAGAGATGACCGTGGCGGTGCAAGTGGCTGAATAGATCTACTATGAGAGGATGCTTTCATTATGCTCGTATTGATTCCATGGCCAGCGCCGTGCTCGAGCAGACCATTTTCATGGCTCGTGGTAAGAAGGGACTTAATGTCCTTGGTGTCCTTTGGTCTCTCCTGCTTGTTCGAGCCTTTCGAAAAACCCAAAAAGTGAAGGAAATGGACGGATCGCATACAAACGATAACGATGCTTTGGACGCATCTTCTCCATGAGGCTGGAAGGCTGTACTATCGGCACTGGCAATGTCTCACATGAGCAGCGTCGTCTTGTGCACATTCAGGTGGAGAGATGCAGTGATGGTTGCCTGCGGTTCCGAGGCTCGCGCTAGTAGCGTAACGTGTCTTCAACGAACCACCAGACACTTAAAAGAAGTCTCTCAGTAGAAGGGAAGACTCACGCTGCAACCCCAAAAATTGTCTCCGCAAAACCTTGCACAATTCGTCGAGTCACGTGCGCGGGCCTGAGAACAGACCTTCCAGGATCGGGTACGCCGAGACTTCTCGCCTCCAAATCCTAGCCCGGGCTGTCAACACCATTTCCTCATCCACAAGACATCAATTAGACAACATCACCCACGCACAACCTTCCATCCCCATCCACCCCATCCGCTCTTGAACCGCAATCGTAAGTGATCCCACTGTCTCCCCCAGCTGCCTGTTGCTGCATCGCCCGCCTCAGCGCGCCTCTTGCTGGCTATCTCAGGCCCCCTCTTCCTGTCTCGATTCTGCATCAGGCACTCGATCACTCCCGCGGCGCGGCAAAAAATTCCTTTACCTGCCCAAAATATCCTCACAGTCTGCACTTGAGCGCCGATTCTGACTTGCCGCAACTGCAGGTTCGAGAGCTCTCTCCACACCGCCTCTCACGCACCCACTGGGCTTGGTCACTTCCGCATCTCACTGCACAACCACCGCCCGCCACAACCATGGGTCTTACATTCTCGAAACTGTTCGATAAGCTATGGGGAAAGAAGGAGATGCGAATCTTGATGGTCGGCTTGGACGCTGCAGGAAAGACCACGATTCTGTATAAGCTTAAGTTGGGCGAGATCGTGACCACCATCCCCACCATCGGTACGCCCCTCCCCGGCGGGGTCCTCTAGGGGGCCTGCACGGAAACACCCTCACTTTCTGTCCTGGTCGGTGCTGTGCTGATTTTTGGAACAATAGGCTTCAACGTTGAGACGGTTGAGTACAAGAACATCCAATTCACTGTGTGGGATGTCGGAGGCCAGGACAAGATCCGACCTCTCTGGAGGCATTACTTCCAAAACACGCAGGGCATCATCTTCGTCGTTGACAGCAACGATCGTGATCGTGTCGTCGAGGCTCGTGAGGAGCTTCAGCGGATGTTGAACGAGGACGAGTTGCGGGATGCTCTTCTGTTGGTGTTTGCCAACAAGCAGGATTTGCCTGTAAGCACGCCACCTACTCAAATACATTACCGAAACCGCAGACAAAGTTGGTTGCTAATGACGTGATGTGATTAGAACGCCATGAACGCTGCCGAAATCACCGACAAACTTGGCCTCCACAGCCTCCGAAACCGCGCTTGGGTATGTTGCCCTCTTTTCCCGCACCGATGGCTTTAGTCGTGTAACTGATAATGTTACAGTACATCCAATCTACTTGCGCCACCTCTGGAGACGGTCTGTACGAAGGTCTTGAATGGCTGAGCAACTCGCTCCGCAAGGCCGGCCACAACTAAATGCGGTTGACTCGCTGCCCACATCTATCGTCTAAGTTAAGTCAAGCCAAGCCAAAACCCAGATCGATCAAACCCTCCTTCCAACCTCCTCTCCACCGTTTAATACACGGGACTATCTACAACGGTGCGTGCGTGCTGTGTGCGTATGTGTGTGGTATGTGTGCGTGCGTGCGTGTGTGTGTGTTTTTTTAAATGCAGATGGCAGTAGGGATGGAGCGGGTGGGACACTTTTTCCTTTTCTACACTTTGGAGTTTGTGTCTGGCACGGGTCGCTTACTGCCCGCTCAAAGCAAATGTCTATCTGTCTCTCTGTCCGTCTGCCTGTGCTGGTGGTAGTAGTGATGATGATGGACCCCCTTTTTTTAACGGAAACAACGTCTTTGATGGTTATCACAACAACTTCTTTTTTAACGTATGTGCTACCTACTCTATCACAATTTGAGCCTCCTCTTTTTTTGCACTCTAGATTGCTTGCCTGTCTGCATGCATGCATGCATGCCTGTCTGAGTAAAAGTTCGTGCGTGTTTGATTATCTATTCCATCTAGTTATCTGGTTATTTGCAGATGTAGTTGTTATAGACTAGATCCAGTTTTATGCAGCCTTCGTCTTCTGGACGGTATCTAGTGTTCATATGTCCAATTCCAACCTTTATCCACGACGGAGGTACGAACGCCAGCACAACACAATGCACAAACTGACATAACTGTAGAATCCACCGTTCCTATTTTCTCTCTCTGTCTCTATCTCTATCCATAGAGATGTCTTTCATCATATCGATCTAGCCTCATACAACTCATCCTATGACCTGCCAAACGCCCTACTCAATCAATATAAGATAAAATTAGATGCAAAAAAATGATTCCCACCAGTGAGGCGGTAGGCAATAGTGCTGTGTGTGTGATACGCTTAACCTAATCCAGGCACCCCCTTCATATTTCATATTCAATGATTTCAAGAGCCAGGCGCAGCCTGACCAGCGGGCTGCTGCCCCGTATTTTCCTTCTGCTGCTGTTGCTGTTGCTGCTGCTGTGGTGAAGGCGGCAACAGTCCTTTCGCAAGCCAGACATCGATCAACGGCTGCATGGGCTCGACTTCTTTGTCGCCCAACAACCCGAACAATTTCCCGACATTGATAAAATGGATGAAGCACGTGTTGAGCTCCTTGTACGCATTGATATTCCAGAAGGGCTCGAGCCAGTGGCCGTGGTAGATGTGCGCGTAGCACCGCATCATCTGACGGTAGATGCTTTTGATGTCGGATTCGAAGTGTTCAGGGAATCCGGAGGGCTTGCCCAGCCATTCGCGGCCGGAGAGTTGGGAGAGCGGAGCGTTGAGGTTGGTTGGGCCAAGGGGCTGCGGCGTTGACATTGGGGTTAGGGAGCCTGACGGATACGTGGCGGCGGAGAAGGTGGGTGAGGTAGTGTCTGTTGGGAAGATGGAGGGGTCGTTGATTTTGCCGACGATCCATTTTTGCACGAGGTTGATATATTGGATGGCGGGGATTTTGATGGGGTTCTTTTTGTTGTCGAGCCAGGTGTAGGTGTGACTGGATATGTGTAAGTAAGTGTTGAAAGAATGCGATTGACTTTTTGGGTTAGATGCCGGTAGTGAGGGATGGGGGAGATCTTGTCTGGGGGAACATAATTGAGACGACCTACCCACTGGCCGACATGGTAGGACAAACTTCGTGGTTGCAAATCGGCTTTAGAGTCTTCTCATCCGGCACCTTGATAATGTCGATCATTTGCTCAAGCAAGCGATATTGTTCGACCACTAGTCACATGCTTCAGCACAGATGATCCCAAAAGGGACAAGTGATATCGTACCTTGATGCGCAAGCCATTCACCATCTTCAACTAGTTTCGGCTTCGCAGCCAACGTCATAAAGTTACCTTTAACAATGAGACCAGCGTACTCCTCTCGGAAGAAGAAAGGCGGTCTCCGCGAGCCAGAAGGCAAGGAACCTTCAGAGACGCCCTGGCTATCGAATGACATGGCCGACGACAGGGCAGGAGAATGCGGCATAGGAGGGACACTGGGTGGCTGGGAAGATGTTGGAGACGGAGAATAGGGCGCAGTTGGAGACGGCGTGCCTTGACCGTTACCTTTGCCCTGCTGGTTGCTCCTGTTGGAACGACCCGCGAATCCTTGGCGTCTGATATGGACAAGTTAGGAGGAAAGGATCAAGACAACAGGATGGACGATAGATGAGATTAAGGCTGCAGATGACTTGGTGACAGTGACAGGGAATAAAAGACACGAGATGTGAAACACGATGCGACCTGGCCCTTGAAACAGCGTTGAGGGGGTTGGAAGACGGGCACGCAGCGCATAACGCTGGGTTCAACGAGGGACAGAATGGGGAGGGGGGGAAGCTCGCCAAGAAAGCACCTACACGCTGGAGAAGAAGGACGCCATGACCCCTGCAGTGGATCTACCTAGGTATGCTGTGTCGGTGAATGAATTGCAGCGGGGAACGACACTTGACGGGGATAGCGGTCGACAGTGAACTGGAAGAGAGGAGAAGAGGCGTGCGTGGGTCGTGATACGCCTCGAGCCCAGGGAGCTTTTTTGGGCGGGATGGAGCAGGGGCGAAGGGGCTTTCCTCAGCCAAATCCGCGGGCTGCAGCGCTAGGCCAGATCGGGCGGCGCGCGGCGTCGTGGTGCCTTTGAACTTATTGACGGATGGAAAGCTCGACACGCTGCTTCTTTCACTTCCACAACGCTCTTGCTCCGTTTGTGCACCGCTCCTTCTGCAATCGCGGACTTAATTTCCCCCCACGCTGCGATTGGAAAATCATCGATTGCGCCTCCAGAAAGGCTGTTCAACCACCACCACCACCACCACCACCACCATGGCTTCTGCCGTAGCTGTCGATGCGTCGTCCTCAGCGCCCCGCCTGCCGGACGACCTGTCCGATGACGAAGAAATCACTGGCAAGGTTGGTCCAATCGACAGCGATGAGGATGGCACTCCCCGGGACACCGTAGAAGAGAACGGCCTGGAGGATGAAGAGGAGGATGATCTCTTTGGCGACGGCGCCGACGAGGACGAGGACGAGCAGCCAAGGTGGGTTCTTCAAAGACGGATCTTGGAAGCATGGCTAACGCGATTTCAGCAGGATGCGCAAGCTGGACGACGAAGACCTTGATTCAGGTGACGATGAAGGCCGAGCAGACCGCGCCCATGGCGACAGCGGCGCCCAAGACATCGAGGAAGAGCAGCAGACATTCAATTTCATGGACGCCGACATTGCGCGGCACTGTGTGCCCGAACCCAGCGACGGCGAACTCTACCTTATGAGGATCCCGCGCTTCCTGGCCATTGAGCCCACAGCCTGGAACCCGAAGAATTTCCAACCTCCCACGACCGACCACCACTCCAAAGGCGCGCCATCTGAGCACTTCTCCGCCTACAAAACCGCCATGACGACAATCCGCTGGCGTCGCTCACCCTCCAACCCCGACCAACTCCAATCCAACGCCCGCATCCTACGCTGGTCCGACGGCTCGCTCACCATCCAACTCGCTACCGAGCCTTCTGAGCATTACAACATCAACGCAAACCCACTCGCTCCTCCGCAAATCAACCCCAAGAAACCCACCCCGACTATGGTCTCCCAGCCGACAAAGGCCGGGAGCAAAGAGAGCTACACCTACCTCGCCGCGCCCTACGAAGAAGCAAACGTCATGCGCATCACGAACAAAATCACAACCGGCCTGTCCGTTGTGCCCACCGACGCCTCCGCAGACGGCGCCCTCGAACAGCTCCAAAGTGCACTCGCGGCGGCAGCGAGTCGAGGCCGAGACGAGGCCGACAACGCGATCTCTCTAATCAAAGTCACCGAGGACCCAGAACTGCTGCGTGCGAAGGAGGAGGCCATGTACAAAGAGAAGCAGCGACAACTGCGTGCAAAGGAAAAGCACGAGCTCCGGGAACGCGAGAAAGCCGGCAGGGCACTCGGTCGAACCGGCAGCCGATCTGCGGGCTATGGACTCTCCATCGGCGGACTCGAAGAAGACGGCCGTAAAGGCGCCAGGAAACAGAGGCCGAAGACTGGGTTGCGCCGTGACTGGAGTGATGATGAAGACTACGATATTCGTGGTCGGACGAGAGAAGATGAATACGACGAAGAGGACGATTTCATTGCTGCTAGCGACGAGGAGCCGGAGATTGTGGAGGATGATGACGATGACGATGACGGGATTATAGATACTCCGCGCGGGGAACGCGAGACGCAGAGTCCCAAGAGGAATCGGGGCGGTGGTTATGATGATGAGGATGTGGTGACGAATGTGAGGGCGAAGAGAAGGAGAGTCGTTGACGATGATGAGGATGAGTAAACAGGATTTGAGCAGTACTTTCTCCTCTCCTTACCTTCTTTCGAGGAACATCAATTGGTACGGAATGAGCTTCTTTACAGCGTCCTTTGAAAAGAAAGGACGTAGGCTTTCTAAAAACTAGGCGTAGATTGGGTATTCAAGCATAGCCTGGAGTTTTGCTTTATTCAGACTGGCTGGTGTTTACTTTCATGAGGCACAGCTTTTCTTCCATATACTTGGGGATCTTTGAAAGCTGGAAGATGCCATGGGATACTGTTGTAGAATGGAAGAAAATGATATTTGGCTGACTGTGTCGAGGAATTACAATTCACTAGTAGCGGAGATTACAATCCTCAAAGTATTGTTGAATCCATATTTCCATCTCATTTCATTACCAGTGAGCGAGCCAGGTAGAATCCCACGCCCTCGTAACCACAAACACTCCATACAACACCAGGCATCAAATATAAAGATTACGACGTTCAATGCGCACCTAGTTCTTATCCCCCTCTTTCCCCTCCGCACCCTTCACCCCATTCCCAACATCCTCTCGTCCCTCGGGCCTCTTAAAGTGTGGTTTCAGCGGCTCCCAACTCTCAGCATTATAATCCTTCTGCACCTTCTTACACTTCTCCAGCCCCCACTCCGTAACCCCAACCATCAAACAACTCTCAAACATAAATGCCATGCTGCCCTCGCCGACTTTACTCGGCCGCAGCTCCACATTCGACGCTTTCTCGTGCGTGGTCGCGTCGGGTCCGTGACCGGCCATGACGTTGTGCAGCGATGCACCCGCAGGTTGAAAGCCCCCGCCCGTTTTGGCGTCGTACTGGCCGTGGATGAGACCCATGAATTCGGACATTGTGTTGCGGTGGTACCAGGGTGGGCGAAAGGTGTCTTCTGCGACGAGCCAGCGTGGCGGGAAAATTACGAAGTCGGCGATGGCGGTTCCCGGGTGGTCAGATTGCGCGGTTAGGACCGTGTAGATAGAGGGGTCAGGGTGGTCGAAGGAGACGCTGCCGATGGTGTTGAAGCGTCCGAGGTCATATTTGTAGGGGTAGTAGAGGCCGTGCCAGGATACAACGTCGAAGGGTGTGTGAGTTTGCGCGGCGCTGAAAAGATGACCCGCGAATTTGCACAGGATGTGCCAGGTGCTAGTTGTGTCTTCTTCAAAAGAAGCGACGGGCGCTTGGAAGTCCCGCGCGTTGGCTAGGCAGTTAGAGCCGATGGGACCAAGTTCGGGGAGCGTGAAGTGGCCTTGGTAAAGCTCGAGGATATAGCCTCGAACGGGACCTTGGGGGAGAGTAACGCGGTATTTTATGCCGCGCGGAATTACGCATATTTCGTTGGGGCGCACGAGGAGGTGGCCCATTTCGGTTTGGATGTCGAGAACGCCGTGTTGGGGCACGATAAGGAAGTCACCATCGGCCGAATAGAAGGCTTCGTGGGCGTCCATGTCTTTGCCCGCTGCGAAGATGTAGATGCCGATGCCTGTTTTCATTGTTGGGTCCCCAGCGCCGGCGACAAGGTGGAGCGAGTGGACCCAGTCGACTGTTTCATCAAGATCGAAGGGGTCCCATCGTAGTTGGTTGGGTATATGGTGGATCTTTTCGTACGGTTTGTTCTCTGGGTTGGTATTGTAGGTCGACGATTCTCGAGGCTCGAAGTTGCTGTGGCCGCATGAGGGCAAGATTCGATAGAGCCAGGTCTGTTGGTTTTCGTGACGAGGGGCTGTAAATGCTGTTCCAGAGAGCTTTTCAGCATAGAGGCCGTAAGGAGGGTTCTGTGGGGAGTTCGCTCCGATGGGCAGGGCTCCTTCAATTGCTTCAGATCTGTCTCGATTTAAGTCCCTCACTCAACCACTAGAATGAAAACAAGGCACGTACTCATGGTAAGAGTTGAAGCCATTCAGATATCGATACTTTTCTTTGCACTGGGCGAACTGGGAGGAAGGCATCGTGGATGTCTGTATAGTCTGGATTGCCAAATTCCTCAAGATTCCTCTGCGTCAATGGGATTATGCTTTTGGATAGCTTTGGCTTCTTCTCTCGGACGACGAGTTTCTTAAATAGAGCTCCGACGGACTTCTTGGGATGGAGAGGGGTGTGAGGGTCATCATAGGCCGTCTGCGCAGACGACATGCTGGCGGGTGTATCGGTGTGTCGGTAAGGAGCGGCTTCCAGATCGGTTGTGCGAAAGAGGTGAGGAGAAGGGGAGCTGGCTGGATGTAGTTAGTGCGGGATATTTGAGACACACGTGATGTTAGATCTGTCGAGTGGGGAGCGGGATAGGAGCGGGAGGGGGCGGAACGGTTCCGCTACCCCAGATCTCCGCGTTCAACCCATCCCCGTCGACAACCGTCATCAACTTGGGAAAGACAGGTATGTATGAGCATACCATCTTTTTCAGCTTGTTCAAACCTCCCTGAATGAGCGCCATATGTGATTTTTGGATCTCTCACGCCACCTCCTGAGACAATGTCACCTCTTCGGTCTTGGTTCATCATTCCCCGAGGTTCACACTTCTCGCTCGCCAATATCCCCTTCGGAATCATATCCACAGAGTCTTCTAAAACGCCTCGAGTTGCTGTCGCCATTGGGGATCATGCCTTGGACCTGGAGGTCTTCGCCGCGAATAATGGCTTCTCTGCGCTTTCCACCATCCAACCCCACCAAGATGTCTTCTCGCAGCCTTCGTTGAACGCGTTCGCTGTACTCGGCCGGCCTGTACATTCCATTGTTCGCAAGTACCTTCAAAGCGTCCTTGCCGAGGATACTCCTTATCCAGATGTCCTCAAGACAAATTCTACTCTCCGGAGACAAGCCTTGATTCCCTTGAAAGATGTCAAAACACACCTACCGTTCAAGATCGGCGACTACACAGACTTCTACGCCGGCCTAAACCACGCCTATAATGTTGGCGTTCTATTTAGAGGGCCATCAAACGCACTTCAGCCCAACTACAAACACCTCCCCGTCGGCTACCACGGCCGAGCATCATCAGTGGTTGTCTCAGGGACACCAATCCGGAGGCCCAACGGCCAGATCCTCTCGAACCCCTTGGCTGAGAAGAAAGTCCCCACATTATCTGCTTGTCAGAAATTAGACATCGAGCTAGAACTAGGGGCGTTTGTCTGCAAGCCGAACAGCATGGGCGAGCCGGTGCCAATCAGTGAAGCAGAGGAGAGCTTGTTTGGAGTGGTGTTGATGAATGACTGGTCGGCGCGAGATATACAAGCTTGGGAATATGTGCCTCTGGGCCCTTTTAATGCGAAGAACTTTGGCACCACAATTAGTGCTTGGGTTGTTCTTGCTGATGCTTTGGAGCCGTTCAAGACGAAGGGTTTGGAGAATGATTCAAAGGTTTTGCCATATCTTCAGGAGAGGGATGAGAATACTGTTTACGATATCCAGCTGCAGGTCAGCCTGAAAAGTAAGAATCTTGTAAGAATTCTGTCGACCTTTAACTGACTACATGTAGCAAAAACCGGCAATTCCACCACGATAACAAAGACCAGCTCTCGAAACCTTCTGTGGTCGTTCCCTCAAATGCTTACTCACCACTCCATCACTGGATGTCCTTTTAACGTGGGCGATCTACTGGGGTCTGGTACAATAAGCGGCCTAGAACAATCAGAAAGAGGGAGTCTGCTCGAACAGAATGAGAATGGAAAAACGTCTATCAAATTGTCTGGTAGTGAAGTGCGACATTTCCTTGAAGATGGCGATGAAATTACTATCACGGGTGTCTGCGGCTCTGATGAGGAAGCTCTCGTTGGTTTCGGTGAGTGCGTTGGTAGGATTGAGCCAGCGCTGAAGTTGTAGGATATTTGCTCCACTTTGCAGTCGCGGGGGGTAACAGAGATATCGCGGAGTCATCATTGAACTCAGCCATCACAGGAACGTAAGACGTTCAACCTTACGCTATCAAAGGCATCATCAGTATTGAATGCCGCCTCTGGGGTTTACCACGCAGAACTTGGGGTTACAGTGTTTGATTCAGGACTAGCTGTAACATCTGAACAATAGCTTTATGAGCTTGTGTGGTTTGCTCGAGTGGAAATTAAAAGCGCAAGTTGCGCTCACCGTAAATATCTCTCTCATCTTATCAGAGACCTTGAAGTTAGACAGCTGTTACGAGGGTGCCCGTTCGCCACATACCGAATATCCACGAATACTTTCGATCAAGAGCTGCTCGGAATTCGCTCGGGTGCGACACTGTGAAGGGTTTAAAACTTCTCAACCCCAATAAGACGCTTTTTGCAGCCCTAGCCCTGTGCTCCTCACAGAAATTCTATTTAAGGGAAAGCGAAAAGGTCTGTAAATCAGGCACGACCTCATCCAGCCACAAGCTACTCCACAACGCTAAAGGTAGTTGGGAGGAAGACGGAATAAACCCGCTTCTGTTTCCTTTGACAGCCAGGAACAACAACGTTTCTCGACGACGGAAGTCTACCGTTGTGAACAGCACCCCCGCTCTCCGTATTCCTCATGCGTCGGCACGCTCGGTCCTTCATCGAATCACGGGAGCAGGCGGCAGGATTAGGGTCTCACCAGCTGGGAAAGAGTTAATGTTTGAGGGATTGCCGAAGTGCTGCTTGCAGCTCTTACTTCACGTAAACATCAAGAGTATAAGTGCAGCGCCTGTCTTCTATTCTTCTATCACTACTCCGTGCATTCGCGTTTCTCTCAAAGCTCAAGCTCCTTTTTTACTTTGTCTTCGCCATGACAGTACCAGTCATCGTTGCGGCCGTCTTGGTCCTCACCTATCTAGCATACCGAGTCCTCTACGGCACTGACACGCCGAAAATCAAAGGTATTCCCGAGATCCCAGGCCTGCCTCTATTTGGAAGTCTAATAGAGCTGGGCGAAAACCATGCCAAGGTTGCACAGGGATGGGCGAAAAAGTACGGGCCAGTCTTTCAAGTGCGGATGGGTAACCGAGTAAGCAGGTTCAGAGTTTCTCATGGTTCAGATTGCTGATGCTATTCCCAGCGAATCGTGTTTGCAAATTCCTTTGACTCTGTCAGACATCTGTGGATCACCAACCAATCTTCCCTGATATCAAGACCGACGCTACACACCTTTCACAAGGTTGTGTCCAGCTCTCAAGGGTTTACCATAGGAACATCTCCTTGGGATGAAAGCTGCAAGCAGCGCCGAAAGGCTGCAGCAACGGCATTGAACCGACCCGCGGTCCAATCCTACATGCCCCTGATTGACCTCGAATCATACGTCAGCATCAAAGAGCTACTCCAAGACAGCAAAGGTGGCGAGATCGATCTCGATCCGCGAGCTTACTGGCAACGCTATGCCCTCAATACTTCACTTACCCTGAACTATGGATACCGCATTAATGGCGACAAGGACGATGCGCTCCTAAAAGAGATCACCGATGTCGAGCGTGGTGTATCAAATTTTAGGAGCACGAGTAATAATTGGCAGGACTACATCCCCTTGTTGCGATTGTTTCCCAAGCAGAGCAGTGATGCAAATAAGATGCGAATCCGGAGAGACATTTATATGGACAAGCTTCTTGCGATCTTGAAGGAGCGAATTGCCAACGGAACAGACAAGCCGTGTATCACTGGAAATGTGATCAAGGATCCAGAGGCGAAGTTGAATGAAGGTATGGGCTAGTCTGCTAACCTACTAAATGTTGCTAATTAACTTCACAGCTGAGATAAAGTCCATTTGCCTCACCATGGTATCCGCTGGTCTAGACACAGTTCCCGGAAATTTGATCATGGGGATTGCTTATCTGGCCTCAGAACAGGGCCAATGCATCCAGGCCCGAGCATACGAAGAGATTCTCAAAGTCTACCCCGATAACGACGCCTGGGACAGATGCCTGCACGAAGAGAAGGTGCCATATGTCACGGCGCTCGTTAAAGAGATCCTGCGATTCTGGACAGTTATCCCAATATGCTTACCTAGAGTATCCATTAAGCCCATTGAGTGGAACGGAGCTATTATCCCTACAGGCACTACCTTTTATATGAACGCGTATGCCGCGGACTACGACGACACCCATTTCAAGGACCCATTCAAGTTCATACCAGAACGATATCTTGGGGATGTGGATGGTACTCCTCATTACGGGTACGGCGCTGGAAGCCGGATGTGTGTGGGGAGCCACCTGGCAAACCGAGAGTTGTATACGGCTTTTGTGAGGCTTATCAGTGCCTTTAAATTCACGCCGCCAAAGGATCCAAGGGATGCACCTGTGTTGGATTCTTTGGATGCAAACGCCATCCCAACCAGCTTGACCATGGAACCGAAGTATTTCAAAGTTGGGTTCAAACCAAGGAATCGGGCGTTGCTGGAGAAGTGGATTGCAGGTAGCGAGGAGAGGACTCGAGAGTTAATGTGAAAGAAAATCTGGCTCCGTGATGGGGGAATAGCTGTTTGTTTGTTGATAGTCCTGCATAGGAGCGTATGTGACGTAAGACCTGTTTCATTATCAGCATCCGAATCAGAATCCTTTGTGAGTCCTTAATCCTGCAAAGAGCTTCAATAGAACTACTCGCTACCTAGTTATGGCTCGCAGTCCGCGAAGCTGACTTCCCTTTGAATGCCACTGCAACAAAGTTCTCTCACAGTTCCCAAACAAAAGTCTTGGCATCATATATCTCTCGTGAAAAGGTATTACTTTAGGCACCTTATTTTGCTACTGTACGTAAGGGTACTTTTTAGTTATAGTTTAAGCTCACAAGGGTCTGGCTGGAGCAGTTTGGCCACCATTTTCGCGCTGACTGATCATCTCGAGGTTACAACATTTGTAGGAACTCGTTGAGTACATAGTTTTTATTTCTTTATTCCGCTGACAATCTTCTACACTAAGTCATTCATTAAATACAACATACAAGTAATAAACATAGTTCTAAATTTATATGTGCTCCGCTGGTTCCTAAAGAGGATTAACTATTCCCTTTGCTGCGTCTATTCTATTAGAGACGAGTAATGCTTAAAGCGAAGGTAGTAAGGTACTCTAGACTAAGAGCATGTACGCATCTGTCGCTTGCCCTTTTATAGAATGTCAAAGCAGTTTCGTATCATTGCCATTGATAGAGCAGATAATGCCTCTGGCACTGCCCGGTTCATCTCCTTTGTACATTTCCTTGAGACTTACGTAGCAATGCTAGAGAACAACACGGCACCCTGGAATACCCGCCAGTTGTTATAAGCTAACTGTTATATATGACTCGAGAGGTTTCCTCCCACTTCGCAAGTATCTTTCCGTACGATTTCATTCATTCCAGCCAACTAATCTAGCTACTATTAACTATCCCAATTCGAGACAGCAACGTCTGCTTGCTTCACCTCCCATCCAGCTAGCGCTTTCAAAGAAGACATGCAATGCGGATGGCTAACGCCTAAAATGCGGTTGCGTAGTTTCACACATTCCTTCATGAGTTGTATAGCTTCCGCATAATGACCCTGTCCCTTCCATATGAAGGCGAGATTACACATGCTGGTCAGTGTGTTGGGGTGGTCCTTTCCGAGTTTCGTCTTGCTTGTCTCCACCACTTCCACAAACAGTGCTTTGGCAGCCTCCCATCGGCCTTGGTCCGGCTGCGCGTTGTCCTCATGGTATTCCCTCCGCGCTGCCTCAAGAATCTCCATTTTGGCTCATACCCTCTGCCCCGCGAAACGGCGTGCCGAAGAAGATCAAACCGGCGGTTGATGTGTATATGCCAATCCAATCATCCATCACGTGTTAAGTATCCAGGAGCGCCTGTAGGCCCTTAGCGTTAGGTATATTCCGTTCAAGTTCACCTGCTCACTTTAAGCACGACCAGCCCACCGAAGCAGTGCGCTATAAAGGCTAGCGGCCGAAACGGATACTCCTGGCGATTTGAGTAGTGGTGGTATGTCTACTACATAGGACCCGTACCTTTCTTTCCCGTCGTAAGACTGGCAGCAACGCTGTGCAACCATCGGCATATTCTGCCATATCGCCCCTTGTCCGAACAACTGCAACTGGTATCCTTATCGCATGATGCGCGCACTCAGTGCTACTGATGGTAGCATGCATTCCTCCGCAAGCCAGTTAATCCACCGTGGACCATTCTCCGTACCGACATTCTTCCACCAGGTATCTTCTAGTGGGCGCGTTGATGCCATGGATCGCGACGATGCTAGGGGCGTCAGTATAAGTTGAGGCAATGTGATAACTGTAGAGACAAACGCACTTGACGCTCTCGGCTGCCTCCGCTGGGGCCTCACGGAGCACTTTGAGTCCAATATCAACATTAGGCGCGCCGAATCCCTATCCTACCCACATGCCATTATCAATTACGTTCAATGCTTAACTACGAACCCGTAAGTGGGTGTGTGCTCAGCCTAAGAGAAACATGTCTTGATGAGGCCGAACGATTAAGGAGAGGAAATGTGTCGATATATTTCAGACTGATTGACACCAGGCTGAGACAGCCGTCCGCTCGACCTGCTCAGTCAGTCTGCGGCGAGGCTGAGGCTGCGGATGGTCGAAAGCGAACCGTAGCTATCTAAGGTGTTGGCTGCTTGCTAGTTCTGAGATATATGCGCTTCCGCAATCCACTACTCGTACATTGTCAACTTATCCCTCCATTACTCTTTCATTTAGTCATGCCACCATTTCTAAAGTTAATCAGCTCGTCTACGATCTCGAGCCTGCAGCTACTTTGCCGGCTACCTTTCAATCGTGTTATGCAACGTCCCTCACAAGAGACAATTTCTTAAAAGAAACTTAATCCAAAGACCTTGAGACAATAGCTCCTCGTCTCTAGATTATGACGACTTTTTCCAGCGGCAACATCAACCCGTTGCACTGCAGCTGGGTGAGAACTTTGTTGCAGCCGCATTCGAGGGGAAGCCTGTTTTGCAAGCGACTGTGTGCGATATCATGCTGGAAGGAGTTGAGGGATTTGAGAGGGTTTGAGCATGTAACACCCATGCTTGCGAGGTGAAGTCCTTATTGGAACAATTACACAACGAAGGCTTAAATCCATCCAATACAAGTGCCCCCAAACATAAAATGCGAGAGGAAAAGAACGAATCATGTTTTCATTAGAAATAACCAATAGGGCAGGATGACTCAACCCGAGCTGCAATCACTCATTCTGAGTACTTAAGGCGAACAACTGCGACCCAAGTACTTGAACCCTCGAACCTCTGCCTAAATTTCCCTTTGAACAACAATAGTTTGACTCATACTAACCAAATCAATAGAACCTTGTCTCGCGTCCCGATCTCACGACAATTTAGCGCTCAGATCATGCCAGCCACCCGTGTCACGGTGGCCCTAAATGCCAAGCAGTCGCAGAAGGCTCCACTTCTCATTCCAACCTCTGCGTCTCATGATCCATCTTCCGCGGCCTCCATTTGCTCACTTGTCTTTAAGACAGCACAGTCGAAGCTTCGCCTTAGGAAGCCATCACGGGTCTATGTTGCAGGCACAGGCCAGGAGCTGATCACAAGTGATGATTGGAAGAGCGTCATCCGAGATGACCTGACGCTCCTTGTGTCTGCTGGAGAGATGTATATCGGTATGAGGAAAGAATCGACCAAGCACCGTAAGTACTACCTACTGATTTTGGAATGCGTTGGAATCTAACACGGCTTTATAGCTGATGCCAATCCAGACTGTCTCGTCAACATCCTCGCGGAAAAAGCTCCAGTTGACAAACTCTCCGTGACTCAACTCCAAACTATCGCAACCGAGTTACCCGGGATCGTTCACGCGGTCGGTCAGCCAGACCTACACCCCGGCACTAAGTTTCCCATTGGTGCCGTCTTTGCTTCGAGGAAATGGGTACATCCGCCTCTCATCGGAAGCGACATTGGATGTGGCATGGCCTGGTACAAGACCAACCTGTCGAGGAGGCAGGTGGATGGCGACAAAGGCAAGAAGGTCGCAGAGAAGCTTCGAGGCTTGGAGGGTCCGTGGCGGACACAGGCTGATCGCGAACAATGGCTCCTAGACGACGGTTGCTCGGCCGGAGAAGAGTGGGATAGCTCTCTTGGTACTATTGGTGCTGGAAATCACTTTGCGGAGATCCAAGTCGTAGAAACATTGTCGCTCCCCAACGGGTCTCACGGCCTACACGAAAACGATGTCGTGTTACTAGTCCACTCCGGGTCGCGGGGTTATGGTGGCAACATTCTCAAGAAGTACACATCCGAAGCACACGTCAGCCTCGAGGAAGACAATAATGCTACGAAAGAGTACATGCGGGAGCACGACCAAGCCTGCCGGTGGGCAAAGGCTAATCGGGATCTCATCGCCGTGCGCTTTCTATCCTGCCTCGAGCCCGGCGAAGAAGTTTGGGGATTGGGACAAAATCCACCAAATGCCGAACAAATTGACGATACCGACATGATATCACTTACCAAGGCTAAACTGCAAGAACGAAGGGTAGTCGATATCTTGCACAACAACGTGGAGCGGGTAAAATGGCCGCCGGCCCCACCAAGTTCTGCCGCGACAATCTCAGCACTTAAAGAGAAAGATTCTCAACTGCTCCTCGAATCGAGTCAGGAGCAACAAGATTACGTTTACATTCATCGAAAAGGCGCTGCTCCAACATGCAACCCTGTCACCAATATGCCGCTTGATATTCTGCCTCTTCCTGGATCTCGAGGCACTCCGACAATGATTCTCAAGCCAACCTTCTCTGAGGAAACGTCATGGGGCATGAAGAATGCACTCTCGCTCGCACATGGAGCCGGACGAAGCATCTCCCGCTCAAAGGCCCTCTCGTCTTTCAGCCAGAAGTACAAGAATCACAACCTCCTCCTTGAGCCTGGCACAGGCCCCAACAAGGGGACCTGGGTCATATGTGACGAAAAAGATCTCGTGTACGAAGAGGCTCCAGAGGCGTATAAAGATGTGTATGCAGTAAGTGAGGACTTGGTAAAAGAGGGGGTGGCGGAAATTGTGGGATTATGTAGGGCAAGGATAAGCTACAAGGTCAGAAATGAGTTGAGGTGAGCGAGCCGCGAAGACCATTGACAGCAGCACGGCTCTTCTGTGCCGAAAACTCCAGGCCTTGAAACAAGGACCTGGCGCAAGTACGGCATGCTCTAGCATACCACGGATCTTGACCAAGACAGAAATGATAAGTCAAACCTCTTGCTTGAACATCGGGGGACTATCTGGGGGGCTATCAGGGGATACTAATTCTTGTCCTGAATCAGTCTGTCGGGTGTGCTAATAGGCCGCATTTTTGCTTTTTTGATTGCATAGATCTCGTAGGTGAAACCACTCAATTTTGTATCCTGTTCTTGGATACTCTCTCTGTTTCTCCTTATCACGATCACAAACGCCTATCTTATTTCCAAGCGAAGCGAAGCGGCTGTTACGGGACCGTTGTTACACAGCCCAGATCGAATCGTTTGCCATATTCATCCTGAGACAACCGGATTGAGCTATGTGAATACTAAGCATTAAATCGAGATTCCATGACGTCCAAACGATAGATGCAATTTCTTCCAGAGAGGGAAATTATGTTATCGGCGCCCAGACTTGGTGTATTGCAACCAATTCCATCTATATTACTCTGGAATCCTGCGTCGTGGTCTTGGATATTGAGTCTGCGTCATTTCATGCGGGCACCCGTCAAAACTTCTCCTCGAACTCCCGCAGTTGACATCTGTGTCTGTCTCTCTCTATCTCATTCCGTTTTCTCTGTTCAATAGTTTCGAGTTCTGCAGATGGACCGGTTCCATGGCCATCCGCACCTTATCGTTCTATTTGTGTTTGTGAAACAATGCGATGGACAGCTCGCCGTGTCGACTGTTCGTGTCCGGCGAGCGGATGATGTGCACGCCGCCTGAGGTAGGCAGGTTCGAGGGTAAAAATGGAACCCCTAACATTAGCGCCGCACTAGCCGAAGCTTGATTTGTTCGACTGGCATGGAAACGACCCTCAAGCGCTCGCGCAAACGCCGCGTTTGTTGGACGGCGCAGTTAGCCCATTCACGGAGGTACAGAGGGAACGTTTCAGCTGCACGGCTTACTGCAGACCACGCCAAAGAAACACGGCGTTTGTGGGACTTCGATGCTTCACCTTGGCCCCAGCCTCGTATCTGGCTCGAGCGTCTCAGCCTGTTACTGATTGGCGCGCACCCCTGCGTCGTTTTAAGATCATCGTTAGGCCAAAGCTTGTTTAGCCAACACACCGCAAACATTATGTTCTTCCTCCAGTCCCTGTTCTTTCATATGGAAGGAATGCTATGACTGTGCCGAACGGCAATGTAAGTTTGATTCAGCACTACTTGTTCTTTTGATAAAGGGGATCAGCGGGCTGAGAATTCCTCGTGGCTGTTTTTGTGCCACAACCCAACCACTCAGATATAATCCTACCCGCCGCCTGTTTTCTTCCACATAACTGGGTGCGTTACTCGTGATCCTTTCACCATTTCCAAGCCGAATTCCTGCCTGCCTTACACCGCCCTCTGCAGCCTGGTTCAACCGCAGGCCTTGGCGCTAATTTCCTCAACTGTTTACACACCTTCCTTGACAACCATTGAACTCTTTCCACTCCACCTCTTCAACTCACCACAAACACCACAGACACCGCAGACGCCACTAAACGCTCGCCACTAGATAGCTGCATCATCGCCAAACCTTGTGCTAAACAGAAACCTTCAGGATCCTTGATGGGCAGCATGCTTCTTTCAATCCTCATCGCCGTTCTGGGTGCTGCCGCTATCGCCAGCGCGCAGTCTGCTACGCCATCTGCTGCCAACGCTCCTGAGGTCACCGGAAATCCCATTGGAGCCTCCTACCTTGCGGTTCTTCCAGAGAAGGCGGGCAGCACCGTTCGCGGCTCAATCTCGGCTTCGTCGTCTCCTGATGGCAAAGGTGTTCTGTTCCAGGTTGCCCTTTCTGGTCTTCCCACTGAGGGCGGTCCGTTCAGTAAGCATTGAAAGAGCCTAAACGTCTGTGACTTCCTCTAACAGCATGCTCACAGTGTACCACATCCATGAGAAGCCGGTTCCTGCGGATGGCAACTGCACTGGTACTGGTGCCCACCTTGACCCGTACAAGCGGGGAGAGACGCCACCATGCGACCCAGCTCTGAAGCAACAGTGCCAGACTGGAGACCTCAGTGGCAAGTACGGCAAATTCAATGGTACTGCTTACTCTAACGCGTAAGTCAACATCTCAACAGCTGTTCTGTCCGTGGACTAACCTAATGGGGCAATAGCTACACCGACCTCTACTCGTCCACCATCCCGACCAACCCAGCTTTCTTCGGCAATCTGTCAGTCGTTGTTCATCTTGCAAACAAGACACGCATTTCCTGCGCCAACTTCACGACGATCGCGATAGGTTCCGAGAATCCAATTCCACCGGTCAGCCCATCATCTGGCTACGCTCTCCCAACAACTGTCGTCCAGAACGCCACTCTTGGTGTCTCGGCCACAGCTACCGGAACTGGTGGTCCAAACAGCGGTGCTGATGAAAGTGGCCATGCGAGCGCGACTGCTACCCCACCCAGCCCAAGTGCACCAGCACAGTCCAACAGCGGGGCAAAGCTGTTGGCCGGAGCTAGTGCTTTGGTTGGTGGTACAGTAGTAATGCTGCTTGTCTAAGAGAACAAATCTCAACTTTTCTATTCTGGCCTTGCGGTAGCATATCGGCGTTTGGCAAAGGTCTTTACGAGAATGGAACATGCTCATGTCTGATCTGGAATGTCTCTGGGGTATTTTCCCCAGCTAGCTAATGCGATGGATGGGTACATAATTGACAAGGAATTCAATCCACAATGTGACGAAACCTAGCCTCTTTTTGACTGGCTATCCAAATTGAAGTATAAATATAAACAACCTAACATCCTTCGACATAGATATTTTCCACTGCGTCCGTTTTGATAGGAGCATAGATTGCCAAGACGCGTTGGTAGATCTCCTCACCGCTCACCGACCCGCCCGGTTCTGCCCAATTCTGCCACCCTTTAGCGCCTGGTCTGTGCATAGTACAGCTTCACAACCTGGCGACGGCACGAAACATACAAACCACACCACAGCATCACTACACTTGAGTGCGCCAGCGCATAAAAACTGTCAACTTACCCATTGATCTGCGCTAACAACAAGTGACTAACAGAAATGGCCTTGGTCTACCGAAGCGAGGATCATCCGGACACCTCTCCATTTCCGGAGGATGAAACCAAATTCGAGAACGATGAGAGGTGTTTTGCCAATACGGGCGACGGAAAGTACCATCTAGTAGACGAGCGAGGCAAAGAGTGGATCTGGAATGAGGAGAGCAGTACATGGATTTCAAAGGTGGGTTACATGCCCACTTTATGTTGTTGAGACTGCTTTGTAGAGTCGAAGGATGCTAATGATTGCGCTAGGTGGAGAAACCCAGTGACCCCAACGCCCCGGACGATTCCGTGACAGAGCAATCGAGGGATGGCGGAGCGCAGCCTGTCGCCGAGAATACCAAACAGAAGAAAGGCAAGAAGCGCAAAGCGGGATCGCCTGGACCGGTGAGTTTCAACAATGCGCCTGGTCATTGTACGTTCGCTGACGCCAGGCTTCACAGGACGGCAAGAAGAAGCTTAAGGCTGAGAATAAGGCTGTCTATGTTACCGGACTCCCACTTGACGCAACCGCCGACGAGATCGACGACGTCTTCAGCCGGTATTGCGGGATGATTGCTGTTGGCACCGATGGCAACAAGCGCATCAAGCTATACAACGGCGATGACGGCAAGTTCAAAGGCGAGGCTTTGGTGGTCTTCTTCAGGAAAGAATCCATTGCGCAGGCGCTACGAATGCTCGATGAGCAGCCACTTCGAATCGGTGGCGGGGAGATCATGCACATCCAAGAAGCAGACATGTCGTACAAGAAAAACGAGATTGCCCAGCTCAAGGGCATGGCCAAGAAGGCGCAGGTTCAGAACCGGGCTGCTATGGAACGGTATGTGTTAGTGTCCCTCGTTGAGTCGACGAAACTCATTTGAATTAGTGAAGTCAACGATTGGTCAGAAGACGAGGAGATCCTGAAGGAGCTACCAGTCGACGAGAAAAAGGAGAACAAACACAAAAAGATCGTCATCGTCAAACACGCCTTCACGCTCGAGGAGATCGAAGAGAACCCAGCTCTAATTCTAGACATTAAGCAAGATTTGCGCGAGGAAGCTGAAAAACATGGACCTGTGACCAACGTTGTCTTGTACGACAAGGAGCCGGACGGCATCGTCACAGTGCGATTCCAATCTACCGCCTCCACTGAGGGTTTCATCATGAATACGGACGGCAGATTCTATGGCGGCCAGCAGCTCGAGTCGGTTGTTGCTGAGCACAAGCCAATGTTCCAGAAGAGCAAGAAGTATGATCAGGTGGAGTGGGTTGCGGACTCGGACTCGGACTAGACTGTGTAGGTCGTCCCGATCGATGCCGAGATGATCTGAAGGCAGTTGTGGGCGGGGTGAAGATGCTTGTACAATAGTTCAGCGATGAGGGCGACTCTTGGGTAATGTCTACCCTGATACCCTATCATATACCCTTTCAATGCGAGATGCGAAGTCATTCTCTGCAACTCCTCTACTCTAAAGGACATGTCTCTCTGCAGACCCGAGTAGGAAAAATATGTACAACCTTATCCAAAGAACACACGTTCATTTTTGCACTGTCTTGGTGAAGTATCCCAGCACAAGCAAGACGCCCCTGCCCCACTCTCGGTTTCAGGGATCAGGGATCGATTACGGAATGAGTCGGTTCCGAGTCGCCTCTCAAACATTCAACCTGGACCCTTCAAACATCAACACACGCGAACAAATGCCCGCCTGCATCTACATCTGCAGGCCAGAATGCACATGATCTCCTCTTGATGATGTTTATCCCTCGATGGAATACTAGGCTTCTCTTAATTCTCATCTTTCCTTGAAACCACATCCCACCTTGATCGAACACTCAGCCACACCCAAGCTTCCTCCTGCAGTTGAGAGAGTTGTGGACGAACGGCGGTCAAAAAAAGTCAGACAATCCAACCCAGCGCAATCCAAAATGCGCGATCCCCTCCCCGCACCTGTCTTCCTAATCACCCTCACAACCCCCGTCGCCCAAAAACTCGGCCTCACCACCCTCCCCAACCACATCCATGAACTCCTCCTCGGCTACCTTTGGTACCACATCCTGCTCACCTTCATCTCCCCGACCCTATCCAAGCTCCTCGTCCCCAGGACCTACGCCTCATTCTCCCGCCGCACGCGGCTCAACTGGGACATGCACTGGGTGTCTATGGTGCAAGCGCTGTTCATCAATTCCGCGGCGCTGTGGGTTATTTTGAGCGATAAAGAGAGGGAGGGGATGGATTGGAGGGGGAGGCTTTGGGGGTATACTGGGGCGCAGGGGATGGTGCAAGGGTTTGCGGCGGGGTATTTTTTGTGGGATTTGTGGGTTAGTGTGAGGTTTATAGATGTGGCGGGAGTGAGTGCAGCGGTGCACGCGGTAGGCGCGTTAAGTGTTACGATGATTGGGTTTGTGAGTAATGCATCTTTTCCTCTCCCTTGCTGTCATTTTCATCGGTGGTTGAAAGGGGGTCGTTCCTGAGTTGAGTCTGTTGGTGAATTTCAAGCTAAAGTTTGGGTGGCTTATAGCGTCCCTTTGGCAACTACTATGGCCTCTCCTTCGTACTCTACGAGCTCTCAACCCCGTTTCTAAATATCCACTGGTTCTGCGATAAACTCGGCGCCACGGGCTCGAGGCTCCAACTCTATAACGGTATTGCCTTGCTGGTCTCTTTCTTTATGTGTCGGTTGGTGTGGGGTACCTATCAGAGTGTGTTGATATATTCGGATATTTGGACGGCATTGACGGTGGGGGATAATCAATTGAGGGGGGAGATGATGAGGGAGATGGGGATGAAGGGGGTGGACGGGGGGAAGTGTGATGGTAGGGGGAGTGATAGGAGAGAGGGGGGAGGGGTAGATGTCACTGGGTGTGGGATTGGGGAGTTGCCTATGTGGTTGGTGAGTGTGTATCTTGTGGGAAATACGGCATTGAGTTTTTTGAACTTTTATTGGTTTGCGCAGATGATTAAGGCGGTTAGGAAGAGGTTTGTTCCGAGGGATAAGCAAGGTGAAAGCCGGAAGGTGAAGGGAAAGGTGGTTAGGGAGACGAATGGGTTTGTTAAGAAAGCTCAGTAGATTCTGAGATGGTGTGGCGGCAAATGAGGATATGTGAGTTAGTTAAAGTGAAGTTTGGTGTGAGGCGGTTAGACTACCGCTGTAGGAATATAGAAATGCAGATTTGTAGGACGGATGAAGGATGAAGGATTCGAGGCCCGTGCCCCACTTCCTCACATGCTGTGCATCACCAACGGGATTGTATTTCTAAATATATCAAGGAATCGAAACATTTGACTAACTTAGCCCAACGAACTAAACCCGTACATTAACTATCTTTTCCACAACCAAACAAATACATGCTATCTAACAACCACAACACTAGTACACGAAATCTCCGGAGTATCTCAATTAAACGACCAACCCACATTTAAACTACTTTATATCGCCCCACCATAGGCACCAAACAAGGGACATTATCACTGTCTCACCAATAGCGAGGCTTATCGGGCTGCTATATGTCCATCGGAGCAGAGGTGTACAAAGAAGTCTGGTCAAAAGACGAAGATGAAAGCGACGGTGAGGGCATGAGGTAGAGTTTATTCCAATCCAAGGGGGCTATGGTAGTAGTAGTCGCTGTATGCGTTGAGTTTGTGGGATAAGGTAAAGAGCTATATTATCAATAGTGAGTCGATGGAGATGGGACTGAGATGGGGATATGATACGGGCAAGGGGTGCCTACGAATTGAGCAACTCATATCCATGGAATGAGACGGCTGACGAAATATTCGAAATGGCTGTATCGAACCGATTCTGAACTTGACCATATGCGGAGAGCGCTTCATGGCCTTGAGTGTTTATGTTACGATAGGCTGCGGGATTCAGCCCGGTATGCGTTGAATTCATTGTTGGGGGTGATTTGAAAAGCTCCGGATCCAAGCAGTCGTCAGTTACTACCGGAGTGGAATAGATCTCTGAGGTCCAGATATCGGAGTCGTTGAGGCTGTTGCATGTTTCCGAAACAGGTTCCATTCCAGGGATATAGTACGGAGTCGGTGAGGGATAGGGAAAGAAGGGTATTTCCTGCTCGTGGCCACATACCTCATGGCCTCCATCCGTTTCCTCCTTTAGAATTGACGTGGATGTCGCTAGTACCTTCCCTACATCACAGTCAGCCAAAAGTGCAACGCTCCACTTCTCAATCATGACACTATCATACCAGGTGGTTGAGTTGTGAACGTCCTCAAATACCGTATCCAATCACTCTTACTCCGCTGCTTCCTGCCCATGATATACCGACAATCTTGGCCGTGACGTTGGCAGCGTCGACATCCTGGTTTTTCGCCATCACAGCGTACTTTTCGCTCTCGACACCGCGCGCAGGCGGTGTGGCGCGCTTCTCTGGAGACCGAGGGAGGAAACATTCTGTTGGGTTCTGAGGATATTTGGTGTTTGATGGGACAAGATAGAAAGCAGATGGTGTGTCACCTCGAAAAGGAGTCGGCAGGCAGATATGACGACGGATTATATATGACTGATGGTTCTGAAAAAATGGCTTGCCTCCGCAACAGACATCATTCGACTCTATAACAAACCACTAGCTGTATTCTTTGTGTCCACCCCTATCCCACACATTCCCATCGGTCCATCTCACCATTCCAAGCTTCTTAGCAGGCGCGCACACACAATGCCGGTCACAAAAACGTGCTCTGACCTCATTGTCGGCCCCTCCGTATCCACTGATCTCTGGAATGTACCTCTCCCTATACAAGGCAACGGTCAGCTAGCGGATGTTCTACTTCTCTAAGGGGTGATCCCCCATCTCGTCAATAAAAACACCAAGCTCAAGAACAAGCACAAGCATAAGATCTCAAACTCTGCATCTAGAGTGAGCTGATCCTTCACCTCTTATTCAGGCTTCACCGCCTCCCTCCTAACGGCCAGCGAGCGGCAGCCACGCATAACACCGCAGATTAGTAGCGTGAGGCACGAAAAACGCCTTGCGGCACCGTACTGCATCGTACACATAACACGACATTCCTACGGTTGCATAGCCGAGATGAAAGGAATTCCAGGGAAGTAGACTGGCGTCCTGACTTTCTGGAAGGTTGCTCAAGAGTTGGAAAGCTGTGCAACGAGTGAGAGGGGACGGAAATAGATTTGGTAAGTCAGGAGATGGGTGGAAGTTTGCTCGCGGAGTTTTTTGGTTGATCTAGGAGTGTGTTGGGTTGGATTTGGTTGTTAATGGGCGTGAAGAGACATGTTTGGAAATCAGACAAGAGGTCAGATGATTGTGAGAGCTTGATGGTGCGGCAAGACACAGCAGCCTCGTGGTAGCTGCAAGCTTCTTCGTCACGAATTTCTAGTGTCAGGGCGATGCGGTGAGTACGAGGCGATTGCGCTGTACAAGAAGAGCTGTTTGCTCAATTGTCGGTAAAGTCGGCAAGAGAGTCCTGTGTTCTGCGGTAGTGACGACGACGTTAAAGAAGCTACTATCTATGCTTTAATGTTGTGTTCGTGAATCATTGTTCTTAGAGAAATGGGCGTCTCTTTGATGGTTTTGACATCGGCTCCCCTAGCAAAGCCGTTGGGATAGAGTGTCACAGAGCGGGGTTGGTAGAAGAAACAGCGAAATAGAAAAGACGAGAAGGCAAGTAGAATCCCGAACGTAGAATCCCAAACTTGCCTCTCCGCTCTTCAGATTTTACTTTCCCAATTCCCAGCAATGTCATCTCTCACAGGCCAGCTTATCGCCATCACAGGCGCAGCATCCGGCATCGGACGCGCCACTGCTTCGCATCTTTCTAAAAAAGGGGCTCTCCTTTCCCTGGCTGACATTAATGGAGAAGCTGTGCAACATTTCGCAAAAGAGTTGACGGATAACGGCACGTTGGTGTTCTGGAAGCGGGTCGACTTGCGGGAGAGAGATGAGGCGGAAGCCTGGGTTAGTGATACCGTGAAGCACTTCAATCGGCCCTTGGACGGTGAGTTTTCTCTCCAGAAGATAATAACCTTGGCAGGGGCAGGAGACGGAGAGGAAGAGAGTTGGACGTTAACTGAAAATGCGAATAGGCGCCGCCAATCTCGCGGGCATTTCTGGTCACCTGGGCACAGTGCGCGACCACGACTCCGCAGATTACGATGCAGTCTTTGCCATCAATGTTAAGGGAGTCTTCAATTGCATGTCAGCAGAGCTCCGAAACATGAGGGAAGCGGGCTCCATTGTAAACGCAGCTAGTATTACCGGCCTTGTTGGGAAACCCTCTTGCTCCGTCTACTGCGCGAGTAAGTTTGCCGTGATAGGAATCACAAAAGCTGCAGCTCGCGAGGAGTCGAAGTTTGGGATAAGGATAAATGCAATTGCGCCGTAAGTCGTCACCGACGGGTGTTTCTGCCGTCCCCCCCCTCTCTCCGTTTGCCCCACCTCCTCTTTCGCTCTCGGCTGTTTCAGATTGTTGCCGTGAGAGCACATTTCACTAATCTGCAGCATCGACATGCAGTGGATTTGTGCAGACTCCTATGATGGAGAAACTTGATGCCGAACTTGGCTTCCAACTCCCAAACGATAATGTTCTAGGTCGAAGGGCGAGGCCTGATGAGATTGCTAAGCTAGTTCTGTTCCTGCTTTCCGAGGACAGTAGCTTCACCACTGGGTCGGTGTATCTAATTGACGGGGGCATGCTCTGTTAGTGGTATCCTTTTTTCGGCTATCGACAGTCAACGATGACAAACAAATATTAAACTTATTCGATTCGAAACTTTCTTGCCTCGGGCAGCAATTCATGTTCGGCATTATTCGTGAAGGCTAAAAAACCGTCCCTCGATCGTGAAACGGCGTGACGGCAAGGCGGTAGGTTGATCCTAGATGAGCCAGGAGCCATGGAGACATGGAGGAGAATCGACCCCACATGGACGCACATCATTTTAGCTCCTCCGCTGGTCAAACCCCCGTACTGCCACTGTTTGCAAGGCTGCTGAACACCTGTCGAGTCGAAAGGCCTGCATCGTGCTCGTTTCAAGTTCATGCTTCCGATGTGATAAACGATAGACGGCGCAGGAAAATTGTTCACGTGGAGTCTTACCTTTCCTGCATGTCCAGGCAGCGCGAGGGATTCTGGCCCCAGCTATGAACCAAACTTTCGACCTTGTGCAGACGCAGAGAGGTTACACGCGATGTGCGTTTTAACCCACCACTTTCTCGTTTACCGTTGAACGCTACCAATTTTCAGTTCAGGTGGAGGGGAAGCCGTCTTTCAACAGGTTCTTCGACTGAGCATTAGTGACGGATAAGCAGTTCCTGCGAATCAAATCATGTACCGCCAAACTCTATCTCAGAGTGAACTATATCTGCCGGTGTCAAATCTGCGAGTGCGATGACTGGAACTCAGGTGACTGCATGTTGAGAAGATGGAGTGAAGAAAATATCTGTAGTGAATGTATACAGCGCTAAATAATCACAAACATTCCCGCCTAAAATCACAATCAATCCTCCCACCCTACATTACAAGATCGCGGTCATTGCTCAGGTGGTTTCTTCTCACATCTTACTGCCTTAACATCTTCTCGCCTCTTGGGACGACGACGACGGTGTCGAGTTCCTGGTTCGAGTCTTTGGACTCTCCCCGGAAGTGCTCCTGCGACTCACCACTCTTTATGGATGCAGAATCCTTTCGAGAATCTCCGTGTCCGAAGTGGGCGGCCAATGCTTTAGGGGCAGTGATGAACCAGGGAAGTCGGCCATGTGGCTTGACTACGGAGATACTGTTAGCCTTCTTGTTACGCGAGCGTTGTCAAAAATAAGACCTACTGCTCCAATACTCCTGGTGGTCTGCATCATCGGGGACGATGTAACCACGAGAGATAAATTTCGTGGCCCACACAAGTCCATTGAGGGATACATATGTCATGAGCCCTGCAATCAACCCGTAGGCAGCGCTGTAGCCAAACGGAATGAACATGACCGTGACGAATGCGGGTAGAGCATCCCCAATGTATCGCCAGTTCACGTTGACGATTTGGCGCATCATCAGACAGCCAACCTGTGGTTGTGGTTAGAGAGTCTGCAGGGTTGACTAATGGAGGTGTACGACTTACCAAGATAAGAGTGCATCCAGTAGCCCACGGTGGAATCGAAGCAAAAATAGGTGCAAAACACATAGAAATGAAAAAGCAGATGCCGCAGGTCATGGCTGTCAACCCAGTCTTGCCACCCTCGGCGATACCCGCTCCGGACTCAATAAAAGCCGTAACGGGGGAGCAGCCAAGCAAAGCACCTATGGAGATGCAGAACGCATCAGTGCAGTAGGCAAGGGTCGATCTGGGGAAATCTCCAGACTCTGGATCAACCACCCCACTGAATCGGGCCATGCTGAACAACGTCGCCGTGCAGTCAATAATGTCGACATAAAGGAAAGTGAAAAGAGCGAGGATGAAATGGGACGGGTTTTTCCCGACATCCCAGTCCAGCACATTGAGTGTATCATCGATTGGATGGAAGTTGACAACTCTCTTAAAAAAGTCCCAGCGGTCATCGCCAGCATGGTCGTGGGGAAAGTACGAGATCGAGGTTCCTCGTCTGGGTGAATGTCAGCCGGGTCGCTCCTGAAACCATCACTTGCAGGAAGAATGCTTACGGCCAGGAAATAATAGAAACCAACGCAATACCCGCAATCATGGCGCTCTTGACCTTGAATGTCATAAGATAGGCTGTGAAAACTCCCCCGCAGAAGATGCCTACCCACATCTGGTCGCCGGTTAGCATGCAGTGAATTTAGCCTGCATTCGTGCATCTTATCACCTAATGCGGAACACGACAGGGGTGGTTTAGGACAAGAACTTCCACCCTGTTGATGCTCTTCCTAATGTCACGAAGAGGCTTTAACAGGTAGTCCACCTGGTCATGTTCCACGTTATATGATCAGATGCCACGGAGTGATTTGGCTTACCTTTGGGTTGGTCATCTTATGACTCGTGCAGAACCCGTTTTCGTCCATGTACTGTTCTGTACAGCCGGCGATCTCAAGGGGAGTCGCGGCAGAGCCAGTGACTGCGCCTATGCCGGCGGAGTAGCTTAGGCCAATTTCTGAAAGAAACAACCCGATACCGCAAGCGCTGGCAATCTTCAATGATGAAGGAATAATCTTTACTAGCCACTGACGCATGCCGATCAGTGACAAGAAGATGAAGATAAACCCTTCAACGAAGACTGCAGTGAGAGCAAGGTTGTAGGAGATCATGCCGGTGCCGTGAAAACCGACGACTTGATAGGCAAAGTATGCATTCAACCCCATGCCCGGCCTGCGGTAGCGATTAGCAGGGGTTGCGGAGAAAATATGAATCCAATTAAGCGACTTACGCAAGACACACGGGCATGTTGGTTAAAAACCCAAACAAAAAAGAACTGAAACCAGAGATGGCGGCCGTCGCAGTGATTAGAGAGCGATTCATGTCTGCAAGCGGGGTTAGTTGATGCAGTGGAACGGACGCAGAATCACCGACCTCGAACGCATGATGAATACTCCTCGTTTACAGCACATATCGGGTCTTTGCCCGTGGTGTCGTTGCAGACACAGTTACCTCCTGTGTCTGCCAAGATTGAGGCCTGCGGACGTCAGTACTAGCTTCACGCGAGGGAAGGGAAAAACCAACGTTGACGGCAATGATGTATGCCATAGTAAAGAAAGTTGTAAGCCCTGCGCGGACCTCTGTAGTGAATCTGGTGTTTTTTATTTCTTTTTCCTGTGTTTGTATGAGCCACTGGAAAAGGAACTCCCTCAATATCTGAGACTTACATGTCCAGAGCCCTCAAGACGAAAAATGCGCCCGAAGGTGGAGGAGCCCACAGCTTCATTGAAGGAGTTGAGGGACTTGTTAATGGCGTTCATGGTATTAAATTGAAAGCGAGAAGAAGCTGAAGGAGAGTACTGCCGTGACTTGTCTTTGCCACGCTGAAGGAACGCACAGTCTGCGGAAGTAGGAACGCGGAAGGAGAATATGCTTTTGGGACGGAGATTATATAGAAGGGAGCTTCGCGTGGGTGCCGTCAGAAGCAAATATTTCAGCCAGCACCAACGACGACGAACTTCGGCGAAGAGCTCGAGAGATCAGGCCACGAAAAAGGGGAGATAGCGTGGGATCAATGAAAAGAAAGCGATAGGTAAGGGTGTTGGAACCTCTCAAATATTAAGAGACGAGCCAGAGTGGGTCAAAAGCTTGGGGACGGCAACCATGGATGTGAGGAAGGGTGAGGCAGGCCCAGACGAGCTGTCAATTGTACCTGACAGCTGATGGCAAAAGCCATTGTTAATCAAAGTGCTACACAAGTTTTTCCCGAATGACAACGTGCAGCTGCAATGTGTGTCTCGAGGTGGAGATTTTGGGCGATTGAGTTGTCCGCAAGGGGACATGAGGCCAAAGTATGTGCACGGCTAGTGGCGTTCTGGGCTAAACCTTGCGGAAGACCTGGCCCTGTGCGGGCGTGCCTGTAGATCTGGCCCGAAATCGACTCGCCGGGCACTGATCCGCGATGCGCCCCGCAGATGGTTGCCGGTCTGTAAGTGGTGCGGAACGAAAGCAACCTGGTAACGCTTCAGAGCATCCACGCAAAACATGGGTGAATGCAGAGCTGCCCCGGTCCTGGCCCTGAGCCCCTGTCCGGTTCGTCTGCGCCTGCTTGTCGTTTGTTTTGTGATGTGGTGAGCTGGGTTGGCCGGTAGTTGATTTTGCAGTGGGTAAAGGTGCAAACTCCAAACAGATCGTCCGCTGCACCACCCTCCGTTCCTGAGCCAGGACGGACAGACGGCCGTCTCAGGATGACGAAGAGTGTGTGGGCCTCCGCGGCACCTGATCTCAGTCACAACGCAGCTGCAGCTCGCCACTTCGGAGGCATTCACACCCGTGGTAGAACCAAGAAGTGTCGCCCAAAGAAGAGGCGTCCGATAATCCAGCATCCTCCCTGGCCGCGCAATTGCTGTCGTACGATCCTCGTCGTCAACGAAGACCTTGTCGACCTTCGTCTAAAAATCCGTCCAACCTTCTAGTGCCGCCCACGTGTGGGCTGAAACTCCAGTAGGATGGAGACTTCCGGCGGCACCACGGTCCCCCTGATGGCCCTTCCCCCCTCGCATCATAGTATGACAAGTTGCACTGCACCAGACCGCCTAGGTCCACGACATTGAAGCCATCGCAAATTTCCTTCATAGGTCAATAAAGCCACACGGCGCCTGCGACATTCTGCATCATCGGATAGTGCTGTACAAAGAGCCCCTCTTGCAGCCCTTTGACAAACCGCGACACCATCGTTCAGGCTCCTGTTCGGCGTCTAGCCATTTCTTCAAACCTGAAATCATTTTAGCATTCATTAATCTGTATGATACGCCCTCTTGCATCTCATTCCTTCCCCGCCTTTCTTGTAGTCTAGTATATTCTTCCACCCCCCCCACACACATCTTGTCCATCCTCTTCACTAACAAGCATGTTCGCCGCGGACCTTTCGTGGACTGAGCCAGCTACCGAGAAGGTAGGAGAACGTCGGGAGAGGAAAGCTAAGGAATGCTCCAATTCCTCCGCGACTCCCTCCCTCCAAAGCTCTAGGAGTTCAATCTCGGATGACCGGCAGTTGTTCTGGCCTTCGAGTCTAAAGAAGGCCAAATCCGTAAAGCCGGACCAGAAACCGAAACCTAGCACAAATCGTAAGGCAGGTCATGCGAGGAAACTATCGTCGTCGAACTCTGTTCCTCCACCTCCTGAACTCGATCGTTCCTTGAGGGACCCGATACTGCAGCCCGCGTGGACATATTCTGCGTCGCTCTCCTCCACTCTGCCCTCTGGCGCACCTTTGGATCTTCCGGTATATGAGGTCCCGGAGCTGGAGGGCGACTTGTCCTCTCGCCGCACCACATCGAGCGGTTCCCGGTCATCCCGTAAGTTTTGCAGTTTCTCATTATGTTAGCACCTACTCCGAGACATTAACAGGGAAAATCTGAACCATCAAATCTTGTCCTGGAATTGGAAACACTGTGGAGTGAATACAGGTTCCTGTCTTGAATGTAGCCCCTGGGAGCTTCCGTAATATGCACCAACATGAAGTCTTCGAGAAGTCGATTCCAAAAGCTAACGAGAATCGCAGATGAGCGACCATGGGGATGGAAATCGCCTGGAAAGATAAAAGTCATCGATGAGGTTCATGAGGTTCAGCAACTTAGTCCAAGGTCGTTCATCGCCCGAACAACCCGGCGGAGCTCTGAGGCTGTTGAAGCGGACCTAGACTTGAGCCCGCAGTCGTTAAGGTCGTCAAGCCCAAAAGATGATGCCAAGTACGTTCCACTCCTGCGTTTTATCACCTAACGTAGAACATGACAGGACGGTATAGGGTAGAAATGTGTGCCCTAATAGCTGCCGTCCTGGTCATGTTTTATGTTATATGATAACAAGCCGTAATTGTCGCGTCCTAGATCTGACCAGACTATTGTAGGGCGTCATACTCTGTCAAGATTGAAGGATGTCTGGACCTCGAAGCCCTTAAGATGCAGGACCAACCCGAGGAGATTGCACCGCCGGCGATAGAAGACAAGCCGTCATACGCTAATAGTCTGTCCAACCTAGTCGCTTGGAGACCACCGTCTAATTGGGAAGTTATTCTTCCGCCTGAGCACTCCGAGTCGAACGAAACGAGAGAGCCGTGCGAGCGACCCCAGCAAAAAGAGCTTCCCCCACTACCGACAGGGGTCGCGAACGCGCACAGCAGCCTCCTTGAGCTCACTCGGTTCCAGCGGTTCATTCGACGGATGGAAAGCGCAGGGCCTAAGGTCATTCTCGATCGCCTAAAGGAAGAGTGGCATGACCCTACGGATGAAGAGACAAATGAGGAGCTTGCTCTTGAGAAATCTCTCTGGGTCCTAACTGCCTTTCAGCTTCAGAATCTGGGGAGGTCCAAAGAACCTCCGAGGCCAAGGTGCAATACAGGGAAGATCCTGGAGCTATATGGCGATCTCTGTAAGTTCATACAAATTCCATCATGGGTTAAGTTGTTGTCTAATATATCCGTCAGCTGAGCTTTATCAACTCTCCGCAATGCATCCAAGCCAGAAGGTACACTACCTTACTACCAGGCCTCAGCAGTCTATCCCGCTTCCGGGAAATGTCGCATATCTGACCGTATCCCAAGCGGGATTAGTACCTATCCCGTACCATGACCTGACCTTCTCGCACATTAGGGCTTCGACCTTGCCTTCGCTCGTCCCGTCATCAAAACTGCCGCAGCTCTTCCGAGAGTGCTATAGGCTCCTTGCTCCGGGCGGAATGCTCGAAATAAGGATCATGGACGCGTCTCCCGTCCGGAAGACAGCTGGCCCCAAGATGAAGGCTTGGATCGAGGATAGACTATCATTGAACCTGGAAAGACTGTTTCGATGCTCAAAGCCGTGCATGCTCGTCTCAAGCTGGCTGACAGACGCTGGGTTCGACTTACCAAAGAATCAGGCCCAATCTGGCGAGCAGAACATGAAGCTGCCTTGCGCCTGCGAGAAAGAGAATTCTAATGTCGATGTCGAGCTCTCCACCTTGATAGGACGAGCAATCTGGCAGGAAATATGGGGGGGGTTTGTTGATGATGTACCTGGAGAGCCACGCTGGTGGTGGGAGGATGAAGAGGTAATGCAAGAGTGCCTCAAGTATAAGACAGTCTTCGAATGCGGAGCCATCTACGCTTTCAAGCTATAGTCTGACTGCTTGAGGGGGTTAGATGAACAAATGATATGATATACGAAAGGCTAGGGGCATATTGATACCAGGATTGGAGTTTTGAGCATGGATTTTAGGAAGGGACATCGATCCTAGATAATACTTACTTCAGCGGAAGCTCTTTTGTGTGCAGTTTTACACCCCGACTTTCGTTTGGTGGCACTCTGATTATCCAGCTAGATACCACGACTTACCAGTCATCTCTTATGTACGTACAGCATATTCGCACCTACCATAGAAAATTAGTATTGTGGATTTAATTAATTCAATCTCTTGACATCATTAGTATACTGGGTCAATGACCCCTGTCATCTGTGCATCCCTTGTTCTGTTAGAGGAGCAGCTGTACCTTACAGTTCACAGAATGTCCGTTAATGCAGTCGTGGGCCCTCCTGACTGCGTTTCAAAAACTGCATATCTGAAGTTGGCGAGTACTTGAACCTATGTCGAGTCTTCTTTGCTTCATTGGAGACCATGTCCTACCAGAAATCATGCTTATTTTTGGATTCGCGCACCACATGGACATGAGCCCTCCTCTTCCTTGCCATCGTTCAACATTTTTGCCTTCCAACAGCCCCACTCCGCAGCGACTGTGCCTTTGAGACCTAGATTTTCCCTTCTCCACGCTAACGTGAGGTTCATATCGTCATTAACGTCTGCAATATCAACCCTGTTCCTAGGATCTAGCAGGCTTTATGTATGGCAATCCAATGTAACTGTACTACTTTTTTTGGGCTTCTCAGATAAATGGCACGCTTCCAGATGACATGGTGGTGAAGTACAATCGAAGGTCCACAAGTTTGAAGCGAGGATATAGATACTCCATTCCTTTAGGCCTGGATAGCACAGAGGGCCGGAACGATTCGAAGTTATCGTATTAAGCGCGGAAAAACATCCGTTGCATCTTTAGTTGTTCACTGGGCACACATTTGATCCATCCCTAAGTGCAATATGGTTAGAATCTAAACTACTTCTAATAAATTTGTTCCGCTACTGACCGTATTAATACGCTCAATCCCATAGTAGATCAATTCGGGCTCTACGACCGTGTAACAAGGAACCACAACGTCTTCGGAGGAGCTTGTCGACTTTTGCCATCTCCGGGCGCCCTTGGAGGTCTGTGTTTTTTCATCGATATATTATTGGGCCGACCTATCATCGAATGGAGAAATAAAGACAGGTCGTTCCGGCAGGGGATCAAACGCGTTCTTCCCGAGCAGCCACCATATCCTTCCTCACCTATAATATCTTTGCCAGGTGCAGGTAGGTCGCCACTTTTGTCTGTATTAGCAGCTATTGAGCCCGCGTTGTTAGAGAGAAAAGCTAGGGTCGGTTGTGCGGCGAAGCCTTACGTTGAAGCACTGCGCACTCAGCTCGCTATATGTATGGCCAGCCATGGAGTGATCCGTGCTGCGTAGTGTTTGCACGTGATCCTGCACTTCATCCGACCCGCTTCAGAAGGTGTTTCAAACCCAAAACACTTTCCTAGCGTCCACTCAACGCACCATATAACGCTCAGGTAGGTCCACGCCTCACACCACCTTAAAGCTGCCTCTCGTCCTCTTCTTCTTACCCTTTGCTCTCTAACAGCGGCCATGTTCAGCAAATTGACAACCAAAATCGCGCTCCACAAGGCCGGGCTGGGAAACGTCTCGCTTCCCACCTTTCCGAAATCAGAACCCAACTATACTTCGAGGAACAAAGGTGATGGGAATTCAGATAGATCAGAAGGAGGAGGATTCCAGAACCCATTAGCGAATATCTCATGGGGGGTTCCGAAGGCACTAGAGTCATGGAAGACTCCACCACCTCCCCCGAATCCGGTGCGCGAGCCACCTCAAGTTGGAGATAGGGCGCAGAGCAATGTGAAACTCAAGTTCCCGGCTATCGACGGACGGCCATGCCTTGTCATTTTTCTAAGATATACTGGTTGCCCTTGTGAGTACCCCTGACCTTTTAAGTCGTGATTTTCGACGTCTTGAAGGAAGCGGGGTGACTGATGCATTGTGACCAGTCACGGAGAAGATATTCCTAGCAATGCGCTCCCTCAGCAATCGCCACCCCTCAATCCACTTCATCGCTGTGTCTCACTGTACCCCAACAGCCACCAACGAATGGGTGAAAGCTCTTGGCGGGGCTTGGAATGTCGATGTTGTGGTCGATCAGTCTCGGGAACTATACGCCCTTTGGGGTCTGGGTATCTCGAATTGGGGTCATGTTCTACACCCCCGTAATGGATACAACCAATATTTGCTTGGGAAGAAAGAAGGTGTTTGGGGAAGCGTAGTCGGAGAAGGAGGGTGCAGATGGCAGGTTGGCGGCGCATATGCAATCGATGAGAGAGGGACTGTCAAGTGGGGTGGGCCGATGAAGAGTGTTGACGATCAGATCCACTTAGAAGACGGCGTGAAAGCACTAGGATTTGGTGGGGAGAGTAAGTCCGGGGTGTTCTGAACAAGCAGCAGTTTCCAGAAGATGTATATTGTTGGTTCTGTTTGGCGCTAAGCGTTCAATGGTTTGAGATATCCAAGTGCTCCTGATTATTAGTCTTCGCTTATGTCTGTATGTGACGTGTCTATTGAAGGGCTCTTTCATGCTGCGCAGAACTTATCCGTTATCTTCAAGATCCACATGTTCCTCTATGAGCCCCGCTCTACCAATTCCTGCAAGCGATTGATGATGCTTCGAGTGTGGTAGCCCAGCTCATTCTCGACGTCGTGGAGAACGTTCCAAATTCGCGCTTTCCGAGCGATACCATTGATGTGTTTTGCTGCTATATGGGACTCAATACAATGTGTGAGGTAATCTCGGGTATGGACGTACCATAAAACAACCCGTGGGTAGCAAATACTCTAACTGAGTCAGGAAACTCGGATATTGCAATGTTGGTAACCTTCATTGCGTGATGCTGAATTTCTGGTTTGTAGGCTGCATCTTGCAATATCGGTTCTGCATACAGGAGGATATGGATGATGTGATACCAGAACGCTGCAGCGGCTGCTAAGAGTTAGTACAATATGTGCTGGATCATCCGGCGCGGAACTCACCGGCTGCAGAAACAGTAAAGTAGACCTTTCTAAATCCCTCTTCGTCAGCCTCACCATATGGTATTCCAGTGAACGTATCAGATAATCCTTCGCGCCATTGCTCAACCTCTCGTAGCATGTCCTCTCGCTCTTTCATACCCGTGTTCGTTTCAGTTTCTTCCCGGAAGACAAGGTTGATCACGCGAGCCATAATCCAGAGAATATGATTCCCTAACACGTCTTCTCGAGCCTCGCCCTCTTCCCAGTGCACATTCCACTCCTCTGGACCTAAAATCAGGGGTTTTTCTGTCGCCAAAGCCACACTAATCTCATGCCGAACATAGATCCAGAAGTTAGCTCGGTCTATTCCAGTAGAGCTTGCAGAAATTCCAAAGCCTCTGATGAGCGAGAAGCTTGCCAGGAAATGCTTTCGATGTTCTTGGCCTAGAGAGCCAATAACCTCGTAGCTTGACAGAAGGATGATAGCGGTCAGCAAGGTGGATACGTTCTCTTGAGAAGGATTGTTGAGGAGCTGGATGAGCAGTCCTAATGCTTCGCCGTAGTGATATTGAGCAACTGGAGTCCAAGACGTCTTCTGGCTAGCACGAGAAAGTGCAAGGTACTTCGCAGTGAAAGCGCAGGTGCAGTGGAACAGTAACGGACTAGAAAGGGTAAGGCGGGGGACGCCGAGTTGATACGTCAAACTATGATCAAAAAGGTCCTGGAGAATATTAGACTAGATGTTTGATCTAAAAGAACAAGACATACCATCCATGTTGCAACAGTTCGCAGGTAAGTTTGGAGAAGAAAGGCAGTCTCTGCTGTCAGAGGAACTGTTGCGTTGGTGGGTCTACTGACGGCTGTGGGCGTAGGGGCAGGAAGATTGATGAACGGCAGATCCTGGGCGGATAGGGAATCATTTAATATGAGACCAAGCTGTTGCATATGGGATTTAAAGACATCCCAAGTCGAAGAAGGGGTTTCAAGCCCCGAGGCCTCTGCTGGAAAGGTAGTTGGAAATGGTGTCACTGAATCGGCGCCTAGCGGAGTGGGTGTGCTGGCGGTAAAGGATGAACTCCATTCAGAAGGAGCAATGAAGTCTGAGGGTTTACAATCCAGGTTCAGGCGCTCGCAATTGCTACAGACAGGCTTCTTCTCATCGCAGCGCGAGTGACGCAATTTGCAGGTATAACTATCGCCTAATTAGTGAGAGAAATATGAACAGCGGGCCCTAATTCTCAAACCATCCTACGCCATGTTAGTATAGTCTACAACGGAATACGCGGAAAGTCACCAGTCTTTCTTCGTGGACCACCCCTCCGCTTCTTCTTCTTTGGTGGAGCCGCATTGTCCGGAGTCGACATAGTGATGCTATGTATACGCAACTCTGTTAGATCATTCGATGACACCAAAGGGGTAGAATCGAGTAATCTAAGCGCAACACATACTACATATATCTGTGAATAACCTTTCTAATTCATGTTGTCAAGAAGTCTAAAACTCCCTTTCTGTACATTATTGAATTATTCTTCGGGGTTACTTGCCCATGGCATGAGGAAGCGAAATTGTATCGTACTTGCGAAGATTTGGTGTTCGGAATGATTTCGCATCGTTGAAGGCCAAACCTGAAGTAGATCGAGTTATATAATACGCGCTATCACGTGCCTTGTATCTCCCCACCTGGTCTGTGCATATTCGTATTGTCTTGAACGAATGTTCCTCATCCAGCGTTGTTCAACTGTCCCAAGGTGCGCCCAAATACTCCTCACAACGCAGAAGAGCCAAGAGACAAATCCGCTTGCTTCCAACGCACAGCTAGCAACCTTTTCAGGACCTCTAAAGTATTGGTGAAGCGGTCTACAGTCCCCCCCCCCACCGTCCAGACTCGAGATCAGTGTTCAGATTGGTTGCGTGCTAATTAGCAGCGGGGAGCTTATAGAACAGGATTTACGGTCCTGAAAATGAAACCCCTCTCCATCAACCCACCATTGCTCAATTCCGCAAATCCCTGGTGCACTACTCCTGAGCAACTCGAAGAACTCTACACCACTCCCTACACCGGCGCCGTCACGACGCGCACCTCACTCCTCAATAGCTTCCCCCATGACGAAGCCGTCCACCAATTTACCTTCTATGACCCTACGACCCACAACGCTGCTGTCCCAAACCCATTGTCATGCGACAAACCAGACGAGACAGGCAGCTTAAATACGCTAGGCTATAGTCCAATACCATTGAGGGATTACTTGGGCTTCATAAAAACAATCTCAGATCGGCATAGCAATGGCACAAAAGAGCCCACTTCTCCTACCTCTCCAATTCCGCGAGCCGGCCCCAAGCCTTTCATAGTTTCTGTGACCGGCTCTGTTGAAGAAGTTGTAGAATGCTACAAGCTTATCAGTGACCACCAACGGACTGTGCGCATGGTGCTCGCTATGGAAGTGAACCTATCCTGTCCCAACATCCCGGGATACCCTCCGCCAGCGTACAACTCCACTGCACTGCTCTCTTACCTCTCCGCGCTCAAGCTCGAGGTCTCAAAACAGTTGGGAGAACATGGACGTCATATACATGTGCCGATTGGAATCAAGACACCCCCGTACACGTATCAAGATCAGTATCAGCAGATGATTGATGCTTTAATAGCGTCGGCGAAAGAGAAGGAGCCGAAGGACTTGCCATGTCCAATCTCATTCATCACAACGACGAATACACTAGGTTCTTCACTGCTTTTGACGCCGACGCTGGAATCTGCGACATCGCCGCCGACATCGCCTGGAGGGTCGAAACCAAGGGAGGTATTTCACCACACGCTAAACTCTGCGACTGGTACTGGCATTGGGGGTCTTGCGGGTGCTCCTTTGCATCCATTGGCATTAGGAAATGTATATACCATCAAAGGAATGTTATTCCAGCATAAAGAATTAGAGCATATCCAGATCATCGGGGTGGGTGGCGTTGAGGATGTTGATGGATACCAGAGGATGAGAGCTGTAGGTGCAGCTGCCGTGGGGGTAGGAACGGCACTGGGCAGGAAAGGCGTGAAAGTATTCGAGGATATTGGAGAGGCTTTGCAGCGAAAGGGTCACTGAAGTGAGACATCGATTTCTCGAGGTCGGTCCTGTCGGCATTTACGTAATACCCAAATCCATTTCCTCAGCTGGTTTCTTACTCTATCTATCTACTATCAATGTCTTGTGCGAAGAAAATGACAACTAAATTAGATTGCCAACCATCTGGTATCGAGCGAAAAGGAAAATAAATACAGCAACTTACTAGCCAAATCCATTACCGGGGTTAAAGAACGAGGTCTGGCATCTGTCCCCGAGTTCGTTCCTGAGTTTCCCCCTTCAACCCTTTTAAAAAATTGTCTCTATCCCATGGTTCCTCCGAGCACTAGCACTTCTTTTCGGGGCATCTTCCTCCCCACTCCTCCCACTCCTAATACTCCTAATACTCCTCCTCTCTTCCGAGCTCCCGGTCCGACCTTCGCGTCTCAAATAATCTGCATATAACTTAGCACTCGTAAACCTCGCGCTCGCAGCCGAGACACCCATTCCCCGAAGCGGCCAGCCATCCCTACTAAAATCCCTCACTGCTAAAAGGGGGGTATTTCTCGGCGAGTGATGATTAAGCGTCCCAGTTACAGCCTCCTGCTCAACCATGACAACCATCCAAACCCCGACTTTAGCGTCTGAGCCCATAAGCGGAGTGCAGTGTATCCACCGGTGTCTGCCTTCGAGGAATTCTGATCCGTCCGTGCCGTTCGAGCCCTCGGAGTTAGAGTGCGAGTGCTGGGCGTGCGTTGAATGGGTGAGCCAGGAGACTTTGGCCGTGACACCGACTCCAGCTGCAAGGGCATCGATCAAGCCGTCGCGGATATGAGATGGCCCGCCGATGCGATCCATCAGCCGAGATTGTGACAGCCCAGGGATACGCAGAGCAGCAGAGGTGAAGATAATTCGTAGCGAGGGGTACGGCCGAACGAGCAAGTACTGTGAACCAAATCTTAGCAGGGGCGCCAAATCTTCAAAAGAAGTTTTGCGAGTCTCACATTTTGGTACACGCCAGGGAGTCTCCCCGAGGCCCCAAAGTGGCTCGGAGGCCAGATATTGGGCGGCTCCACGGGTTCGTCCATGCCCACGAGTCTTCTTGCATTTGTTGCTCGGGTTGGAGTGCTGCGACCCGATTCCATTGAGTTTCTTCGCCCGCGCTCCTTCACTACTTCAATTTCCTCGTCGTTTAGGAGTTCGCTGAAGTCGCGAAGCGCCTTGAGAGGTGGTTTGGAATCGAATGGGTCTGGTAGCGGCTTTTCATTCATTTCCAGCTCTCGGTCTTTGCTAAGGAGTAGTTTAAACGATTCAAGACTGCGACCTCCTTCGATGAGACAGCTGATGTCGATTTGGCAACCAATGAAGTATTTTACATTGCCTCGATGGTCCATCAAAGGCGCCATCATAACCTACTGTAGTCAGCAGTAACTCGACAAAGGGGCCTTTATTCATTCTTACAAGGTTTAGGAAGGGATGGCCGTTTCGGCGACTATAAAAATTGGTCAGGACAGGAATAAGTTGGGTTGGGGAATCTGTCATACTAATTGAGGAGGATTTCGCAGACTTCCTGGCCATTCTGTAATGCAGAGTGGATTCTCGCGACGGCATTTGGATCTGTCTTCGGTCCTTGGAGGAATCTGCAATTCTTCCCAATCACATATTCCCTTCCATATTGGGTCGTGTTGTAAAATTCTGAAGAAGTCAGGCATGTCAAAAGAAAATTAACTTGTCATCGGTGATACGAAGTACGTACCTTCAGAAGCAAATACAATAGGATTGTCGGGCAATGATGGATCGGTCATGCAATAGACTTCGGCTAACCCCTGGATCAGCTCCTGCATGAGAGGAGTATTGCTACCGGTAATCTCCTTCACTAGACACTCCGTCACAACGTTTACCATCCGGTATGTTATGTAGGCCGGCAAAGCCTCGCTGACAAGCTCGTCTATAGATCGACGCGAAAAATTCTCGAACTTGGTATCTACCACCGCAGCGCTCGAGGTCGACGATTGGCGCGACCGTGTCGATATAGAATCGGCGAGGGTGTTGGCATAACGGATAGCTGTAAGCGCCTTTTGCGACTCAAGATACCGGACGAGCGCGGGCACGGAGTGTGGTCGATACCTGTTCAAGAAGACCGTGAAACGATGGGAAAGCGTCTGATCCTTCAGTATGAGGTGCAGATGGTCTGCTGAGAAAAGCCTCTCAGCAAGGCCTTCCGCATTAGTGTTCGAGCGCGTAGGAGGCGGTGGAGCAAGGTCATAGGAGCTCGATTCATCCATCGAAATACGCTTTCTAGGTCTCACTGTACTCGGTTCTTCCTCAAGTATATCCTCTAGCTCCGCATCACCTCTAAAATCGGTCGCTGAATCTTTCTGAGGAAGCGCCGTGAGTAAATAGTCTGGTTCGTCCAAAGAGTGGATAGTCTCAGGCAGAATTTTGGAGGGCGCAAAGGTTGATAATGTGGGACTGCTTCTTTTGTGAGAGAGGTTATTTGCGCTTGCCTCGTGCATGCCTTAAAACTTCTGATGTTCTGCCTTCTGTCAATCTTTTCTGGCCCGCTTTGAAGCCTGGTTGGCCAGTATTTGGTACCGCTTGGTGGCTATCCGGGTTGCTGTAGAACGAAAATCTAGTGTTTACTGCAGGCCGATTCTGAGATGATAGAGATTCCTAGGTTATGTATCCCGTAAAATGGAGGGTGGAAGGCTTTAATTGGCAAGACATATGAATAAATACGAAAAGGAACGATCAGGGAGAGGTGGAAATGGAATGAGAAGGGGACAGTCAAACTTTAAACACTAGACATCCAGCCACCCGATAATAGGCTCTGCCGTCTGAACGTTCATCCAGGATTTAGAACGACAGGTCGTAAGCAGGATTACCCTAGTAGTATTCGTTGTGAACCTATGAAAGTCGACGCGGAAGTGCGCAACATTGCGAAGGGGCATGCTCGTTAACTCCGACGACATGGTGGCAACCAAATGATGAATTTTAGAGGAATGAAGCGAGGCAGGGAATATGGGGCGTTTGATGTAAGACCCTACCCGAGATGTTGAGGGACCGAGAGAGATGTCGCGAGTTCGATGCGATCGCAACAGGGATATTATACAGATGTGCCGATCGTGGACGATGCCGAGCTGGAATTGTGGGAAATCAGTTCATAATTGCGTCTAGGATGCAGGTGATTGCTTGTCGTTTGGCATGGTTCATGAATCGCCACGTGCACATGATGTTAGGTTATTAATGATCCATCTTCACCCATTTTAATTCTTCAATTCTGCACATTGTGAATGGTTCGTGGCATTTAGCGGAGTTGCAATCTGTGTTGTCACTGGTAATGTGACCACCAGATTTCGAAATAGCTAGGCTCGGGAAGTTCTCCTGAAGTTCCCCGGCTAATGCAAACTAATGCAAACTCATTGCCAACGTATTGGTTGGAATATGCTGTCATTGAGCAGTTCCAGGTTGTTCTGCCGCTTGTTCATCTCCTTCCCGACCCGCTCCGCAGTGACGTATCACAACGGCGTGCCTGAGCCCTAGCTGCCGGTAAAGTTTGGGTCGGAAAACCTCCATCGTGAAACGATGCGCGCTGGTTGCGTGTCTGATGAAGAGTCAGCAACCTTGTTCGGCGGAGAGGGCTTTAGTTCGGGATCTAGCGTCTTCCGTCGCTACGAAGGATAAAGGTGAGAGACATTAAGTCTTCAGAGCACCTGCCGAATTTGCTTGAAATGAGCTGAGATTATAGGCGGCCTTGATACAAGAGGGAGCAGGATACTTGACCTGATTCTGCTTCTGGTGGTGAGGGGAGGTTGAGCTCCAGAGCAGCTGGGTCTTTATTCATATGAGCGGGGCAGTTCTCAAGGAGGTACCTGACCTTGGGACATTAGTGACGAACAATGTTCCCTATATGTCTAAAAGATACTTTAGGTCATGAATCTTGATGGTGACTTTGTGGAAACCCCATTGCAAGGTGCTTGATCCTTGAAATGGACAATGCAGGACCGATTCCTGAAACGGAATAGTTTGTGCGGCTGATCAAGTTCCTTCAAAGGTTGCTTTTTACGTACGGGCCCGTACATCCCTGCAAATCAAGACCCTTTTATCGAGGTAGCAAGAACAACACAATGTTTCGATCTCATCCAAGTCGACTGAAGCAGGAGGGTGCGAATGTCATGGAGAAATTGCCGACTATTACTTCCGACTTTGAGGTTGCACAGGAAGTTCCAATGCCTCGAAGGTGGAACTCCAACTCCAGAAGGCAAGATGCAAACGCCACCTGCAAGCCTCCGTCATCATGCTTATCGGCTGAAATTTTTTCGCAGAAGCAGTGAGTATAAAAGGCACCCTCGTAGGCACATCAGGCTTTCCTAGGCTTTAAATATCTTTGGATTTCATGGTTATTGCCTCATGTCGGACCCGGGTGGCGACGATCGCAAACATACAGAGATAGATGATAGGGGAGGAGATCACGTTGAACAGATGAGGGGAGAAAATGAACCAGCTTTGGACGATCCCGATCACGCCCTATTTGAACTACCACACACTACCACTTTTGCAAATCCGCAGCCGACGCAGTCCTCAGCAGGTACTATACAAGAATTGCGATCGAACTCAGACCCCAATTATTACTAAATAGAGCAGCATTATGGTCAAAGAGACCTGCTCAAAGCGAATATGATACTGAAGCTACGCCAGGCCCAAGTAGGCCCAGATTCGGGGAAGAAAGCATCGAAGATAGGATCACTGCAATCGGCACAGATCTAATCGCTGTACCCGCCCAGCAGCAAACAGCCCCTCGCAATGAGCCACTTATCGATTTTGAGACCACTATTGAGACCACTATGGTGAATTTCTTCGGCAGAACTAAACCTCCAGAGAAAATCCGAAAAAGTATTCCCACATTATTCGACGAACCACTTGGCCCTCTCCAAGATCCTCTAGGAAAGAAAGAACAAGACATACCAATCTTCCGCTGGATTCATTTACCTGCCAACAACATGGTTTGGGTACGCCCTGATTCCGTATGGACATTTGAATTCAAACTTACTGACGTGAGACAGGTGGAGGTAATTGCACAACTTCAGTGTCCAGTGTTTTCACATTAACTATCATTAGACATTAGTGAAAAAGATTTATGCAGAACAGAGGCAAGTGCACACTTACAACTCAGACGAAAACCCAGAGGACATGTGGGAAGCCAATCAACGGTCTCTTGCGGAGTATTTGCTGGCTCCGCAACGATGGACTTGTCGCCAATATGACAACCCTGAAGGGTCCCCTGGCGCAAGATTCATGAAACCCCTTTTAGCTAAAATACGCAAATGTTAGTCATTGCATTGCAGACATCACTCGAGTAAACTGACTTCGCTCTAGCTAACGTATCTACTACTGACTGGGTAGTCTTCGTATGTAAAAGTTGGAGGAGTGCACTAGCACTCACTGCACTGCTAACATAATCAGATGCCGTATCTTCATTGGGAAAACTTCTCTGCATATCGCAGAAGGCTCCAGAGTATAGACGCTGCCGTTGAGGAGATTGATCTCGAGAGGCGTAGCCAACCGTCAGCGGAAATTTTAAGTCCATATACCACAGCCAAATGGAAGCGCCAAATGGCAATGTACCAGATGCAAAAATTCAGACGAGGAGATGTTGCAGCACCTCCCAGCACAAGTGGCAAAGCACCTACCGACCCAAGTGGCAAGCGAGCAGCTATACAAGCACCTGGTAATGCGGAATCGAACTTAATTCGAAAATACCTCGACTATCGTGGAGGAGAGTTTCGAGTGAAAGGCGGTAGAATCGAGGACAACAGTCCATTGCTACTCCAACCGCTACATCTCCGGCGAACCCTAGATAGATCGTACTATTACACTCTTGAAGATCACGAAATCCGGAAACGGGATGTTGATCAGGTCCTTTATCGGCACACTTATGACGAACTCGAATTGTATGATCCGATGTTGATCATGGTAGACCAACTTTGGCTGTGGGTGATCGACGATAGTAAGATTCCCCTTTTTGCTCCATGTCTTAGACGAGCTATTTTGAAATACCAACAATCCCTAGGGACAATTGTGACCGCCTTTCCCCAACGATCGCGAATTGACAGCGAATTAGCCTCGCCAACAACTGCAACAACTGCTACAACTGTAGAAACTGGACCTACTGTGGCCACTGCAACTACTGCAACTACTGCAACAACCCTATCAGCAGCATCCCTTCCACTAAGAGCACGTGGTTTCGTTCCTCCACTTACTCCAACCAATCCAACGAAACTCGCCGAGGAGTTTTATCGGGATTTCAATAAGCCGACTCGGGACGAGTCAAAACATAGCACGCCAGAACCGAATTCAGTGTTTACTGCGGCTCCTGATAAGACAGACGTGCGAGAGCGGATTCTGAGCGCCATTCAGGGTGATCACAAAGACATTGATACGGCACAGAAATTTGCCTGTCTGGTCATGGACAAGTGTTCTGGGGTCTTCTTCCCTGAAGCTAGCGAAGAGGACGACTTGCTAGACTTTCTCGATGTTTTTGCGATCTCAATCGCGCGGTTGGTGGGTCTGATCACTTTTTATATCCTTGATTTTCATCATTTCCTCGCTCAATTTACTTATATCTCTATCTTCTGTCCTACTAACTCCTCGATCTTTAACACATTAAGAGCCGGGCTCTGCAGCCCCTCCTACTTTTAAAACGTGTATCTCACCACCATGACAGGCATTCAACCAGGCGCAGGCTTTCAATGACTTCTGCGAGGACTCTAGACGTCCGTCTAATCGAAAGAAGTATCAACTCCCGAACAACCCATCCGACAAGGAATTGCGAAAGCGTGTGGAGCACCATCAAACCTGCCCGAATTGTAAAAAGACGGCAGTCGATAAATTCTGGTACCGTTCTGAAGATTCATTGCATCCCGAAGGTCAGTCCTTGCCAGATCAGGAGGGCAGGACGCTCGAACATTCTGCAACACCAAGATATGAAGAAGATACCACCGTGTCAAGAAAACAGAAGAGCCTCGTTGATATTTCGGAGGAAACGGAATATGTCAAAGAGATTAAGGATATCTTGGACGAGCTCAATTCAATGGCCCGGGTTTTCGAGCAGCAAAAGGATATCTTGAAGAACCGGAATCCTACCAACAATGATGACCTATATACTATGGATGATCAGACTTTGGATTTGATATATGTTCAAGGGAGGGTTTCAGAGCGACTGGATAAGATCACACAACTCCAAAATGACGCAAATCGGGTTTATAGCGCGGTTTGACTCCTACCTTTTATAATGTTATTTCGACAATTACTGATTAAAATAGCTGCGCGACCTACTGGATCTCAAGCAGAAACAAGCGAGCGTTAAGCAAACGGATGACACTGCTCAGCAAGGTCTCACGATTCTGGTGTTCACCATTGTGACCATTTTCTTTGTATGTGTGTTCTAACCGATACGGCTCCCAAGCGCTAATAGATTACGAAGTCACCACTTGGGTTTGTTGCAGCGATATTCAGCATGAATGCTTCAGAGATCAACGGTACACAAGGTCGACCTTTAAGTCATATCTGGAGGATTATGTGTAAGTTCTTTTCTTCGCAGCATGCACATACTACCTCTGGTCGTCCTTCAAACTAATAATTGATGCCCTAGTCCCCGTAACTGTCGCAGTCTTAATCCTATCACTTCTCCTCGCCTTCGCTATCAACCCTGTCATGAATTCGTTCTCAAAAGCCATGGACAGAATCTGGCAGCTCTACACCAAAAACTTGAAATGGCAGCAGAAACACCTCGGAACGGTGTCGAGCCCCTCGAGTGGCAGTAGCACCGCACGGGACGATACGCACATGTCTGGAGGTCTCAATCTGGAAGCTGAGGATCGCAACCAGAGGTGGGGCATGCCGAGATTGAGACCCACAAAGAAAGGGGTAGAAACTTCAAAGGCCTAGTTATTGGCGATCTCATGGAGTTGGGGCATCTTCATGAAGCGGGCGCAGATGAAGTGGTGGTATCAGACTAGCTTGAAATCGACGTACTGTCACATGTGAAGGGTAATCAAGTGGATTAGTGAACAAGACTAGATATGTTCTAGAATTCAGGTAACATCCATTAGGTTGCCTAAAGATCTTGTCTTGTTGTCTTTGGCTGGTGCTTCGACGTGTTTTCTCATGTGTGCTAAAAATGGAGTAGGTAATGGCGGCAACGAGGATAGGTTTACTGGGGATTCCTCCATCTTTGCTGAACGGCTTTATAGAAGTCTTCGATACAGAAAGGCATGCCTAAAAAGGCCCGTACGCGCATGTCAAACCGAAAACCCCTCAAACTAAGCAATCATTTCCCTCTCTCCATTCAAACCCCTCCTCCCACCAATTCTCTAAAATACCCCCCTCCTTCATCACCTCAGCAGCCTCCTTCGTTGATTCTTGACACCTCCTAAGCCTCTTCTCAAGGAACAGCCTCCACGGACCGTCAAGTTGCTTCTTTGGCGGTTATAAGTCTCAACTACCTCCTGGGTTTGAGAATAATTCGCCACGGAAACAGTGCTATAGTACTCTTTAGAGATAAATGAAGGCCAAGCTTCCGATACAGAAGCGGCTTTGTAGCCGAATGCCATACCACTTTGGATATGTCCTGAGATTTGAAATATATAGTCTGAGTCGTCGGAATGGATGGAAACGAATGTACAGTGATGGTTCCACGAGGAGCCGAGGTCGGCGATGAGACAAACGAGGTAAGTAGGCATTCTTGCGGTGGGTATCGAAATGGGAATGCTGTTTTAAGAAGACTGAGGGATTATGAAAAGGGAAATGGGAGTTGGTGATATTGAGTCTTCTAGGGTTCTCCTTTTCTAGGAATTGGTTCACTGAATCTCGTGGGCATTTTTAAGGCAGCGGCTACTGTGCGATGCCGCGGAAAGCTAATGACCTTAAAAAGGAGAAATATTCAAGTGTGTCGCTATGTAAGTACAACGGGTGAACACCAAACCGAATAGCTCCCTCGGAGTTCAATGGCTACATATGTAGCATCATCGCATTAAACTGCATTCAGTTGAATTGTTACCAGGATTTCAAGTATTTTATCATTGAACTGCGGTCCGATATTACTGAGACGTGAAACCCATGGCTGCACTCTACTATCCAGTTTTTCCCGAATCATACGAGATCTGGGGGACTGAGTCAGCGAGACAAGCAGGGAAAGGAAGCCATAGATTCGACTCCACTTATATGTAGGCCTCCAGGTGCACGGCCATGTCATAGCGTCGCCGGTGTCATTTCAATAACAAACATCTCCCAGAAGTCTCTCGATCTAGGCAAGCTCCATCACCATTGGAACCAGTGTCCAATCTGCTCAGAGGAATAAGCCGTTCTTCCACGCTCCGCAGCAACATACTACCCTGACATTTCCCAGTAACTCGGATACTATCTAGCAGTCTCGGTGAGAGAAAACTGGGGAATGACCTTGGAAGGCAACGTGGAATTTCGTCGAGTAGAATTCGGCTTTGAGCGTCGGGCCATTCAGCTCGAGGTACTGTGAAATCATGGCGCTATTAACCTTGCACTCTTTTCGAATGGCCCATTGAACAACTTTGAGGGACCGCCAGCACGAAAGAGACTTTCCGGTAAGCAGCGATGTCCAAGGCTCCAGTAACCAACTGAAGACTCTCGATTCCACATCTCCTGAAAATCAATATGGGGTTTGCTATAGCTGTCTCTTTTGTACTCTCACCCATCTTTGACCATTCCGTTTCGAGAAATTTGACTTAGACGTATTCCATCATGACAGTTGACCACTCTAGCGATCGTCGCATTGTAGTCTTAGAAGAGAGCATAGACGCAAGGTACTAGCAGTGATATTGGTCCTTGGAAGAAGAGCATGATTTCGGCCTCGAGGAGATCAGCTTGTACTCCATACCTGACGAAGTGCTCCTTAACGCCAACGATCTTGCACTTTTGGAATTTGCCGGTAAGCGGCCATTAGCTTTGATCGCTTCGAGTGTCCGGAGTTCTGCAGGAAGTGGTGTGGGACCTGCATAGTAGGTGATGTTCTAAGAAGCAGTTTTGTCTCTGAGTTCGGCTTATGTTGTCACGTTAGTGAATGTCGAGCGAGAAGGGCTGAGAAGTTAGCTAGTTAGGTGGGTAGGCTTATGCGAACATTCTTTCAAGGGGGCTAATTCTACGACTTCTAACCTTTCCTTTCCCACGAGAAAATATCCAACAACCCTCGAGCACTCTTAGACGCCACTCCTATTTCTCACCTCTCCCCACCACCAAAACTTCCTCCCTACTTGGGTACCCCGTCTACCTAGTCACCGGTGCTTTCCACGCGACTGTCACAGCAGCTTCATCTGCATCCTTACCCCGACTTCTGCCCCAACCAACCCTTCCAACCTCCCCAACTCACCCACTGGTACAATCCAAACCGGCATGTTCTTCTCTCACCGCTCACCCCCAAATCACTTGAGGCAAAGCCAAAGAAGCAGTTTAATAGAGCAAAGAGGTTGTTTCCCAAGAAGAGGGCTGGGAGTTGTTCGAAGTAGACGGAGGCAGATAGGATGTTAGGAGGAGAAGGAGTTTTAGTAGGTTATTTGATGTAGAGATAGACAAGGGGGAGAGAAGGAGGAACGGAAGATTGGGGATGGTCCACAATTCGATGCCATCTATTTCGGTTGTTGCGGATGGTGCCAGAACAGCTTCCATTACAAATAACAAGGATCAAATCTGACTTGCAATAGAAACCAGAAACCAGAAACTTCACAACTTCCTTTTAATTCTAGCAGGAATGTTAAGAGATCAAATCAACTGGGGTTATGGCGCACGGTATGTGATAACAAAGTGTAGTGACAAAATAACAAAGCCTCTACACTGCGGAGTCCAAAAAGTCCAAAACTAGAACAGAACAAGATAACGCCATACATGCCCAGGCCTGGTCGCACGTCTATGCTATGTCAATATATCAAATCACAAAACCACCTACACTGAAATTCAATTAATTCGCCTGTCCGTCCGTCGGTCAAAAGGTGAAAACAAACCAGCCCAGGGTATCATGGCCATCGCCGTCATTAAAATCCCATCAACCTCCCTCAAGCTGCAACTGCACCAAGATCATAGCTCTAGAACTTTCTGTCCTACACCCTGCTCTATAAACTCTACGCTGCGCTCACAAAACAACTCTTCAATATCCCTTGGATCCATAGTCCCCACAAACGCGCGCTTGACGAAGGTGAACCATGCGCCGTCTTTCTTATGTTTATGTTTCTTGCCGTCTTTCTGTTTCTTATGCTTCCTCTTCTTCTTTTCAACCTCAAAATCCGAGTCATCTGATTCACACCCACTATCATCACCACCATCATCCTCGTCCTCCACCTCCTGTTCCGGCATCTCCACTAGCTTCTTACCCTCCTGATCATTCCCAATCCTCCTGGCGAGATCGACATAACTCCTAACCGTCAGATCCTTGAGCTTAAACAACTTATCAGTCTTTGTATCATACTCGACCTCGAACTTAAACGTCTCCGGATGTGGGTTTGGCCGAGGTTTCTTCCCCTGATGTTTCCTGTGTTTCCCTTCCTTCCATTTTGCCAAATCCACATCATCGTCATGATCATCCAGTAACAAGAGGTTTTCTCCTGGAGCGGTGAAGTCGTTGTTAATGTACGTCAGGTTTGCAAAGTATTGCGTGTAGCTCAGCAGCGTGAGACTCTGGGGAGAGTATGCAGGGCCTGGGGGGGCAGATTTGGAGGGTGGCGTTGGGATCTTGAATTTATATTTCTTGGGCTTTTTTATCGTGTCTTGTTCTTTCTTGGTTTTCTGGTTGTTGATGATGCGGTAGACATAACATTCCCAGTCTTCGTCGTTACTGAAGGAGTAAGGCGATAGCAAGCTTTCTGGTGGCAAGTTTCGAGAGGGATTGTCATTAGCGGGGATAATGAGATCTTCCAGCCCCGTAATATTGTACTCGAAGACGCGAAGGGTAGGGAAGTAGTTGGGCACGACACTGGGAGAGACGTGAGAAACGCCAAAGCGTTCGCCGTATTTGCCACCAATTTTGTCCAGGAATTTCTTCTTGTCCACTTTCTTGCTCTCTTTGCCGCCATCCCCGCCTTTCTTTGAACTAGATATTTTCTGGACGAACCACTCCCAGACGGAGAAATTCCCATTCTCATCATTCGCGTCGATGTATTCGAATATCGACAGCGATTTCGAAACGGACTTCTGCGGGGAGGGAAGTTTGGCCCAAGCATCCCGCAGATCAAGTAAATAATCCGATGCTGAAGCCACCGTAACTTCCCCATCTTTGAGCATATTCTCTCGGAGATCAGTACTCTTGACTTTGGCAGCACTTGCCATCCTGCCATTCTTTGTATCCTTTTTTAAGTCCTTGAAATCCTGAAGCATGAAGTGGTCGATGTTCATGTGCCCGAAGAGTGAGCCAACAATGATATCCCGATACTGTCGCTGGTTGAGGGTAAACTTCTGCCAGCACGTCTCGTCCCAGCTCAGCTTGCTATCAGTTCGGGCAGGCGGCACGTGACCCATGAGTATGACCTTCATACCGCGATCTCGCAGAGTTTGGAGCTGGATTCGTAGCCATTCCATGTGTTCGTAACCCGGCTCATGTTTGTCGGCGCATCCGTCAACTCCCGAGTTCGAGTCAAAGAAATACCTGTCCCACATTAGTAAGATTTGCAAAGTAGGTGGCTTCTAGGGGCGTGGCAGCAGCGGAAGACTCACAGGGTATTCAAGCTGATGACAGCGAGTTTCCGCGGTATAACCTCGGTGAAGAACCATCCTCCACGCTGGAACTGATGCCTCTGCTCCTCGGGAATAAACTTGCGCCAAACATCCAAATACTTCAAAGTCCACTTGTTTGGCCCACTGAGGAAAATGTTGTGAGGCATGATGTCATTGTTGCCAAAGGTCGGTACGATCGGAATCGTGAAGTCGTTGGTTGGATCTGTGTCATTGATATTGTCATCCTTGCCAAACACTTCCGTGAATTTCGCGACAAGGAACTCATTCTGCTCGATAATCTGCTTCTGTGTGCGGGGTATCAGCTCGTCGTTGTCGTGCCGCGCCGAGTCACCCGTCCATATAACGAAGTCGATGTCGTCCTTCAGGTTCTCGTTGATCCACTTAAAAGTCTCGTTGACCAGTGAGATGGGCGAGTCACACCCGGACGTCTCCGCACCATACACGCCTGCAGGACCACGTTTCCGGTGACATGCGGATTCTGCTTCGGTGCTCGAATATGTCTTGTAGAAGGGATCTGGATGAACGTCTGCACTCGTATATCAGTGAACACCATACAAGGCTGTGGAAATTGAGTGCAGCACTCACCTGAGACGTGCAGGAAGCGGCCATGCAGCCGGCGGCCAGACTGGCTCTGGAGCAGTGGCGGGCTTCCCGTTCCTGCGCCAGATTGCGGGGCAGCCCTGCACGCTCCGAGGAGCACACAGAGCCCCCAAAAAAGCCCTCCCCGTACATGCAACATGGCGAAAAGGAGCGTGTTGGAGCTGAACACATGCGTGGGCGTTGTCTATATGTAGTCGAGTCTTAGTGAGCACCAAGCTGGCGACGGCTTGAGGTGGGCGAAGGAAAAGGCGTGAAAGGGCTGTCAACAGGAATGTCCACGACACAGCACGCCCCGAGAATCCCTGTCTGATTGGCGCGCCAGGGTCCCGAGTCAACACCATGGTTGCGTCACAGGACATTATTCATTATTGTTTCTTCAGGCCACATCTCTCAGCCATCTCTCAGCCATCTCACACGACCCTCCCTCAGCCTGTGCACAGAACTGTTAGGCAACACCTCGTGTGACCATTATCTCACAAAATCCCGCACACCAAGTCCTCGAATTCAAAGCTGTCGGTAGCTTCATTCTCTCCTCTCGCCCCCCACTGCTAGTGTCTAGAAACTACGAATAATAGCCACCTTCGAGCTGTCATCTGTACGCCCGACCTCGTCTCTTGGAGCATCGCCAATCATCTGGATATAGAAAGATGCGAGGCCTTTGTCCATGCCATAGAAAGCCGCAGAAATGCTGCACAACCTATACCTCCCGGAGTATTTTGTGCCACGTAAACGCCTGCAGAGAACCCACTGCAGAAATCAAATGTGTGAATGCAGAAAAACAAAAAGCATAGCCGGCAGAAGGCCCCTCGAAATCCAAACACCAACGCTAATGCTGCACTGACACCCCCACCAAGTAATGATAGAATCTTCCCGCATGCAACCACAGAGCATGGCAAATCAATCAATATCAACTTCATATTCGTCTATTATGTGCTCCTTCTTCACTTTGCGCCGTTGGGTTGCTGTCCACTCTTCTGCCTAGCGGCCATCTCCTGGCTCATTAACTGTCCATAGGACTTCTTAATCTTTTCAGTGTCAACTCCTGGCCGTGGCCAGTAATTCGGGACGAAGTAGTTCCTGTACAAATCAGCTATTGAGGTTTGGGCAGCGAAGCGATGCTTCATTGACTTACCAAAGTCGCTGCTCTAATTCTGCGTTGTCCCGAGTCTCTGCACGGATGAAGTTACCAATTGCGATGAGCTCAACTTTGATAATTTGAACCACCGACTTCTTGTCGGGATAATTCTTCGGCGTCGCCTTCTTGAGACGGCCGAGATTGTCGCGCACTGGCCTTAATCTACGCTCTAGAAATTCATCAGACTTCTTCACCTTAGGAGAGTCCACGCTGCGATTGTGGCTGTGACCGTGGCTGTGGTGATCTTGGCTGTGGTGTCGTTCCTCCTTAGGTTTTGGCTTCTCGTTCTCGATACCGATCTTGCGGCGCATATCGGGAGTACGAGCCCTATCCGCATGCGGCGGGCGTCGATCGACGCTAGAACGTTCGTTGGGATGATGGGGACTGCGGTGGTTATCTGAGGGACGGTAGTGATCCCCGTGCCTATGTCGGTGTTCATGGGCACCGTGTTCATGTGGGCGACTGTCGCCTCTGCTTTCGGAGTGGCGACTTTCGCTATTGCTCTGTGGACGCGCTTGGGGTCTCTCTGAGTCGCGGGGAGGCTTGCGCACCGGAGTTGGAGCAGGGCTGGCAGAAACACTCGCTGTCTTCTCTGGGCGTCGACTGACATTCAAATGATGTTTCTTGTTATTGCGATGATGGTTTTCGATGAGACGCCTGGCGTTAGGATTGGTCCCGGTTTTCTCCTTGAGGACCGTAAGGAGGTAGTTGGCTCGTCGTACGAGGTGCACAGCGCCTGGGGACTTTGCATTCTTTTCTTCGGCCTTGTTGCGTTCCTCCTTCTTGTCGACGCGCTGCTCTTCGAGGAAGAACTTGTCAGTCATGCCCAGATCCGTATCGTCACGAATAGCGACCCAGGCTCCGTACCCATGACGGGTGATCCCGACCAAGAGCATGCCATCTTCACGAGCCCCCCAGGAGCAGGAGTAGCTTGCCGGCTTAATGGCCTCAGGTATACGGAAGTTCCGCCAATCAGCAACGGCCTCGGTAGCCTCCTTTAGCATGCGCATTTCGACCGGTCGCTCGAGGATGGTTTCTGCATTGATGCGCTTGACACCCTTGTGGTCGAAGAGAACGGCCTTTTTATCCTTCTTTGTAAGGACTCGGTTTTCTTCTTTCTCTAGAGCATCCAGCCTCGCCTGTTCTTTCTTGACGAGGTCACGGCTGATGGAAACAACTTCGTCCAACGTGGATTTGAGTAGATCGGCATCTCGACCAACGAGTTTTGCATCGCGAAGCATTTCTTCGCCTCGCTCCTCTAGTGACCCGTACCGCTCATAGGCACGTATGAGATTGCGAATCTCCTTATCAATGAGTGGGCGCTTCGGGTCCTTCTCTGTGTTCGAATCATCACCATCGTTCTCATCAGCAGCAGCCACAGCTTCTCTTGCTCGTTTCTTTGCTAAGCGCTGCTCACGTTCATTTGAAGGGGCTGCTTTGCGCTTTCGCGGAGCATTTTCTTCAAGTAGCTTACGTGTTTCCTCTTCCTCTTTCTTCTGTTGGATGTCGGCCTTTACGGCTTCGAGTTCTTCTTTGGGAATGATGTCATCCCACTCGAGATCAATTTTGACATCAGTGTACTCAAAGTTTTTGAGGAACTCTTCGCCACCATCGGAAGTTAGGCCAGCTGCTTGCTCAGTTTTATGCTCCTCGGCATTTTGAAGGACCATGTCGATATCAAGTTCTTCCAGCTTCTTCTGGTTGCCTGATTGCTCGAACATCTTCTGGCCACGGCGCTTGAGGATTTGGTTGATATCATCCGCGGAATTAGGTTCGCCGGCAGCACGATTTATTTTGTCGGTCATCTCCTTCTGTTGGCGATCTGTTACACCACGTTGAATCGTGATGAATTCAAGCATGCGCTTATTTCGTGCGCGTTCGAGAATCTCTTCTTCGATTGTATCCTTTGACACCAATCTGTAGACGGTGACGGGCTTTTGTTGGCCAATACGGTGCGCTCGGGCCATAGCTTGAAGATCCGCTTGAGGGTTCCAATCGGAATCAAACAATACCACGGTATCGGCAGTCATGAGATTGATCCCAAGACCGCCGGCCCGAGTGGACAAGAGGAAGCAGTAGTCCTGGCTGTCTGGGGCATTGAAGTGATCGATTGCAATCCTCCGGTCAGTAGCCGGAACGGTGCCGTCCAATCGCTGATATGAGTATTTTCGTGCAATCAGATAGTCAGTGAGGATGTCGAGCATGTGCACCATTTGACTGAAGATTAATACACGATGGCCATCGGCCTTCAGCTTTGTGAGCAGCCGGTCGAGCAACATCATCTTGCCACTTGTAGTGATGAGCGCCTTCAGTTGTTCGTCCTTGGTGGTATACTGTTTCATGATCTTGTGCTCAACCTGGGGAAAGAGGAATGGATGGTTGCTGGCCTTCTTCAGCTCCATCACAATGTTCAACAGAGACTGCTTCTGGCCATGGCTGCCTTCATTGAGAGCCTCGTAATTCCTCGTGAGGATATTCTTGTAGTACTCGAGTTGGATATCGGAAAGTTCCACTCGAAGGATCTTCTCGGATTTTGGTGGCAAATCATTCTCGACCTTTTCCTTCGTTCGTCGGATCATGTAAGGCTGAATAGCCGCGCTAAGGTCGGCAAGCTTCCGACTCGCATCTTCAGAAGAGAGGTCAACGTTTTCATCGACGGAGATCTTGCCTGGCATGAGGAAGTCCATCAAAGCAGAGAGCTCTCCGAGAGTGTTCTGGATTGGAGTACCAGTGATGAGGAGGCGACAGGGTGCATTGAACTGGAGGAGCCTGTCGTAAAGCTGCGACTCTCGGTTCTTGAGCCGATGAGCTTCGTCGACTGCCAGAAATTGCCACTTCAATGTTGACAAAAACTGCCAATCCAGAAGCACGTATTCGTATGTGGTCATGAGGACGTTGAATTTGGTCTTCTTGACATTGCCATCAACGAGCAGCTCATGCTCTCGAATCAGCTTTCGAGCTTTGTCGTTGCCTTGATAGATAACGTAGTTGAGGTCAGGCGTCCAATTGTTGAAGGTGTCGGCCCAGGCGGGCATAGTTGACAAAGGGACAACGCAGATAAACGGTCCATCCTGCCTCCTATCGTGGCGTAACCAGTTCATGAACGCGACAGTTTGGACGGTTTTTCCGAGACCCATCTCATCGGCTAAAATAACGTTGGTACCTCGAACCCAATTGTGCCCGAGGAAGTTGATGCCATGCAATTGGAATGATCGTAGCTGGCCGTGCTTGATGTAATCAGGCTGCTCTTTCAGAGGAACGAACTTCTTCCGAGTAGCAAGACTAGATTCTTTAGAGTCGGACCAGGGCAACCTCGACGATCGGTCAAGGAAGCGGTCGATCTCGCTTTGCGACAACTCACTGACCAAAGAAGCCAATTCCCAGGTACAATTGTCGTAGGTCAATCCTTTCCCTAGTGCTAGGTTAGTAATCTGAATAGGGGCCATGTGGGATATGGACCTTACATTTGACCATGTACTCTGTCTCATCATCACCAGCTCTGCTGCCAATGACACGTTCTACCTGATGGAAATCAAGCTGACTCTCACGCTCAGTCTCGCGTATGACCATCCATTGTTCGTACTCCTCAGGCTCGTCTTGCCTTCGAGCCTGATACTGCATATCCTTGTCGACAACTTTCAGGTAGTAGTTGTCGAGTTTTCGCAAACCGCGGTAGGAGGATACGGATTCGTATGTTTCCCAGGTCGAGTGGTAGTGGGCTTTGTCCTGCCATTTGAGCTACGATGCACAGTTAGAAAGGGTTCTTCCAGAGAGACGGGGGTTCACTAACGAGGTACTCAAAATCCTTCTTATCAGCATCGACCGGGTCGAGTTCTACGCCATTGTCAGAATTGGCATGCTATTTAAGGGAATGATACGCACCAATGCCTGTTTTTGGCCGATGATCTAGTACTTTATCAATGACTGGTCCGGTGTATTCGAGAGTCATTTCATAGTTGGGAGTAGCAAACTCATCATCCTCCTCTTCAAAGTTATCCGCTTCGTCTTCATTGTAGTTGGTGACCTGCTTGGTGCGCCTAGATGAGAATCGGATCTCGCTGCGCGAAGGGGGAAGAAGGCCTGCAGCGACTTGAAGCTGACGCTGCTTTTGCTTCTTGGTAGGCATGTTCTTCCGCGCATTGAAGTATGCGTCAGAGTCAGAATCGGAACCCGCAGACTGTACTACCGGGGTAACTTGGTGAGATGCTATGAGCGATTTAGTCAGAGGGATAGGAGTGATGATAGACGAGGGTCATACTTTTCCGCGAGGCTGTCCTCTGTCGCTTCCTCGGACGATCCGAAGTAGATGAGTCATCCTCGTCGCTGCTATCGACCTGCCGAGTGTTAGAAGAGGATGGCTTGACTGTATTTAGGACCCTTACAATGCGACGGCTGGGTCGAGCTCGGCCCTGTTGGAGAGTTAGTGGGGTTTCCTGCAGTGGAATGGACAGAACGTGCGCTTCGTCGAAGCCCATAGAGCTCTGGGTTCTGGGTGATGAAGTCGTCTTCTTCTATACTCGCTTTCCGCTTTCTTGACCGGTTCGACTCCTCGGACGTCGAACTGCGGGCACGGCCAGCTGTAGCTGACACCGGCGGTGGAGTTTCGGAGTCATAGTCGCCATCGGGCTCGCCTTCCGCGTCGATGTCCATCGACGAGTCCGAGTCAGCGCCATCGTCCTCAACCTCGTTGTAGACCTCGCCTGGGGCGTCTTCATCCGATGAGGCGTCTTCGGCGATGGCTTCCTTCACATCGGACAATTCGCTCTCGCTGTGTACGGAGAGGTCGTCGGTAGAGGTTACGTGGACGGCCAGGGGCGACGTATGGCCATTGGTGAGTGGAAATGAGGCCGCATGGCTCGGCTGGGAGGGCATCAGGATGGACGCAGCTGGTGAATGATGGTCAGCGTGATTGCTCAGGAATGACGCGGCTGGAGCTGGTGAGAGCAGGTGCCTTGGGTAGAGCCGAATGACGCGATCCAAAATCAACGAAAAGCGACTAGAAACAAGAAGAATGGCATGAAGATACAAGGTCCGATGGAATAAGTCGGTGGTTGATGACCGGAGACAGATGAATGATGGGCAGACAGGTGAGGCCAATGGCCGGCAGAGGAGCAGAAACGTGAAACGGCGTGCTGAATGAGCGGCGACAGAGGAGAAAACAAGACTCTCGAGTGGATATGGGCATCTGCTACATGTATCGCGGTGATGTGGTGATGGAGCGATGGGACTTGAGAGACGCAAGTGAAGCAGGCTAGCTGAGGGTAGGCGGCGACAGAAACGAGGAAATCAGCGCACACTCGGGGCGTACTTACAGTCCATGGCTCAGATACCCTCTGATCGGGTGGGGGAGAGTCGGTGTCGGGGGGGGTGCAAGGTATGGTGGGTGGAGTGGGTGAGTGTCGAGTTGCGAAGGACAAGCCGCATCTATACCGGCGGCCGGCGCCTTGAGACTGAGGGAAATTGCCAAGTTCGCTTAGCTGCCCAATCGCCGCCCCGAGATTCCGATGACGAAGGTCTTGAGAGAAGGACACCCAGCACTCTCTCTACCATTCACCTGCACTGAGTCACGGCGACGCCCTTCGCTCACCCACGGTTCTCGTTCGAGGGCTTACGAGAGATTCTGGTGTTGGTCTTGCATTTGGACGGTTCCTTGTAACTTTCACTTCTTGCCTCGCCGCCGCAAGAAAATTCCCCCACCCGCACCCTCTCTCGAAGGACGTAGAGCAAAGCAGACTACGCTCAATCCCCTCCGAAATCATGGCTGACAGGCTGACCCGGCATGCTCTCTGTTTCGATTGAATTTGGTTGTTCTCCGCTAATTCTACTCAGTATTGCCATTGTCAATTCTGACAAGGTGCCCCACTACCCCCCCGCCCGCAAAATTTTGCGTAGCTAATGTGAGCCTGTGTGTGAATACAGTGCAAACCGAAGGTGAGACTACTAGTGGTGTATCTGCTGAATAGTGTCTAACAACGCTGTAGAAATGTCGCCAGGAATGCAAAAAGTCCTGCCCCGTCGTCCGCACCGGGAAGCTATGCATCGAAGTCACCTCCGACTCCAAGATCGCCTTCATCTCTGAGCGACTGTGCATAGGGTGTGGTATCTGCCCTAAGAAGTGCCCCTTCGATGCTATCAACATCATCAACCTGCCGACCAACCTCGAGACACAGGTCACCCACCGATACTCCGCGAACAGCTTCAAGTTGCACCGTCTGCCCATGCCCCGTCCGGGCCAAGTATTGGGACTGGTCGGCACAAACGGTATTGGAAAGAGCACGGCATTGAAGATTCTAAGTGGCAAACTGAAGCCTAATCTTGGCCGATACGATAACCCCCCGGACTGGGAAGAAATCTTGAAGTACTTCCGTGGCTCGGAGCTCCAAAGTAAGACCTCCGAACTTCGCACGGGGATTGTGCAATAACGCAGAGTAGACTACTTTACAAAGGTTTTGGAGGACAACTTGAAGGCTGTCGTGAAGCCTCAGTATGTCGATCAACTCCCGAGAGCGATCAAGGGCCCCGACAAGGCGGTTGGCAAACTTATGGAGGGCCGCTCGCAGATGGACAACCTCGACGAGATCCTTGATGTTTTGGGTATGCATCACTAGGACATTTACAAGTTGCATAGACTAATTTTCCACAGAATTGAGACAAGTTTATGACCGAGATGTCACTCTGCTCTCCGGTGGTGAACTGCAGCGTTTCGCCATCGGAACCGTTTGTGTTCAGAAGGCTGATGTGGTGAGTCGCTCCACAGCCTTGGGAGTTTCACCTGCATACTGACTTGCATTAGTACATGTTTGACGAGCCTTCGTGAGCTACACACATTGACATCCAGGAATATCCAATTTACTGACGCTGTCTTAGCTCTTTCCTCGATGTCAAACAACGTCTCGCTGCTGGTCGAATGATTCGCAGCCTACTCCGACCTGATGACTATGTGATCGTAGTCGAGCACGACTTATCTGTATTGGATTACCTTTCCGACTTCATCTGCGTTCTTTACGGCAAACCGGCTGTATATGGTGTTGTCACTTTGCCTTCCTCTGTCCGAGAGGGTATTAACATCTTCCTTGATGGTAACATCCCCACTGAGAACCTTCGATTCAGAGAAGAGTCTCTCCAATTCCGTATTGGTGAGGCCGGTGAGGAGTTCATGGTTGACAAGTCACGTGGGTACCATTACCCGAGCATGGAGAAGACCCTGGGTGACTTTCATCTTACTGTTGAGCCTGGCCAATTTACCGATTCGGAGATCCTCGTCATGATGGGCGAGAATGGTACCGGAAAGACCACCTTCTGCAAGATGCTTGCTGGTGCTTTGCAGCCTGACGGAGGAAAGAAAGTACCTCCTATGAATATCAGCATGAAGCCTCAAAAGATCACGCCCAGGTTCACAGGCACCGTCCGCCAGCTCTTCTTCAAGAAGATCAAGGCTGCGTTCCTGAGTCCGCAATTCCAAACCGATGTCTACAAGCCCCTCAAGATGGACGACTTCATCGACCAAGAAGTGCAAAACCTGTCCGGTGGTGAATTGCAACGTGTCGCCATTGTCCTCGCTCTCGGCATCCCCGCGGATATCTACCTCATCGACGAACCCAGTGCGTATCTTGACTCCGAACAGCGTATTGTTGCAGCCCGCGTCATCAAGCGCTTCATCATGCACTCTAAGAAGACTGCCTTCGTTGTCGAGCACGATTTCATCATGGCCACCTACCTCGCCGACCGCGTCATTGTCTTCGACGGTCAACCAGCCGTCAAGGCCCGCGCCAACCAACCCGAATCTCTTCTCACTGGTTGCAACAAGTTCCTGAAGAATCTAGACGTCACCTTCCGTCGTGACCCCAATTCCTACCGTCCTCGTATCAACAAATACAACTCCCAGCTCGACCAGGAACAGAAGTTGAACGGGAACTTCTTCTTCTTAGAAGATGAGAGTTGAAAATGTTTTCTACCAGAACTATACGCCCCCACCCCAGCGCCGCCCTTCCGGGCAGTCGAGTGAAGGGAATGATGGCGGGGGTACGAAAAGGGGGAATAAGAAACGGGCACTGAGACGTAAGGTTACAGGCTTGTTGGATGATGAAGATGCGTCGGAGGAAGACGACGATGAGGATATTGAGAAGGAGACAGCGATCGACCTCCTGTGCTGGATAGCTATCATATCCAATGTTGGATGCTAAAACTTGTGGCTAAGGGTGACATGGGTCAAGTTAGGGGATCGCTGTGTGATATAGTGGTGTGAAGATTCTGGAGACCGTTAAAGAAAAAATTACCGCCATACGGTTTAGAGGCGGTATCTACGAAGGTTCAATTATTAGGAGACAAATTCTGAGTATATGCGCTGTTTTTTGGAGGTAAAAGCCTGTGTGATTCATTGTTCGAGTTGACCTAAATTATCTGCAAGCTGTACTACAAGATACTTCATAGAACTTGCCCCTCTCAGACTACTGGTGACGTCTACTCGAGAGAGCGAGAGAAATGAAGGCATCTCAGCAGCTAACACTAACCTCGGTTCACCCACTATCGGAGCCACCTCAACATGCATGACAACAAGGGAATGAATGGTTCAGGGCAGAAATTCTCGCAAGACATTTAACAGATAAACTCTGCCCTATTTACGTTCCCTGTTATATGATAGTACGGTTTAAGCACAGTACTCTCCTGTCGTCGAACACTCGATCTAAAAGCTTATAACGTACTTCATGGGCGAGTTGCTCACACACCCGAGTCGCTCACTTTTGCCAAGACCCCACCAAACCACCCTTCCTACACTAATGCATTCCCCACAACACCACTTAAACGCGCTAAAAGAACGTTAGATACAGCTTACGCTCTAAGCTTTTAAATAAGATATAAAACTCTTAAAGAAATGTGCTGTAGCTATATGCAGGGTCTTATAAAAGACAACAAATAACTACAGCGCTAGATAACCTTTACAAGCTAATTCTACAGCTAAATTATAAAGGCTAAGTAATAAAAAGGAGCAGGTAATTATTAAGACTATACTTAAGCTATATGCGCAAGGAATTTCCCCTTAGATAGCATTTATAGCTAATATAGCTAATTCTTTGCGCGCTAAGCGTAATCTAGGCCATGTTTACATAAACTAGCCTAGTATGTTTGTAAAGCGTTATTTAGAGCTTAAAGTAACATTTAAGTGTAAGTACAACTATAAAAGAGCCCTCTGCAAGAGTCCTAGGGTAATTTAGAGCAGGTTTAGCCTTATAGAGAATATTAAAGCTAAGTATAGCATCTAGGATAATAACACGTACAACTTTAGCAAAATAGAGTTTATAATTAGCTAGATATCTCTTAACTATACTTGCGCTTAAAACTTTACTTTAAGCTCTAAATAACGCTTTACAAACGTACTAGGCTAGTTTATGCAAACATGGCCTAGATTACGCTTAGCGCGCAAAGAATTAGCTATATTAGCCATAAATGCTATCTAAGGGGAAATTCCTTGCGCATATAGCTTAAGTATAGTCTTAATAATTACCTGCTCCTTTTTATTGCCTAGCCTCTATAATTTAGCTGTAGAATTAGCTTGTAAAAGTTGTCTAGTGCTATAGTTATTTATTATCTTTTATAGGACCCTATATATAGCTATAGCACATTTCTTTAAGAGTTTTATGTCTTATTTAAAAGCTTAGAGCGTAAGCTGTATCTAACATTCTTTTAGCGCGTCTAAGTGGTGTTGTAGGGAATGCATTAGTGTAGGAAGGGTGGTTTAGTGGGGTCTTGGCAAAAGTGAGCGACTCAGGTGTGTGAGCAACTCGCCCATGAAGTACGTTACTGCATCTGTTCACCTAATGGATTAAAAGAACTGGGGTGATTCAAGACAGAAATGTGCGTCTTATTAACCTTCTATCTTATTGCAGCAGGGTGTTTAATAGGGGAAGGGTAGCTTAATGATATTCTATATGATGTGATCACATGCTGTGATGAGGAACCCATGTTCTATCCCCGCAAATTTCAAATTAGGGCGTGTGAAGTATTCACAGGATTGCGATTAACTAGCAAGAATTGGTATCTAACCACACTTTTGTTGAGAGTTTTGAGCTATATTTATCCACCAAGCACGTCTGTCCACATCTGCGAGCAGAGAAGAGCCCGTAGTATGATGCTGTAGAGAGTTGGTTAATGTAAGGAAGCCTAGCAAAGCAAGTTAGATATAATCTCTCTATCATCATCGTTCACCCTGGCCCTTCCACATTGTGACCGACGTCCACCAATACCCCTATTACCCCTACTTCGTTCAGGTCAGTTCCAACTCATATTTTTGAAAACCATCCGAATAGTACCTTCTCACAATCCCGTTACCACCTCCATCAGCCACCCAACCTTATCTGCAGAACTTCCAGGGTGTCAGCCACTCGTGTTATGCAAATGTTAGGAATGGTACAGATACTATGTTTCTTCGATCTCGCCCTCTTCACTTCCAGAGCGTAGACCAGGGTCTTCCTTTGGTGGGAGGGGTTCCGGGGGGGCAGACATGGCAGGGCTTCGGGAACGTGTGCGACGGTCGCGGCGGGGAGAGTAGCGGGCGCGCTGTAAACGCGTGAGACATTTCATCAAGTTAGGTTAGGGGGGTGGAGGAGTTCACCTTGTTATCACGTCGACCGCTGCCACCATCTTCATCGCTGTCACGACGACGACGAGACGGCATCGGACGACTGTCTCCATAGTCTAGCTCAGTTGGTCTCTCGCGCGGATCGGTTCGGCTGACATAATTACGTTCTCGCTCGACCTCGCGCTCACGTCGCTCGCGGCCATAATGGTCGCCGCTACTCTGGCGAGAACCGCGGTCAAACGGTCGATGATCGTCTCGCTCACGTTCACGGTCGCGGCGGTAGGGTGGAGACAAGCCAGTGGCGCCTTCTTTCTTGTACCGTGACTCTCTGTCCTGTTGCGCTTTGCGACGGTCGGCTTCGTATGGATCTTGTTGTTCTGGCGAGTGAGTTCGTGTATGATGGCGGCGTTGGCGGTCGGATTGACCATTCCTGTACTCACGATCTCGATCCCTCTCGCGGTCACGTCCCTCGCGCCTAGTCCGTTCGCCTCGATCACGCTTTTCTTGCTCCTTTTCCTTCAGACGACGGATGTACTTCTCGAACGTGGCAGCGCGAAGTTTCTCGGCATCAAGTTCGCGGAACTCCTTGAGTTTCTCGACACGAGGGCGGATATCCTCCCATGTGTCAGTAACCAAGATTGGAGGTTCGAGATGCTTAAGGGCGGAGCGGAAGTCGTCCATTTGACGGCGCTCGCGGTTTTTGACTTTCTCGAGGAGATATTCGAAGATGTGGTTCAGAGAGTAGTCATCGATGTCGTTAGCGCGGGGATCGAGACGCATATCAGAGAGGAACTCTTCAAAGGGAGTTTTGGAAGTGATTTCAAATCGATGATCCTTGTAATGGTTAGCGGATACCTCTAAATATGCGGTAAGGGGACTTACATCTAACAAGTCGTAAATAACGTTCCGATGATTGCGGAGAACGCGCTCCTGGTCTTCAATTACATCCCAGAAGAGGTCGAGTGGCGATGATCCGTCCTGGCCCAGCATGTTTTGGTATCGAGGATCGTCTTCGATGAGGCCGTGAATTTCCATCCACTTTGTCGTGGCCTTGAGCTTGCCAGCTTTCTTGAGCTCATCAAGCAGCTCCCTGAAAGCATCGCGGTTCTTACGTTCCACTCGTTTCTCAACACGCTTGTCCTCGCTCACCTTTTGACTGAACTGAACCTGGAGCTGTTTGATGTGTTTCTCGAAGGCGTTCAAAACATCGATCTGATAGAAAGGTCTAACCTTCTCGCGCTCGATGTACTCCGGATTCTTCTGGATTGCTTCCTGTGCATCCTTCCAGCGTGTGTAGGGTTCTAAGTCAATATTCTGCAAGATGTCGGCGATCTTGTCAATAGCAGACGCTCGTTCCTGTTCTTCATCCTCAACATAAGCTTTCTTAAGAGAAAGGATGTACTCTTCAAATAATTGTCGCCTTTCGTTGTCATCCCTCGCCGTGCGGAAGATGGACTCATTCTCGATAATAGGGAGCGCTGTCTTCCACCGAGTGTACCACTTAATCTCCGGGTGTGACCTTAGCATGGCCATGAAGTTGGAGCGGACTTTGGCTTGCCTGTCCTGTTCCTTCTCCTTCTCCTGACTGCGAAGATCGGCGCAGTACTTCTTGAAAGCCTCTTCCCGGCCGTTAAAATCTGGTATCGCCTTCCAATTTGAGTCAGTGATGCAAGCCCGAACGGCCTGAGGCCAAGACCAGTCTGGCTGCACCCCAGATTTTTTGAGCATCTTCATGAAGGCCGCTTCGGCTTCCTCACGGCTCGCAAAAGCTGGCTCGTTTCCCGTGGAGATGAACGAGACTCCACCTCTCTCACGCTCGCTGCCGCCTCCATATCTATCCTCACGATCTGTGAATCGTCGCTCCGGTGGCTGAAAGTCGTCTCGCTCATTGTATTTCTGGCTGTAAGGAGGGAGGTACGAAGAAGCGCCGCCGGCGACGTAAGAAGGACCCCTACAGCCGTGTGAGTGGAATTCCAGGGCGGAACTGTGCACTAATTTGGGACCTACTGAGGTGGAGGTCGCTGGGCCTGCTGAAGTTTCGCGAAGGCCTCGGGCATCTCCCATGTCGTCTCCTTAGTGTAGGCATTAGAGTAATACTTCTTGCCATCTGCCTCATGCTCTCGCCATGACGCATCAATAAGTTCTTGCTGGATATCCTGTCAGCTCAGCCATTTGCAAGGCGAAAGGTAAACATACATTGGCTGCAGGCGCAGATGCTGGCGTAGGCATATCTGCGGGTCTCGTCCATGTTGTCTCCTTGGTACCCGGAATATAATAGTACGTTCTTCCATCCGGAGCCGTAGCCTCCTTCCATGGAGAGGCGGTCAGTGCTCCACTCATGGTGAAGTACAGTGGAGGCACGAAAATGAAGTTTGTTACGAAGGTGAAGATGAAGTTGCGACGACGCGCAAGGATAACTTTTGGGCTTCGCGGAGAATCGGCAAAATATTATTCCGCAAGAGCCTTGGCAAGTGCACGTTGGTCCGGCACGTGAGCTCTGTCGGCTTTTCTTTTCAGTGAAAGAGTTTCGGTCACCGCGAAGTGTGCGGATCCTGATGGCTGCAAGCTCTGCAGATTCTCAGCCTCGTGGGAGTGCCGAATTTGTGGAAAGCTCTGTTCTTGAGGCAGTAGTGCCGTCCGACTCCTTTATCGACCTTGAGGATGAACTCCAGTCATGGGACGGCAGTATCGAGGATGAAACGAAATCAATGCTACCATTTCTGGCACAGAGACAAGTTCTGCTCTTCGGTAAGCCCGCATTAAGATTCTTAGAGTTCATACAAGACCTCTTACTTATATTTAGGTGTGTAGATGAACTTGTGCCTGTCTACGTTGTCTTGCGGACACCGTTGATAGACGAAAGTACTCTGAAAGCGTATCTTGCTAGGCTGGCTATCAACGTGGAAGCATTTGCCTTTGGCACGGCTCCTAGTCCTGAGCTAGAAGCAAAACCCCCGCCGCCAAAAGAATTGATATTCTCAGAGACCATTCAAACATCAAATGAACCATCAATCGTCCGCCTTGAGGGTGAAGCTGGCCCTCATGTGTATGTGGTTTGGAAATTCGAGGTGTTCATTTGTAAGACCGCTTGAGGCTTACCCATGATTTTGTTGCTGAGAACGAACAGCTCGACCCCGAGGAAGATTTCACAAACCAGCCATCTACTTCCAACCGACAGCATCTTTAAAGCCTACTGAAAAAATACAAAAAAACGTTCTGGATGATGAATATCTCCCCAGTAAGGTTCCAACGGCGCTTAACCTCCTCCAATCGTTTGAGAACGATCCGGCTCTGACTGGCATTCATCCTCGACTTTCTGCACTCCGAATCAGCAAAATTGTGCCGACAGCTCCTGTTGCCAAAGAACTAGTGCGCCCAATCAGGAACGGCCAAAGACGTCTGTTTCGAGCTTTACCTGCCTTGGTATGGCGGGTGCGGTACTCGAAAGTGCACTCGACCTTGAGTGATCTATCCTTGATAGCATCGCTGGATCTTGAAGTTGCCCATATCACCGGGTGTAGTGTCTGCATTAACGAGGTCAGTCTAACCCTCCGCGGCGGCCAAGTCAGGACGATCGCCAAGCACCCTGGGCCTGCGATGGTTTACAAGCCAGGAGACCAAGTCACTTCTCTCTACAAACTCGCTCCAGATTTAGCAGCCGATGGAATGCCGATTTTCGGCAGTGACGGACATGTGCTAGATCTTAAAATGACAGCAAAAGTGCTAGTTTCGGAAGAATGTCGACCCAATTTATCTATTACCTGGAGGACAGGAGTAGACTTCACCGTCGAGCAGAATAACAATCTCGTCAAAGCTGCTCACAGGCTCAGCAATCCGCTTGCGCAACCACCTAAAGCCCCGGATCCAGACTCCCTCCCAACGCCGGATGAACAAAGCCAGCAAGACGACGATGCATACAGTAAAGTTATCAATGTCACCATGACCGTGACTGGACCACCACGAGTCCAAGTTGGAGATATGTTTCACTGGGATGTCTTTATCGTGAACCGCTCCGATAAGACGAGGAAATTGGCTGTCCTAGTCATTCCTAAGCGGAAGGGAGATGCATTGAGGCACAAGTCGAATCCTTCGACTTCATCTCTCGGTGCACAGCGCACCGATAAGAAAGAGCTGCTCGCGGGTGCTGTGGTGGACGAGAACATCGTCTATGCAAAACAGAAGAATGCAAGGATTGAACCGGCGGAGCTAATTTGCTTGACTACTGATGTTCGGATAGGGTGGGTGGGCTCAGAGCCTCTGATAAAATAGCAGTCTCTGACATATCGACAGGCACCTTGCTCCCGGGGCCTGTTATACAGCGGACATCAAATTCCTGGCACTTTCATCAGGGGTTTTGAATGTAGACGCCGTTCGTATAGTTGATCTAGCAACCCAAGAGGCTGCAGACATACGGGACTTGCCGAGCGTAGTAGCAGTCGAGAAAGAAGGATGAGGGAAATCGATTTGATCGCCTTCCGTTTGTACAGGGTCAACATGTCTTGGATGAGGGAACGTTGGCAATCTAAAAGGAGTCCTAGTATTGACAGGGACATCCTGTTGGAATTGAGGAGAGGTGTCGACAAGATGCACGCTTCAGTCCTAAGTTATCCCAGTTACGTTGTATGTTTGGTGAGAAGGCGCAGTAGATAGTTGGGAGTCAGTTCAGTATAGTATCAGATGCAGCTGGGTCCAGAATGAGGGGTGCATGCAGCACGGAGAGCCACACAAGATTTTAGGGTCTACGAATAGATAATGTCCAATTCTGTTTCCGTTTCTTTCGCAAATTTGCATCCGAATGATGCTCCTGGAGCCTCGGAAGCCTCGCACAAGGTTTAAACATAACGTGTAGGTGCAAGAACTCCGCTTCTAAAGTAGAACAGAAAGCATTCAGATAGAATAACAATCAAATTCAGTATCTATTCGTACCACAACATCTCCGAGCTTCATGAACTATCTCCTTGAGAGGACGTTTGATCGGCCGGGGTGCATAGCCGCTAACGCAATCGTCATCTCTTTCACCTGATTTGCTGCGGTTCGTGACTTCGCCTCAACTGCTCCTGCGACCAAGGCCGAGCGAACCGGCTTGCAACAACACAGAGTGCACCCGCCGGACGAGCACTCCATCGACGAATTTCCCCTCGCTGCCGCCACTGCGACTCTTGTATCGCGACACAGAAGTCCACCGGTACTCAGACGCCTACCCGCCCGACTGCCACCTTGCCCCCGCCAGACAAACAGGTGGCTTGACGAAAACACACGGACCTTCCATCCATTGACGATAGCAGAACGTCATTTCCTCGAGGCAAGATGATCGAGAATACACGGCGCCGCCTGCTCTATCAACTCAACAGTCGCTGGATCTATGGCAAGATTGTGAGCGGGCATACTCGGTCGTTGAAACGAAATCATCGCTAATACCGACATCCTGTCTAGCCGCTTCTTCACGCTGCAGTCTTCCTCCTACAAATGGCCGCAGTCTCTCTTTTGACCCGCAAGTTCAACTCCTACTATGCCAGTCGTCCAGGTATGGGCCCTAGAAAGCTCCTGTTGATGCGCTGAATCGCTAACAGTGCTTGTGCAGTCCTTACCACCATGATTACGAATGCCGTACGTTGACGCCCGCTCCCCATCCACTGTCAAACCCGACACCAAATCACATTTCCCTACTCTCGTTCATGCCCCTACTTTAAGATCCTCTAAATGTAGAATCCGATCACCGTTCCAGATCCCGACCCCGCTGTTATCACATGATCTTTCACCACCGCACATGAATCCAGGCTGACAGCGGATTGCAGATATTGGGTGGCATCGCCGATACAGTCGCACAGTCGTTGACGGCAATCCGGCAGCGTGTAGTTCGCAAACCTGGGGGCTCGGACAAAGACGACTTCGTTGCGATCCAAATTCACGAGCTCGACAAGCGGAACCCATGGCCTGCAGGGGAGATTATTCCGGACTCCCGCCGACTGCCCCCCCCTTTCGACTTTGAACGCTTGACCAGGTTCATGGCATACGGCTTCTTGATGGCCCCGATACAGCACAAGTGGTTTGGCTTCCTATCGAAGACATTTCCCGTCACCAAGACGTCTGCTCTCATGCCTGCTCTGAAGCGAGTAGCGTTTGACCAGTTTCTCTTCGCTCCTATTGGTATTTTCGGCTGCCCCAGCCCCGTGTCCTGGCTTTTCTGATGTCTTACTTGTTCTAGGTTTGGCCTGTTTTTTCACCTTCATGACTATTGCCGAGGGCGGCGGGAAGCGAGCTGTCACGCGAAAGTTCCAAGACGTCTATGTTCCGGCCCTCAAGGCGAACTATATGGTCTGGCCAGCAGTGCAGATTCTCAACTTCCGAGTCATGCCAATTCAGTTCCAAATCGTGAGTTTACGCCTCTTACATCTATAGATACTACACGTACTGACCATAATTGTAGCCCTTTGTATCCACTATCGGTATTGCTTGGACGGCATACCTATCCCTCACGAACTCTTCTGAAGAAGCTTAAATACCTCTATTGCCCTCTAACGAATCCCCTTTCTAGGTCATGTATTGTAAATTCGGATTAGTGATGACCAAGCATTTGGGATTAGGGAGTACTCTTTTGAGATTCTGGCGCAGTGCGCTTCCAAGGTTGCATACTAGGTCCGTGAATTGGCGTTCTGAGCATGATTATGGCGCTGGATTTTTTGGACTGGAGGCGTTAGTGTGTTCACATTCCATCGCTAGGTTACAATAACAATTCCTGTTAATTAAGGGTACGGTGATTGCTTTTGGTGTATGTGGGCAGGCAATGCGAATAGCTTTCCGGCCGCGGGAGTAACGGAGCGTGGTGTCTTCGGCTGTCTTGAGAGAACCTGCGTGAGGAAAAATTTGAGCAATTGAGTTATACACACTAATAAGAATTACTTTTGGGATCACTCCAGCCCTCCAACGTCAGTAGCTCGTTTGCTTTTCCGACAAATTCGATAAGGACCGGGAGGGACTTTCGTCACAGGGAAATCTCGCGCATATGCAGCTGCCAGCGTCACCCCACATCAGCCCCTCCATCGATTGACCTAGAGCCATTCAACAAACATTCGGCGCCTCCCACGCCAATTCTTTCCATTCCCTTCCTCGACGTAAGTAGTCTTCGATTCTCCTCTTTTCGCTTCAAAAGAACACATTGGTTCTTCAAAGTACCCTTCGAGACCTTCAAGAGCTACATAAGGCACTACAGCTTCGGGACGACTTTCATACCACCATGTCTCTCTCCAACAAGCTCTCCATTACCGACGTCGACGTCAAGGGAAAGCGTGTGCTCGTCCGAGTAAGTCTCTCAATCCCCCTTCCTGATATTCATACACACTCCTAGAATTGAGCTCTCATCTAATCCTGCTCACCTCAACAGGTCGATTTCAACGTCCCCCTTGACGCCAACAAAAATATCACCAACAATCAACGCATCGTGGGCGCGCTCCCTACAATCAAATATGCCGTCGAGCAGGGCGCCAAAGCCGTGATCCTGATGTCGCACCTCGGCCGCCCGGATGGCAAACCAAACCCGAAGTACAGTCTCAAGCCGGTTGTTCCCGAGCTCGAGAAGCTGCTGGACGGGCGGAAGGTAATTTTCGCCGAGGACTGTGTGGGGAAGGAGACAGAGGCAACGGTCAATGCCGCGACCGATGGGCAGGTGATTTTGCTCGAGAATTTGAGGTTTCATGCTGAGGAAGAGGGGAGTTCGAAGGATGCTGAGGGGAAGAAGGTTAAGGCGGATAAGGCGAAGGTGGAGGAGTTTAGGAAGGGGTTGACGGCTTTGGGGGATATTTATATCAGTGAGTGCTGCAAGACACTTTCGGGAGGGTGTTCGGGCTAATTGGTTGCAGACGATGCCTTCGGAACAGCACATCGTGCCCACAGCTCTATGGTCGGCGTAGACCTCCCGCAAAAGGCCTCCGGGTTCCTTGTCAAGAAGGAGCTCGAGTACTTCGCCAAAGCCCTTGAGGACCCTGCAAGGCCCTTTCTTGCAATCCTCGGTGGCGCCAAGGTCTCCGATAAGATCCAGCTCATCGACAACCTGCTCAGCAAGGTCAATAGCCTTATCATCTGCGGTGGTATGGCTTTCACGTTCAAGAAGACGCTTGAGGGTGTCGCTATCGGAAACAGCCTGTTCGACGAGGCTGGCAGCAAGACAGTCGGAGACTTGGTTAAAAAGGCAAAGGATAACAATGTCAAAATTGTTCTGCCAGTAGATTACATTACTGCGGACAGCTTCTCCAAGGATGCAAAGACCGGATATGCCGAGGATAAGGATGGTATTCCAGACGGCTGGATGGGACTTGACTGCGGCGAGAAGTCGATTGCCCTGTACAAGGAAACCATTAACGAGGCAAAGACAATCCTCTGGAACGGCCCACCAGGTGTCTTCGAATTCGAGGCCTTCGCGAATGGCACAAAGAAAACCATGGATGTCGCCGTCGCCGCTGCACAAAGCGGAAAGATCGTCATCATCGGTGGTGGTGACACTGCGACCGTTGCCGCCAAGTACGGTGTAGAAGACAAGCTCAGCCACGTATCTACTGGAGGTGGAGCATCTCTCGAACTGCTTGAGGGCAAGGATCTTCCAGGTGTGTCGGCTCTGTCAAGTAAGTAGATCATGACCAGTGGCTCAGAGTATTGGCTTAAAATAGATGGGAAGGGTCTTCCTCGAGGTTATGACGTATGTTATTAGTTCTTCAAGGGTTCAATACAGCTCGACTGATACTTTAGTCTTCACGATATACTTGACCCATTATGCCATGTGCCTGTTTGTATTGCCTGGAAGCTGTCCTTCAAACCCATGACGAGTACTGCTTTTCTACCAAAGACCGGCAATCTAGGTCGAATCGTGAACCCGCTCCTTATCATAACGCCACCGGCTTGCCTGCTCAAATCATTGTATCGCATGGAGACTCGTTCGTTCATTTCTGACCAAGCTTCTTGAGCTCTTCCCTAGATGGCCAAATCAGCACTCCCACATTTCCCAGAACCGATATACAAAGCCATGTCATACCTCAGCTGCACCGCAAAGTCCTCATTCGTATCATCGTCATCCCAGCTCTCCTCCCACAGATGCGCATTGCCGCCTGGTAGCTGTGTCTCTTCTTCCGGCCAGTCTGACATTGCGCAGTAAGTATTCATTCTACTAGCACCCAGTTTAAACTGGACAGCGAGGCTTGGGTTACCTTCTACGGGGAAATCCTCAAACTCATCGTCTTCCTCGAGCTGTGCGGCGGGCTTCTGGGCGTCTTTGGCTGCGTCACCGTTTTTGGAGTCGGAGGCGAGGGCTTTGCTTGTTTGCGAACTGTTTTGGGCTGAGGCGGACATAGCGGGTTGGGTGGATGGGGGAACGGAGGATCGATTTGTGCGGATACGTAACTGGGATGCGTTGCGTGGCAGGTGGCTGAAGCTGTTGATGCGTGCGGCTCTGCTGGATCGTTCGGGAGTGATTTGCGAGAGAGCGGCCCGATAGCTTGGCAGGGGTCACGTGAAGCTGCAGCTTTCACCGGCTCTCTGGCCTCCGTTTCGATCCTCAATTATTGTGATAAGAAATGCTTTCTCTTGTCCAAGACGCCCTTCACTCTATAATGAAGAGCCGCCCATAGGATCCAGCAATATGTCTATCTGTCCATCCCTGCGGACAAATACCTTCGGGTTAGCCTTCCCCCGGTTCACCGGTGACGTACCACTCTATTCGACTAAGACTTTCGGGCTGTCAGCAATGCCACTGCCGTCGTTCCACTCCTTGTATTTAGCCTCACCAGCATGATGTAGTCAATACCAGGACTCCTTTCCCTGCCGCTTCACTCTTCTTACTCTCTTCTCTCCTTTGTTCTGAAAGCTTGGCTTGGCAAGCGATATGCTGAAACTCGGAGGTTGGTTGGGAGGTGGGAGGCAGAAGGCTTCGGGATCGACGAGGAGTTTGAACGCTCTTGATGAGCTTACACAGAGTAAATACCTATTTTCTAGCTTGCGTGAGAAATGAGGACTGACAACACAAATAGTTGAAGATGCAATGGCAGGTATGCTGTTTCCCCCGCATCCAGTCAACCCCATGTTACCATGTTTATGCTCATGTCACGCGAATACAGCTGTTACCTATATAATGGACGACGATGTCGACAGCGCCGAAGAACGTCTCAGCAAAGGGTCTTCCCCATTCCACCAGGTACTCAGAACACCCAAGAAGCCCGCAATTACGCGGGTACTCGATCCCGGGCTTACGTAATGGTAGTTGGGAAAGGGAGTGGTGATCTTCATGCGGGCTACCCTTGGATTTGAGCAGGAAATTATGCGTGAAGGTTCGGCTCTCTCTATCTAGTTATGCGTGGTTGAGGAGGGTCATTAATCGGGGAATGTAGCTTCTGAGACCCTCTCCGATGCCGAGAATGCCGCGTACGAGCATCAACGACGCGCCCACCGTACTCATTCGTACCAATCTCCCATCTTTCCGCCTGGTACTGAGTATGCAGTTTGTCTGGCTGAGGCGCAATTGATGAGCGCGATTGTGGGGGTCTTGAATGAGAGTTTGACGGAGGCGATCAAGAGCTTCTATAAACTGAGGAAGGCGTACTTGACACTGGAGGGTGTTATGGATGCTGAGAGGAAGTTCTTAAGAGAGAGGAGTGTGAGCTCTTTGAATTCGACAAGGTCCGAGAATTCGACGAGTCCGACACAGGGTGGGAGCCCTCTCACGGTTCCTAAGCTTGGACAGTCTGCAGCAGGATCTTCTACGAGTCTATGCAAAGAAGTTAAGGAGGAGGCGAAGACGGATGTTAACGAAGAGAAAGGGAAAGGAGGCGGAGATGAGGACGGCGAAGACTTCGACTTCGTTGATGCTGATGAAGAACGCCAGGACCTCGAGACTCCAGTTGAGTATAGGGGACATCTGGGGATACCAACGGAAAAGGGAGAAACAGTTGACATGGACACCGTAAAACGGGACCTCGACCTCAAATCCAGTGCCGCACCTAATTTACCCTCCGAACCGTCTGATTCAGTCCCGGACCCCGGAGAAGACTTCGCCGGGCTCACTGCCTCAGACACTATCCAAGCAAGCGATGATTTAGCTCTATACGGAGATCACCCCGTAGACGTATTCATCATCTCCGGTGCCAATTTCTGCTTCGGCATCCTTCTTTTATTAATATCTCTTGTCCCACCAGCTTTCGCAACACTGTTGAAAATCGTAGGCTTTAAGGGCGATCGTGAACGCGGTATTCAAATGCTGTGGCAAGCCACCAAATTCCACAACATCCACGGCGCGCTGGCAGGCCTTGTTCTCTTCGGCTTCTACAACGGTCTGGCTGGATTCTGCGACATCATTCCCCAACGAGGCGAAGGTTCGTACCCGAAGGAACGGTGTAAAGTGCTGTTAGTGGAGATGAGGAAGAGGTACCCTAGGTCCCATCTCTTGCTTCTCGAAGAAGCGCGTATGCTGGCGAGTGAGAAGGAACTCGAAGATGCGGTTGACTTCATGGCTAAATCGTCCGAGTCCCCGCTAAAGCAGCTGGAAGCGTTACGCTGGTTTGAGATGAGTCTAAATGCAATGAATCTGCATGATTACGAGGGCACGTCCACGGCGTTTCAGACATGCATCAAACTGAACAACTGGAGTCACGGATTGTACTACTACATCAGCGGCGCCGCGCACGTAGAATTATACCGTCGCAACAAGACTGCGAATCCAGACAAGGCAAAAGAGGAGAAAGCCAAAGCCGAAGACCTCTTCAAGAAAGTCGTGCCCAACACCGGCAGGAAGAAATTCATGGCGCGCCAACTCCCTTTTGACGTCTTCGTGACCCGCAAGATCCAGAAATGGGAGCAGAGAGCTAAGGACTGGGACTGCGAATTGATCGATGCCGTAGGTGTTAGCCCTATAGAGGAAATGATATATTTCTGGAACGGGCTTAAGAGGATGAAAACGAGACATCTGCAAACCTCTCTCGATAATCTCGCGTGGAGCGAATCCGAGCAAAACCCCTATTGGGAGAAAGAAGGGCTGGATGAAAAAGGGATTCTGGCCTTGTTGCGTGCGGCTACGTTACGTAGTATGAACAATACGGATAAGGCGAAAATGGTCCTCAAGGAAGAGATCCTCGCCCATGACAAGACGCTGTTCAAGGGACACTTGAAGGATTCGTGGACGGCTCCATGTGCAAGATACGAGATGGCAGCGAATCTTTGGAGGGAGGTGGATAGGGATGCGATGCCGGAGAGTGATAAGGAGAAGTTGGAGGAATGTAGGGTTTGGTTGGACGAGGTTGGGAGGTGGGAGAGTTATGATTTGGATGCCAGGTATGTTACTCCCTTTCTCCAATATGGGTTCAGCCGAGGTTGAGACGATGAGTGGCTAATGGGATGATAGGATTGGGATGAAGGTTACGACGGCGAAAGCCACACTTAAGAGGTATGGTGTTGAGAGTTGATAGCTGGATAGAAGTATTTTGCCAGGTATCCCGATTGATTACGTGGGAAAGCAGGCTTTTTAATACAATCGAATAGAAATATAGAGTTTCGGCACTTTCTTGATTATTACTTTTGGAATCATTTCCTTTGTCACGTTTGTCGTGGAAGGATCTCGACCTAATTAGTCCTCATTCAACTCCCTACCATACTCTTCAATCCGCTCCCTCAAAAACCCCTCCTTATCCTCCACAGCAATAACGATCCCAACTCGGAACCTCACCCTTTCTTTCAGCAACCACAACGGCTCCAACAACTCCCTCTTTCTCTCCTACACACCCATACTTGACACATCCTTCAACACCGACCCTTCTTCTTTCAACAACCATACCTGCTCCTCTAGCCACCCACTTATCCACTACGGCAAATGCGTAAGCTCCTGGGCTACTCCCATCCGCGCAACCGCAACACTCCACAACAACACCCATTCCACCTTTTGCGCGCGACGGATGGCAGACAGCGTGCCCGCGCGAATGCTATCACGCGGGACGCGGGCGCGGCTGAGCGGGTGGAAGCGGAAGGTGATATGACGGTAGAAGTGCGTGAGGGCTTTGGTGCAGATTTGGGGGCTGGTGAGAAGGAGGTGTAGGGGTGGTGCGTCGTGCGAGCTTTAGGTTATGGGGTAACCGGGCTGGCAGTGTATGCTGAGGCATGTGTAGATGGCGTGGCGCAGTTCTAGGGGGAGACAGAGGAGTGGTGGTAGGGGGTGGGTTGGGGTTGGGGTTGGGATTGGAGCTGAAATTGGAGTTGAAATTGGGGTTGAGTCTGGAAGGATTGAGGGGAAGGACGTTGAAGGACTGGCTGGCGGGTTCGAAGTCACCTGGGCAATGCGACAATTCGAGATTGGGTAGATGATGAAGTTCAGATTGTGTAGTTGCGGAGAGGAGGGTAGATCAGGTGACAGCGTCTGTTTCGTGAGTATTTAAGCAATTATGGCTGCATGTAGAGGGATTAGCTGCTAGGAGACTGACGTATGGAGCAGCTAATACATATTGTGAACGTAAGAAGTCATGCTCTTGGCCCTGAATTTGGATCATGCAGAGTGTTGATCTAGGTGTTACTAGGAGCTGCATCGGATATTTGAGGACAAGCTCCGGCCACCGGCCACCGGGCCAATGACGCATTAGAAGCACAGACTGTATAGATTCTCATCAGGAACGCGTCGAGAAACACGACCTCTTTACCCCAACACTTTTCCCCACCCCGCCCACGACACAGCCATGAGAACTCTCAATGGCCTCGTACGCATCGCAAACGAAGACAATGATCCAATCAATATCTAAGACTCCTTCCACAACCCTCGGTCTCTCTACGAAACGCGACTCCGAGTCCAAACCACAACTCCCCACGAAGCGCAAACGAGATCAGATCTGCGGACTGGGAACATTCAACAAGCCATTCGTGATCAAGCCATGTCCGGACGCTCCGTACGAAACACCATATACCTTCAAACCGGTCCGGATCATCGGTCGGTCACAACTCCCTCTCACCTTTCTCGACACCACTCCCAATTCCGCCTCTCCTGCCCGATTGTTCGCCGCACACATCGATGTCCTCGAGAAACACCATGATTCTCAGCAACAGGACAATGCGCCACCAAAGCTGCTCATCGCACGCCATGAGGCTAACAGGGCGTTGTATGCCGTCGAGCGCGTTCAATCGCGCGTGTACAGCTTGTGCAAGCTTGCAAGCTGGCTGAAAGAAAAGGATGTAGGGGACTTGTGGGATCCCTCTAACCTAATGCAATACCCGAGGTTTCCCAAGGTTGAACTGAGCGAGTCAAGTGGGACACATTGGTGGCAGCAGGCTGCTGTGACGGCTGAGCCGGAAGAGGGGCCCATGAAGCGAACAAAGATCGCTATGCTTCGGCCAAAATCCGTCCAAATAGAGCCAAATTCAGCAGACATAAATGGAGCGGCCAGAGAGTGTGACAGAGTCGACTCGGTTGTGCCGGATCAACCTGAAGGTGTACTAGTGGAGGCCCCGTCCCCACAACAACAACTCGAAACCCTCGTGCAGCAGTATCTGGACGCTTTATATATGTCTAAGACATCTCTGGCCTACTTTGCTAAAGGACCTATTGCTCGGATTCGTGCGGCATTCTCCTCCTCTGAAGAGGGAGCCCCACCGACTTACGAGCTGGTTGCTTTCCTGAAATCCATGCTCATAAGCCATAAAGCTTGTGAGAAGAAGTACCGTGAAAAGCTTCCGGATATCATCAAATCTATACCCCCAGGAGCTTTTTCTGATGACGACCTACTGGATGGTCCCGCAAAGCCCAAGAAATCCAGGAAGAAGGCCAAGATCAGCAGGGATGGAGTGTATCCCCAGGAAGGCGATATGATAAAGAGATGGTGGATAAGCGGGATGCCAGGTCCAGAAATATACGGTGAGGAGACTATTGACCAACAAATCAAGAGACGAGTTGGAGACATTCGTATACGTGAGACGTTGACGCAGATGATTTTGATGCTTGAAATCATAGCGCTGGAGGCCCTGTCGACTTACAAGCCACAGCTTGAAGAAGAAACGAAGGAGATCCAGACACAGAGAGAGACTCAAGAGAAGCCGAAGAAACGTAAGAAGAAACTCGACGACATCAATCTGCGCCTCGACTTGCTGCTGGATAAACTCTGTATCTGGCAGTCTGTCGATCAGGACGAACTCATCGACTTTGATGCGAAATCATCCAAAAAGGAAGGTGGTGGCGACAGACTACAGAGCTTCTGTATAGAGGTTATCATCCCCTTTTACATGAACAGACTCCCAGAACAGGCCATGATGATTAACAAGAAGCTCGGCGGACCTGTACATGGATCCCCTCCTAAACGAAAGGCAATGAAGCCTCCGACAGCATCGCGTAAGTCTGGGGAGCCGAAGGAGCCTGATGCGAAGAAGTCGCGCCGTACCTTAGGCCGAGTCGCATCCGACAGGACCTCGCAAGCTGCTCAGCGGCGCCCAACACCATCTCTGAGTCGTTCCAGTACAGACTCCGGCTTGCTCAATGGCATCAAGCGAGAAGCGAGTGAAGTGCCATTGTCTGCGATTCCCTTCAGCCGTAGTCCCTCAGCAGCCGTGAGACAATCCATGTCGCAATTCAAGCATCTCAAAGGACGGGAAATCGACTTGAGCACATCAGCTGCGGCAGCAGCGAAGCTGAAACAGAAGAGGAGAGTCGAGGAAGATCTCAAAGAGGCTATCACAGCCCTAAAGAAGCCCAATCGAGGACTCGCGGCCGGAAGCTACGCTGACGAAGTCGAGCGAAGAGGTTTCGGTGTTCCCACAAAATCCAAAAAACCAGCCAACCCTGTCCGGAAAGTAACGAAAGATGTTCAAGTCTCTGCGACACCACGAACCGTTAGGAGGACCAAGGACGTCGACGAGTGGACTCCAATTCGCCATCACAATCCATTTGGTCGAGACAGTAAAAGCGACACGCCTGCTTCAAGCAACTTCTATGTCCCATCATCAGCCGTGCGTCCAACGTCCTCGATCGTGGCTGGAGCTGTTCCACGTAGTATAACGGCACAGGACATGGCTGCATCGAGTATCACCGAAACACCATCGAAGGCATCGACGAACAAGTCGATGATGTCCTCAGGGCCAGCACGCAGAATGATATTTGCCACACCTGTGAACGCTACTGATAAAAATTCCGCGTCTCCATCCAAGATCTCCTCTCCACCAACGGCCATATTTGCCACACCGACTAAGGAGAATGCAGTAGTTGCTGATTCTCCTCTACCACCCCATCTACCTACCTTCTCGACGCCTGTGAAGAGTCAGGAGGAGAATATTTATGACGCCTTGGGCTGGGACGATGATGACTTTCTTTGAGTTGGGAGCTGGGAATGGAAGCTTTTGTTTTACTGCATAGCGAGGTTGCATGAACGAGTACAGGAGCTGGTGTTTTGTAAATGCATTTTGACGGCGTACCAGGGCAGGCACACCATGAAGAGGACTTTTGCATGAGAGCTCGAGATTGTTGGTAATTGCGACGGCGGAGCAGGCATAGAAACTCTGAAGATGTCTTTTGCATAAGAGCTCGATATTCCTGGATGGAACCAGCGTTTTGCAGGCAGCTGCTTGTAATACAGATAGACTACCCTGCACAAAGCAAAAGTCACAATAATCGCTTGCTGACGATGAGGTGAAGTTTGCACCTGAGAGGTGGTGATTTTAAATGGCTGCTTCCTTTTCCCTGATGGCGCCTGTCATGCTCGGCCATGCTAGGTCGATCCCTTCCCGTGCGTCAGCCGTGCAGACACAAGGCTGCAGCTGGGGAGCACAAGTAAAAGCAAAGGATCGCGAACCGCATGTCTGGTGTATCGTGAATTTACGCGTGTGTTCGGTGCGCCTGATTTCCAATATATCGGGAGCTGAAAGAGCGGCTCAGCTTCCTGGCAGAGAAGACGAGTCGGAGCGATGGACGTCAAAGGGAGACGTGTGAATGGGTCATGACGGGAGTGTTTCTTGGTGCTATGAGGCAGGGAATAGAGATTAGCATAGGAGTCGGAAAAAGGTCCTCCAACCAAGTGAATAGCGGGCCGGAGAATAGTGGGCAAATATTCCAGTTGCCGGGCTCATCCATCGCCTTAGTCAACCCCTAACAGCAGCCCTTTGAGGACCTCCTGGTCAGTGCAGTCGTCTTCAATAACCCTTGGCCTTCTGGCAAAGCGCGGCCTGAAATTGCCCGTCGCACGCGTCCTCTTTGTATCTCCCTCCTCTTGACCTCTGTCTCACGACCAGAAACCTGTGGGCGCTGCGCCAATTGGCACACGAAGTGCTTGTTGTCCACAACGTGCAGCATTCAACCATGTTCAGCTGCGACCCAATATAATCCACCCGCAGACCAACCATGGCAGCAACAACTTTACCCGTGCCCACTGGGCTTCCATCCCCGCGCTCCCCTACTCTTTCAGACGCTTGTATGATACTCCCAGAGGTTGATGCTCTGCGCAGTCTTTCGCCGAGCCCATACGTCGAGCGCCCGCCGAGTCCCTCCAGTCTGCTCTACTCGCACTCCAATCGTTCCACGCACTCTATCAAGCTGGCATCTGCGCCCCAAGGACGTCGCGGCCCTTCACCTCAAATCAAGTCGCCGCCTCTCTCAACGCAGTCGTCACGCTCGACGCTGCGCACTACGATGACTGATTCCGACGTTGCGTCGAAAAAGCACCGTCTGCGCGACGATGTGCTGGCCTCATCCCCGACCATCGGATCCTCTTTGCCAACACCCACCATGGATAACAACTGGCAAGGGAACCAGCAGCGCAGGATGAGCAATACGTCGAGTCTGCACAGTGAGGATCTCGAGAATATGAAGTGGCCCGGGTTCGATGGGCCGGGAGGATTCGACTTTGACGACAGCGGTGTGGTGCTGGACGACGCCGAAGAGCACGACCAGTTCCCCATTACAGCCAATGGGGAGGAGGATATGGACAACGATCGATGGTTCGACGGACAATCTGATGCTGAGGACGACATGTACTCCTCTGCGGCGCTCAGCAGACGAGCTGAAATCATTCTGGCTAATGCCAAGAAACGGTTGAACGTATGAATAGCCCTGGTTGGGAAAGGTCTAACGGCCACTGACAAGTGCACAGGTTATGGAAGGGAACTTACGAGGCGCCCGACAGTCTCTTGTAGTCTCCCCGACCTTCAACACGATGAAGATGGCCTCGGAACTCTCGCACCAACTCTCCGCGGCTCGTGAACGAGACAGGCGATTATACGGTGGAATTGGGCCCATACCTCCGAGGACGAAGCAATACTATTCCTCTCCATTATCGGCGAATGGCAATAGTCCTGGCCACTCACGAGTGCTCAGCGAGACTTCCGTACCGGCACCCTTCCCGCCTTCAAACTTTAGCAGAATCAATCCCGGCAAACGAGCGTCGAGCGCAATGGGGCTTGCAAGTGGGCCGTGGTCTCCAGAATGTTATGGTCAAGGCCGGTTTCCGATTAGGGAATCACGAAGTTATGAAGTTATGCGCGAGCGCCGCGGGACCAATGAGGACCAGGACCACTCCTTGCGTTCCTACTCTAGGGGATCAAAATCTCCCCCTAACACCCTTGAGACGTTAAAAGAAGATGATGACGGGTCTAAGCTCCGCCGCTCAGAATCTATGACCACGGATCTGCGGTCTCAAATGAACGATTTGAAAGGCAGAATTTCGAGTCTCAAGCAACGAGCGAAAGAAGATCATCTCCGCCGACGCAGCTTACAGAGCTTACGCACTCCAAGCCCGTTTACCTCTGCGGAGATTTGGTATGCAGGAGCACAGGCTTACAAAAGTGGCGGTTCTCCCGTGACTGCAGATGCTGGCGTGGGGATCAAAACAGAATCACCTGTTCGAAAAGCGCTGTACGAAGATGAAGAGAGTAGCCCATCTACTCCTAGGCTCACCCCTAGTGAGAGCCCAAGAAACGTGGGATCTCCCAAGGAGACCAATGTCATACCCGAGCAGCAAGAGCCTGAAGACATCGAAGACTATCCCACTAGCCACTACGAAGATGCTGAAGATTTCCAGCTAGAGGCACCTCAGGCAGAAGATGAAGGTTTAGGCCAAGAAAAAGACGAAGATGACATGGACGATATTGACTTCGTGTCAGTTGAGGGCGAGGATGCGGAGCCGCAAGGCGACAGTGTCTACGAAGATGCCGTGTACGAAATGCCTGTTGCGGCACGTCACGAAGACCGGGTAGACGCCTTCGACTATGAACACTTCTTCCTCCACAGCGCTATGGGAACCTATAGCTCAGCAAGTCGCAGATCGAGCTCAAGCTCTGGCTCATCCGTTGCAACTACCCGTCCAGTAACGACGGCCTATGACCGCCAAGCATCCACAAACTCTGTCAAGAGAATATCACTTCATCAGCGGAACTCGAGCGTGGATTCTGTGTCGACAATAGCATCTTTTGCTACCGCCGCGGAGGAACAGTCTGATGAAGAGGACGACAACAACGAGGTGATGGATCAGTTTTCGCAACAGTTTAATCACACGGTTACACAACGTAACGATGCACAGCACTTAAATACTTCTCCCCGCTCAGATTCCGCAATCAACATGCGAGCAAACGGCACGAAATCTCCTGGTCAAACCTCGACTCCCCGTGGGCCATCTCCTCCCGATGATCTCGCGAGCGGGCTTCAAACTTCCAAACTCTTCAGTACCCTTCTCGAGACTCCACCATCAAAATCTAAACCCAAACTCGCCCTAAACGAAGAAGAAAAACAGCTAGTCTATAGCCTTGCGGCGAGTTTCCAGCAGGTGTGTACGAATCTCCAAAGCGTTGAAGGCGATCAGTACGAGCGCAAGGAGTGGAGAAGACGACTCGACGAAGCGCGACGAGTCCTCAATGGTGAGGAATTCCATGGGCAGCCTTTCTAATTTCTAATTATACCTACATTTCTTTTCTCCTTCCTTTTGTATGAAGAGCTTTTTTTATTGTGGTTGGTTGGTTGGTACTTTGAGAGATATAATCCTTCTCTTTCCTGTGCAGCACTTTAGCGATACTTGTTTCCGTCTCTGTCTCTTTGTTCTATATGTTTGTCTGTAGAAAATGGTCCCTGTTTTAGATGGTTGTAATCAGCTTCGCGTATAGTTTCTTTTGTATCTATCACATCACATCATGTTTACTTTTTCTTTGCACACAAACGACCGAATAAACGAGTGGATGGCAGAACGGGCGACCACTGCTGTTCGCAGCAACGGCAACGGCAGCTTCCGCTACTTTAGCTTCAAGGACAAGCATTTCCTTTTCCTTGTCTGTGCCTTTTCAATTGTAGACGGAACTTTCTTCACTGCTGAAGCTAGCTGGATACGATAGTATTGATACCCTGGGGAATGTTGTAGTTGGCTAGCCTTAGATGCACAAATATCAAGATCGACATCTTCCCTACAAAATGTAGCAGCCGCTTTGAGCTAGAGGGTTACTGTCAGAAATTCGGTCAGGCTCCACTGGTAAACGTTGGTCTTCAGGAAAACGTGGGTGGACCCAAGATTTACAGTCTAGACAGAAACGAGGACCCCTCGAGTTTGGTTAACAAGCTGTGGCTGTTGACAGCTTGACCCACAGCATCACTCATCGAATCCGTGGACTGGACAGCAGCCGTCAAACCGGTGTGCGTTGTCGCCGTACCAACAAGCTAGTCAATCTCCCTCTGAAATTCTAAATTGGTAAGATTAATATTGTGGATCGTGCTGCTGCTGCACAATGACAAAGTGTGTCGTGGCTATCCTCTGTCTTCACCGCAACTTCCTGAACTCACCTCTCAGAGCGCGGGAACGGCGGGGAAGGAAATTCGCAAGCGCCAATGGGGGAGAGGGAGTGCTGGTTGGGCAATTTAGCGTAGTGGCATTGGACGTTTAGGGCTCCTGTGTTGGAAGGGGGAGGCCGGAGGAGGGCTCGTACTGTGGGAAGGGAAAGGAGCGGGGTGGCGACTGGCCAATTGGGTGTGGGTTGTGGGGGAATTGGGCGATGGTATGGAGCTGGTCAGGGGCTGGGCTTTTGCTGAACGACGAGGAGGGAGCTGGAGCTGGAGAAGGGAAAAGGAAAGCTATCAAAGGGCCGTCGGAGGCGGTTTTCTTGAAGACAGATACAGCAAGCTTCTCGAAGCATAGAAATGCTGTCCGCTGGATTTACTATCCACGTTAGGTTCCGGGAGATGCCCGCAGGGAGACGCAGGGAACGCCCTCAGGCATCTCATGTACAGCGCATTCATCCACCACAGATGCAGCATCACGGCTGCATGGCTAACCAGGCTCATGCAGTTGCGGCAACTAGTCCAACAAAATTTTTATGCTTGACCAGAAACCTCTTAACACGTGCATGTCCATCGGCAGCCGATCGACTTTGTTTACATCTACACCTCTACGCCCTGCCTCTCCCCTCGCCCGGTTTCTCCCACCCGTCGTCATCGGCCAGCCCCTCCGTTTTGTCGACTCCTGGATGTGAATTTTGGAGTGGCCCGGGCGCTCAATGTGCGACAAGAGCCTGTTGATGAGACGCCAATCGTTATCGGGTGTTCCCTTCCTCGTCTTCCTAGCCTGTTCTGAACCGGGGGCGTATCGAAGCAGCCCATTCAAAACACACACACACACACGCACACCTGCACAATTCGAGCCGTGTGACCACTCGCATCAAGACCCCTTCCGTCCCTCCTGTCCAAGCCTGCATCTCCTGCAGCCTTGAGTCGACCGACACTCGCTCAACACCCGCGCTCTTTCCAAGATCTTCGGAGATTTTGGGTTTGGCGTGTCTTTTTGCACGCACCAGCCAGCTTGCACGACTCAATTTTGCTTATTGGGAGGCATTTTGTCGCGGTGTACCGCTTCCTGAGCTCGATATCGCGACCACGAACAGCAAGCAAACCGAGAGCGTCTCCCTTGGCCTTTGTCTCCGCCACCACGACCACCGCCATCATTTCCGCAACCCCCAATCGCCCGACCGTGTCGTTCAATCCTCACGGATTCTCACGTCCTCTAATGTGCCCAGCTCCCCCGCCCTGCTCACTCAATTTGCGCGCCTCCAAATATTCGGGCCTCTCTCAGAATGTCTCCCTCCGCCAGCTCACGCCGCGCTGCCGTCGACGCTTCATATGCGAGACGAAAGACCCGGCAGCCATCGAGGACTGGCTCGGATGAGAGTGGCAGGCGCAGGAGCCGGAGGTGGAAAAGGCGTGGAAGAGATGGCATGAGCGATGCCGAAACAAGTAGCTACTCCTCTGGAAGCGTGACTACTTGCGGGAGTGACGAGGGAGAGCCCATTACGGAGTTAATGGAGGACATATTTAATGCGCTGGAGCGCATGGAGCGACGAGATAAAGGCAAGAGGCGCGAGGAGGATAATTCAATCTCGGTACGACGACAACCACTTTACTTGGCCCCACTTGCCCCTGCTTTGGTCCTGATGTTTCCCTATACCCAAGTATTCAAAGGTCCTGTCCAAAAACCAAAAAAAGGGCCGCATTTCATAAGTTATAGCCGCGTTTGCACGCTCCACATCTAACAAACAATAGATACACAACCTCGCAACCCAGCTCACAGAGTTCCTCCCTCAGACCCCAGTCCCATCTCCCAATCTATGGCTCTCTGCTTTGCCAGACTATGGTGCTGCACCGCCCTCCTACAATGACACACTCGCAGACCTTCCGCCCGATTATACCACCACCGACGCTCTCGCCACCGCGCAAACGCCCGAATACACACCGTTTCCCTCACTAAATCCTTCTCTATGTTCGAGCGTCCCAAACTGTCTGCGACTCAGCTGCCACACATCGCCCACGTCTTCTATCTACTTTGACGAGAAATCGTTGTACGCAAGAATTGACTTCGGCTTCTGTGAAGATGGAGTCAAGTCTCATGGGAAGAAGAAGAAGGGTTCTGCAGCTAAGAAGGCCGCATTCAGTTTTGATGACGATGGTGACAAGAAGAAGGAAGAGGATGCGGCTGGTAGTTCTGGTGGCGGTGGCGACAATGGAGGCGGTGGGGATCCTCCCCCAGATGGAGGGGCAGGAGGTTCAGGCGGTGGTGATGATGGAAATGGTGGAGATGGGGGTGCAGGAGGCGGTGATGATGACTGGAATGATTGGGGTGCTGCAAGTAAGAAGAAGAAGAAAAAGAATAAGAAGGCGCAAGAGGAAGAGGAACGCAAGCAAAAGGAGGAGGAAGAGGAGGCAGAGCGCAAGAAGAAAGAGGAAGAAGACGCGGCTGCTGCGGCGGCTGCGGCGGTTGCGGCGACAAGTGCCGGGAATGACCTCAGTTGGGCTGATGAAATCAACGAAGCCGCCGAAACAAAGCCGGATGACGACTGGGGAACATTCACGTCTGCGGGGAAGAAGAAGAAGGGCAAAAAGGGGAAGGTTCGTAATTTCGGCTGCTAAATTACACGTTGCAATGCGCTAATTCCACGATAGGCGGCTGACCCACCTCCACCTGATCCTGAACCTCGTGCAGCGGACCCAGCAACAACATTCGACGACATTGCCCTTGACGACGGAAACAGCAGTGCACCCAAGATTGACATGAGCTTCGGCGATTCCGGGGCTTCTAAAACACCAAGTTTCAGTTTTGGCGGTCTAACCAGCTGGACTTCTGGTTGGGGAAGCAAGGCATCGTGGGGCTTTGACGAGGACAAGGACAGCTCTAAAGACAAAGACGCGGTGAAAGATGACAATCCGTGGGAATCCGCGGACAAGAAGGAGAAAAAGGACAAGAATGACGCCAGTGGCTTCGACTTCAATTTTGACGCGTTCAATAAGCCCGCGGACCTTGACCCCACCCCCGCACCTGCTCCCGTAGAGGAGGCTCCACCTGAGGACGATGGCTGGGGTTTCAGCTTTGGCAAGAAGAACAAGAAGAAGAACAGGAAGGCTTCAGAGCCTATAGTAGAGAAGGCACCCGAACCCGCAACCCTTCCACCGCCTGGGCCTGAGCCTGAGCCTGAGAAGAAAGAGGAAGACCCATGGACAACATCTTATTCATTTGGAAGTGTAAAGGACAAGAAGAAAAAGAAGAAGGGTGCTGCCGTTGCCCTTATTGATGAACCTCCGCCGCCACCTCCAGAACCAGTACCGGAGCCTGAGGTGGTCAAGGAGGATGACACGTTCGGATGGGGTTCAATCGCATCAGGAAAGAAGAAAAAGAAGAAGGGCGTCGTTGAGGAGGTTATAGAAGAGCCAATAAGTGAACAACCTCCACCTCCACCGCCCCCTGAAGTGGTTGCACCACCACCAAATGACGACTGGAATTCATTTGCCGTTATGCCCAGCAAGAAGAAGAAGGGCAAGAAAGCTGCCAAAGCAGAGCCCGTCGTCCCTGAGGTAGAGCCCGAGCCTGTGCCCGTGCTGGAGCTAGAACCAGTTGTTGAGACGAAGAAAGAGGATCCAGTCGACGAGTGGGGTTTTAGCCTAGGCAAAAAGGACAAGAAGAAGGCAAAGAAAGCTGGAAAAGCTGTCGAACCTGAGCCTGAACCTGTCAAAGAGCCTGAACCCGAGCCAGGGCCTGCATTAGTCGAGGAGAAAATGCCCGAAGATATCTGGGGAGGTGAATCCGCATGGGGTACCACTTCGTCAAAGAAGAAGAAAGGCAAGAAGGCCGCTAAAGAAGAGCCTCCAAAGGTGGAAGAACTTCTTCCCCCTCCACCACCGCCTGAGCCGGTTAAGGAGGAAAAGCCAGCGGACGATGGTTGGGCCGATGATGGTTGGGGCCTGACTACGTCGACTAAGAAGGGTAAGAAAGGCAAGAAAGGCTCTGTTTCTACAGCTGTATCCGATCCACCAAAAGAAGAGCTCATCGTTGATATTCCTTTGGTCGAGCCCGAGCCTACCCCGGAAGCAAAACCGGCTGTGGATGATTGGATGAATTGGGATACTCCTGCAACGACAACAGCCAAGAAGAAGAAGAAGAAGAAGGGCGCTGTAGAAGAGCTTCTACCACCCCCACCAGCACCTGCTCCTCCACCAGCCGTGCGTGAACCCGACCCAGAGCCTGAACCAGTGCCAGATAAGAATGACGGCGGAGATTGGGGCTTTAGCTCGATCTGGGGAGGCACCAAGAAGAAAAAAAAGAGTAAAGCCATCGAGCCTGACCTTCTACCACAAGCCGATCCAGAACCTGAACCCATCTTCGCGGACACAACCGTCCAAAGCCCAGATGGTGTTGAGGAACCTAAGGCGGAAGAAGAAGACGATTGGGGCGCTCCATCTTGGGGCAAGAAGAAAAAGAAGTCCATTTCGAAGAAAGACACTCCTGTTGAAGTCACTGAGGAATTGACAACGGCACAAGTCCAAAGGCCCGATGAAGAAGACCCATGGGGTAGCGCCTCTTTTAACATCAACAAGAAGAAGAAAGGGAGAAAGGGTTCCATTCTTGCTCCCCCTCCAGTTCCTACTCCACCTGGCGATAAAGGCGATGATCTTGGCGAGCCCGAGCTTCCCCCCCCAAAACAGATCGAGGCGCCACCACCTGTGGAAGAGGAGAAGAAGGAGGATGACGATCTTTGGGGCATCCCTAACTCTAAGAAGAAAAAGAAGAAGGGAGCCAAAGAAGATCTGCCTGTTGATGACGGTGGCAAGCTTAGCAGAACCGTTACAAAAGACTCGACTTCGTCCAAATCTAAGACACCCAAAGACACATTCGATGACCTCATCAATCTCGATTCGCCCAAAGAGGATGATAAGGACAAGTCTGCTGCTAGCGCCGTCAAGGACATTTGGAGCAGGTTTGAGACCGCATCTGCCTCAAAGCCTCCGAAAAAGGAGCCACCTAAGAGGGAAACTCTCAAGGAGAAGAGGCTCCGAGAGATGCGAGAGGCCAAGGAGAAGGAGGAGCAAGAACGTGCTGAGAAAGAGGAGCAAGAACGATTGGAGCGAGAGGCCCAAGAGAAAGAGGAACAGGAGCGGCTCGAACGTGAGGCCAAGGAAGCTGAAGAAGCTGCCGAGAAGGCCCGCCTGGAAGCTGAGGAAACAGCAGCGAGACTCAAAAAGGAAGCTGAAGAGGCTGAGAAGAGCGCTGGTTGGGGAATATTCGGCTCTTCGAAGAAGACGACGAAGTCGGCAATCGAGGCCCCTAGAGAGAAGAGAACAAGAATGGCAAAGGAAAAGAAGGAGCGCGAGGAAAAGGAGCGGTTAGAGCAGGAGGAAAAGGAGCGCGCCGAGAGAGAGGAAAAAGAACGGCTTGAGAGGGAACGTGTTGAGCGCGAGGAACAAGAACGACTGGACCGCGAGACCAAGGAAGCCGAGGAAGCAGTAGCGAAGGCGAAGGAGGCTGAGCCCTGGAGTTCGATGGTGCCCAAGAAGACGGAGACCACTAAAGAAAGGAGAGCAAGAGAGAAGAAAGAAGAAAAAGAGCGATTAGAGAAGGAGGAACAGGAGCGACTCCACAAGGAACGCGAAGAACAGGAGAGACTCGAGCGAGAGGCCAAAGAAACTGAAGAGGCAGCGGCGAAAGCAAAGGAAGCTGAAGAAGGCGGTTTCTGGGGATCATTTACTGCACCTAAGAAGAAAGAGACTTCTAGGGAGAAGAAAGCTCGAGAGAAGAGAGAGGCCCAAGAAGCTGAGGAAGCTGCTGAAAAGGCGCGATTAGAAGCTGAGGAGACAGAGAGACTTGAACGAGAAACCAAAGAGGCCGAAGAAGCAGCAGCAGCAGCAGCAGCAGCAAAGAAAGCTTCCGAGGAAAGTAGTCTATGGGGAACTTTACTGCCTAAGAAGAGGGAGAGTTCTAAGGAAAAAAAAGCTCGTGAGAAAAGAGAAGCCCAGGAAGCCGAAGAAGCTGCTGAAAGGGCTCGGCTTGATGCCGAGGAGGCCGAAAGACTCGAACGAGAAGCTAAAGAGGCTGAAGAAGCATCAAAGAAAGCTTCTGAGGAGAGCAGTCTGTGGGGAACCTTCATGCCCAAGAAGAAGGAAAGTGGTAAGGAAAAAAGAGCTCGGGAAAAGAAGGAAGCCGATGAAGCCGCCGAAAAGGCTCGATTGGAGGCCGAGGAGCAGGAGAGACTGGAGCGGGAGGCCAGAGAAGCCGAAGAAGCATCCAAGAAAGCTTCTGAAGAAAGCAGCATCTGGGGATCATGGGGTTTGTCCGGTAAAAAGAAAGAAACCGCCAGGGATCGCAAGGCCCGAGAAGCAAAGGAGCAGGGAGAGCGTGAGGAGCAAGAGAGGCTGGATCAGGACGCCAAAGACGCAGCGGAAGCAGCTGCTCAAGCTCAAAAGGAGGCCGAGGAAGCTGAAGCTGCCCGAATCGCTGCCGAGAAGGACCTCTTAGGAACCAGTTCCTCCAAGAAAAAGAAGAAGAAAGGCAAAGCCGCCGTCTGGGAGGAACCAGCCCCTCCCGTTTCCGCTCCTCCGCCCATCGACGAAGATATTCTCAACCTCGTTAAAGACGTTCCAGCAGCTGATCTCCTTGCTGAGATAGAGAGAGACAATCAAGAAGCGTCTGCAGGATGGGGTACAATGTGGGGAGTCTCCTTACGCAAGACCAAAAAGCTTGAGCCGGTGTCCTTACCCAAAATGGAAGAGTTCCCTGTGGCTGAGTCATCACGGGAGATCTCGCTTACGCAAGTCACGAACCTACCAGAACCGCCGATTGCTGACGACCCTCTTCCCAAGGCAACAAAGTCATCGTTGACGAAAGCGAAGAAGCTGTCCGCAAAGTCCGGTGGCGTGGTCGCTGAACGGCTAAAAGCGCTCGACAAGAAGGCCAAGGTTGTGGAACCGGAGCCTGAGCCAGAACCAGAACCAGTGGAGCCACCTCCACCGCCTCCACCTCCTCCACCACCAGCTGAAGAGTTCGTCGAAGTCATCGATCTAAAGTCAAAGAAGGTGTCTTCGAAGTCTAAAAAGGACGCTAAAACCAAATCTTCAAGGTTGAAGACTAAAGAGGTTGCTACTCCTCTCGTAATCCCCGAGCCTGAGCCTGAAGAAGTCCCTAAGATCACTACTCCTGTGCCAGGTGGCTTTCCTATGGATGATGACATGAACTTGATCGATCTAGATGCTCCCGCTCCCCCACCGCCAGTCCCTATTGCTGACAAAAAGTCAAAGAAAAGTACTAAAAAGAATAGCAAGGCTCGCGCAGAACCTATCATCGAAGCGCCCACGCCACCTCCGCCTTCTCCACCACCCGAAACGGTCGTAGAAGAGCCGGCGCCTATAGACGTTGACGACCTTGACCTTCCAGGAAAGCTACCAACTCCACCTCCCGAGCCCGAAGTGAAGCCTCCATCTGCGAAGAAGGAACGTGCAAAAGTCGTGCGCAACTCAAACGCAGCATCGTGGGGCTTCTGGGGTGCCGCAACAGCTGCGCAAAGACAAAGGCCGGCCAGGAAACAATCTGGTGACGACGGTACGAGTACTGCGACGCCGACGAGACCAGCTGTAAATCGCTCAAAGTCAGCGCGCGTCACATCATCGAAGGATAAGGACGTAATGTCAAAGTCGTCTGGTGGATCTGAAAAAGTTGTAAAGACACCATCGCGCTCGAAGTCAACGCGCCAGTCTACAGGATTCTCCGCGCTATTCGGAGCCCCGCCTCCATCCCGCTCGAAGTCGCATCGGACTGTAGCCACCCCGCGAACTCTCTCCCGACGCCCCTCAATCGACAACGACGCTGCGATGATGTCGCCTCCACAAACAGATACAGATGTTAAGGCCGTCTCATCGAAAGCTGCAAAGGTTATGGGTATGAGAGGCTCAGTAAACCGGCGGGCAAGTACAAGAGACAAAGGCAAAGCCAGAGGTAAGAAATCTGATCCAATGAAGAGAAGAGCATTAGGATGGAGACGTCGACAAAGACATAGAGCTAACCCCAATCGCGCAGCTGTACCGGACCCATATCCGATTGATGATGACATGGACCTGTTTGATGAAGACGATGCACCTCCGTCGCCAACACCTGTGCGTAAAGGAGAGTCGTCGCGTCGCAAGTCGAAACGTGAATCGGTCACTCCTGCCGAGCCTTTGACAGCGCCACCAAGCGCTGATGACCCAGTCGATGCGGATGCGATGGACGTTGATCCTCCGCCCGTCGAACCGCGACGCCGCGAACGTGACCGTCGTGAACGAGGTAATTCAGGCGCTAAAGAGATGGCGGCAGCCGCTGGAGCAGCTGGTTTCATGAGCATGTTTGGATTGAGCTCTCGCAAGCGAGCTGTAGAAGAGGACCGCCGTCAGCGTCCGAAGACTGCCGAGACAGAAGACGAGCGCAGGCGTCGCAAACGATCATCTACCCGGGGAGGGCAGACTGAAGATGAGGCGAAGCGACTGCGTCACGAGCGCAGAAGTGTTCGACGTCCTTCGGGGAGACATGACGCTGATGTAGACATGGCTCCAGGTGGTGCCCGCGCAAGTGCCAGTACCGACGTCGAGGACGCGGAGAGGGAGGCTAGAAGGGCTGAGCGCCGGGCCCGACGCGATGCAGAAAGGGAACAACAACGCGCCGAACAGGAAGAGGCTGATGCCAGGGCGGAACGTCGCCGCGAACGTGGGCGCGAAAAGGAAGCGGCTGTCCTTGCTGAAAAGAAGGCCCGCCAGATGGCAGAGCTTGAGAAACGCAACAAGGAAGCAGAAGCTAAGCTGCGTCGCATGGAAGAGAAGGAGCAACGAAAATCTGCAAGAGAGGACCGCAGAGGTGGCGAAGAAAGGGATCGCCCTCGTGAGAGCGAACACCGTTCTTCTCGGCGCAAAGACAAAGACAAAGAGCGCGACTCATCTCGTCCCCGTACCGAACGACGACGGTCCCATATGGAAGAGGACCCTGAGGAACGTCGTCGTCGTCGAGAAGACCGTCGCGCACGACGCAACTCTGCCTACCCAACAACCAACGCCGACCCAATCACAGACTACTTCGATGAGCGTAATGGGGAGAGTCATCGACATCGCCGTCGCAGCTCTCCGCGTAAGAATGGTGAATCGTCAAACATGCCTTACCTCAGCAAAGGAGGCGACAAGACATCTTCCTGGGTCGATTCGCTCTCCAACGAACCTCCGCTCCCTATTCCCATCGCAGAAACAGTTCTTGATCCTCCTCCAGGTGCCCGTGAGGCACCAGGGGATGAGGAATCACCGTCCGCTGATGAGGAAATACGTCTACGCATAGCGGGACGCAAAGGAAAGCGCGACAAAGACCGTGGCGAGATTCGGGAGAAGGACCGAGATAAGACAGACCGTGACCGAAAACATCATCGCAGACGCTCGCATTATGAAGGTCCCCCTCGCGGAGGTAGTGACGAGGATATGGAGAGGGATCGAGAGAGGGATCGGGAGAGGGATCGGGATCGAGAGAAGAGGAGTAGGAGGAAGACGTATGCAGCCCCTCCAGCTGCAGCGTATGCTGAGGCACCGGTTCGGACGTGGGATGGACGACCGGCGCAGGAGGCGAGTGGTGGGGGGAAGAGAGGAAGTTGGTTTAAGAAGATATTTTAAGGTGACAGATGGGGGAGAGAATGGGCGAGATTGAAGAGATTGGATACCAGATACCTTTGATGAGCTTGAACGAGGTTACGTTTAAATTTTCTTCGCATCGCTCGGCGTCGGCTTGGAATATTTTTTCCTCTTTCCTTCCAATTACCACTGCCCCTACCCTTTCCCACATTATGTTATCCATGTTATCCATCCCGCCATTTCCAAACCCGTGTACAACGCGCTATCCTTTGTTCGCTTGCTGTATGCATGATTGGGGGTTGGGGTTTTCCGGGGTCGTCCACCAGCATCCAAGTCTTGAGGATTTACATCTTTTTCTCTTACTAAAGAAGCATCACTAGATCTTTTAATACACTCCCTACAATTGGGTCTGGATTTACTGTAAGAGATGGGTGTTAGGAGAGATGCATGTTGGGTCCGGGCTGGTCTCTTTTGGCTTGCGGTCTCGTAGCGCTGTTTGCTTTCTCTTTTTGTTGACTAGTTGGTTAGGAAGATGGTGCTTGAAATGGGTGTTATAGCTGGATGTAGCAGTAGATACCCCCCTTCCTTCTTTTTGGAAAGAATTAGAACCTAAGTTTTTCTCTTTCAGAATACTTTCCACTGTTACGAAGTTTGATTATTGTGTATCTATGTATGGTCAAGGGTGGGAAATTACTTGTGTTTTGTCGAGAGCTACAAGTCGACATAGACGACGTTCGTGTTGCGAGGTTTAAATTGGTGGTACTAACAAATGCACAGTGGGAGAAATCATCAGCCTAACCGACCAACGAACTAACCATACGCCTGATCGCCTTGCCATGCTATCCTACCCTGTTCTACCCTATCCAGCCATAACCCATTCCACTCCAAACCCATTCACACCTTGATCCATGCCATGATACAATATCCAGTGACGTATTACCAGCGTCCATGAAGCAGAGCCTGCGAATCCACCATTCCACCAGGCTGGCCCGGCTCAAACCCATCCCCAATCTCCATCTCCTCATCCTCCATCTCACTCTCCAGCTCCTCATCCTCATCCTCAAACCCTGTCTCTATCCCCGCCTTCTTCAGCCTCTCCTTCATCACCTCCCTCTGCTCCCCCTGCCACCTCGCTAGCGCAGCCCCGGCATGCATTCGGAAGCCAAACACGCGGGGCTCGTAGCGTCGCTGGCTCTTAGCCGGCAGCATCGCGGGGTAGACTTGGAATAGGATGTTGTGAAAGGAGGTGCCGAAGTAGGCGCCATCGACGATTGCATGGCGTGAGGACTTGGGGTTGTAGAGGTCTTCGCAGCGCGCGCAGTAGAGTTTCACGGAGGACGTGTTGGCGATGTCGGATTGGCCCATCGGGAGGAGGGGTTGCGAGTCGCACATTACGCGGGGGCATTTGCCGAAGTCGGATTTCTTGAATTTGTCGAGCTGGAGGGAGGTAGGTGTTAGCTTTGTGATATCATCCTCTACAAAAGAGAGTAGGGGCAGGAGCGACGGTACGGAATAAGTAACATGGACATACCATCTTAGCCAGCCCCCGTGTGGTGACTATGTACCGAGCGTGTACGAGCCCATATAAATGCCTGGCCGACTTCTCGATCATTTCCCGCATCTCATCGTCGCAGTCAAAATCGAACACATCTGTCACCAAGTCCAGCGCATATTGGTAGTATTGTACTTCGGTGTTCAGACCCGTCAGGTTGAAGCGATCCGTGAGGTACTCTTCGTCGATCTCGCAGAAGTATTCGTTGCCACGCGAGGATATGAACTACAGGGCGCGATATTGATTAGCAAAGACTGAGAAGTACGAGAGAACAGGCTGCAGGGAACAAGACAAGACGGGTGAGGAGGATCGAGATGCTGTCCGAGCCCCTGTATAGCGTAAAGTTCGGCGTTTCTATGAACGAGTGTCTACACATTTTCATGGCGGCATAGCCTGCTGTCATGCACTCTTCACTGCGACTCGTTAATAGCCATCCGAGGCATCTTAATATGGTTGTGCAACGCTTACCATGCAGTGATCTCACGGACCTGTTTACCGTCTTCATTAATCCACCTACACACCATTTCCGAATATGCAGAGGGAAAAAGCATGCAGGTGAAGGTATACCAGAAAAGGAACAGTGCTGTGATGTACCTACCCAGTCGCGCCAGTAGCTTGTGTAGTCGCTGTCCGTTTCGCTATTGAAGTCGTCCATGTTGTCCCTGCCTCGCTAACGAGGCTCCCAGGCAGTGCAATTGTCGCTATGGTATTTGTGAAGAGGGGAGGATTCAAAGGGGAGGAGCCATAAAGGTCGGAGGTGGGAGCCAAACAGATGCGGAAGGGAAGAGTGAATGCCGAAGTGGGATGTGTCTTGGCGGGACCGTGCGTCGGCGTGGGAGATGATCCGAACCGAGAAAACTAACTAGGAAAAGAAATGCTATCGAATCGTTCTGATTCTCCCTCCCAACTTTCTTATTGTCTATGCCTTCACAGCTTGCACGACTCGATGGCTGCTTCCATGTGTGTCAGACTCCTGAATCAATCCATACAATATTGAATAAAGCAATGCATCTGGACGTATGCAGAGGAACGTTGAGAGCACAGCCAAATATATCCAGCGCATTAACAAGCTAATGACCTGAACAAATAGGGCAGCTTCCAATATTCCTCTAACCATCCAGCATTACGTCGTCATCCTCTCCAGCTTGCAGTATATTCTTCCTCCTACCTAAAAGCTAGCTTCTAAACTCCAAGTATCATTGTCTCAGCTCCGCGAGCTTTTCGATATGATATATAAATTTGTGCTAATTCTTTCCCTACTCTGTCATTCGTCTACGGTTACAGAAATTGGTACAGCCACCCGCGATCCAATTTCTAGACTCTGGTGCTTTTCCGCTGTATACTCTGTGATCACATTATTTGTCCAGGCCCGCTTTTTATAGAATTATAGTCCCCTCCTCCCGAGCTGTCTGTATCCACCACAAATGCCATGATGCCTCCTTGCCCCATTGTCGATTTACCGACCCAAGCTGGATTATTTGCGATACCTATATTAGAACAAAAGATGGCCAATACTATGACGTGGAAACACATATCAACACTGAAAGGCTAACTCGGAATTACGTTATTTCTTGACTTCTGAACCCCAAGCAGAACTGGAACAAGCTACACAGGAGTTCGTCACGAATTCCAACGATGGTAAGATTTTACTGTGGGTGACTTCACCTGCCTTAGACCAGCTCCCGTCCAGGCAGTCAATAATTAGCATTCTCAGATGGTACTAAGGTAGCGAATAGAGATTTCAATCAGATGGCCGTTCCTCGAGGGCAGTTTCTTGAAAATGGCAGCGTGGTCTCCGGCGTTTTCATCCCGACTTTCACAACGCAGGCGGCTGGGATGTTCTAGTCCTCTCCATCACCAAATTAAGGCAAGGCCTGCTATCTGTGGCAGTGGAATAGCTTTACACTTCGCCCGTCAGACCTGAGCTGCTGAACTCTGGACGCATCTACAACACATAGAGAAGGCAAAAATCTCACAAGGTAATAAGATGACCACTTACCTCAATCCCCGAAGCAAAATGTCCTACGCGTGCAAATAAAATGGATATACTTTATTCAAGCAAAGCTTCAGTTTCTTCGCATATTATTTATTTTACGTTCAACTTGACCATTCACCATTTCTTAATCAATATTACCATACCTACTTAGTAATTGCCATGAACTTAATTCTCTTGCTATTTGATTTCCTTATTGACTCAACCTATACTAAAATATTCATTCCCTAGTGCATTGTGTATATCTAATGGTCCTGCACTTTGGGTTAGGAGGATACACAACTAGATCGGTTAAAACACGTCTAATAAGTTTCCGAGGCTTTTTTTAATCATTTATGTTTCATGCACTATAATCCCGTGATTCTGAAAACTGGCTTTCGCTCCAAGGCTGAGCCTCCTGCGGTTGCTAGTCTTCTAAGCCCGCTCAGGCACTTCCAGGCAATAGTGCTAGCTCAGCCACGAGCCCCACTAAATTGCATTCCATGCTCTTTCATCGTTTATTGTTCAGGACATCCAATCGTCGCATTTTCACTTTGACAACCTTCTTCCGACATTTTTTAGTAGTAGTTCTGTTGCCTACTGCCTCACCTTTCCTGTGCATACAGGCTTACCTGTCCTGTACATACAATCGTCATGGTGTTTCTGCTTGACAATGCGTCCTTTACAAGTTCACGAGAATGGTGAGTCCAGCCTGACCAATACCATGATCAACAACATCCCTCCTATACCATTCTTCCCAAACATAGGAGAGGTCCATCAAGAGGTCAACTTCAAACACTTGACGATAGGTCCCAGAAGGACATTATCTGGATACAAAAACTTTGCTTCTGTGCAGAGCGCAGAGCAAGCTACTCTCGATGATATGGAACCCCTCTGGGTGGATACTGTAAGGCTGGAAGAGGCCTGTACTAGGGTCCTTACGCGCGACAAGTAACGTTATATATACTATTCTGTACGCAGAATGAACCGTTGGTTGATTATTCGCACCTTTTTGGTTGTATAGGCACAGTGGTACAGAGCCCCATCCTTACAGATGCCTGCTGCATGTAGAGATGTCACCCCAACTTGCAATTCCCCACAAAATTCGGCGCAATTTCCGCTAAAAAAAAAATCATGCGGTCTAGAGAGCAGACTTTATTTAGGCGCCTTTCCGTATGTTTGCTCAGCATCTTTCTATATAAAGTCCTCTTAACTCTATCAACCCAATTAGATTCTATACGTCTACCTATAAGATCTAGCACACTCTCGTGAGTACGTTTGACAAATGGGTAAATACTAAGGGAAAAGTGATCTTAGAAAGTTCGTTTCCATTTCCACTCGTAGGCCTGAGCAAGGATGTAATATGACGCGATAAAATTCTTTCCCCTTGAGTGACCCAACCAGAATCAATTTCTGCTTCTGTACCCGAGCCATGGTGTTTATTAGAACGTAGTACTGTCGCTACTGTTACTGATAGTAGCAATCTCTTAGAAGTTAGGACAAAAGTGAATTACCTTCCGTTACTGTAGAGTCAATGAGGCTACAGCTACTGCAAGAACTGCCTATACTAACTAATTTCTTAGTGTTTTAGGAGCGTGTTCGCGGTCGTTTTTGTGCGTAGTAGTACAAGGGCTGCTGTGGAACATAAGGCGCTAAAATACACTAGATTTTGTACTTTTTTAACTGTCTTATCTATTGCTGGCAGAGAACAGTGAATTAACTCCTTTGTTTTACTTATCTCTTGCCTCTAATATTGCCTCTATTGTTACTACAAGTATGCGAAAGTTCCTTTAAACTCTGCGTAGCATGTAAAGCTTGTAGCAATAGTACGCTGTTGCTTTTTAAGAAATCAATGGCTGCGTCTAGAAGCTCTTGGAGCTCTATAATTAAGACCTTATCCTCCAGTGTTTCTTTACCAGCTCTTTATCCTAAAGACTCTTGCCTAACAGCACTTCGTCTCCTCGCACATATATATTACGAAGCGGACTTGCGAAATCCCTAACCGTGAAACAATGCAGACGTACTTGTGCCATAAACTGACCTTATTTTGATACCGCTTCTCCACCGCGGGTTGGAGCTTAGTGCAGGGCTTCCAACGAGGCGTAGTACTGTACGATTGGGCGATTTTGAGGCCTGTACGGGTGAGATTTTGTGTACGTTCGTACGATAGGGAGGAGGAGAGGTAGGTGTACGTATCGTAACTGTTACGGCTCACGTGATCTGTACGAGTAGTACGATTCGATTAAAGTACGCCGTACTCCAGTCAAAACAGCTAAGACTATAGGTCCCTAGAGACGCAAGATTAAGGTCTAATTAACTATAAAATAACTAGTTCTCCCTAGTAACAAGAGCAGATAGGACTAGATGAGGCCTGTAAGGCGGCAAGAGGCGTG